GATGATGATGATGCTGAATCCTCAACCAGGTCTAGAAGAACCGTCACTGTCTACCAAACCACAGACTCTGAAGGTAATGTTAGAGAAATCACCTCCGAAATTGGTTCTAGCTCAAGCACTGGTGTCAGATTAACTGCAACCGTTTACGAAACTACTGATTCTGATGGTAACACCATCACCGTCACCAGCTTCCCTGGCTCTGCTTACACTACTACCTACACTACTGATGGTTCCACACTCACTGCTGTTGTTGAAGTTGTTACTTCCACTGACAGTGACGGTGACTTGGACGTCTATACAACTACTTCTCCAATTTCTAGAAGAAGATCAACTGTTTTCTTGACAACAACCGCCGATGCTGATGATAACTCTGAAAGCACAGCTGAAACTTCAGCCGAAACCTCAGACTCTTTTGGTATTGCCATCAAACCAGTCCATTTCCAAATTCCATTTGTTTCTCTTGCTCTCATGGTTTTCACCACCTTTGTTTTAATGGGTCTTTAAAATATTCACTGAAATAATTTTCTAGTTTTGTTTTTTTGTTTTGTTTTTCATTCTTTTTTTTGTTTTGTTCTTTTCATTCTTTCCTTTTTTATTCCTAGTTTTTTTGTTTCTGTGTTTATTGAGCTATAAATTGGTGTAAAAAAAGATTACATATTAATATTAATCACAATGGATTCTTTTTCGGCGTTCTTAATTCTTAATTAGTCAGTCAGTCTATGCTATGCTATGCTGTTTAGGACTACCTTCATTCCTTTATATTTTCTTTTTATTTACCACTTTGTCTTTTTTTGGGATCGCGTTATAGATATATACTATTAATCTATTCAATACTTGGTACTTTAAAAGCATCAAAACACAATCTAACTGCAAGCTCTTGGATTACAAAAACTAAACCTGTGATTGGCTGCACAAGCATGTGATCTAAATATTTTTTTATTTTTTTTTTTTCACTGCATCGGTATTGATTCTCTTTTGTTTTCTTGCTTTGATTCTAATGTTTATGCCAAATACTGGGAAAATGCAAGCTGATACTCCTAGAAACAATCTGGACTCAGAGATAAAGAAGAAAAGAATTCCCAAAAGACGATTTATAGGCCACAAGACTGGATCAGATTCTCACAGTGTGTCTACCAGCAATGATTCAGACTTCAAATCGCTAGTCAGAAGAACTGTCAAAACCAGAAGAAATCTAAGATTAATTACTCACATCCCCAAGGACATATTAGAAAATAAAGAAATAAATGAGGCAATCAAGCTTTTGCCTTCCAACTATAATTTTGAAATACATAAAACAATATGGAATATACGCAAAAATAATAGTAAAAGAGTTGCATTGCAAATGCCCGAGGGTCTACTAATTTATTCTTTGATCATTTCTGACATACTCGAACAATTTTGCGAATGCGAAGTAATAGTGATGGGTGATGTCAGTTATGGGGCTTGTTGTATCGATGATTACACAGCAAGATCATTGGGATGTGATTTCATAATTCATTACGCCCACTCATGCTTGGTTCCTGTGGATATAACATTGATTAAAGTATTGTATATCTTTGTCACCATAAATATTAACGAGAAACACTTAATCAGTACCATAAAGAGGAATTTTCAGGTTCATGATAAATTAGCATTATTCGGAACTATTCAATTCAATCCCACTTTACATTTAGTCAGACAGATATTAAATGAAGAAAATTATCAAATCATAACTCCTCAAATATTGCCGTTATCAAAAGGTGAGGTATTGGGTTGTACTTCTACGAAATTGGATGAAAATGAAATAAAAGCAATGATATATATTGGTGACGGAAGGTTTCATTTGGAATCATCAATGATTCATAACCCTAATATACCTGCTTTCAGATACGATCCATATTCTAAAAAATTTACTCAAGAATATTACGAAATCAAAGAGTTGATTGAAGTTAGATCTGATGCTATCAAAAGTTGTGAAAAATGTGAAAAATTCGGATTGATTATAGGATCATTAGGTAGGCAAGGTAATTTATTAACAATTGAAATGATTGAAAAGGTTTTAAAAGAAAATAATAAAACTGTTATCAAAATTATACTATCGGAAATATTTCCTCAAAAGTTATCAATCTTTGACGATATAGATTGTTTTATTCAAGTTGCATGTCCGAGATTAAGCATAGACTGGGGATATGCATTTGATAGGCCATTGTTAACACCATACGAAGCAATGGTCCTATTTGAAAAAGATAAAGGCATAACAGGCGATTATTATCCAATGGATTATTATGCTAAAGATGGATATGGTAGGGGCAAAACTCCCTTAAATCATCATATAGAATCGAGTTAATATTTAATGAAAATTGTTGTGTTTTTCTCAATTACCAATTATTTATTATTTATTGTTTATTATATAATAAATTTAAAATATTACATTGAAGATTTAAAGAATAATGAAAAAATAACACAAATTCGAAAATTTGAATACAAGTATAAGAAGTGAATTAATTGGATCGATATTAGATTAATATTATGGCATCAGCCGTATTGCCAGTATTAATATCAACCAAACACAAGGGTTCGTTATCTTTTTCAATCGGAACCTCTTCCTTCTTATGAAAAATCTTGATATCTTTAAGATCAATTTTCAACTTTTTAGGACCAATATTATTTGAAAACTCATCATTATTATAAAATTTACTTTCGTAAAATAATTGCATGATTTTATTTCTTAAGAATTTCAAAGTTGTGCCCAATTCTGGGTCCTTTTCGTTATAATCATCAGGAGCAAACTCAATATGATATTTCAATGGTTTCTTCAACAATTTTAATGAGCTTGATGATTTATCTTTATAGAATACATTATATAATTTGTTCAAGTTTTTCTCATTAGAGATATTTCCAAAATCAATTTTATGATCAATCAATGATTTCCTTTTAATGAAATTTAAATTGATATAAACATGAGCACAGTGAACTGGTTTATAAACAAAAACGTCAGCAGTTGGGTGGCTCCAAATTTTTAATAAAACTCCAATTTCTAATATTATATGGTAAAATATTATAGAAAATAATAGAATGATCGATAATATTGTAATAAATTTACCAGTTGAGGTTTCCATATGATATTTTAAAATGGTTTTTTTAAAAACGACATTATCAGTTAATAGATTGTCTAATTTCGAGTAGTAATTCGAATAATTGGCTAGAAATAGATCTGACGAAGGAAGTTGAAAGTAGTTCATTAGTTCTTTCATATTACAACAAACCATAAACAAACCAACAATAATATAGTAATATAGTAATATAGTAATAGTGCAATAACAGTATTATAATGATATGTTTCTAGGTGTTCTAAATAAAAAGTGAAATTTATATTTTCTCATCACTTTGAGAAAGTCGAAACAGCCATCTCTTTCTCTTTTCGGAAACGGGAACGACCTATACGAAAGTCAACCCTACATTAGCCACATATTTCTCATTTAGGAGTATCACATAGATGGATTTAATATATACATATAAATGCATATAATTACATATGATTATATAATACAGTCGCCGAATTTGTGGGTTTGGTTATTTTTTTTTATTTTTTTTATTTTTTTTATTTTTTTTTGGTGAAATTTTGAAGATTGGTTCATTGAAAATTAATTATTTCAAGCCTGATACAGAGATCAAAATGTCCCCTTTTAAAATATCTGGAAATAGAAAAAATAAATTTAATGCTGCAAAGAAGAATAAGATACTTAAACCAGGAAAAAAATCGAAAAAAATAAGAGACTCTTCAAGTTCAAGACCCAAATCAAAATCAAAAGCCAAAGCTAAGGAATCCAAAATTATTTCAGCTGACAATTTAAATTGGAAAACAGTTGATATTTCAGGTGGTGTTGATTTTGTTGATGGATGTTACGGTTTAGAAGAAATTGATGGTGTTGATGTGAAATTTGTGAATGGGAAAGTTCAGTTTATTGTAAAAGATGATTCGAAGATAAAAAATGAAGACGAAGATGAAAATGAAGATGAAAATGAGAATGAAGAAGTAGAAAAAGACGGTAATGCTCAAACTGATGGAGATCAAGATCATGATGAAAATATGGAAACAAAAGACCAAATTGAATCCGAAAAAGTACAGAAGATAGATGGCCATGAAAATAAGAACAATAAAAAACAAAACAATAAAGCCAAGAACTCAAAGAATATTATTGATAATGAAGATTCTATTCTTGAAGAGAATGTTTTTACTGAGAAAACAATTATTGAATTGGAGTCATCGGAAATCGATGAAGAATTTATTAGTTTAGAGGAATTGGAAATTCAATTGCCTAAATGGAAATCATTGAATTTATCTCCATACATATTAAATGGTTTATACAACTTAAAATTTTTTGACCCAACACCAATTCAAAAAAATTGTGTTCCAATAATATTGCAAAGAAGAGATATCATCGGGAAAGCAATGACAGGTTCTGGTAAAACATTGGCATATGGGATACCGATTTTGCAAAATTATCTTAATATTTTAAAATTTTTAAATGAACCATTGAAATCTAGCAAAAAAATTGATATTGATCACCCCGTTTCGATAATTTTTACACCGACAAGAGAATTAGCTCATCAAATTGTCAATCACTTGAATTCAATTTCTAAGTATTGTCCATTACCAAATTCAAATTCAATTATAAATATCACAGGTGGATTATCGATTCAAAAACAAGAGAGATTATTGAAAACATATAATCCTGGAATAATTGTGGCAACGCCTGGTAGAATACTTGAGATATTAAATAAAGACATTTCGATTGCTAAAAAGCTTGCAAAAGTTGACATGATAGTTTTAGACGAAGCTGACAGGCTATTATTAGATGGTCATTTTCAAGAATTATTACAAGTTTTGGATTTATTTAAAAGAGAAAGACCTAAAAGTAATGGAAAAACCAAATATGGATCATTATGGCAAACATTAATTTTCTCAGCGACTTTTACAAAAAATTTGTTCTCAAAATTAAATAAAAATATTAAATCAAATGATCAGAAAACATTGACTAATAACCAAGAAATAGTTGATATGTTGAGAAAAAATTTGAATCTTAGAGATAAATCTCCGATTTTTGTGGACGTAAATCCAAAGGAGATGTTGGCAAGTCAAATTAATGAATATCTAATTGAATGTGGAGCACTAGAAAGAGATTTGTACTTATTTTACTTTTTGAGAAATTATTTTGGATCAATTTTAATTTTCACAAATTCGATCGAGAGTGTTAAGAGAATCACATTATTGATGAAAAACCTAAAGATTCCAAATGTTTTTTCAATTCATTCATCAATGATTCAAAAACAAAGATTAAGGAATTTAGAAAATTTTACCAAACAATGTGAAACTATAACTAATAATAACAGTGACAACAACAATAGTAATCGAAAATCTTGTATTTTGATTGCAACAGATGTCGCAGCCAGAGGATTAGATATTCCAAATATCTCTTACGTTGTTCACTACCACATCCCTAGAAGTGCTGATGTTTATATTCACAGATCTGGAAGAACTGGAAGAGCAGGAAAAGAAGGAAATTCGATAATTATTTCCTCACCCACTGAGGTTTCAGGTGCATTAAAGAGATTAAGAAAATTGTTGATAAATAGCAAGCTGAATTACAAAAGCTTTGGTTTTAAAAATGATTTGAAGTTTTTGGACGTCAACATGGGCCAAATAGTTAAACTCAAGAACATAGTGTCAATTGCCAATCAAATCAGCGAATCCGAGATATCCAACAGCTCTCTTCAGAAGGAGGACACATGGATCAAAAAATTGGCAGAAGATTTGGATGTCGAAACAGAAGACCTAGAGGACTTTGCTCAGGACGACATACTCACGAAAAACAGGAACAAGAAGGAGAACAAGCAACTCAGCAAGAACCAGCACAGGACGTTGAAGGGCGAGTTAAATTTTTTGCTTCTGAAGTTGAAATAGAAAGAAGAAAAAAGAAATGTTTTGGATGTTGGGCTCGTTACCCGGACGAAGATAAGAGTGGAAGAATAGATAGAGAGTAGCATATATGATAGATAAAGTAATACACAGCTCGAAACCATCGTTTTAACTTGATCGAAATGGCAAAAAAGAGGGACGAGGAGTTTTTGAAGAAGTTTGAGAATTTTGGGAACTTCGACAGGCCTGACTTGAACTTGTTGATTCTCAACTATCTTGTCACCGAGGGGTATCAAGAAACCTCTATGAATTTTGCCAATGAGATTGGGTTGAATATCCAAGGTATGGAAGAGTTGAACATCAATAGAAACGACGATATCAACCTCCAGAACAAGAAGAAAGATAGTGGCAAAGAGAAGGAAAATGCTGTAGACGACATCAATATGGATGCTTTTGCTGATCAAGACTCCACCTTTGAAGAGGAAGCAATCAGAAAAGCGTATGCAGTAGCTGAGTTTGACGACCATAGAATCAACCAATTCAACAACTCAACCATAATCAATGGGTTGCATTCAATCAAACAAAGAAACGAAATCAAAAAAATGATTGGAAGAGGCGAAATTGAGGGTATCATAGACAAGTTGAATGATTACTATCCATTTTTGCTAGAAAATAACGATTTTCTATATTTCAAAATACTACTATTGAGTCTAATTGAATCAATTAAAAAGTTCAATAAAGAAAGAGAAATAATGATCAAAAACGAAACAAATTTTGTTCCTTCCTCAAGCCAATTGAATAAAAATATAAATAAAAGAAAGCACAGAAAGTCCTCAACTTCGATAAATTTTACATCCTCAAATTTAATTAGATATAACTTGATGGCTGATGCATCAAATTCTTCCAAGGTGATTGAATTTGAAAGGAAATTTTACGAAAAGACTATCAAGTTTATTAGAAACAAAATATTTCCCAATGCAATAAAATCCCCAGTTTTTATGGAAGAATTAGAGTTGGCCCTATGCTTATTACTATTTGATACAAATAATACTGAAAAAACTGATAAATCTCTAGATGGCAATAGCTCCATAGTAATTGAAGAGGATAATCAAAATTTCCTACCCATACAATTGAGTCATCTCAGCGACAACCATGATTTAAAACACGAAGTATTTGATTTAATAAATAACTCTATATTGACATATTCTACAAATAAATTCAAAATGTCTGACGAAATGATCGGTAATTATACCACTATCAGTTCAAATCAAAGTCAAAATAAAGGATCTAATTCAACTGATGATATGAATAGTAATATGGATATGTTTACGACTTCTGATTTTGATTTTGATTCTTTTAATACAAATAAAAATAAATATACAAGAGAGGAATTTTTTGATGATGATGATGACGAAATGAATTTAGACAAAAAACCTGATGGTGAAAAGAAATCCAAATATCACAGATCAAATAATCCAAATAATTTGGATAATTTTGGATCACTAAATCCAGATAAAAAGAGCGAATCACCAAAACATGAGGAAACAAATTTCACTGTAAATTCAAAATTTAGACAGCTAATAAATCTTTGGCTTTATAGTGAACAGGTTTTGATTGAAAATAATATCGAATTTCCAAGATTAGATTTAGGAGAGTTAATTGACTATGATAAGGAATAGCTATTTTCACTTTGTATCTATATCTATATCTATATATTTTTCTCTCTATTATTTTTATTCTTTATTTTTTTTTATTTTTTATTTTTTATTTTTTTACTTTTTTGTTTTTGTTTTGATTGAAGTTATTTTGGCTAATTATAATGGATGCTTTTTTATTTTTCCATTAACTTTTATTGAATAAATACTTTTTAAATTACCTGCAAATATAATTATCGGTTGTTGTAATATACTTAACACCCTTGTATGGCTTGATATTTTCTCCTAATCCTCTGGCATTTAATATTTTAAGAGACTCAACCTTGACACCACTAGGTATACAACCTTTATAACTATAACTTGCTGAAATAAAAGTTGGAAATAACGGTTTCTCCATTTTATTTATGCTGTTCGATTTAGAAAAATTACTGGCTGTATCATTTGCTGGATAGTCAGTATATTCAACAAAACCATCATGATTATTTTCAAATTGATTATCATCATTTGAGATAATTGTGCCTCTAAATATTGGATTTATTCCGGGAATCAAAGATTTATCAAAGACCCATTCATTTTTTCCATTTGAACTAAATTGAAAATCACCTTGAGATAATCTTATAATTTTGATGCTAGAAATTTTCGATTTAATTAATTCACAATCAATATTGATTTTAAAATTATCAATAGATCGAACTGTTTTGAATTTATTAATGAAAACCTTGATCTCAAATTCATTTGAATTTAAACCCAAGCCAGTCTTGTAATCAATGTTAATTAAACCAATATTTTTCGAATAATGTTGGTTTGGGTTGTTTAATAGATCAATCTCATAATTCATTAGGATTGATTTACCATCAGGAGGAATGAATGATAATATTCCAGGACGTTGCAACCAATTTTGAACACTAATGCAAGGATGAAAACTTGGTAAAATGTTGTCAAAATCATGACCATTTAAATTTAAAACCATTTGTAAATCTGGGATACCAGATAAATGACAAGTTAATTGAATTTGGCCTTGAATTGTGGCCATTAAAGGCTTTGAAGCGTTGAAATTGTCATAATCATTTAAAGTCGAATTATAAAAAGCTGAGGAGCCATTGAAATTGGTAACTGTTTTTTTATTTTTCTTTTTACTTGGAGCAGACATTAGAATGTCAATTGATTCAATGATATCAACAAATAATTCATTATTAGTATATTTAACGTTTTGTCTTCTCCATGGAATAGTTGATTCGAAATTTTTGCTTGAAAAGCTTTTAACATTTGAGTTGTAAGGAGCTGTTGTTGTTACTTTTGAGATTTGAGAAGTGGTTGAAGAAATGAATTTGCTCAACAAACCTTCTAATTGAACAATATCTCTTAATTGATTCAAATCGGTTATGAAGGGGAAACCATCTTGGATCATTTCGTTGATTAAAAGACATAAAATATCATAGTTAGCTTCTAACTTTAAAGGATTTAAAGGTTTACCAAAATAGTTCTCCATTACTTCAATTAATCTTTTGAAAAAGACAAAAGGTAATAAAGGATTGGGAGAATTATAATTTTTGATTTGTAAATGGTCTTTATTCTTTTTTTTTAAATTTTTCTTTATGGATTTTGCATCGTTATAATCATAATTGGTAACGGAAATGTTGCTTCCAATGTCGGTTTCCTCATATTCTTGATATTGTTGATTGGAGTTATTAACACTTTTTTTGTCATTATGTTTTCCATTTGGGTTTTCTACTTGATACTCATACACATCGTCATCGTCATCGTCATCATCATTAGCATCATCATCATCATCTTCTTCTTCTTCATCATCATCATCGTCATCATCTGAATCGGTTTCACTTTGAGTTTCAAAATCACTTTCGCCACTATTGTTTTTAAAATAGAAATCATTGGTTATTTTTGATTGACAAACCAAGTAAAAAACTAGATTCTTTTCAGTATGATGACATATCACTAAATCGTCAGTCAAATTAACAAATGGATCAATCATTTGATTGACCAAAGATAAACTTGAAATGTCATGGGATTCTGATTCAGATAAATAGGTGTTTCTAATGTTATTTATTTTTGTTATGAGAGAAGTAAAGTATGATATATTTGTTGACACAGGATAGTCAAACACAAGATTACTTGGTGAGCTATAGGTTAGTACTAGCAAGCTGGGTTAGTTGCAATCGAAAACAGGAGAACCAAACATACTCTTTGTCGTCTGTAATATAGATTGCCTTGATCAAATTCATTTCTAGTGCGAGTCTTCAATCCTGTTGATCAATTTTGTGTGATTCCAACGACTTCAGGTCTGGCACTTTTTGATGCAACGTCGGTTTGAATTGGCCGCTTATTTGCAGTTCAAACCCAAACTCTTCTTTCTTTCCACTCTGACCCACTTTCCTCACAGCTCACACAAATGTCGCACAGACTGCATAGCATCAAGATCGCAGTGATGATTTGGTCCAATGGCTCTAATCTCTAAGGGTGTGCTGCTCTCGCTGGACTTTTTTTGTTCCATAAACAACACCTGTTACCATCAGCCCGCCAACCAAAGCCAGGTGCACAACACTTAGGGAGCACAGTACAGCTCACCAAACATGCTTATTTCTCACTCAGAAGCTGGGAAACAGAAAAAATTACTGCCAGGCTTGGTGCTGGTGCTGCTTCTGCTGCTTCTGCTGCTTCTGCTGCTTTTGCTGCTTCTGCTGCTTTTGCCATCAAAGCACATCCACAGTAGTGGTATTTTGATGCGCATTTGTGAACCTCAACATGCATATGCCATAGAGATAGGCTTTTTGAAGATTTTTTGGTTTGCGATGGAATATAAATACACTGTTTTCCCCAGAGATCTGCCTTTGATCTGTTTTTATCATGTTTATTCAACTGGTTTCTTGATTTCTTTAATGCCTTCAGCCTCTTTAACACCTGCTGCCATCCCAGAGGTCTCCATTACTCAAGATGATTGCGTTTTCTACAAAAGGGTCTTCAATCCACCATTTTTATTGGTATTATACAAAAACCTATTAAACCAAGATATGATTGCGCCAAGTAATCAGGAGGAGGATATTGGATTGAGGAAAAAAAGTTTTGATTTCATACTCAGTGAGACTTTAAATCCTGCATTTACCACCGATAAAATTACTAAAACCAGAAAAGCATTTCGACATTATTTCAGCAAGATTGGTATAAATAATACCAACAATAACAATGATCTTGAGTCGATTTCTTATATCTTGAACCATATGCCATGGTTCCCGATTGTCAAGTTCCCGTTTTTTCTTGATGGTTTATTTGTCGAAGATAACAATATCGCTTTGGATGACGGGTCATCTAACTTTCCCTTATCTTCGAAATTCAGTTTAGAATTGAAAGAAAATTACAAGGATAAAAAGTTTTCTAATAAAGATTATGAAAAAATTCACAATTATAGTATTTCTCCATCTTTAGATCCCAAACAAGATGTCAAGTTCAATGAAAACCAAAGTCAATATAAAACCCAAAATCAAAATCATGCTTCAAGTAATTCAAATAATAAAAACTCCAAGAAAAAAAATGAAAAAGATTCGTTGGAATTTTTAAATAATTACCTTTACTTTCCTGTAGTATTTTCCAAAAATGCTTTGCCCTCTTTTTGTTACCATTCATGTGTTTACATAGATAAGCAAATTTATATTTTTGGTGGTTTAGTTTCAAAAATATCAGACAACAATTTTTATTCAAACACAGTTTTACAAGATAAATCAAGTTTTGTTTACAAAAAAATTTATGGAGATTTAATGAACTTGGAAGTCATTTCAGATTATGATTTGCCGATTCCTTTGAATCCAAATACTATTTTTAGTCCATACATGCAACCAAATGATCAGTTGTATATAATCAACTCATCAACTTATGCTGTTCAAAAACCAGAACTTCATGGCGATATCCCTCCTCCTTTAATCTGCTGCTCAACTTGTCAAATTTCAAACAGGTATATTTTTTATTTTGGTGGCTTTACAATTAAATCAGAATATTATAAAAAAAAATCTCCTAAATCCAAACAAATTATTAAAAAATCAATCGTTCTTAATCCAAATGGCTGGATCTTTGATCTATTAATTAATAAATTCACAAAAATCACTCTAAAAGTTCACCCAACTTATATTCCGGAAATCAATTCAACTGTTACTAACATTGCAAGATTTGGTCATGGTTTATCTTGTCTTCAAGTTCAAAATCTAAACCGTATGCCTAATGACAGCTCAATGCTCATCACTAAAAAAGTCCCAATAAAAAATAAATTCGATCAAAGTAGTACATCACTTAACTTTGAGAAATCTTCAATTCCAATATACGTCAATGGTGGGTATACTTTAACCTATCCTTTAAATACTTCTTCAATTTATCATAATTCTCATAAATTTACACCCTTGCAAGATTTTTGGAGAATAGATTTGATTATAAACAAAATTGGTATGGATGAAACTTTAACATTTTTTGATGAGTCAATTGCTATTCCTATAGTTCAATTACAAGATACCACTGATATCCCTGCTGCAAGAGCCTTCCATGTTTGCTCCTTAGTTCCAAGTAAATTCTTTCCATTAAAGACTAAATTGCAAATTGACGATTTTACTTTAAATAAAGACCTGGATTCAACAAATAACAGCATCAATAACAGCAAAAGCAATATCAATTCATTTTATGCACCGACTCCGAAAAGGACGACAACAACTGTGTCTTTTTCAGATTCACTAAATACCAAATCTTTAAAACCTGCATTTTCTCTCAGGCCTGGAATCCCCAGGAATGTTGCAACACCAATAAGAACTTCTACTCCAATCAAAACCCCAATTGCTATGGGCTTCAACACTTTAATAAACCCCGACACCCCACCAACTACATCAACTCCAGATAGGGGCACAGCTTTGTTTTTACCTCAAGCACCTATAAAGCCTGCAAATAGTTTTATTAGTTTTTCAAATTTGAGTGAAGCAGGAACGCTAAGAAACAAACAAGATGTTACAATAATACAACCAAATCCTACTGCTTCTTCGCTATCCTTTGCCAGATTGCACGATTTATCTTTAATTCTTCATGGTGGCACTGATAATCATCAAATATTTGGTGATTTTTGGGCTTTCAATTTTGATTCAAGAAAATGGATTAAAGTCGATACATATGCTAAAACCAAAGACCCAGCGCCAGATGAGAATTACAAAATTGATGTTAAAAAAGTTGGGCATAATGCATTTTTTTTATCGCATTATTATATCATTCTTTCTGGAGGTATTCAACTTGATTTTAAAGATGAACTTTTACAAAATAAAAAAATTGAAGAGTTAAAAATATTGAATCACTTTTTAGAAAGTGGATATTGGCCGGTGGAAAGCATGGAATCACTGAAAAGTTATAGCTCTGATAAACCTGATCTATCTGACCCAATAACTTTCCAAGATTATATGGAGAATAAATTGAAATGCAAGGACAAGAGCCGGAATCTAACAAATAATAGGATTTTAATACTAGATTTAAAAACCAAAGAATGGATATTTATGAACTATTTGAATACTTTTACTGGTGATGAAGAACTTAAAAAGAAGCTTTTTAGTAAAGATAATTTTGAATTTGCTAGAAAGTCTGAAAGGCTTAGCAGATCAATATATCAGCAAAAAAAAATTTCAATAGATTTTATTGATGAGTATCTTAATGAAAATAATAATAATAGTTTTACATCAGTATATGATTTTGATTTGAATAAATCAAAATCCAGGCTAAATTATAACTTCAATTCTATTCCTAATCCTATTTCCAATTCTATTTCCAGCTCTAGAGATAATTCCAAATCAAATTCTATTAATTTCAACGCCAAATCATTTTTAAAAGGTAATTCTAAAGGTGCCTCCTTTGATAATTTAGATGTTGATTCAATTGATAGCTCCAATGATGGTTTAGTCACAGCGTGTTCTTCATTGCCAGAACTTGAATCTATCCAGTTAAATAATCTTTCTATTGAGAATAAGAAAGAGCGATTGAATAATAATTCAGCTTTACAAGATAAAATTGTGCGTCAAGCATCAGCAGTTGGATCTGGAATAGTTTTTTGCGGAAATCATTTTATGGTAATCGGAGGAGTAGTTTCATTTCACAACTTGGTTTCTACAAGTAGATGTTTAAAATCAAGTATAAAGGATGTTGAACAAGCGATTCAAGACGTAAGAACAATAATTCAAAATAAAAGATATAAAAATAATCATCAAAAGGTGGAACAAATCGATAGAAAAATGATAAGACGAATAATTCAGAAATCAAAACAAAATGATCAATATTACACAATTCTAGGTTCAGGAGTAGCTGAAATTGATTTGCTATTTTCTGAACCAAGTCTATAAGGCGAAAAGACCATAAAATGCAGGAGAATTTTACTTATTACTTATTCATTCAGCGATATCCTCATTCCAAATTTCTGGCTTTTTATCAATGAAACTTTTCATAATTTTTTTGCACTTTTCATCATTCAAGTTGATCAATTCAACATTGTGGGCCTTAACAAACGACTCGGCACCTATGAAATTTTCATTTTCGCCAATAACAACTCTTTTAATGCCATAGAATACAATTGTTCCAGAGCACATTTGACAGGGAGACAACGTTGTGTACATTGTACATTTTTTGTAAACAGAAGCAGGTAATCTACCAGCATTTTCCAAAGCAGACATCTCGCCATGTAAAATTGGAGAACCATTTTGAACTCTCATATTGTGGCCGGCACCATACACTGTTCCATCTTCGTGGATTAAAGCACCACCTTTTTGATTTGAAAAGTCAGTTTTTATGAATTGCGTAAAACAAAAATAGCTAACTGAAAAAAGACATACCAATTGGAATACCCCCCTCATCGTAACCTATTTAAATGACAGAATTTAGATGGTTAATAACAGTGGATTAGAAAGAAGATAATGCAGATTTATCATGGAAACCACTAACCTTTTTTTGCTTGAAGGTAAGCAATTTCTAGACCCTTTTTATCATCAAAAACCATTACCAGACAAACAACGGAAAATAAAGCTATAACAAAATGAAATATATCAAGGAAACAACAAAGAGTTGAGAAGAACTCACAACTTGATGCCTTCTTATCTTCAAAGTGACAACAATTTCCATTTCACGGCGTTTTTGCCCAGTCCGCGCTCAGGTCCGAAACAACGCTTTTCTATGCAGCTCACTGTAGGTCCGGCTTTATGGTATTATATGCATACTGAAGCATTTGTCTGCATCTACGCGTGTTTATGTTTTCCAAATCAGATCAAGAAAAAATGGAAATGGGTGCAAAAAATATTCCTGAAAGTGTTCTACAACAAAGCCAATGTTGTATTCCCAGCAGGGTTGAATCAATTGGTTCAGAATGGTTTGAAGATATTATTAGAAAAAGGAGCAAAATACCTATTTTTTTGACAAGGTTATCTGTCGGCGCTTAATATTGAAAATGAGATATAAAGAGAGGTTTGTTTCCAGCTGTTTTGATTGAGTTTCTCCAAGTTTTCGAATTTGTTGCTTGATCAATTTCATAATTCAGCAATATAAATGTCTTTAATCAACCAAGATTTGCTATTTCCTCCAGAATCTGGTGTAGGGACAGTATGGTGGGTTTGTTTTATCTTTTTTTTAATTATATTTTGAACAATTATTTAAATTTGTACTCAATACTAACGTTATATGTAATGAAAACAATAGGCTTCTTGCAACTTTGGGCTCAAAATCAAATCATAGAAAGATGCCCAAAAGGGAAATCATGTCTGTCTCAATTCCAAAAGCGTGTAGCGCTGTTACCGATTTAAACCCGAAGATTGCATTAAGATTATCCTCAAATTTATTATATGGAATGACTTTGTTATATAAACAAAAACTCCGATACTTTTACAATGAAGTAAGTCACATTAGATCAAACTTGACCAAGTCCTTATTCGGAAGTACGTCGAAGGAGCAATTATCAAAATTGGGAAAAATCCAATTAATTTTACCTGATGGCTATTTGAATGATCATTTATTGAGGGATATTAATAATGATCATAATAGTAATGATTTCGGTGCGGCTAAACATAAGCAGTTGCTTTCCTATTATAATAATTTGTTCTTAAGAGATGATCCAAATTTTGATATTGATTTAGGGTTGTTGCCGGTTGTTTCTTCGGATGTATTTATAAATGGTGGATATGGTATTGAGAATATCGATAATTTTCCAGACTATGCTAATTTTTCTGATCATAAATTATCGTATTCCAACATGGTTTCAAATTCCAAGGATAAAGTTGTCAGTGAGTATGAGTTGATTAAATTGAAAAGAAAGCAATTGATTAATCAATATGATAACAATATAAACAATTTAAATAATATTTCAGTTATTTTATCTCCTTTACATAACTCTTTTGTTTCGGCGGATAATTCAGTTTTCTCAAGAAACAATTATAATAACTCTACGATTATTTCGTTTCCTGAAATGAATATTGATATTAATAATGAATTTGACGATTTAAATAATGTTCTTCCAACTTTAAATGAACATCCTGAAGATTTGGATTTAGATTTGGGTAATTTGAATGATGAAGATTTAATTTTAAATTTTAATACTCAATCTCAAGAGCGAGATTTAAACAAGGAGGAGGATATTGATGAAACACCATCAAAAAGAAATAATTTGCCTTGGAATAATAACTTGGATATTGAATTTGATCAAAACCATGATTTCGATTTAAATATAGATTTTGGGTTAAATTACGATGATATTCAAATGTTGGAACAAATCAATAATGATAAAAACGATAAAAAAGATAATAATGATAATAATAATAATAATAATGAATTATTAAATATTGATTTTGAACCACCAAAGAAGAAACGGAAAGTTGATGAGTCTTTACAAATTAAATCAATTCAGTTTGATGAAAGCACAACTTTATCATCTTCAGTTCTTAAATCATTTCGTAACTCATATATCGATGATATGAAAATTTTGGAAACTAAAAGACAGTTTTCAAAATCTAAATTCGATAAATTGAAAATCCAATTTCAAGATTTAGTCTATAATCAAGCACTAAATGCACCAAGATTTGCAAACTTTTCAATGAAACTTCTAGTTGGAGAAGACATTAAAAATGTTATCACAAAGGATTTTTTACCAAGAATAAAATCCGATCAATCATCAATTAATGCCCAAAAGTTCGGTGATGAGAATAATGCAAATGATGAAAACTCCAGGACCAAGCAACGTTCATCAAGTATTGAAATTGGTAGAAATATTGCACATATCCATTCAAGGACAAATTCAAATGAGGCCTTGGATTTCGATATTCCCAAAAATTATGATGAAAATGATCAATTTAATTTGGATATTGGCTTTAATTTTCCTGAATTTGAAGAGCAAGCCCAACAAATGGATTTCATGAACGCTTTTGATTTATCTTTCCCAGATTTAGATCAAAATCAAAACGATAACAGCAGAAAATCTATAGCAAGTAGCAATTTTAGAACACCGACCAAAAAAACAAAAAATTCACTTTCATCAACTGATTCAAGAGGAAGAGCCAAGAGCCAAAGAACCCCATACACAATGAAGAGTGGTTCAAAATCCAGATCACGATCAGGCAGCCGAAGTGGGAGTTTGTTGACATTGTATGAAGAACGTAAGTGCTGAGTTTCGACTATTCCCCGCTTCCTTTCTTTCTGAATCAATGCCAAACAAGATTACTAACATTTGCAATGCAGAATTTTCGCTCACTCCCAGCGCTCCAGTTCTTCCAACGCAAAAGCTAGCAGAGCTAGATGCTCAGGGCAAAAAGTTTTTGAATTATGTGAAAGCAAAGGCATCTCAATTGGCGATGCATGAACAGTCAGATGTTGCCCAATTCGGAAAGGCCAAGATGACCTTTGAGCAGTTGGTGCCTTCCAACAGTCACAGAGCGACGCCCCAGCAGCAGAAACAGGAACACAAACTGATCAACAGCAAAATGGCAGCCCTCGCGTTCTCCAGCCTATTGCAATTGGCCTCTCGGTCAATTGTCAGCATCCAGGTGCAGTCCAGGCCCACACACAGGAAGTTCCAGGCTACCAGACCCCATGAGATTTCCATACTCGTTGATGTTTAGTCTACAACCCATCAAAGGTCCCAAAGCCGTTTTGTGTTTTGGCTTTTTTCTTCTTTCTGCTCAAAACAAGACTCTTCCAATCCTCAGCTGTTTCCTCACCACTGGAATTGTATGCATCCATATGTTCTTGTTCATGTCGCTCTCTTTTCTGCTCTCTTTTCTCGATTTTCCTTTGCTTTTGCTCGTGTTTTTCCTTTTGTGTTGACCAGGCCTTGTTCAGTTTTCTTTTCATGGCCTTTCGCTTGTTTTTTTCTCGGACGTTGCTCAGGTTCTGCAACTCCCTCAACCTGGCTTTTTCTCTTTGCAGATCACTGTAGGCGTACGTTTCAAGGTCGACCCTGGGCGAAATGAGCCAGCCCTCGTTGGCCTCCACAAGCTGCTCACGCGAAATGTGCCTGGTTTCCGGCATTTTGGGCAATCTCAATAGCGAGTACATTCGGGCCAATCCAAGGTAGTCGAGTGTTTGCAACCGGAATATTGATGACGCTGTGTGTTTTGAGTAGTACCTCACAAACGCAACATACGCAGTCACAGAGTGCTCAAACCTGCCTCGGTCTTCCAAAACCCACTCTTGAAGCGAGGCTGCCATCTTTTCGAACTTTGCCTCGTCAAACTCCACCTTCAACCGGACGAGCTCCAACTTTCGGACCTTCATGAAATCAACGTAATTCTCCTCCCGACCTTCGTTGAAGAACACTATTGCTCTTCCAACTTTGTTTGCTCTCCCAGTTCTTCCACAACGATGCAAAAACATATCAGGATCCGTTGGAGGGTCAATTTGAACCACCAAGTCCACGTCTGGAATATCAATGCCTCTGGCAGCAACATCAGTGGTTAGCAACACAGACTTGTTGAGGTCGTTGGTGAAATTCGCCAAAGTCTTCATTCTTGGTTTCGCATTTAGCTTTCCATGCAACGAGAAAAATTTCAATATTGATGACGATTCAGTAATAAATCCTTTTTTAACCAAATACTGGAGCATATTATAGAAATATGTTACAGAGATACATGTCGGAAAATACACAATCACTTTTCTGAACTCGTAATTGGACAATATATGTAAAAGCATCTTGATCTTGTTTTCAGGCTTGAGCACAATGTAGCTCAAGCCCAACGACTCTGGCGCTGCATTTGCCAGTTTGTTTTTGACAGTAATTTTAACAGGATTGGTCATTCCTGTTTTGAAAATCGCAGAACCAGCACTGGATATGGTAGCAGAAAATAATCCTGTTCTTCTTTGTTTGGGCAAATACTGTATAATCGACTTGGTTGCCAGCTCAAAACTGATATCCAACAATTTATCAGCCTCGTCTAAAACAATACAATCGCACATCTTGCATTTGACATTGGAATTCGACAAAAAGTCAAGCAATCTCCCAGGAGTTCCAACCAATATTTGAGGTTGTTTTGAGAAAAAATATTCTAAATCATCACTCATTGAATTCAATGAACCAACTAGTAACTGCGTTTTAATCGAATTTTTTTGTTCCTTGGGATAATTTTCTAAAAAGCTCTGAAATACATTATTAATTTGATTTGCCAACTCTCTAGTAGGCAATATAATGACAGAATAAAAATGTCCCTTTCTATGTGTCTTTTCACTTTCCAATATCTTATTAACTCTTTCTAACACTGGAATAACAAACGCCAACGTTTTTCCAGAACCTGTAACTGCTTCAACTACAACATCTTTATTGTTGGCAAATGCTGGAATTGTAGTAGCCTGAACAGGTGTCATAGTTTCATATCCAAGTGATTTTATTGTCTCTATTCTAGTTTAGTTGAGATCATGTTAGTTAATAGTCTTCTTGAATTTAAACAATACATTAAAACAAGAAAAAATGAAAAAAAAAATGAAAATCAATGTAAAATAAGACATACATCCATGGCTGCAATTGATAAGACAAACAATCCCAGTTTAAAGATGAATCCATTTCAGTTCTTCAATCGAATATTTTCTCTAATACTTCTGATTGATGAAGAGCAACAAAATCCCAATCAACATTGTTTTTCTTTAATTTTTTTTCTTCTTGTTTTTTTTTTGACTGTCCAGAAAAAAAAATAGTACATAAACATGCAGATTGAAAAACATTTCATTTTTCAGCTGAAAAAATTTGGAGATTGTGCAAATGATTGATTGAAACAAAAATATTATGCCATTAGTTCAAGCATTTTCTAATCTAATAAAAAGCCTGTCTAATAATTACTTTAGAAAATTTTTGTCCTTTACTTTCAAAATGGCTGACGATAAAGCAATAGTTCTACCTAGGCCTGATGAATACCAGCGGTGGTCTAAACATCAACTCATTAAGAGAGTGTTGGAGCTTGAAGGAAGACTACCAAAGGAACAGCTGGATCCAACAAACAATAAAGAAGCATTTGGGCATTCTGATGTAACAAAGCCTCAAAAACTGTTTGATTTCTCAAAATACAATACCAGATTTATTGCTTTGAAATTCTCCTACTTGGGTTGGAACTACAATGGATTGGCAATTCAAACCATGAAGACACCATTGCCCACAGTTGAATCAGTAATAATCGAATCTCTTTACAAGACAAGATTGATTCCCTCCTTGGATCCAAAGGACTTTAATTTTAGTCGTTGTGGAAGAACAGACAAAGGTGTGAGTGCTTTGAACCAAGTTATCTCCTTGAATGTTCGTTCTTCTTTAACTGTGGAAGAGCAAATGAATGCTGCAAATGACAAACGAGAAATAGACTATCTTCATATTTTGAATCATTCTTTGCCCAATGATATCTTGGTCAAATCGGTTAGTTTGAGACCACCTAAGAATTTCGATGCTAGATTCAGTTGTAAACATCGCCACTATAGATATATCTTTTATAAATCTGATCTAGATATTGATCTTATGAACATAGCTGCAAAAAAATATGAAGGGGAACACGATTTCAGAAATTTTTGCAAAGTGGATGGTTCAAAACAGATAACATCATTTTCTAGAAGGATCATATCTTCCAATATAGTATCTCTAGATGATGAGTTTTACTATTTTGATTTAAAAGGAACAGCATTTTTATGGCATCAAGTTCGTTGTATGATTGCTATTTTGCTATTAATTGGACAAAAATTAGAACATCCTAGAATAATAGATGATTTAATGGACATAGAAAAGTATCCATCTAAACCTGTCTATGAAATGGCTTATGATATTCCATTGGTTCTATATGATTGCGTTTTTGAAGATATAGAGTGGGAGGATCAAAAGGACCCATTCAAGATATGTAAATTTGCTGATATAGTTCAAAACTTGTGGTTAAATCATGCGTTAAAATATCAAATTGTTAACTTTGTTAAAAAAAATATTACGGATGATATCAGTCCTAGTACGTTATTAAGAAGGGACACGACGAAAATAAATGTTGGCGATGGACGTGGGAAATTTATTAAAAAGTATAGACAATTATCGTCTAGAGAGTTTATGGATCCTGTTGATGTCATAAATGAAAGATATAGGAAAAGAAAACGATTAGAATAAAATTAATTAATTATTCCTTTTAGAGACTTAGTTTGAACGAATATTTGATAAAAGCTATATTATTGCTCATCTGATGTTTATTTATTTTGATTATCAATTTACTGAGGGATTTAGGATAGTTTCAAATGTATGGATCGTTATTTTCTTACTTTTCCACTGTTTTATTTTCATTTTTTTTTGTTTTTTACGTTTTTTTTTGTTTTTTACGTTTTTTTTTGTTTTTTGTTTTTTGTTTTTTGTTTTTTGTTTTTTGTTTTTTGTTTTTTTTACGTTATTTACATTTTTTGACTAAATCTCCTTTTCTTTTTTTTTTCTTTTTTTATTTTTTCCTTTCATTTTTTTTTTTTTTTTTTCATTTTCTGTTTTATATTTGTTCAACCTTGATAACTGGCATTAAATACTAAAAGTTATCGTTTGTGACAAAAACTAATTCTAAACTTTGAAGGATTGATTCCTCCCGCAATTAAGTTTGGGGTTAGTAGTCTGAGCTCTTGAAGTTGTAAATTGTTTAAGAAGTCCATGGGAAATACTATCACTTGAATTGAAAATCAGAAGATCAATTTTTTAATCTAACTTCAAAACAGCAATGTCTTGTAATTAAAAAATAAGTCTGATCCATTTTGACATATTATTAATATCAGCAAAAGATTTTGAGGTGTTCTATAAATAAAAGTCTGGAATTTTGATTAGTTTTTGGTAATCATTTGTTGTAATAGCACCATTTTTTTTTTTTCTTTCTTGTAAATGATAATTTAAAACATATTTGTTGTTATTTTTGTTCATCCTTTAAACTTTATAATGATTGTATTGATAATATTTTTGAGGGTTTTTGATAGTACAAAACATGATATTGATGATACGAAGATAATATTAATGGTATTATTTGTGTTTCTAATTGCGTTCAAGATACTGCTGATTTCATTTCCTATAACAATGTAAAACAATACTAATTAACACATTTCATATTATTTAGCAAGATCTTATTATCTTGTGTTGATCATTCTTAATTTCATAAAAATTACAAATTAAGAATTGTAGCAAAGATTTGCGGTTATATTGATCATATTTATTAGCATTTATTTATTTAAAAGAATTAATAAATATTAAATCGAATTTATAAAGAAGTCACAGAAAATGCAAAATGTTTGAATTATATTCAAAGATGATTTGCTGATTAAATAATATTAAAATTGCAATGCCATTTGATTCCAAAATATATTGCTTTTTATTTGACTGGAAACTTGAAATGGAGCAAAAAATATTGTATGATCTAAAACGTTTAGCATGAATTTTATCTTTATAAATAGTTTCATGGTTTTATTTCATAGATTAGCCTACTTCATTTTTGGTAAAAGTTTTGTAATAAACAGAATAATCATCTCATAATCCTCAGCAATCAAGATAATAATGTCAAATTTCAAATAGCAAATGGTGATTATGCCTTAAAGCACAAATTAGATAGATTTTCGTGCAATTAATTATCCTCAGCACCAAAAACAAAAAAAAACTACAACAAAAAATTACAAGCAAAAATTCTCCAAAAAGAAAACCAATCTAAAAACAAAAATAACAAAAATAACAAAAAAAAACAACTCACATAAATAACAATTTTAACCAAATCAACCAAAAAAATGTGTTATAAACTAGATAGAATACACTCAATTTTGTTCCTGAGCCTATCTATTTTAGATAAAAAAAACTAATATTATTATTTAAAGGGCTATGGAATTTACCATCAAAACCGGATAAACAAGGTAAAAATTATTTCCACTGCCCGCTCCCAGATATTTCATAGCATACTCGTTTAAAAGCTTTTAAATAAAATGCCAAAAGTCAAAATAAAAAAGGAAGATTACCAGATTTCTGACTGAGAAAAAGAATATTGCTATTTCTAATGTAATTAATGGGACAGAATAACTCGCTCTACAAAGATGGGTAGCAATCTGTGTACTCATTTCACGAAAACAGTCGAACCAGAGCTGTGTTCCAAATTGATCGACTTTATTGTTCACAGACTTGGGGCAACCATATGTATTTCAGTTTTCTTTGCCAGCCAGCAGCACAGGACTCTGGATGATTGTTTAGGACTGGATATGTCGAAGCTCCTTCACCAGTCAGAGATTTTATGTTGTCAGAAAGAGCCCAAGGAGCATCGGCAGCAGAACCAAGACGATTAGGTTTGCCGGCGCGCAGTTCCACGCAAATTTATGCACATGTGCCTTTAAACAATAGGTGCAGGCACTTATCTCTTGGTTTTTGCTTCTGCAAATGCATGCGTAATAATACAGAGTGCATGGCTTACAGTATTTGTGGCCAAACATGAGCATGCATATGCAAATATAGGATTTTTGCTCTGTGAATTTGATGTGAAACTGTTTTCAGGCCTTATTTGTTTTTTTGTAAATAATATTGCTATCATTTCTCGTTGCATAGGGAACTTCTATTTTTTCATATATGAAAGCCTGAACTCCAGTTCAAACAATGTCCCGTTTTAAAAAAGAAATACAAAGCATGGGCTTTTACTGTGTTTCTCTGTTCCGACTATTTTACTACTTTAATATCTTTTAGCAAAATAGGGTACTTATTGAAAAAAAACAATCAGCCATGAAACTAAAGCCCTAAAAATTTTATATAAAAGTTTATAAAAGCCAAAAATAACCACTAAAAAATACTAAAAAATGTGTCTTTTCATGCTTTGCTTTAAACCAAACTGTTTAGCTTGGTTTTTATTATAACAGACTGCCATTATTAGTTTGCTTGTGGAAAGTAGTTTTTTTTTATCATTAATATTGCCTTTTTATCGCCTGGTTGATCACTTTTGCTTTAAAATGTATGAGAATTAGCATTTGTGGATTTTTCTGTTGAATTTTAGTTATCTTCGACATTTATAACTTAAAACATTATCTTTTTCTTTGCTACGCTAAAATACTCAAGAGCACTTCAGATTAATAATTTTGAAATAGTCTGTTAATTATCTGAATAAAAATTCCTAAAACACATAAATACATGTTATTAGTCAGCTTGACTGTTGAATAAAAAATTGTTCTGGTTTTCTTTAGTAAAAGAGATTGCAAACAGCAATATTTATCATTTAACGCTAAATTTTTGAAACAGTTGGTAGTAAGAATCTAATCTCAACTATATTCAACTCCTTTCATTTATCAAGCATAGGGCCTGTTAAAAGTTCTTTTGGTTGTTGCTTTCAATGACTTTTGTTTTGTTTTTGAGTTTGAGTCTTCTCCACCAGGCATGTTTTCTCCTTACTGATCTTGAGTAAAACTTAACATCAATTTTATTGATTTTATGTTTTTTTACTAATGAAACAAACAAGGAAACAACTGTTGAAACAATTAAATTTTGATATAAACAATCAATGCATCCTGAAAAAATAAAATATCTGATATCGCCAAATATAATTAAGTTATTTTGAGTGATTATTTAGGATGATTGAAATTCAAAAAATTCAAAATGTAACCTAATTTTTGTAATTGATTTATCCCAACTAAAAATCTAAGAATTGGTTTTTAGAAATTTCATATAAAACAAATGTTTCACTTTTTTTTTGGTTTCATTTAATAACCTGCTATTTCACAATTCTAAAATACATATACAAAAGAATTCAACAGCTTTTAACTCATGTCAAATTTCCTATTGATTCTGTACGTTCAAACCAAATCATGTTAAGCAAAAGTAAAATTCTTCTATCCAGTCTAAAATGCAGCCTTGTACTTCAAGCAAGAAGAATTTTAAAGACAGATCATTTGCAAAAAAAAAAAATAATCAAACCATTCATGTATCCATTTTAATACCAATCAAATCACAGATTGCAAAAACCAAATCAAAACAAAACAATTCTGTTTTTCGAAAATTTAACAATTGACTTTTTCCATTCCAACAATTTTTCTTTGTTCAAATAGCCAGACCTCGCCTAGTAATAACCGTGGAATAGCTGTCTTTTCTCTTATTCCTCTTTCCTGAACTGTGTTCAATTTAAAATCATAGTTTGATTTTTATTTTTTATTTTTTATTTTTTATTTTTTATTTTTTATTTTTTATTTTTTATTTTTTATTTTTTATTTTTTGTTTTTTGTTTTTTGTTTTTGTGAATTATTAATTATTATCAAGGTCCATATTTTTCTTTGGGAACACTCAAGTTAAATACATTGTCAAAAAGACAATTTTACTATATCTAATTTTTTATTAATTTTATCCTCTAAGAAATATCGTATTGAATAACTTTTGTTAGGCATTGTTTTGAATTTATCAATAAGGTTAATTTTATTATTGTATTACAAAACTAATACTAATGAAAACCTAAAAGGTCAATTGACTCACTGCTCTAACTATTTTCTTTACAATTTTGCAGAAATATCGTAGAAAGATCTTAGAAGGACCTTGGAAAAATCTTAGAAAAATCTAGTTTGAATGAATGGTATAAATATAGCCAAAATTCTATGCTTTTCCTCCCACATGAATAACAATAAAATTTTTCCACACAAAACAAGTGATAAATAGCATATTATACTAAATTTTAAAAACAAAAATTTTTATTGAGATCATAGTTTATTTTTTCTTTTTTTTTATTTTTTCTTTTTTTTTATTTTTTCTTTTGAAAAACCAAAAATGATGGCAGGTACAAATCAAAATTTACCACCACCACTTCCTTCTGCCTCAGAACATGATTATTTTAGAAATTGTTTTGTTGAAGTGTTCTCAAACCAGAAAAAGGCAATCAAAATCTTTAACTTTGTTAACAATATATTCATTGACATTTATAAAAAAAACCCATCAGAATGGCAGATAACTCTCCAACACTCTTTTCAAACCAGAGGAAAACTACAGTCTCTTATCAAATCTTTTAATGATTTTGAACATACGTACTTGCTTAATGGGTCTTCTTATTTGGTTATTAATCGTTTTCTGTTGGTATATGTGATTGGTGAATTTTTTTTAAAATTCACTCAAAGATTTCCCATTATGAATGAAGTTGCTGTGAATTTAAACACTTTCAATTCTACTTTGAATTCTCCAAGACTAGATGAATCGAGTAGAAGATTTTTTGTTTTCTCAGGTGCTCTCCTATATAACTCTTTGGCTGATTCTTTAAAAAGATTGAACATTGCTTTATCTCATCTCCAACACTTTTTGGTATCACCAAGAAATTGGAATGATCTTGGTATAGCTAATCTCAAATCGTATTTGCAAGTCACAAATAGGGAGCTAACTAACTCGAGAATTGATTTATTAAATGCCTATGCAATGATTTTTCACAATAAATTATTTTCAAATTTCACTGAGGCAGAAAAGGGCTTGTTTATTCAAAATTTTGAAACCCAAGAAAACAACATGAAGAAGTATTTTAAAAAACACAAATAATTTGTGATTAATTTCCAGATAATTTTTTTTTGACAATGTATTTTTGATTGGTTTATATTTTAATTGGTTTTTTTATGGAAAAATGCATTCATTTATTGCTACTTATTTGAGAACATTTTATATTTTATATGTTATATTTTATATTTTATATTTTACATATTAATTTACAAGCGATTTAATTTTATTTATTGCTCCTAATAAACAGTTTTTTGTTTAGTCATCACTGAAATTTTTATGAACGATTATTTTTTTTCTTTGTTTATGTTTTTATAATTAACTAGAGGTTTTGAGGAAAAAAAAGGTTTCAATAACCTAATTTGTAAGGTATTTTTAGGCAAACGGTTCAGTAACAGACTATAACCAATTTTTATTGACTAAAATATTTGGCTAATTTTTAAAGATACAAAAATACAATACAATATAATAATATTTATATGAATTTATGAATTTATGAGTTTATTGATAAACATTGGGTCTATTCCTAATCGAGAATGTTTTTAGAAGAATGAAGGAATTTTTCCTGAGACAAGTCCATCTACCTTTTTTTTTATTTCTTTTTCCAAAGTAGATACACATAAAGTGCATGTACAATTATGAAAAAATTTGAAATTATAATAAAATTTTTTAGGAAAGACTAGAAGATCCAGGAAAACAGCTTATGATTGGAAAATAGTAGGCAAGACAAAAGACATATATTTTAATTCAAGATGAAATGAACAGGCTAAAATTTTGATTCCAGCTATAAAAACCAAAAATATTGGCAGTTTGTATGTGAAATTACTGAGATATTCCCTATTGTCTGTTGATGCTATTAAGGGTTAAATTAAAAATTTCATAATAAAACTAAAAAACTCAAGGTGTCTAAACTGCCCCTTTGTTTAGATGAAATACTGAGGTAATCGTTCCAGAATTGATTGATTTTTGGTAATATGGTATCCAAAACAAAACAAAACAAAAAGCAAAAGCTATTGTTGAAAATTATTCACAAAGGATTGAGAACAAAAAAACAGCCCTTTGAAACTAGGCATTATAGCAATATTGAGCACAAACCAGTTTTGTTGAATTAAACCGTGGAAAAAGATAGAAAATACACCAATGGCTAAATCTATCATCACTTGATATGTAATAAAAAGGGATCAAAAGCAGTAAATCCTTCTTTCAGATATTTTTTTTAAACATAAGATTAAGTCCCTTTACTTTCCAAAGCATTGAAGTACAGTAAATTAGTATCGTTATCTAGTAACATGAAAAATGATGAAATTAGAGGAACTATTGCCATATTAACCTTGCTTTGAGCATAATACAAACAATAAACAGTGTGGACAAGTATTGAATTAGACGTAATTCGAAATATCGAAAAAATATATTTATACCAACCGAATTATTCTTGTTTCTCTTTTGGTTTTTGTTTTTTGTTTTTTATTTTTTTTTTTTGTTTTTGTTTTTGTTAATGTTTTTGTTTTTGTTTTTATTTTTTTGTTTATTTCCACTTTTCATATAACGATTATAACAATACAAATGCTATCTTTGAAGAGTTCTTTATGCCAACCAATTAAAAAGCAATAGTGAATCACTGTGAATCCAATATAAGTAGCAAGAAATAGACTTTAAAATTCTTTCCATAATAAAAATTCATATATTAGATTGAAATTCTTTATATAAAAGGGATCAGCCTAGAAGCATGTATAGGGTCATTTTTTGTGTCAACTTCATTAAATGACATTTGGTCGGTAGTTCGAAAGGATAGTTTTATTGCAATGGAGGAAAATTAAGCATTAAGTTGGATAACATATGATCTTCAATGGATGATTTCCATCCGCCTGTAGGATTTGGGTGATTATTAAGCTGGCTAAAGAAACAACTGGATAAACCAATAAGCAATACTATCCAAGTTCACATTAACATGATGCAATATTATGATATCACAGAAGACAGTCAGCAGTGGTTCAAAATTCGAAAGTAGTGTCAATTCATGAGATAGCTCATTGCATCAACATTGTTCTATAAAGGGTTGTTTCAAACTTGATATTTTAACTAACCAAGAACTGAAACAAAATAGCAGTTCTTCATCTAGATGTGTTCCTTTTTACCAAAAAAAACGTCACCAACAGATACTAAGTTATGGAGAGTAATATAGTATATGACATTCTTAAATATAAATGGAAATGCTGAAAGAAAAAAAAATTAAAAACAAAGATTAAAAAGAGAAATACAGAACAGTAATATAAAAGGAAAACAAACTAAAACAAGAGCAGATATAATCAAAAACTCAACCAGAACAAAACCCTATAAAAACGAGTTGGAAAGCCAGAATAAATTACAGTTGGATTTATCTCACAGTCAACCATTGGAGAGAGTTTGCAATTCAAATGGGCTTTTTAAAACAAGGCACAAATTATAAAATTTCTGAGCAAGATAAAAATTTGTCCAATGATGAGAAATTTAAATAAAATCACCAAAGTTATGACAAAAAGATAGAAGCCAGTTGAAGAGAAGCGAATATTTTTTGGTAACACGCTATAAGTTGACTGTTTGGAAGGTTGTGTGCACTGACACTAGCCAAAAAGTAATGAGCTGGTGTAATTACGAGCTTATTTCAGGAGTCCCGTTTGGACAGTGTAAACCGACAACGGTTAAATTCAGCAACATTAAGTTTGGCACTAACAGGATCCGGATAAAACTGGAATCAACTTAGGGCAGAACCTAAACCATCTGACAAACCAGGATCTGTTCAGCCTATCCAGTGCCTGTATTTTTGCAGATTATTATTCAGAAATTCCTTTTTCCAAAATATTATTTTACCATTGATTAATAGCTGCTTCACCCATAGTTTAGCTGTTTCCTGTTTCCTGTTTCCTGTTTTTGTCGGAAATTGTCCACCTTTTCCCAATGTGAGCCCCCACTACCAGGCGCCTTGTATTTCTGGTCGCACACCACCGAACAAGTGACCGAGAAAAAGCAATAATCAGTGAGATTGAATTATTTTTGGGTTTCTTATTTTACTGTCAACTAACACTGGTTCTATCGGATCATATAAAACCATTGAAAAATTGTCAAAACGCAGAATTGAGCTGAAGAAAGGTAGTACAATAGCAAATTTCTTTCGCTAAATACTGTTTCATTAATTATTCAATGACCAAGCCAGTAGATAAACAAAAACAACGCCCTTGTTGGCAAAGGAAACAACCATTTGGGACTGTCAAATTTAAAGGAGATAATCCCTTTTGTTATTAGTATTTTGGATGAGAACACGTTAGTCAAAAACTTTAAAGAAATGGTAGTTTGTTGTAATGTTGCAAAATAGTGATACAAGGAAAATTTTTATCATGACTGAACAGAATGATTTAAATTGTTTTATTAACTTAGTCTGACAACCCAACTGGCAAAAAGTTTAATAAGACCATGAGATATTTATCCAAACTGGTAATTTTAAGTATGACCATAGTGATTTGTTTGACAAAGCATATTTGATATGATTTTCTTGATTTTCTTGATTCTAGTGAATAAGATTAGTATTAAAATAATCAGTAAAAAAATTTCACAAATAACCGTTATTTCAGATTTATTTGTTTAACACATTGTAAAAAGTTGTACTTTATGATGACCATTAGCTAAATTTCAGGGAAGTCATTTTTGAGAGGAAACAATTTATTTTATTTTTATTTTTATTTTTGTTTTTATTTTTATTTTATTTAATATTTTATTATATTTTATTTTTCTTTTCTTTTCTTTTTATTTTATTTTTATTTTTATTTTTATTTTTATTTTTATTTTTATTTTGCTTTAATTGTCTTTTCTATCAGTTTAGTTATATTGAAAAATTTTCTCGTTTACTTATGTTAGGTTGCGGTCAAATTTGAAAAAGGACACTGTGAGCTAAAAAAAAATACGATTTATCAGCAAATCAAGGAATTTCCGCGGACACTTTCCGTTCATTTTCAGTAGCCAAATTCCTGAGTATAATTGAATTTGATTGAAATTATAATGTGATGAATTTGAATCTATTGTGTATTTCGCAATAGAACAAGCGTAACATAGAACTTGCAATAACGGTTAATAGAAATGCATTTAATTTTTTTTTTCTTTTTGCGTTGGTTTGTAAATAAAAAGAAAAAAAAAAAAAAAAAAGGGAAATTTGCATGAAATTATCGTTATTCTTTGATAGAATTCAATTCTCAAAATCATGTAAGTGAAAAACCGCTTCTCCGGTTTGGAGAGGTTACGTATAATTAGCAAACTCAAAAATAAGCAGCGAGAAAATTAGCACTTTGAATTTGAATTTGAATCCATGTTTACTCATGTGATTAGTGACAAAATGAGAGAATTAAACCAGAAAGTTATATAAAAAGACTTTGGTCGGATACAACATGTTGAAAAAATGCCCTTTTTCATATATACGTATATATATATATAATTATATTTTTTGATAACCATTAAATTAATTTTCATTTTTTTTAATTGATTGGTTTTTAATTTAATCAAAAAAACAACAAATTTTTCATTAAATAGGTGTGTATTATAACAAAGTATTGGAGCCAAAAACCCTCATGGAACCACAAGAAGCAAGCCAGGAACAAATCAAGAATTTTGGAATTTTTCAAATAATATTAATATATTGTGGATTATTAAGGAGTCTTGATTGTATTGGAGAAAAAAAGTTTCTCAAAGAGGCAAAAACAAGAGCAAAATAGAGGTCAAAAAATTTGCTTTTGTTTGTTGAGCAACAACGGAGCATTAGATATAAATGTACTAACAAAAGATTGCCAATTATTGGATAAATAGGGAATAATCGAATAAGAATAGTTGTAAATACAAATAAACGTTAGAATTATAAAAAAATAAAGCAAAGAGAAAACAAGTAAAGTTATGAATTTCATCAAGATTGATATCCTCATACAAAGTGCGTTCATAGTAAGTCCACTTGAAAGTCATCTGAAACTCTATCAATAAGTTTAATTTACGTCAAGTGGCAGTTTGTTTTCCAGTTGGATTGATTTAGAAAATGTTAATTGATAAACAAAGTGGAAAAAATGACAGATGCAGGGCATTTTTTGGAATAAATCGAAACACTTTTTTGCAAGAGGTATAATTGACACTAGCAAACAACATATCATCGGCATATATTGTCACTACACTGTCACTACACTGTTACTGCAATTTCACTGTAGTGAGTAAGTTTTGGTGAACACTTATATTCTAAATTTCTCTAGAAGAAAGATGAAGTGCATCTAAGTACTGAAAAGGAAAGAAAACGATAATAGAACAAATGAAATTCAAAAGAAAAAAAAAGAAAACAAGAAACGTCAGTATAGTTTTTAGGGTTCTTCCAGCCTTCACTGGCTGATGCTGAAGAAAGTTGGTGGAAAGCAGCTCCAGATAACCTTTTTTTGCCAGGGCTATTTGAAGCAAAGCCCTAGTAGCCAGCATTCCATCACGACTGTTCTTCTAAATCTATTGCTCAGGCTAAAGACATAATCCAGTAATCAGAGCTTCCAAAAATAGTCTAAAATTCACCTCAAAAGAAAATGGCAGATAGATCAAGCAGTCCCAACTTTAAATCGAGCAAGAAAAACACATCTCAGACTCAAGTATGATTGGTTTGACTTTGAAACTGACTTTACTACTGACCTTTGGGCATCTATTGTTTATTATTATTTGGGCACATATTAACATTTGGATATTGGAAAAGTCTCAAATAACGAGATTTACGAAAATTTTGTTTGTTCTACAAACTAGTTTTTTTGGTTTGATACTTTTTGCTTCTATTTTTTATGGAAACATTAATTATGATTCAGTAAGTTACTTGCAGGTGAAAGAAAATAGAGTTGCGATGAGAGAAAATGCAGGCAACAACAAAGAACCAAATATAAACGTCAATAAACCGGAGAACAGTCACTTATATTCAATATTCGAGATTCTCAATGAAAACTATCCAATCAGTTCGGTTTGTTTTCTAATGATATGTGCGATAGCTGGCACTAAGTTTATTGTTCACTTCATATTGCATGCTTTAATATTCAGGCTATCCAAAAATCGAGGCAAATCGAAATTGATATGTTGTGTTGGCTTTGGTCGTTTTGTGTTGTGCTCAAGCTTCTACTATGTGAGAATCATCGACTCGCTAAGTATGCAGCTCCGGTTGTTCTTGATCTACATCATGGTTTCCAGTGTGTGGGTCTACTTGGTGAGCTATAAGGTGCACAGGTCCATCAGCGTCGTCTACTGCTGTTTGTTTGTGGTTATGCTCAACACACTCCACAGCTACCAAATGTCCAGCCAACAGCAGGACTTGAGCCTGTTCAATGTGGCGTCGTGGGCAATGCTTCTCTACGACTGTGCCGCTGAGCAGATGGTGTGTGTGTTGTATGGAGTGGGCGAAGAGGGCCTTTGGAGGCTTCCTGTTTTTTCTGGCAAAGGACCAGGCCTAGCGATTCAGGTCCACTCCAAGCACGACTTGCCCCAGTGAGAGCCCTAGCGTGGTTGTCTGTGGAAAGAGAACCTGAAGGCGCATTTTGGTATGCTGCAGGCCTGTACCGCGGCCCTGACCTGTGAAAACAAAACGTGCTGCTTCTTTTTAGCTCATTGGAACCAAATGCCAGCTATTGGAAAACCGTTTCGCTTTGTAGCCAAATGCAATTGTATATCCAAATCACTGGCTGTAGAGTACTCCATCTTCTTCATCTTCTCCAGAAGCTCCATCACAGCACACCAGGCGACGCTCAAAGGACCACCATCCACACAACCACATACGATGCAAACTGGCATTGAGCTAACCAGCTTCTCAAAGCCTGCTCACTCCGAAAAACCGACCTTGTTGCCATCTTATCTCAACGACCCAGCAAAATCCCCAAGATACTACAGAACAAAAAGACACTCTTTGTATTTCATCACTCTCTTCCTATTGGCTTTGTTGACCGGATTTTTGAAAAACTATGAAATCCTAAAAACCCACTACGATTCCATATCAATTGGTTTTTTATTTGGCTCCATCACCTCCACCTTGGCCCAGTCTTTCAACCAGATATACAACAGAAAGTACGCCTACAACCAGCTAATGAAGTTTGCAATATGGGGCTCTATCAATGGCGTTCTAACTGTATGTGTCCATTAACAATATGGCTCTTATAAAACCTATTTGCGCTCCAGCATACTAACTGCTTCTTCCTCTTTCTCACCTTTAACAGTGCATGTGGATCGACTTTTTGGTCTTTCGGTTTGATAACATTGTTTTCCGAGTTCTTGTTGATCAATCAATTGGCTCGCCAACCTTTCAGTTGATATATTTTTTATTAAGCTGTCTTTGGGATAATTTGGAGATCAAAAAATCGTTCAAATCCATTTTCTTGCGAGGTTTGAAGTACTCTTATTTTATCTGGCCAACCTTTTCATGCCTAAGCTTCATGATATTACCTCCCGAATACATTTTTCCTGCCAACTGTATGGTCAACTTGATCTGGAACATTATTTTAAGTTTCATGAACTGAAATATATCACCAACTTTTCCCCCATTGCATCCTCAATGTTGTATTTTCTGGGAAAAGAAATACCTGAAATTACACCACTATAAATATAAAGACTTTCCTTTATTTCACTTTGTTTTATTTTTATCTTTATCTTTATTTTTATTTTCATTTTCATTTTCATTTTCATTTATTTATTTATTTTCTTCTCATTTATATTTTCTGCAACGTTTTTTTATATCTTCTATTAACCATTATTGAAACAACAGATATGACCAGCATTGATTATCTAAAGTTTCACCACTTATTCTCATAATTACCCACAATCATTATCACCATCATTACCATAATCACCATCATTACCATAATCACTATAACCATACTTATACTTACAGTCATCCAGCAATCAAAATTATAATCAAAACTACATCCTTAATCATTTAACATCCAAAATGTCATCATCAATCTTCGACTTAACTCTTAACAACACAATAGACCTAACCGCCGATACTTCAACTGACTTTTTGGATAGTTTTGCTATTCCCTTCACGCCTACATGGGATAAAAGACTAAAACATACCAATAACAACAACATTCCACTAAACTCCTTCTTACAAAATCCTCCATACTACAGGAATTCAAAAGAAAAAGACCCAAAACCAACGAAAGATTTGGTAAAAGACGCAGTTGACTCAATTTTTGACTCAATTTTCGATCTAGAGGATGATATCTCCGATTCTTTGACTTATAAAATATTGATTCTTTTAATTTCTAATGATTTTAAATTTTCCACAAATTTTCAGATAAGACTCCCATTTTCCTGGAACAACAAACTATTTAATAGTAATAATAACAACAAAAACAAAAACAATAAAAAACCTAAATTAAACTATCTCACAGAAAAAGACTTGTTTATGCCAATAGACTTCTCTAATCTTGATTACAATAATAATGTTAATAATAATGTTAATAACAATGTTAATAATAATGTTAATAATAATATTAATAATAAATTAGATTCAATAATTTTAAATGATATTTTTCTTTATGAAAATAATTCATTTATAATTTCAGTTTTACCATCATTTATTGAGATATTTTTGAATTTTAACTCTGATTATAGAATTTACAATCCAAGATTAAATTCAAAAAATCTAATTTTAAATAATATTAATGATAATTTTAATTTTAATTTTAATTTTAAAATAATCAAATACCATAACTTAATTTTGCACACAAATTCTATTCTGTTTAATAAAGATTTAATTAAACAGTCAAAGATAAATCTGCCAGTAACTTCTTCAATAAATTCTTCGATAAATTTGCTAATTGAACCAAATTATTTGGACTCCTCAAATTTAAACAAAATTCATAACAACGAATTTTTAATCAATAAAAACACCATCCGAGAAGATGCCTCGGTTATAATGTCAAGTGAAAAAAATGATAAATTACAAAAAACGCAAAAATTGAAAAACACAAAAAAAATAAAAAAATTGCAAAAATTGAAAAAAATTGGAGAAATTACAAAATTTACACGAAACAAAAGCAATCATGAAAACCCAAATCATGAAAAATATGAAAATTATGAAAATCACATAAATTACCAAAAAACTTCACAAAATGCACAAAAGTTAAAATTTGTAGTAAACAGAAGTAAAAAACTTGAATATTATTTAAAATTAAATATTCAAGAAATTCATAATCAAGAGGGCATGAATTTGTTTCAAACATTGATTGATCTTCCTAATGTTTTGAGAAAGTTAATTGTTGAATTTAATAAAGAAATTGAAGAAATTAAATTTAATAAAGATAACAATTTAAGCGATAACAAATACGAAGAAATATACTTTAAGAAAAACAATAAATTAAATAAAAAAATTAGTTTTGAATTTAAAACAGTTTTACAAAACTACATTGAATGGCTTTTAAAAGCCTCATATGTTATAGAAAATGTTAAGTTTCCAATAGAGTTGGACTTAAAAAAAATAATGAACAATTATTTAAATAACTATTTAATAATATGTTCACAAGATGAGATAATTGATAACTTTAAAAGCGATTTTGATGATGATAATTGCAAGAGGAAAAGGAAAGAGAAAAAAAATTGTAAAAAAAGAAAAAGCAAGCAGAAAAGTGGACATAACTATTATAAAGGGCCATCATCCAAATCCGTTGACCATTTGATTAGTAAAATAATTAGCAAATTATTAACAATTGATCATACTAAAAATTTATCAGAACTTAGGTTTGGAATAATAATTTGTGGGCCAATTATTAGTTTATGCTTATTCAATTCAAAATATTTGAGTTTCAAATATTCAACTAGCTGTTCCAATCCAGATTTAATTTCAGATACAAATGCAAACTTCCCCATGATTAATGATGAAAAAGCATTTCATGAACAAAGCATTGATAATTCGCTGATTGAGAGTCAAACACCAAGTGATTTCTTCTCAAAAAGAAAGAAAAAGTCTTCTGTTTTATTAAACTATAATCCCCATGATCTTTTAAGACCTTTGATCAGCATTAACTTACTTAAGAAAGTTTCTGGATACAACCAGAAAAGCGATTTTGTGTTGGATGCAAATTCACAATTACGAAAAAACCAGGAAAAGGGCAAGAATTGTAGAGGGAAAATGGTCAATCGCAGAATATTTGAGGAAGCGGATAATGGCGGTGATTTAGATAATAGCGATAGTCTAAACAATTTCATTAAGATCGTTTTTTTTATTGAATGCTCCAGAAAGATATTTTTCAACGACATGGAGTCTGGGAAGTAACAAACTTTGTATTTGTTGTTTTGACTACACTGGCGCTGGATTTCAAACAATTGTTTATGGCCTTGGATAAAAGAGTTAGGAGAAAGTTACAAAGCTGTCTGGCAGATAGAACACAAATAATTTAATTATTTCACATTCTCAAAATGCCTGTAATAAAGGTCGAGTTGCTAAAGCACTGGGTTTGCACACACAACGCTGCACAGCACCACCAAGCTCCAGCAGCACTCTCCTGAAAAAACCTCATTAACCACGGATGTCTTTCTTTCGCGCGCTACGCCGGCGCTGGCCAATCAGAGCGGCCTGCGGATGTGCCAGGATTATTCCGGATGCGCCGCGGGTGGTGCGTACGCGGATTCCGTGTAAGCGCGGGTGTCTTATCCGGCGCGATAATCCGGCTTCCTCAACCCTTTTTGCTCTTCAACCAACAGCCAAAAGATAACGATAAAGATAAAGAAAGAAGCAAAGCACTCAAACCAGATATTCAGACATACTACACCACAATGAACAGATTGTTTGGCACAAAACGAAACGCTCTTCCCAAACCCAACTTGAACGATGCCATTTCTAGCATCGATACCAGAGTGTCTTCTCTTGATATAAAGCTCACGAAAATCAATTCTGAATTAGCCACTTATCAGCAAAGGTTGGCCAGAATGAGAGAAGGCCCTGGCAAGAAAGCTTTGAAACAAAAGGCCTTGAAACTATTAAAACAAAAAAAACAGTACGAATCCCAAAAGGATCAATTAGAAACACAGAGCTGGAATATGTCTCAGGCTCAAATGACTAATGACAATTTGAAGAATACAATGGTGACGATTGATGCAATGAAACAAACAAACAAAGAACTAAAGAGAACCTATGGGAAAATCGATGTTGATAAAATTGATGATCTTCAAGACGAGATGCTAGATTTAATTGAGAAAAGTAACGAAATACAAAACAGTCTATCCACTGCTTACAACATGCCCGATGATGTTAGTGAGAGCGAATTGGACGCTGAATTAGAAGCTCTAGGTGAAGAAATACAGTATGAACAAGAAACAAACTCTCAAATTCCAAGTTATTTGCAAATGGAAGACGATGCTACGAAATTGCCCAGTTTTATTGATGAGGATCCTATTAAGGATAATAAATTAACAAATGACAAACTTACTGCATCGTGATTCATTATCTAGCAAAAGCGATGTGATGAATACAAAATAAATACAGAATCAACACAAAGAAAAGCCACCTACTAATCAACTCTCTTAATAGCCATCATATAATTTCCAATTTCGGTGGTGTTTGTGAAGAACCAGCCATTTAATGGTAGATATGCACATCCTTTACAATCAAGAATTTCATATTTTCTCTCTGTGCTTTTTGAATTCAACTCATTAAACCACTCTTGTACTTCTGAAGAATTGATATATTTCTCTAAATGATGTGTACCAACTGGCACAACTTTTAAAATATACTCTCCCATAAAAATCGTAGTAAACCATGAGACAAAATCACGATTTATTGTACTTAAAAACAAAACACCATCCTTCTTGAGATGCTTCAACGCATCATTTAAAACAACTGATGGCAAGTTGACATGTTCAAGTACCTCCATCATTGTTATCACCTCAAATTGCTCACTTTCCTCAACATCTTCAATTGCCTGAAGTCTATAACTTAGTTTAGAATTTATCAAAGGGTCTTTTGCTTTATGTATTTTCGCAATCTTAATCACTTCTGTCGATAAATCAATACCGGTTACTGAATTAACAATTGGTAAACGCGCCATAGATTCTGAAAGAATTCCACCGCCACACCCAATATCCAAAACATTAAACTTGAATTTATCGTATTCTGAAAATCTTTTGTTATCCTGTTCCTTCACTATCTGGCTGGAAATCTGTTTGGGCAAAAGATCGAGATTGTAAGCAGGAACGTATATTTGTTGCTCAAGTGGAACTCCTGGTTCATTCAATTGAATTGAGTTCATGAAAGTCTTTTGGATAAAATCCATACGTAGTAAATTCATTTTATGCAAGATTCTCTGAGGACCATCAATTTTCCACCACGACGAAGCTAAATCATTGAAATGTCTCATTTCTTCCTTATCAATATCAGTTAGATTTTTCTTATTTAATATGTCATCTTGGTCTGTTGATTTTTCACCTACATGGCAAGAGGCAGAGGTGGAAAACCTGTGTTTTGCAAATTTAAAAGCAGTAATTGATCTTCTGCTTGCCAACAAATAGCATGATTGTCTTAATGTGTTGCAAAAAATCATCTCCAATTAACTTTCACTAACCGCTTGCAATATCAAAGCAGTCTGCCTAATTCCACTTCTCTTCTTTCTTTCATTTCTTCGGTTTGATGTGATTCGATAGTCCTTTCGAAATTCTGATAGAGAAAGACCCGCATTGGTGGATTTGAAGAAGTCTTGTGACACTTTTGAAAGTAATGGAGGAAGCGATATAAAAAAGCTGAATCCAAATATCTTTCTTATTTGCGCAGAATACAAGGAAAACGAGATGATATAAATGTCCTTTCCACCTGAGGAGAGTATTATTGCAACAAGGCAAAGAAGAAGCAATGCTGGCTCAAGACTTCGGGCTTTAATCCAAACCGAAGAGTTTTTAAATGAGAATGATGACGATGAAAACGTAAATTTATTATTTCAGGAAGACGAAGAGGATGAAGACTTTGATTTGTCTGATTCTTCTGATAAATCAAATGGAGACGAGAGCAATTCTATTGATGAGGTTAAAGCATTTGTTTCTAGGCACTCTAAAAAACGTTCTCGCGAGGCTGAAAATTCTGATGTTCAAGATGATTACTTTTCCGATTCCGGTTCAGATGAAGTAGATGAAGATGAAAACGCTGGTGAAAAGGAACTAGAAAGACAGGAAAAAATTCGCAAAAGAAAATTAAGAAAGAAAAATCAAATACCGAAGATAATAAAGAGAAATGTACCAAAAATAGACATACAAAGCGCCAAAACAATTCAAAATCAATTCAAACTTTCAGATGCCTTACTATCTTCAGACCGTAGATCATCCACCAGAAAACAATCTGTACAAAATAAGCTAGAATTGTTGAATAGAATAAAGGAGTCCGAAGTTCGTCGTGAAAAAATATTAAAGGCCAATGCACTACTTCCCAAAAAGAAAGTGCACATATTAACTCAAGACGAGCTATTGCTTGAGGCTCAGGAAACAGAAAAACAAAACATTTTATCTTTGAATAGGCTTAAAGAACAGGAATATTTTAAAAAACAAAAAAGAATACAAATGCAACAAGCTAAAAGGAAAATTCTAAAAAATGTTATTACATTCAAAAGCACTCAATATTTTTACACTCCAAATGACGAAGTAGAAGAATTTAATAAACTTGAAAAGATAAGAAAAAAAAAAGAGCGTAGAGGAAAAAAAAGTGACAAAAGCAAGATTGAAGACAAGGATAAGGTCAAATTTCAACAATTGTATACAAAAACACAAGAGAAAGACAAGCCAACTGAAAACGGAATAATTGTGGAAAAAAGCAATCTGAAGATTAAACAAAATAACCTTCAAGTTTGTGGAACACCGCAAAATGAAGTTTCAAATAAAAATTCTTCTATAAACACAAATATAACCAAACAAGAAACTAATTTAGAAAATAATGCAAACATACAAAACAAAATTGTTGAAGAAAAGCCTTCAAAACTCAAAGATCTTGAAAATGAGGAAAATAAAAAGGAAGGAAATGAAGTAATAACTGTTTCTCAAAAAATCAATGACGACGACCCACAAAAAAATAAAGAGAAGGTCATAGATATGATTTGCAAAGAGAATATTGAAAAGAAGGAACCAATTGACATTAGTTCAATTGAAAATAATAATAAAAGCAATTTAGATATTCTGAAAGTTGAAAATGCTAAAAAAGCCCTTGAAGGCATCGAATCTACAGATAAAAGTAAATTAGAACGGAATGCCAGAGAGAAAGTAAAAAAAGTTTATTCTAAAGGTCAAAATTTAGAGAAATCAGTAAAAGTAAATAGCTTTGAAATGAGCAGGACTGAAGATTCAACAGATAAGGAAAAGCTGACTTTGAAAAATGTTTCAAATGATGAAATGGATTTGAAAAATTCAATTCTTATTTCACACACAAAACTTCAAACAATTCCAGAAAATAGTATGAATGAAAAAGATATGTCACAGAAAAAATCTGATAAACAGGAAAATGAAATTTCTTTGAAAAGCAAAGATCTAAATCATGAAAATAGTAGTAATAATAAAAGGTTTAATGATCCCTTAGCTTCTGTAGCTGATGAAGGTGATGAGCAAGTAGATACAAAATTGAAAAAAGTCACTTTTGCGGATGTTGATAATGTTAAAGATTTTAAAGAAAGCTCATTAATACTGGTTGACTTTCTGAAAACCTCTTCTCCATTGACAGAAAATAAAGATGAGAAACTTGTCTATGAAGGTCCTTCATTTAAAACTATAAGAAATTTTGTACTTTTTTCGAATTTTGATGATGTTTCGGTTTATTCAAAACAGGCAAAAATACATGAAATCATGTTTAACCTCAATATAAATTCAAGCAGGAGGCAATTTGACCCAAAAAACTTGCAAACTATTATTCACATCAAAAATGATTTTGTTAAGACAATTCATCATGCTCCTTTTGAAGAATTAAAGGCTCAAGAATTGGAAATACTTGAAGCATTGCCAAGGTTTGGTGGTGATGACGAGCAATCTAACAAAAAAGTTAAGAAGAAAAATCAAAACCCCGATTTGGAAAAGAAGGTTGAAATTACAACCAAAGCTCCTACTGGTATTTACTTTTCAAATGGTAAAAAGAAAATCTGTCAGATCTCAGGGGAAGAGGCATTGTATTTTGAGCCAAAATCAGGAATTCCCTATGGGAGCGTTGAGGCATACAAGTTTTTAGAGTTGATTCAAAGTGGCGAGATTTATTGGAGTGGCATGGGAGTGGAGGAAAGAAATATTGGTGTTTATATTTGTTCAGATAGCTGTTTGGCTCCAGCAAAAGGAGTTCCAAAAGAGTTCTATGACTAAAAAGACACAAAATAATCACCAAATTGTTTTGTGATTAAATATCTCTGCAAAAGGGTTTGAGCACGTTTTTCTCTATCAGCAAAACCGTTGTACTGGATAATTTTCTGGTGTTTTTCAACGTATTCTCATGTAACCAGTGCATAGATTTCTGATCACGTGTATTTTGGGTTAATTTCCGGAAATATGTCAAAGTCACGTGTGTGATTTTTGGAATTTTTTTTCTTTTATTAAAACTTTAAAAGTTGTTACAATAAATTCCTTATCAAGAAACAATAAGAAATGGAGGGCTTTTCATCAAATTGGTTGCAATTGCTTGAGAAAGATAAATCGTTGAGAGCTGGTAAAGGTTCAAAGGACAAAACAAAGGTCAAAGGGAGTAATAAGAGTTTTAATCGCAAAAATAAAATACAGAAACCAACCAAAATTCGAACAATGAAACCTATAAAACAGCTTTTAAAAATGCCTGTTGTACAACCTTCAAAGACTATAACCAAGAATACAAAATTTAGTTTTAATCAGTTTCTAAATACAGATAAAGATATCACTATAAAAGATTTTCAAAAATTTAGCGCAGGCAATTCAAACAATATTTTGGAAGTGAATCATAGCGATTCTGAAAGAAGAAAACATGCTGGGAAATATGTCTCATTGGATTGTGAATTTGTTGGTGTTGGTCCTGAAGGCTCTGAATCAGCTTTGGCTCGTGTTTCTATTGTGAATTTTTATGGGCATGTTTTGCTTGATACATTTGTTAGACCTTTGGAGAAAGTAGTCGACTGGAGAACTCGTGTCAGTGGAGTCACCCCAGCTCATATGAAAAATGCAATTCTGTTTAAAGAAGCACAAAAAACAACTTCTGATATACTTAAAAACAGAATATTGATTGGGCATGCAGTATATCATGATCTCAAGGCCTTGTTACTATCTCACCCCTCAAGCATGACAAGGGACACTTCTTTGTTTCCTCCTTTCAGAGCCTACGCAAAAGGAAAAACACCAAGCTTAAAAAAACTATCACAACAGATATTGGGCAAAGAAATTCAAAAAAATGAGCATTCTTCCATTGAGGATGCTAGAGCTACAGTTGTGTTGTATCGTCTCTACAAAAAAGATTTTGAGAAATTCTGTTTTAGGTTTAAAAGCAAGTAATATGTCTACTGTTTTTATATTGTTCTTTTTTTGGAAAAATACAAAAAATGAAATCAAAAAACCTTAGTTTTCAAAATTAAAACAAAAATAATTATATCACACAATCTAAAAAAACCGAATTGAAAATTAACCAAAATAAATAAAAATATATTTTGTGAGAAAATATTTCATATAGTTAAGCGAGATCAACTATTCCATTCCTGCAAAAGATTTGCTTATTTTCTTGAGCATGAATGAAAGCTCTTCCATTCCAACCATATCGTTATCTCCACTTTTCGCATCAACTGGCAGGTTGACCAAGAGTTCTTCTTTAGAAAATCTATAGTTTTTGATTCCAGAAAGATTATTATTAATTAGTAATTCCTCTGCAGCCCGAACTTTTTCTGGCAATTCTTTAACGTCAAGTTTTAGCAGTACCATCTTGACTATATCATAAACAATTGTCAAATTCTCTAATGAGCTGCTTTTGGCAATGATTCTTCGAATGGTTGGTCGGATTATTGAATAAAATGAAAAAAGAATGTCTATATTTTCCTGACAAATAAATCTGATCAAAAGTAAATATTTCAATTTTGAAGAATCATCCATTAAATTTGAAATGAAATAATAACTTGCTAGAATTAAAGAAACTATTGGCTGACTTTTTCCCGTTAATATATAATCTATAAGTACTTTGGGAATATCGATATTGTCATGCAATCTGATTACTTTTGATGAGTCTAGGCCTGCTTCACCCACTATAGTCAGTAGCTCGGAGTTTTCATTTAAAATAAATATCAAAAGTAAATATGAAACTGCATTGGAATCAAATGTATTTATTTTGTGGGTTTTAGCATAATCAATTGTAGCTTTACATCTTATTTGGAAGAAATTTTTCAAGAATAAGATTGCCAAATGTTTTGTTTTCTGGTAAGTTAAACCTTTTGTAATTAAAAATATTATTATTGAATCGAATTGTCTTTCGTCAAATAATATGTCATAAAGCTCTTCAAAGTTTTGAATTTCTGGTTCAAGAAAACTTCTTGTTTCGAAAAGGGTTAAAATGAAATTTTCCGACTGGAAAATATTATTTCTTTTCATTGCTTCAAGAGTTCCTGACACAAGTTGAAGTGCAGCTTGATATATTTCCACATTATCAACGAGGGCTAAACTTGTAGCAACCCAGAATAAATGTTTAATGTAGGGAGATCCAGAAGCAAGACCATCAACAAATTTGGATAATGAGTGGATAGCACACACATTGCTTGTAGCAAATTGAACAGGAGAAGATAGTGTGCTTGATGTTTTGGAAAAAACGTCAATGGTTCTGATTACTAAAAAGTCACTAGCACTAGTTTTATTGAGATAACCCAATACTAATAGAGCTCTTGGTTGCAACAAAACATTTTCAGTAAAAGCCAAATCGACGATGTAAGAATTCCATTTTATTTTCCATGTTTTTTTGTTTGTTTCATCGACCATATTCATTACTCTAATAAGATAATCGACAAATAATTCTAGTCCAGGAAACTTTGTTACAACTAAAGAACCATCATCAGTATTAGCTTCAAGTTTAGCATTAAATAAACCAAATAGCATTTTGGATTTCTCTCCTGTAATATTTCCAATAACATCTTGGATAGAATCAATATGGGACTTTGCCAAATCTGACTTTTCTAAAATCCCATGTAATATATTCATAATCAAACTGTGCAATGATTTTCTGAGCTCCAAAGAACCTATGTTAATCAAAACACTGGCAATAAAAAATATATCGGGCAAAAACATCTCTATATACGACAAGGCATCAAAGAAAAGATAGACAGATATTTTTATCAATACCGTAACTTCTATCCAGCTTGTTTGAGTTGCAATCGAATTTATTTGATAAGGGGGAATTTTTTTTATTTTATCCTTTAGACGAGAAATTACCAATGAACATATTTCATTTGTAGGAGTGGAGCTTATTAAAGATATGACTGAAGGCCAATATTCTCCTTCAGCTTCAAAATCAATTGCTGTTGCAATAACCTCGTCAACTAAGATGCTTGCCAATCTATCTTCCAAAACCAATTTAGACCAAACGTTAACATTGAAACTAACCAAATTGGTTTCATTATTGCCAATAGATATTTTAACAAACTCTCTAATTAATTCAGCCGCTTTATCAGGACCATCTTCGTCCCCATTTGCAAAAACATGAGAATAAATGTTTTTTATCCAGGGAGAAACATACAAAATGCAATGTATTTTATGTATTTCAGATGACCTATATGCATCAAAGAATCCTTTTATAAATTGATAAGTAATGTTTGGAAAGGAAGATGCAATGGAATTTGAAATAGAAGATACAAATGAGCTGTGGTCTTTAGGAAAGGCTAACTCAATTCCTGAAGAAACTCTCCTTTTATTCTCCAACTCTAGACTTTTAAAGATAGCTCCTAACAGATTGTAACACTCGGAACGAACATCTTGAGAATCAGAAACAAGACCCAAGAAATTTATATTTAAAATTTCTCCAAGGTAATCTAAAATAGATTTGCTTCTTTCAGTATTTATTTTTTCTTTCATTGCCCTAGCCTTAGCAAAATATATGCTTCTGACTATTTCTAATTTTTTAGGGGATGAGAAAACATATTTCTTTCCATTTCGTTCGTTAATTATTGTGAATTCATTGGGAGAATCTGTATTATTTGACAAAATAGTTGATGACAAATCAGATATATGGTTCACATCTATTACTCGAATACCCTTCATTGCACCTCCAACTTTAATTCTTTGAGGACGATTAATGCCAAATTGCAAGTATTCAGTTCCAACTTTTATAGTTATAGGAACAAATTTGTTTTCGCTTTCTTGGTATATTAAAATTTCACTAAAAGAAATTCTTGGATCTGAAATTATTTTTTTGCCATAATTAGTTAAACCAAGAGAGGCTAATAAATGTGGATCGTCAAATAAAGATAAAAAGATATAACGAACTTTGAAAGGATTGAGGAATTTATTCGTTCCCCTATTTTTTATATTTGTTGACACATCAAGTAACGCTGCTCTAGAGAGGTTATAATAAAATACACCTGCACAGTTTTTGCACATAATATCTGGAGAAAAGCTCTCAACAGTGTCAAAGTTTATCTTCTCTAAGCTGGGATCAAATTGAGTGTAATCACAGAATATATAATATTTATTATGCCAAAACTTGCTTAATGTTTGAAAAAAACGAAACAAAGCAATTTCACCATTGATTTGCAGCTTTTGAAAATAATAATAAGTGAATATAATAATTGGAGTTCCATCTCTTGATATGCTTTCGTAAATAAATGGGATATTGTAAGCAGCTGTTAAATCGCAAGAAGCATATTTGTTCATAAAATCACATAATGCACTGCAACTCTCATCATTTTTGATATTATCGGGAATAGGGCTGTTGCTAATTTTCCTAGGCTGACCAAAAGAACCAAGTTTAGCATCAGCATTTTGGAACACCCTAATATTTTCTAGTGAAAAGTTTTGCAGCATTGCTGAAGGATACGAGAAAAAATTTATTCTAATATCAACCCAGTGATCATAAATGAAGCTATGCAAATAATCAATTTCTTTATCATTTATTTCTATATTTTCAGGAGACTGTAAATTATATTTGATATCATAAGTGATTGTTCTGAGAAAAGAAAATATTTTATCACTTAATTTGTACAACTCTTCCATCTTGGAACTAAGTAATGGCCATTTGAGTAATGCTAATGATCTATTAGCAATATTTTGTAACACTTTTGCCAATTGGATAAAAGATCTCTTAGCTTTCATATCATATTTAGCTGGAGTTAGACTATGAGTTTCGGGACTAACGATTGATGGACAAAAAAATCGTAAAAATATAAAAGACCCTACTCCAATCAACTGAGTATTGGCTTCAAATTTTTCATGAGATGTCTCTTCAATTATTGAGCAAATCAGCATAAAATCAGCAGGAACTAAGTGAACTGAATTAACAATTGTATCCACCAAATCATTCAAGTAAATCATAAATTTTGTGAGATTTTCCTGGGAATTTGGATCATCAATAGACAATTTTTCAACTTCAAAATAGTCACCATTATAGATCAAACGATTTAACAACGGCTTTAATATTGTTTTTAAATATTTTTTTCCATCATCTTTGGCAAAATTAGAAAGCATTCTAGTTGCCACACTATTTCTTCTTAAAATATCTGTAATTCTAGGTGATTTCAATATCTCATTTTTGATGAGTGAATTTATCAACTCGATGCCCTTTCCTTTTGATTCCCAAATGTGCAACATGGATGAAGCTAAGAGATCAACCTCAACTGGTGGACAGGAATTTGCCATAGCAGTTTCAATACCAGTTATAGAAAAAACGAGTTCTAAAGTTTCTTGACGAATATATTTTTGGTCGATTTTAGTTAATTCCTTAAGTTCTTCCATAATATTAGTGAAAACTTTGAGAAATGCTAATCTTATTCTTGAGTTATCGTGGAAACCTAAAGGCAATGCCATTTCAAGGCCAGCATCAACATTGTATTTCAATAAATTTGTCAAGGAAATAATGGTGTTATCCAAAATATTGCCAAACTTATGTTTATATGATGAAAACAGTTCTGAATTAAACTTATTATTTTTAGTTGAGTTGAATTTTTCCAAAACTCTTAAAAACAAACTGAAATAGTTGCCAAAAACAATTTTTTTTGATCTTTGGTATTCATCTTCATTTTGAGCTTGAGGTGTCGATAGGATTAAACCATCCAGCAAAATAGCAATTGCTTTTATTGATTGAGAAGCTAAATCGATATTCATATAAACAAGTTCTCTTTGTTTTCTTAGTTGAGATTCATCACTTTTTGTTTTTGTGCCAGAAGGTTTAGAGCCTTCTTGATAAAAAATAGATCTTTCAAAGATTTGAGAGCAAGATTTAAGTAGAATGTTTTTCAATTTGATACCACCTTTCAAAAGAAGAGGAACTTGAGAAAGATAAACCGTTTGAATAATATTATAGAATTTAATTTGAACTTTTAAAGCTGCTATATTATCTGATGGGTAATCTAATAATAAAGAAATTAAATTGCAGAGAACAGTTAAAACCTTTAAGGAAGTTTGAAACATTAAGGATTCATCTTTGGTACTCAATAATGATTCCAATACATAACAAACTTGATCGATAGTTGTTAAATCATTATCATCAAGGGTGGGTTTATTGTGTAGTTGTTTTATAAGCAAAGCCAATTGATCATTAATTAATCTGGACGCTAAGGGATGTATTTCATTAGAAAGCACATCCTTCGAAGCCTCTCTAATCAATAAATCAGACGAACCCAAAGATTCAACTTGTTTAGAGATAAAATTTTCAACCAGAGAAATAACGTTCTCAAAATCTTTGCCTCTTTTATGATCAGCCTTTAACATAATACCACAAGTCGAAGCTAAAAATCCCGAATAATTTCTCTGTTCAGTCAAACTTTGACCACTTGTTTGATTATTTAATAGATTTAGCCATCTATCATAAATAAAATTCCAGCTATCAACTAAAGATTGTTCATGTACCTCTACATGAGCTAATAAATTTCTTACTCTTTTTTGTAAAGCAACTAGCCCAGTAATAACATAACTATCATCAGAAATTGATTTGTAAAATTTGAAATTGCTATCAGTCACTAATTTAGAAGAATCTGGATCTAAAATGTTTAATTCATTTAACATTGAATCAATTCCTCTTTTAGTAAGATTAAAAGTTTGAAGTTGTGGAGAGCATAAACAAATGTAAAAACATTTTTGTAATTGATAATACATTTTATCACAGAAGGTATAGATATTTTGATAAATTTGATTTTTTTTAGCTTGATCATCATTATTGCTCAATTTATCAATTAATTCTAATAGATCAACTTTTTCAATAAATTTCCTTCTTGAATTTAATAAAAGAATAATAATAGATAAGATATCATACACCTTTTTATCGGATAGTCTATATTTTAATAACATTTCTGCCAATGAAATAATAACATAATTACTAGCTAAAAGCCCAAAATAAATTTGATTCTTATTGGCATCGCTTCCAGTGGATAATTTCAAAGTGCTAGCAAAAAAACAGATTGCAGATTCAATTAATTTAGTATCGTCATCAATTAAAGCATTAACAACACAAGATAAGTATTCTTTAATGTTTCTGAAAAAGTCTATAAGCTCATCATCTTTAATAATTGGTTTTAATTGTATTGAGGTTTGAAGTAACGATTGATCTTTACTACCAAATAGATATAAATTTGGACAATATATGAAGATATCAAAGGCTGTGGCTAGAATATCTCTTGAGATATATTTTGGATCATTTAGTTTTCTTTGGTGTTCTGCTGCTTTTAATTTTACTATTGTTTTATAAGTGCTTAAATTAAAATCTACATTGGAAGAATCTGAAATTTGAGAGGTATCATAGTTGGAAGAACTATCAGGATTGTTTAATAGAACATTGCTTGAAATTGGCATCAACTTGTTACTATTTGGTGGGTTAAGTTCGCTACTACCAGAGGAGGAACTTTGACGATGATTAAAAGTCTGGGAATTGCTGTTGTTATTGTTAGATTTGATGCTGCTGCCAATATTATTGTGGTTATTATTATTATTATTTGTAACAAAGCCCATAATTGAATTCTTTTGCTGAACATAGGAAGAACTGTTTTTATCTTTGAACTTAAATCTTGAAGTCTTTGAGGGTTTATTTTGTTTCATGAGTTTCTTTTGAGATTTTTGTTGTGGATAATAAACAGAGGTATTTGAAGAGGTTTGAATGGGAATTAAAGAGGACAAATTTGTATTAGAAGGGGTTTTGCTATATTTTTTATTGATCAATGGCTGAGATAAGGATTGGGGTTGAGGTTGAGGTAGAGGTTGGTTTTGGTTTAATAAAGTTGAATTTGAGCCTAAAGAGGATAAACTCAAATTATTATTTTTAAAAGCTGGATTTTTGTTACTGAGATTTAAATTATTTAAAGAGATTGAATCATCATCAGGGAAGGAGGTTGCTTGAATTGTTTCGGTTACTTTTAACATCTGGTCTCTTAATTGGGAACTGATCAGACTAACAAATCTTTTAAAAGTATTGTCTAATTTTGGAAAGTAAGTCAAAGTTTTCAAACCAAGTAGAATAATTTTGATTGAATGGAGAGTTGAATTTGGGTCACTTAGGGATTGTGTGATGGTTAAAATCAAATGATTTGGGTTTAAAATTGAAGTAGTACAAAAGAAATTGACTCTTAGAGGATCCAAGCAAAGATTGAGTAAAGGAGGCTGATCATCTTTAATTTTTAAAAAGTTTTCGACTAAGGATAGATAATTTGAGGAAAATTTAACTATTGGATTTTCAGGCTGAAGAAATTGAATTGAGGAAGCGATGAAGAAGATTGAGATCAAGCTTGATGATGCGTCAAGTTGAGAATTTAGCTCATTTTGATTATAGGAAGAAGAAGAGGAAGAAGAGGAAGAAGGTGAAGATAATAGAGAGTTTTGAGAAGAAGTGAAAGTGGAAGTGGAAGTGGAAGCAGAAGCAATTAGAGATTGTAAGAATCTTTGTTTTCTATTTATTCTAGTTGAGTTTGATTTATTTTTATTTAAATTTGATAGGAAATAATCAAAAGTGGAAGGCGATAAGGTTAAAAGGATACTTAAAAAAGAGCCAGAGTAATTAAACGTTGGGTAAAGGTACTCAAATAATTTTTCAGCTTCTTGGGAGAGGTTTAAATTATTCAAAGAAGAAGAGGAGGAAGTTGCAGTAGTATTTGAAGTTGTGGAGCAAGCATCAGATTGAGGAATTGTTGATATAGAAAGATTGATTGAAGAGCTATTTGGGGGGTTAATTGGGGGATTAATTGAAGATATATATTCGTCTGGTTTTGAGAAAATCCAGTATTTAATTGAGTTTATGAAAAAGGATAAAATGAAATGTTGGTTATTGATTTTTTTGATTATTATTAATAGGTCCCAAATTTTTTTGAAATAGTCCTTTATTAGGGTTGGGTTTAAGTAGATATAATTGAGGGCGTCAAAGTATTTATAGAGAGATTGGTCTATTAGAGAGATGTTGTTATTATTAGTATCGTTATCATGACTTAGAGTGACGATTTTGTTAATTAGATATGTTGAGAATTCTAGAGGGTTTGAAGCCGAAAGGAATCTAATTATGGCAGAGCAATTGACGTCGATGATTCGAATTAGATGTTTGAATTTATGGTTTGTGAAGTTTGAGACTTGGTTGTTAATGATGTTTAGGAAGGAGTTGTTGTTCAAGTTATTTGTCGAAGTGGGGGAGGAGTAGATTGAGATTAGTTCGTTATTGACAGTGAGAGAGGATTTTAGCTGAACTAGGGTATCAAGAGTCTTTGATATTAGAGATGAGTCTAAAGTGAAGAGGTTTTCATTTGAGGCATAGGAGATTGAAGGATATAGGAAGTTGAAATAGTTTATATTAAGGATGTCATTCTCTAGGTAGTTATTTTTATTTTTGAACAAGTAGGTGCCGAAATCAATTGAGTTTTTAGAATCAGGATTTACAGAAGAATAATTAAAATTGAAGGGAATATTATTTATGTTATTATTATTATTATTATTAGTAGTAGTAGTAGTAGTAGTAGTATTGGATGAAGATTGAGAAGAGGCCCAATTTTTTTCAATTGCAATAGATAGAATCTTTAGAATGATTAGGATTGAATTCAATTGATCTATATTTTTCTTTTCAATTGGCAAATAGTTGTCGAAATTGTTTAAATCATTTAAAAGTTGAACTGAGCTCGTAATCAAAGGAATTAAAACAGAGTTATTGATTGACATTTCGATTAGGGTGTCTCTTGATTTGATGAAAAATGGGTCATTTTCAATTTCATCGATTGAGTATTTTTTAGAGCCATTAATTAAAGTTTTCAATCTAATCAAGAAAAAGGTTATAGCAGAGGTTTCAAGATTGGAGTAAATTTCGTCGTTATCGTCAAGACCATTTTGAAGAAAGACCATTTTGAAACAATAATAAAAAAAGAAATACAAATAAATATGAGTATGGTTTTAATTATCAAGAGAAGTATACATAGATGTATATATGGCGTATTAAAGAGAAGCAAAGAAATCGAGGATGGTTTGCAGTATTTGGCTAGCAGTTGAATAAAGGAAAGAATATAAGGATGGTTGGAAGTCAAAAAAAAGCAGATTGCACAAAAAAAAGAAGAAAAAAGAAAGCAAAAAAAAATGGAACAAAAGAGAAGAAGTGGAGAAAAGTGGACTATATAAAGCATACAACAAAACGAGGACAATTTATATGATTTACAGGTACAGAAAGGTAGCAAAAAGAATTGAAGCTTGAAAGGCAATTAGAGCTGAGGATGGTAGCAGATAAAGAAGTTATGTAAAGTGGTTCTTGGAGGTCTTGCTTTGGAGCATTAATTAGCGTTGAATTGGTGTTTAATCAGTGAGATTAGTGTTTAGTGATTTGGTGTGTTGGTGATTTGGAGTATAAGTGCTTTAGTACCCAGCTTTGGTACCCAGCTTTAGTACCACCGCTGTTACACCATCTCGTTATCGCTCCAGCACAACGGTCTGCTAGTAGCAACGTACGTGTGCACACAGGCGCAGGTGCCGCAGCCCGCGGGGAACGGCTCTGGTGCGCGCGTGGTCTTGCCCACACAAGTGGGACACCATGCACGCTGGCAGCCATCCAGTATGGCACAGGCCCCTCGCAACCACAACACGCGTGGGACTCCTGTCATCGCAGCCTTGCATGATAACGCGTTACTGCGGCACCGTGTGCATTCAGCGCTGCGGGTCTGGGTCAGTTCAGATCTGGTTTTTGAGTTGTTCTTTGTGTCCCTTCCACCGTTTACCGTTTCTGAGCCGTTGGGGTTACCCTGGGCCTGTGTTTCCAGCTATCGCCAGCTCCAGTTTATGCTGTTTTTGTTCTGTTCAGTCTCTCGTTCAACATCAGCCTAGAATAGCTGCTGCTGTATTTTCTGCTGTCTTTATTTATCCAATTTTTCTTATATCCCAATATAAACCCAAGACGTCCTATTTCGTTTTATCGTGCCTTTTACTTGCCCTATTTGTTCCCGGTTAGTTAACTTGCTCCTCTGTGTCCACTCTATAACCTAGAACAGTTTTTACCAACTTGCAATAGCTCATGTTCATGTTATTATCAACTATTCAAGACATGTAACGCCTTTTATGGAACGCTGTCAACATTGAAAATTCACTTTATCATTTTATCGCTTTTTCACCATTTACTTTTTTACGTTCTCACAATTCATAATTTTTGGAATTTTGCAAGTTTACAAATATACAATTGCCATAGTAAATTTAGTAACAGGTATCCATTGGCCATGGGCCATGGCCATTTCCATTTTCACATCTATTGTAATTACGCTAATCAACAAATATTAATATTATTGTTATTCTCCGTTAATATTCCCTTAGTCTTTTATTATCTTACAAGGAAAACCTATTATATTCACTGATAATTTCAAGATAATCTCTTATACTTACTCTTTCTCTCTTTCTTTCTACTCTTCACTACTTCATTCTGCTATATTTTATTGTTTAAAAGCCAAGCACCCACGTGGTGATTCTCTACAAATAAAACAATTTCTGCGTTTTCCTTCATATGCCAACTGTGTCTCCCTTTACAAAATAGTACATCGCGTGTGCTGTTCTCAAACATACCAACATTCGCTTCCAATATACTATTTAAACTGTCTTTAAACTTTACTGTTATCCAATCAATACCACTCTCAGTTATTCAATTCTCTTAATTCAATTTGCCAGGTACTACTATTACTATTTCATTAAAAGAAAGCATAATATTTTAGAATTAAAGGTTACAAAAAAGTTATCTTGAACCTTTTATCCATTATTTTTATTCTTTCAATTGCTAAAAATTTATCTTTGGATTTGAATTGAAATTACATAATTGGATTTCAAAACACTGCTTATCCAAACTCAATCTGCCGCTTTTCTTCTATAACCTTAAACTTCAAATTTTAACATTTATTTTGACAATTTCACTGAATTTTATTCTTTAATTTTATTTAAATAAAATTCTTTCTAATAAAAAACATAATTAAATAATTAAATAATTGAATATACATTCGTTTATTAATTTCACAAATTGATTGAATAGTCCACATTTTGTTATTTCCTGCTTTTATTATTTATTTATTTATTTATTTTTTCACTTGTTTACTTTATTATTTACTTTAGTATTTACATTACAATTAATGATGTTATCATCTTAATATCTTGTTTCTTCTTACACTGTACATTTTCATTTAATTTTTTCTTGTTTTTTTTGTATTTTTATTTAACTTGTAATATAAAAGTATAATCCCTTATTTCTCTTTTAATCTTATTCTAATCTTATTTGAATTGTTTTCTAATCTTATTCAAATCCTTTCCTATTCCTATCCTAATCTTATTTTTATTTGCTGCTCTCTAGATTCAAAATGAGGTTTCACTCCATTAAAATGGGTCACATTTTGCAATGCACTTCACTGCAATATTCAGTACTTCACGGTAAGTACATACGTAAATAAGTATTCTCATGCATTCACGCATAATATACATTAAATCCGCAAATCTGGATATTACATTGTTTTTTGTTTGCTTGTTTTTTCTATTTTTTTTATTTTTTTTCATTTTCCAAAATTTTTGCATTACTAATCTAGCATTGCTTTTTTAGGTAATAACCACCCCATTTCGATCTCTCCCATCACTTATCATCTGTTTAGCTCAGCAATTAAATATACCCTCACCCTCATTTGTCAATTTTTCTCATCTCGAAATATTTGCCTACCAGTTTGATTCCACACATTACTCAGTCTTGATGAAAATCATTCAGAATCATGAATCGTCTTACTTTATTATATGCAATCACATATAAGAGGTGTGTTTTATCTAATTGAGACCAACCACCCTTCTTCACTTTAATTCTCCAATTTCTCTCGGTTCTCTGAAACAAAGTCGGCGTGTCTGAGATTCGAACCAATGACAGTCTCCTCTAAACCATAAAAAGACGCACAAATTACACAAAACGCACTCATTTTCTTTGTGTTTTTTCCGCTCGTGGCTCTTTTCCCCCTTCGAGCAATTCTCCTAATCTCCGACTATTGCCTGTTCCGGACGTACTTCCTAATCTCCGTATGATAAGCTTTCTCTCCAGTTCTTTTTTTCTCATTTTTTTTCAGCTTTTTCAGCTTTTTCGGCGTTTTTTCCAGCTTTCTTTTGTTCTTTTGCTTTAATTTCCTTTTCTATAAATATTAATTCAATTCCCATTCTTTTTTCCATTTATTTCCTTTAATTTAATTCTCATTTAAATTTTTAATTCCTTGTTTTTTTTCTTTTCTTGATTCTCTTTTTCTTATTTTAATTTTTTTTTAATTTTTCTTCATTACTTGACTGTTATTGTGTTCTATATTATACCTTATATTTTCCCCTATCCACTCATTCCAACCCTCATAAAATGTCTGGCTTATTCAATTTAGTATCAAGATATGCTCCATTTAATCTCAACAAATCTGTCTTAAACACCGACACTAATCAAATTAATCAGAAAAATCAACAAATTAATGAAATCCAAAATGTAGACTCAAATTGTTCATCCTGTGGTACTTGCACCACTAAATTTCCCGATAGCGTCATGAAAAAAATTAATTTCAATTCAACTCAAGGGTTTCAAAAGAAAAACGATACTGTATTACATATAATCATAGCAACAAACCAATCCGATTGGGATCACGACCCTTTTTTAAACGTCAGCCCATTATCTCCCAATTCACATTCCTCAAACATTGTTAAATTAGTCAAATCATGGTGTGACAACTCTGATAATTCCTCCAAAATTAATGGCAAAATTAAATGCTCAGTATCTGATATCCCCTTTGACGACCTTGACCAAGACTCATATGAAAAGAAATCAACAAATATCCTAATACTACCCTTTTTCATTTGGGTCAAAAAGATTCATATATCAAATTGCACCCAAATCTTAAATTTAATCCTCGATAATTATCTCAATTATATCAATGATCTTAACACAAACTCGAATTTAAATAAAATCAACTTAACCAATCTTATTCAAAATTTAAATTCAAATTATAATTTCGGTAAGTCTGAAATTCAATTATCAAATAACCGTTCTTATATTTTTCTTTGCTCTCACAAAACTAGAGATAAAAGATGTGGTATAACTGCCCCAATTATTAAAAAAGAAATCAACTTATACTTGAAAGAATTGGATCTCTATAGATCTTCCAACGATGATAGACCTGGAGGTATCAACGTTTATTACGTTAATCATGTTGGTGGCCATAAATTTGCTGCTAATATGCTTATATTTAATAAAACCGGTGAAATCATTTGGTTAGGTAAATTGATTCCCAAAAATGTTAGACCAGTTATCGATCAATCTGTATTAAATGGCAAAATATTTCCTGAATTTCTAAGATCAGCAACAAAATGCAAATCTTTGAATATTGATTGGTAATATATCTCTAGTAATGATCTTATTCTATTGCTTTATTATATCTTCATATACTATACTATTTCATAAACTCTTTTATATTCCTATCCTATTCCTATTGTAGCTTTATTATATCTTTATATCCTCTTCTTACCTCTATATAATATCTTATACTATCTAGATCTTCATTTGCCTCCATCTTCCTCATATATCTTCAGCTACGAAACCAATGTCTTAGAATAAATTTTATTTTAAACTTCCATCCTTCGATTTGCGGAAATACCGAATCATTTTGTCCCAATTGGACTTTATTCCACTCGCCAAACAACCGAATCTTCTCGTTATAACCAACATCGAGAAAAAAATAAACAAGATAAATATAAATCAACTCTTCTATATCACCGAAACCATACCAATAACTCAGAACTATGATAAAAATACAACCAATTTCAAAGTTAAACCCGTCTCTATTAAATAACTTTTGCCCTTGCAAAACTCATTTCAATCTCTTTTCTTCGTTATCAATCTCTTTATCAAAATCTAATGACAATAAACGTCGTCTTAAAAATGTTCCATCTTTCGAGGAATTCCTAGTAAATAAAGAAATTAAAGATTTATATAAAAAGATAATTAGAATAATTTACAAAAAAATCCCTACCAACTTAAAAAATGGGTTAATTGAATATACAAAAAGTGAATTTAGAGTGCCAATTGGCGGTAATATAAATGATAAATCTGAAATATTATACAACAGAAAATACGCTTTGACCATTGGTAAAAGAGAATTTAAAAAAATATCTTCTCAATTTGGTATTAATCTTGATAATTACAAAAATTAAAACGAATAATTGTGCTTATATACAAGAACTCCTTTTATTATTTTTATTTATAATTAATTTTACAGGCAAAATATGGAATAATAATAAAAAAGTAATGAACCATGATAAAAAAAAAGAAAAGAAAACAAGAAGAAAATTAAAAAATTTTTTAAAAAAAAAACAACAACAACAAAACAAGAAAAAAAAACAATTCAAAAAAAAAAACAATTGAATTTTAATTATTATTATTGATAATAATATAATATTGAATTTCTCTAACGTTTAACCCAAGTTGGTGCTTTTCTTGCTTTAAGTTTACCTGGTTTCTTTCTTTCAACTATTCTTGCATCTCTTGTAACACATTTAGCCTTTCTTAATCTAGCTTTTAATAAAGGATTATGAATAATTAAAGCCTTGGTAATGGCAAGTTTTATGGCATCAGCTTGTCCAGTTTGCCCACCACCATAAGCTATAACCCAAATATTATAATCTTTTTGTGCATTGACAACTTCTAATGGATAAACTACAGACGCTTTGTGGAATAATTTAGGGAAATAAGTATTCAATGATTGCCCATTAACCATGATCTTACCAGCTTCACCATCACGAGTTCTAACAACATAAGCCTTTGCAGATGAAGATTTTCTTCTACCTATAGCAACAGCAGCAGCAAATTCATTTAAAGGTTTTAACAATGATTTCTTTGGTAAAAGCTTTGAATCGGATTTTTTTTCAAATTGTTTTAAATTGTTAATCAATTCTTGTGTTTTTAAGTTATCATCAATCGAATTTAATCTATGTAATAATAAATTTAATTGTAAAAATTGACGATCTGTTAATCTTGTATCACCACCAATTAAAACATAATCTTTCCTTTCTAACCACTTGACCGGCTTTCTTTCTTTTGCTCTAGGTAAATTGCAGTATTTTCTCTGTAATGCAGTTAAAATCTCCATATTATTTTCATGTAAAGGATTTTGCGAATAAAAAGTTTTCAAAGTTGGAACGACTTTCAATAATCCGTTGTCTTCACTCGACTCCAGAGACTGCTGCTGTCTTCTTCTGTTATCTCTACGAATAGGAGGAGTGATTGTCCAAGACAACAAAGAGTTCTTCACCTCGTAATTAGGCACAGGATTTAACGAAAGAGAGAGGTCGTCATTGATGATGCTGGTGCTGGTGTTGGCAGTCAAGGATTTCTTTCGAAATGAGCTGTATAGGCTTGCATTGGCATCGAAATCGAGATCAAAATCATCCACCTCCTGTCTAGCAGTAGCAAAACTAGAAAATCCACATCGAAAAGAAGCTCTGTTCAACGTTCTAAGAGCAACACCTCCCACTGGTCTGATCATCATCATCGTGTGCTCCAAATTTGTCACCAACTTCTCCAAATCCTTTTCTCGCTTTTTCAACCATTCAAAACACAGCTGAAAAACACATCCGGTAAATCAGATGACATACACGTGATATTCATACTTCCGACAGATTCCGAGGGTCAGCGATGCGAATCGAAAAATTAAGCGCTGGGGGTGGATTTTTGGAGTTTTTTCGTTTTGTTCACCAAAATCAGTAGATTCAGCAAATTCCATTAAAGACGGCTGTCTAGATTTGTACCTCTCTAATATATACTCATAAGCTGCCATGTTCAAAGTTTCAGCCAGAGCTTTTCCCAGAAGAAGCCCAATCTTTTCTTCGAAATGTTTTGCTTCAACTCTAACTCTTATTGAGACCAATGGGTCAAAAATATCTCCTGCTTCATTGTCCACTCTTAATGCTGCCTCTAAGTTAAACCAGCCAATAACTTGTTTAGTTCTTGGTTCTGATGCCAAAAAAATATCTGAAAGTGAGTTCAAAAATTTAGAATTAAGTTCATCAAATTTAAAAATCTCTAAAATTCTTTATAATGAAAATTCAAATTTTGATCATTTATTAGCTGAAAACATTTCCAATATTTTAACAAATTTGATTAATGATTCTAAAAATGATATCACTCATTTTTTCGCTAATAGTTCATCAATCGGTAAAAATATTATTCCAAGAGTCGCTGCTTTATTGGATGTTCAACCAATTTCTGATATTATTAATATAAAGGATTCAAAGACTTTTATCAGGCCAATTTATGCTGGAAATGCTATAGCAACCGTTGAATCAAGCGATAAGTTAATCTTATCAACAATTCGATCTTCTGCTTTTTCTCAAATCTCATCAGATTCATCAATTAATAATTCCATTGTTATTGAGGAGTTGCCAATAAATGATTCCGATATCACTAGTAATAATGATAACAAGATTACTTGGGTATCTGAATCACTAACTAAATCTGAAAGACCCGATTTAAGTTCTGCAAAGGTTGTTGTATCTGGAGGTAGAGGTTTGAAATCAAAAGAAAACTTTGATAAATTAATCGATCCATTAGCAAAGGCTCTTAATGCAGCTGTGGGTGCATCGAGAGCAGCCGTTGATGCTGGTTTTGTTGATAATTCTTTACAAGTTGGTCAAACAGGTAAAGTTATTGCCCCAGATTTGTATTTTGCTATTGGTATTTCGGGTGCGATCCAACACTTGGCTGGTATGAAAGATTCTAAAACTATTGTTGCAATAAATAAATTAGAAGATGAGCCAATTTATAAAATTGCTGATTATGGATTAGTAGGTGATTTATTTGAAATTTTGCCTGAATTGACTGAAAAAATTAGTGCTTTAAAGAAATGAGCTAATTTTAAGATAAAACTAATTGCATATTTGAAAATAGGCATTTTTTTTTCTTTCTGTTTAATTGGTAACTGAAATATTCTCCTTATAAATACGATATTCTGAACAAACTTTTCTATTCCTATTCTATAAAAATTTACTATACGATAAAACAATTATAACATAAATCATTATGTAATCTATATTAAAAACGTGAAAAATATTATAAAAATATTGTAAAAATATTATAAAAATAATATAAAATACTAAAAAATTGACAAAACTTGAAAAAAAAATTAATACACCTGAAAAGTAAAAGGGAAATAAATCAGTAAATTAAGATCAAGATCAAAAATCAAAATTAATAAGAGTAAGATTAAGAGTAAAATAAAAGTAAAATGGGTAAATGAAACATAAAAGTAAACATTTAAAAAGAAATGAAATTAAAGGTAGTTAATATTGATATGATAGGTAAAAAATAATGAGTGACTTTAGTGCTGTGCAAAGAGAGATTAAGAGAGGAAAAAAAATACAACAAATTATATGACAGAAAATATGATAAGAATTATAAATGAAAGATATAAGATTTTTAAAGGGACTTTAATGGTATTTATAAATTATTTTTTTTTTTCATTGTTATATTTTACTTATACAACATTACTTGGAGCCTGTAAAATTACTCTCTCCATTTGTCTTGCTCTATGGTAGTCAATTAAACTTTTGAATATTATGAATAAACCAACGGCTATTACACCATAAGCAAAAATAGTTGAGTCGGCGCCATCTATATCGTCAGCATTGGAGGAGTTTGTATCATCGGTACCTTGACTAAAAGTGTCATCTAAATTTGAATGATAATTGTTTATATTGCCATTAAGGGTGTTATCACTAGTGACATCGAAATTGTTTGGATTATTTGGTTCAAATTTTGAATCGGAACTAATTGAACCATCGTTACTATCGACGTGATTTTTATTAGAAGAAGAATAAGATTCTGTGAACCAAAACAAATTATCTCTGTAATAGTCAGGAATTAAATAGTAACCATAGGATATGAAAGTTATACCCAAACCAGCTCTTGAACCTTGTTTTGCGGCGTGTGAAGTGTGTAAGAGGTAAGTTAATAAAAAACCCAAGAATTGGAAAGCAGAAGAAACCATGAGATTCCAGAGAAAATTGATGAAATTTCCTACAGGTAAACCATCAACAAAGACTTCATCGCCATAGGGAGATAAGACAGTTGATTCCCAATAGGGAGGAGCTTGATCAGCAGCGGCTTCTTCATATGATGGAGGAATATCGTCGTTTTCTTCAGGTTCTATTGTGGGTTTGGCCATTAAATTGGAAAAGACACCGTCGTTGTTAACACCAGCACCATAAATGAAGTTTGAAGAAGAGGCGCTAAACCTATTGGGAAAGAGTTTAACTAGTAATTTCTTTAGGGGGGATCTTGAGAATGGATGAGGAGCTGATTGAAGCTGGGTGGTTTGAGAGGATTGGTTAGCTGATTGGATGTTGCTGTTTAATTCTTGTTGTTCTCTGGGATGTATTGAAGGTTGTGAAGAAGAGGTTATGTCATTTGAGGCATTGTTGAGAATTGATGAAAATTGGTGTTGTTGAGCACCCTCGGAAAAGACAGCTTCTTCTTGATTATTTAGATCGCCAGGCTGATTGACTAATCTATCATCAATGCTGTTGTTGTTGAGGTTGAGATTTTTTGAGCTGTCGTTTAGATTGCTGTTAGGAGAATTGCTGTTAGAAGATGTAGAATAGAAATCTATATTTTCATCATCAGACTCAGAATCAGAATCAGAATCAGAATCATTGTAATCATTGTCTAGACGATTGTAGCCATTTTTCTTAATAAAATTTTTCTTCTTTTTAGAGAAAGAGGAGAATAGTGGGTTCTTGTCAAAGGAATCGTTGATTTCGCTGTGATTAGTGTTGGAGGTGGATCCATCGATACTAATAATACCGCCATCGTTGTTGTCAGTGTCGTGATGGTCCTTTGAACTGTGGTCATTGTTTTTGCTCAATATCAAGTTTTCATCAGAACTATCCAAGTCCTGAAGCAATATATCGTTGTTAAGAGCAGTCAAGTGGGAGTTTTTGTTTTCGTTTGAAGATAGCTGGGAAACGAGGCGAGTTGCGCAATGTTAGTAAAAAAGGGTCCGTTTGAAGGCAGAAAACAAGGGAAGTGGGACAGGAGCAATACATACTTTCTGGTAGCCAGGCATTGTGGAGGAAGTTGTAGAGGCAGAGGAAGGAGTTCTGGAGACAGCTGAAGAATATAAAAGAGAAAAGAGGCAGAGATGGTGATGGAGAGGAAGATGGTGGAATGTTTCTCGTGGAGACGTCTTTCTGTCGTTTCCGCGAACAGCCTCCGGGCGGAGCGGCGTCGGGGGCGTTGTTCGCGACGGCTGTTCGCTAAGGAAGCTACGAGAAGTGGAAGAAGTGGAAGAAGAAACGCTTTTAGCCCATGAGAACGATCATCTTCTCGTAGATGGTGAACACAATACCGCCGCTGAAGATCAACCTGCCCAACCTGGGAGTGGCTCCTCTCCAGAAGGTGAGCATTCCCTCCTGCTTGAAGATCTTAACAAAGCAGTTGAAGGTGCTGCTGTACAACTTGTCTGCTCCTAACGCCTGCATTCTGGTCTTGACTGTGTCGATGGGCATTGTTGTGTACACTGTGATGATTCCTGCCAAAGCTCCAATGCCAAACGTCAATGAGCTCGACAATGGTTCAGCAGGATTCAACCCATAGAAGTTCTGTGCCATGGTCTTCAACGAGTTGTACGATCCCAATCTCACTGCCTGGTTAGCACCTTGTCTCATGGTTACTGGCAAAATGCCTGAGTATATTCCTTTCAATCCCAAGTCCTTGACCAAGTTGTAAGACCCACGAACGATCCCATTTTGATACTTGGGGAATTTGGCCTGTTTGTCGTCGATCAATCCAGTCTTAATGGCTTCAAATGGTGTGACTGCAACAACACTCTCCAACAATCCGGCGCCTAGTCCTGCTAAAACACCTCTGGGTCCTGAAAGCTTTCCATCCTTATCTGCCAACAACCTCTTAATACTATCAAATCCCAAAAATCTAACACTGGCCTTCACTGTGTTTCCAACGACAAACGCTGGACATCCAACGTATAAAGCTCCAATGCTCTGAGTTTTACCCACGTTATAAATCAATTTCAACGGATTTCTTGATACAGTGGACGATTTATCAATCAATTGTAATCGCGTCTTCGCAAATTCAAATGGATATGTAACCGTTCCTTCAACTGCTCCTGCAACTCCTCCAGCAATGAAGGATTTGAAAGGATCTGGTTTTTTAGCTCCCTTCTCTTTACTACTCATCTTGATTCACGCTTTATAATAATCTATTTTTTTTTACCAACAATTAAAATCAATAATGCACGTTTGACAGTATTCAATTGAGAACCTTTTTTTTTTTCTATTCTTATTGTTTTCTTTCAATGATTATCTTTCAATGATTTAATGGAATTAAATCAAAAAAGAAAAAAAAATAAAGGAAGGAAGAAAGAAAAAACTTCACTTTTTTATTCTTATCTTGTTATAAAAAATTTAGATCTCATTTGAAAATTATCGATTTCATTCTCCGGATTACCTCATTTTATATCCGCGATCTATCCTTTTCACATACTGTTTTTCGTAATTTAGACTCTGCCCAAATTGATTTCGCCCAAATTATTCTTTTCCTTTTTTTTTCACTTAATTATTTTATAATTTATCGTCTTATATTCAACTATTTATTATTAACTAAATAATATAATTCGTTTGCCCCTTATAAACACCTCTTATTCTCGTTTGCTACGCAATCGTTGTCCATATATTACGTCGCAATAAAAACAAATATTCCCAATAACACACAATCCACTCATCATTGTAAAACATCCTCCCACTCCCAATTTATCTATAATGCTACTCAATCCTGCAACAAATCCTGCTGCCATCAAACATCTTGTAAGATTGATACTCGATGCTGATGACGATATAGACTCAGGAAATAAATCAACCAATAATGTAGTAGAACTCGATATTGGTGATATAGAGCTAAAACTACCAAAAAACGTACTTATTAAAACTATCGATATATGCTTCTTACTCCCAATAGTCCATCCATAAATCAAAAAACTAACACATCCAATTAACCCAAATACCCATAGTATCCCCAACCTAGCTTTGAATAAATCAAACTCCTTTTTTTCCCCATTATTTCCACTCTTTTCATCTTCAAGATATCGTTTTTTGCAACGTTTATAATAAATATCTAATAATCGCCCACTGGCAATTGAGCCACTTAATCCACCTATTCCCGATGGCAAAAAACATATCCCAATCTTTAATGTAGAATATCCATATTTTGATGATAATAGATTACTTATCGATGTTAACATCATAGACCAAGTAGCAAAAATAATCGATGCAGAAAATAAAAATAATGAAATCTCTGGCAAGATAATAATAGAAAATGGCGAGCTCAATTTTTTTATCGTTGACACATTCTCTTTATCATCAATTTCTAGTGTCTCGATATCATTTGTTAGCCTTTTTTTCATTCTAGGCATAGCCCAAATTGGACTAAAATTAATTAATCTTTTACTTGGTATTGATCCATTTCCAACTATTGTTCTCTTTGTCTCTGGCAAAAACAAAAAACTTAAAATTGTTGTCAATCCACATCCAATTGATAAAAACCAAAAAACTGCTCTCCATCCAAACCTCGAACTAATTAACCCTCCAATTAATGCACCAGTCGCTTGTCCAATTAATGAAATACCTGTGGTTAACCCAATAAATCCACCTCTATTCGCTTTCGTAGTAATATCTCCAACTATTCCAGCACAAATAGCAATAACTGGCGCAATTCCAGTAGCTTGAAAACATCGGAAAAATAACATTAATCCATAATTATTTGATAATGCAATGCCAACATTAGCCCCAATATATAATAATGAACAAACTAATATAGCTGGTTTTCTGCCATAAAGATCGGCAAATGGTGCAATTATCGATGGAGCAATACCTTGGAATATAAAATATACAACCACAGATATATTTGCTATCTTTTCTGATATACCGAATGTCTCTTGGACTTTGGGTAATGAGGGATAATAGATTGGTGCAGCAATTGCAGACCAAAATCCTGACATCGAACAAAGAATGATTATGAAATATTTGAATTTAGTTGTGAAAATTGTATGGGGAAATATTTCATTAATATCTTCATTGATACTGCCATTCGGATTTTTCTTGAATTTTGGTTCAAAGTTATTATCTATCGTTGCAGTTTTCTCATTTTTATCTTTCAATTCATTGAAGTTTTGATTTTTATTTTGATCAATATCTTTATCTGATAACTTTGTTATAGCCGTAGCAATATCTGTAGTGTTATTTGTGTTTAATTCTATCATTATTTTACACTAGTCTACCATTCTATTATTATAATGCTTTTTCGTGCAAAAAAATAATAGTAAGAAAGCATAAAGATATGCCTATACGCAGTCTGTCTTTTGTTTATTTATACTTGAAGCAAAATAAGATTGGAAGTCAGGATCTTTAAATGTTTATTTCCACCACTTTTGTTGACATAATTTCAGTCTTTTAGTTTTTTAATCTTCTAATATGACATACTTTGTCCCAGTTTTTATCAGGAAAAAAAACGGAACACGGCATCAAGATGGAGACGGACAAATAAACATCCGACTCTTTATGTCTATCTCTTTTTGTTTTCATTTCTTGGCAGGGTCTTTACATTCATCGCAAAAAAGAGCGCAATTGATGTTGGCATATATAATCTGTTGTTATTATGAAAAATACAAAAGAAATCAAATAATAGTGACCAGAATTGCTAGAAATACAATTAAACGCGGAACTAATTGGTTAGCTAATTTTACAATCAAAAACTGTTTACAATCTTTCAGAAAATACCAAAAGATGTTACTAATAAGTTTTATTTCTCTTATAATACAAAAAAATTTAGCACAAAAATCCAAGGTTCAGAATTTTTATACAGATTTAGTTTTGACCTGCAATTTTTTAAAGCCTTTAGCAAAAAAATGCTGAGTTGACTAAAATTATAGATAGTAAATGGCTTAAAATTTGGATCAAAGTTTTCAAATGAAAGTGGAGCTGATGACTACAAATATTCAGTACAATCTTCAAAAAACCAGAGCAGTCACAATTTTAAATAAATAAACATACACTTTAAATATGGTGTCAATGGGTAATAATCTTCAACTAAAAAATCAATAATAAAATTTTGCTGACTAAGCTTGCAAATCTAGCTTGAATAATTTAATTAAGTAAACTAGAAATGAAACCTAATTATCAATAACTGTTCAATATGTGGCAGAAAAATAGATTTTGTAGAAAATGATTTAAATGTTAAATATAAATATAAATATAAATATAAATATAAATATAAATATAAATATAAATATAAATATAAATATAAATATAAATATAAATATAAATATAAATNATATAAATATAAATATAAATATAAATATAAATATAAATATAAATATAAATATAAATATAAATATAAATATAAATATAAATATAAATATAAATATATTCTTTGTAGAGAATAATAAGCAGAAACCAATGATTTGTTCGTGATTCTAGTTTATATCAATACAAACCAAAGATCGACAGACATCTGAATTGTATATTCTGTTCAATCAATCTCCTTTTATCAACAGAAATCAACAAACTCCCACTAGAGAGTAATGAAAGTAAAGATATCAAATCAAGTTTTGAGATTATTCAGTCCTTCTGAAAATAGCCGGAAAAAGGGTCCGGAACCGGGGATCGAGCCCTTCTTTTCTTTGAAGCTACACGTGCCGTGTTTTGTCTTTTTAGAACAACTCACTGCATATTTAACTTTTATCCCACAAAGACAACAGATATCAAAGCAACCAGCATTATCAAGGTCATTGAGAAGCAACAGCAATACAATTGAAGATACTATTGGAGATACTATTGAAGATAGAATTGGAAGTGGTGAATTGAAATCATAGAGCTTGTGTACTAGTGTTGAAAATTCTCTGGTTTTTAGTATTGATTTTTGTTTTTGTATAAGGATGTTTGGATTTATTAAGACACTTGCAACGACGTTTGATATTCCAGGGTTCAATTGGAAAGGATTGATTCTTGGGTTCACTACAGCTCAGTTTATATTTGAGAACTACTTGACATATCGTCAGTATAAAGTATTGCAAAAGAGCGAGCCACCTGAGACACTTAAATTAGATATCCCCAAGGAGACATTTAGTAAATCTCAGTTATATTCCAGGGCTAAGGCTAGGTTTTCAATCTTTTCAGATAGTTATTCGTTTTTATTGAATTACACTGTTATTCAATTTAATGTATTGCCAAAATTATGGGGGATAAGTGCCAAACTAATGAACAGTGATATAACCAAATTCATCTTACCAAAATTTATGGGGGGAGTTATAACACAGTCGTTATTTTTCTTATTCAGTTTCCAATTTATTTCCAGTTTAATTTCGATACCTATTTCATATTATGAACATTTTGTTTTGGAAGAAAAATTTGGGTTTAACAAACAGACCAAAGCTCTTTTTTTCACGGATATTATAAAATCATTAATCTTGGGTGTTATAATTGGGTCACCATTAATTGCAGGATTTCTTAAAATTATTGATTATTTTGGCGACAAGTTCATTTTTTATATCTGGAGTTTTTTATTTGTTGTTCAATTAGCTATGCAGACATTGTATCCCTTTATTATTCAACCATTTTTCAACAAGTTGACCCCATTGGAGGAAGGAAAACTAAGAACATCTATTGAAGAATTAGCCAAGAAGCAAAAATTCCCATTAACCAAGTTATACGTCATCGATGGGTCTAAGAGATCATCACATTCCAATGCATACTTTATGGGATTGCCATGGTCAAAACAAATTGTGTTGTTCGACACATTGATTGAATCATCCAGTGTTGAGGAAACAACGGCTGTGTTAGGTCATGAGATCGGTCATTGGTACTTAAGTCACAATAACAAAATGATCGGTATTGCTCAATTGTATTCATTTTTCTTGTTCACATTATTCCAAATCTTCATCCACAACAACTCGCTATACAATAATTTTGGGTTTTTGAACAAGCCATATCCTGTGATCATTGGGTTTTTGTTGTTCAATGACATCTTGAAGCCCTTGGACTGCTTTCTAACCTTTGGCATGAACCTTTTGTCGAGAAAACACGAGTACCAAGCCGATGCGTACGCCGTCAAGTTGGGCTACTCGCAGCAGCTCTCCAGGGCATTGATCAAGTTGCAGATTGAGAACTTGTCGACGATGGACGCAGACTTCCTCTACTCGAGCTACCACTACTCCCACCCAATCCTCAGTGAGAGGCTCAAGGCCATTGGCTACGTTGCAGACGAGAAGGTCAAAAAGACCATCTGAACGGGTCGCACTTTGCCTGTTCTGGCTGGTTGGAGCGGCGCCGCTCGACGCAGTGTCATGCGATCCGGCTGCGTGGATTCCTGCTGCAAACGGGTAACAGCGCAAACGCTGAGCGTGGAAAAGAATTTTTCGCTATGTATTTTTTTGTAGCAGCATAAGTGCACCAGAATCAACGACCTTGGAGCTTGGAGTCTGAAAAGACAAGTTAGAGCTGAATTGTGGGTTGCGATACTGATCCAAGCCAGAGTAGAAGAGCCAGCAAGAGCCTACAGTTGTTGAACCTCCCTCAATATATATTTCTGCTGTTCCTTATTTCCCATTGCCTGCCTCCTGCCTGCTATCTTTCCCTTCCCTTTCTAGTTTGTGTTGCTCCACCAAACAGCCAAACAGTGCCACTTGTTTCCCTATATCCTAATCGAATATTATTTTCCTCCAGATCAGTATTGCTATTAATACTCAACAAAATCACTCGATAATACACTCAATCTACTGGATTCACCAAAGAAAGAAAACACACCACTGAACAGATCAAAAACTAAAACTAGATCTAGATCCGAAAATGAACTCCACAAAACCCTCCGATTTGCTTTCGATCAGAAGCTCAAAATCAATTGATTCAATCAAACATATCCTGAACAGTACTCCTTCTATTATTCAAAGCGATAATAAGACCAGTCTAAATAACCCCACGAATGTTACATCAATACCTACTGGTCTTGATTTAATTAGCTCAAATCAACTTAAAAATTCAAATTCAAACTCAAACTCAAAAAAAAATACCCATCCGATTTCAAATCAAAATCAAAATTCAATAATTAAAAATTCAAGTAACAATAACTCCTGTGTGACTTTTGATGAAAATTGTAATAATAAAAGAAATTCAATATCAAAATCAAAATTATCCTTATTAAACTCGGTCACTAATTCTTCAAATCAACTACCTCTTTCTTCGCCAACTTTAAAATCCTCAAATTTGAAATTCAAATCAAAATCCCCGGTTAACAATTCTAATAACACAAACAATAATGATAAAAATATTTCAATGTCTCCTCCTATTAGTCCCGGTACTAACCCAATAAATAATATAAACATAACCAACATAAATGATACAAATGATACAAATAATACAAATAATAATCGCCCTACCAATAATCTCGAAAAAATCGAAAAAAATGAAAAAATCGAAAAAGTGGATAAATCAGAGAGATCAAAACCAATTAAAAAAAAATCATCAACCTCAAAGAAAAGTTTATCTAATGCTCCATCTCCAACTATTCTAGCTTTATCAAATTTGAGATGTCCATCGCCTCCTCCAATCTTAAGAAAACCTTCAAATAATATCAGTAATATCAACAACATAACCAACACAAACGTTGATAACAATCAAAATTTTACTGATATTGAGAATCTTAACGATAATGATGATCAATTCAATGAAATCCCATTAATCGAAAATATCTTAAATTCTGATACGTTAAGTCCAAATACTACAATCCCAGCTGGTGGCGCTTTGTTATCAAAATCTTTTAATCAAGATTATAACTCAAGAGGTAGAATAAAAAATCCTGTTAATAATAATAACAACAATTCCAATTTTGAATATCTTGAATCATCTCCTGAAACCTCAAGACCTTGTCACCAAAAGCAACACTCAATGCATGCTCATTTCTATATTGAAGATGCCATCAAACACTCAGGTTCAAGATCAAGAAGTACTTCAATTCATCATCCACTTTTAAATTTAAATCAAAATTTAAATTCAAGTTTATTCTCAAATTCAACCTCAAATTCCATTCCAAATTCAATCATTAATCAAAAAGACCACTCTATATCTCCCATACATTCTCTATCAAGCTTCAATAACATCACCTCTACAACTTCTCCAATTTTACCTAAATCCCCAACTCCTCCCCCTACTCCTCCTAATACTACTACCAATACCATAAACACTCTATCTCTGCCTATTGTTCCTACCGCTATAACTTCTGATAATACCACTGCCACCACAACTGCTAAATCTCAATTAGAATCCCAACCAACTGACAAATCTGAATTTAATAAAGAAGTCATATCTTCAATACCTCCAAATCCTCACTTACAACATTCTTCTATTCTTGAATCTCGAAATATTGATTCTAGATTGCCCTCAGATGATGGAAAATTTCACGTTTTGTTAGCCGCTACAGGCTCAATTTCAACTATTAAAATCAAATTAATTATAAACAAACTTCATGAGATTTATTCAAAGGATAAAGTTGTAATTCAGTTAATTTTAACAAAAAGCGCTGAGCATTTCTTATCAAGAAATGATATTAACTCCAGTATCCAAATTTGGCGAGATAAAGATGAATGGTTAACATGGAAATCTAGATCAGATCCTGTTTTACACATAGAATTAAGGAGATGGGCAGATATATTGGTAGTCGCTCCATTAACTGCTAATACACTATCTAAGATATCATTAGGGTTATGTGACAATCTATTGACTAATGTTATTAGAGCCTGGAATACTCAATATCCAATTTTATTGGCTCCATCAATGGTAAGCTATGCTTATAATTCGCCCTCGACAAAAAGAAATTTAAAATTTATGAAAGAAAATATGCCCTGGATTCAAATTTTAAGACCAACAGAAAAAGTTGTTGGAAGTTATGGTGATATTGGTATGGGTGGAATGATGGACTGGAATGAAATTGTTAACCAAACAGTATTAAAATTGGGTGGTTATCCTGAAATCGATAATGAAGGCGATGATGATGATGATGATGATAATGATGAAGATGAAGATGAAGAAGACGAAGAAAATGAGGATGAAATATTAAAAACTAACTCAACCAAAAGAAAGAAAAATGAAGATGAAGATGAAGATGAAGATGACAATGATGATGATGATGATGATGATGATGATGATGATGATGATGATGATGATGATGATGACTACGACGATGACGATGATGATGATGATGATGATGATGATGATAACAAAAACCAGGTCCTGGAGAGAAAGTCTGCTAAAAAGAATAAGATAACACTTGCTGATGAAGATGAATTAGAAGAATTAAACCGTCATAATCTGATTCATCAAAATTTGAAAGTTCGCTAGTTCATTTTAAAGTCAAATTACAAATAATGGGTAATGGGTAGTGTATTGAAAAGAGAAGAAAAAAGATATTTTTTTATATCTTAGTAATATATTTTTGTTTATTGTTTTATATTGTTTTTTATTTAAGTGTTTAGTTATCTAGTAGGTTTTTCATATTCCTAATGATTTAATAATTTATTTTTTTTTCAATAATTTCCTTAATAGTTTCTAATATTCAATGAATGTTTTTCTCATGTGACTTTTCAGCCGTTTTTCACATTTGGGAATACTTTCACTTAGATTAATTGTTTAGAGGAATAAAACAAATTGGATCAACTGAATTGATAATTGAATTAAAATGAGTTCGACAGTCGCTCCTCAGGTTTATGGTGGTGATGAAGTTGGGGCTATTGTTTTAGATCCTGGATCATACAGAACATCTTGTGGATTTGCTGGAGATGAATTTCCCAGGGTTACAGCACCATCATATGTTTCCTATGATCCTAGTGTTGAATCAATGGAGATTGATTTGAAAACTAGTTCATATTCAAGTTTTAAAAGAAGAAATAATTATCATTATGGAGAATCGATTTATTTGCCTCGAGCTAATTATAAGATTAAACCGATAATTAAGGATTCAGTGATTGAAGATTGGGATTCTAGTATAGAATATTTTGATTATTTTTTCAAGGAATTATATTTGAAAGATGAGGATATTAGTGACTTGCCATTATTGTTGACGGAACCTATATGGAATAGTAAAAAGAATAAGATCAAGTCTATGGAGATTTTCCTAGAGTATTTCAAGGTTCCAGCATTTTATTTAGTCAAGACCCCTACATGTTGTTCGTTTGCTAGTGGGAGGGCTAATAGTTTAGTGGTTGATTTAGGACACGATAATTGCTCAGTTACTCCAGTTATTGATGGAATGTGTTTAACAAAGAATACGATGATGACGCATTATTCAGGAAAATTGATGTCAAATTGTATTGATAATTTTTTTGAAAGAGATCATCAGATTGATATTGTTCCCCAATATTTGGTTAAGAATAAACAAATAATGAATCAGTCATTGGTCAGGAATGTTAATGAAGAGATTAGTGATAAGATAAAGAGAGAGGATATCAGAAGAATAAACGGTAAAACGGAATTAAGTGGAGATGAAAAAGATCAAGAGAAAGAGAAAGAAAAAGAGAAGGAAAAAGAGAAGGAAAAAAGAAAAGAAAAAGAGAACATTAAACCAATTTTTGAGCTTAAAAAATTTGATAATTTGGATAAAAGTTTTAATGACCTATGTAAAGAAAAGATATTCAAGGAGATTAAAGAGACAATAGTGAAGATTCGAAATATTGATCCAGTGAGTGGGAACAAATTCACTACAAATAGTCAATTACAGCTTATTAATAATAATCAGAGCAATAATAATTTAAGCACAAACAATACCAGCACTTATAGTTTCAGTAACGAGACTATTTATTATGAGTTCCCAAATGGATTGAATGTTGAGTTAAGTGAAGAGCAAAGGTTCCAACTTGGTGATGTGTTGTTTAATCCTGGAGAGTATGTTAGAAAGATGCGAAATGAAAGAATGGGAAAGAAAAAGAGAAACGATGCAAACAGCACAAGTGGTGGCGATAGAGAAGGGGTGTCAGAGGAAAGCAATGAGAAAGAAAGTGATGGTGGTGATGTTGAGATGAAGACTAAAGAAGAGGTAGAAGCACAGGCAGCAGAGGAAGCAAAGGAGGCAGCGGACGACGGAGCATACTCGGATTTCGAGTGGGTCGAAGAAGACGGAGTGTTGAGCACCGGAGTCGGAATCGGCAACGACTACGTGCCCGCAAAGCGCGGAAAGCGGAAGGACGCGCCGGTGGAGCACGTGTCGGAGGTGAAGAAGGAGAGCGGAGCAGGGCTCGATAAGAGTGCCGGTGAAGCTGGTGCAGGAAAGACGGTGGTGAGCGTTCCCGGAATTACACAACTCGCGCAGACGGTGTTGCAGTCGATCGACGTGGATATTCGGCCACAGTTGTTCCATAACGTTATTGTGACCGGTTCTGTGTCGTTGGTTCCGGGGCTCACAGAGCGGTTACATCAGGAGCTCACGACGCTCAACCCGGGCATGAAGCTTCGGATGCACAGCATGGGTAACTTCTACGAGCGCAGCTACCAGAGCTGGATCGGGGGCAGCATTTTGGCCGGCCTAGGCACGTTCCACCAGTTGTGGGTGAGCCGGCAGGAGTACGAGGAGGTGGGCCCTGACCGGTTGATCCTTGAGCGGTTCAGATAGTGCGGCCCGACGTGCGCCAAATAACGCCATGGCCCTCGGAACCGCACTTTGAGCACCCTCGGCGCACTTGTCACGTGCGGAGTGCTTCAGGATTTGCTCTGTATCCTTTCGCAGCATTTATATGGTGCTTCATCTTCCTGTGCTTCTCGCCAACCTCCCATCGTCTTTTCCTCTGCTGCCTCTTCTGCTGCTGGGTTCCTTTTCTCAGCCTACTCTGCTCCTTGCCCGGACTATTTTCTGCTTTCCCATTTGCCCATTTTCGTTTTTTACAAATTTTTTGGCCTATAAATACTTGTTTACATACTTATCTCACCCAACCAACTAACTTAACTTCACTATAAAAATTTTTTTTGGTTTTTACATTCAAGAAAGATCCACATCTTTTTTCTCCATTTCAATATACTATACTAATAATATTCCTGCTTTTCATCTGATCTAATTTTTTATAATATATAATGTCTAAAAGAAAAGCTACTGTTCAAATCAATAGGGATCATAAGGGTTATGATTCTGATGATGGTGGTAATTCAATTCTTCCAGGAATAGCCTCCAACGAAATCTTGTCAAAGAGAAAAATCTTGCAACCCAGATCAAACAGATCACTACAATCAGGGGCAACCAGTATATCTTCTTCTCCAATTTCCTCCTTCACCACTCAAATCAATTCAAATCAAAACAGTACCAGTACTAATGCTACTGCTACTGCTGCTGCCTCCACCTCCACTACCACCACCACTACTACTGCCACTACCTCACTATTCACCTCAAAAAGCTCCCTGGCCTCATCTTCCATCCCTCAATCTAGTCTTGATCCGCCAAAGAAACCCAATCCTTTTGCTATATTTTCTACTGATTCTCCCAAATTTAGTGCCTCTGATAATAATTTACCAAAAAAGCAAAAGCCTTTTGCTATTTTTTCTCCAATTAACAACAACAAAATTTCCAATAAGAATTTTACTCACAAATCCACCTCTAATGATAACAACGATTCCAATATCAATAACGCTAATACTACAGATTCTACTAATAAAAATATACATTCCAACCTCAAATCGTCACTCAATGAAAACAATAACAGCAACAACAATAACAATAACAACTCCTTTAATCTACAATCTTTAGAAAACCAAACCTCATCTTCAGAAAACCCCCAAAAGAGCCCATTTTCAATGAAACCACTAGTAACTTCTGCTTCTTCTCTAATCTTTAATAATAATTCTAAAAATAACAATATTATTAAGAAAAAAGATGATGAAAACGAAATCGCTACCCAGATCAAAGCCCTCAACGACAAATTCGTTGAAACTTTGGTCATATCTTCAAAAGATGCTCCCTTGGCTAACTTGACTACCTACTGTGAAAAATATATCAAATACTATAACGATGTTAAAAAGGGCAAAGTGCTCTTGAATTCAAACCCAAATACAATTTTAAATTCAATTCAAAATTCAATCAACAATCAAAATAATCAAAAATCCATCAACAACAACAACAATAATAATAATAATAATAATAATAATAATAATAAACTCCACCTAACTTCAAATAATAACGAATCTAAAAATCAAAATAATAACGAAAATAACAACAACAACTCAACTGCCCTCACCTCATTAACTAACACTCAATCAACTTCGACTAAAATTCCTTCCTCCGTTTTCAATAGCGACACCACAAAGTCTATTTTCCCTAAAATACAAAATAAAATAATACTAAACAAAAAAGAAGACCCTAAACCTGCCTTTAAATTTCAATACAACCCACCAAATAATAACGACAATACTAACACCAATAACACTACTAATAAACCATTTTCCTTAAATTTCAATAAAAACCCTACACCATCCACATTCTCATTAAATAAAGATAGCTCATCAAATACTAAAAACCAAGAAAGTATTTTTAACGTCCCCAAATCTTCTTTTAATTTCAATTTTCCAAATAATAAAAATACTGACAATAACAACAGCAGCAACAACAACAACACTGATACCAATACTAACAAATCAACCGATTCAAAAAAATCTTCACCAATATTTCCTACAAAAGACTTCACCTTTAACGTTAATAAAGAAATAAAATTTTCTGGCTTCACTCCCTCAAAAAATGAAAAGACCAACTCAGTTACTACTTCTACTATTAACAACCCTTTTCCCTCAACTACTTCTTCAAATATTACAGAACAAACTCCTCAAAGCGATAACCCCAAAAATGAAAATCAAAAACGAACATCAGGTTTCGTTTTCAAAGCTCCAGAAAACAAAAAATTCAAACCTATTTTCAGTTTCCAACCTAAAAAATTATCTAAAGAAGAACAAGAAGAGGAACAAGAAGCCAAAAAGGGTCCTGCCTTTACATTTGACAAAAAGAGCATCGAAGTTAAAAATCCAGTTTTCAAATTTAATACTGTTGAAAAGAAAAATAATAATGAAGCTAAGTCTTCAACATCTACTTTTGGTGGTTTTAAACCTGAGCTTTCTAATAAAGAAGATCAAAAATCAATTTTCTCATTTGGTACGAAACCAAACCCATTTTCCTTTGGTTCTAACAATAATAACAACAATAACAATACTAATACTAATACTAATTTCAATAATAAAAATGAAGAAAAAACACAAACGCCAAGTAGTTCAGTTTTTACATTTTCAGCTCCATCAAATTCAACCAATACTAATAAATTCAACTTTTCATTTACTCCAGGAAACACTCCAACTACAGCTACTGGTTTAAAATTTTCTTTTAATCCACTTAGTTCCTCTTCAACATCGACATCGATTGCAAACAATGAACAAAAGAATGAAAAATCTGCAAATACACCAATAAGTGATAATAATAACAATAATAACAATAACAACAACAGCAAAAACGAAGAGATAATCATTCCAGCTGGGGAAGAAAACCAAGATGTTAAATACAATCAAAAATGCAAATTATTATTATTCAATAAAGAAGAACAGAAATTCGATAGTAAAGGTTTGGGTTTGCTTAAGATATTATATGATTCCGAAAAGAAGAAAGCGAGATTCATATTAAGATCTGAAGGGTCTGAAAGAGTTTTGTATAATAATTTCATTAACAAAGATATCAAATATGAAAAAGTTAATAAGTTTGTTAAAGTGCCTACACCATTTATTGACGATAGTGGTAAAAGTGCATTAGCTATATATATGTTTAGAGTTAAAGAAATTGATGCATTGATGAACTCTATTAATGAAGTTAAAGAAATGATTTAAAAAAGGATTAAAGAATTATCAACTATTAATTAAATATTAAGAAATATTAAGAAATATTATAAATTATTAACAATTATTGATTTAATTTAATTTAATTTAATTTATCTTATCTTATCTTATCTTATCTTATCGTATCTTATTTTGTCTTATTTTACTTTACTTTACTTTATTTTATTTTATTTTATTTTATTTTATTTTATTTTATTTTATTTTATTTTATTTTATTTTATTTTTAATTTAATTTAACTTAATTTAATTTATATTAGTTTATTTTATATTTTTTCCTTTTCTCCTCTTTTTAACAATTTTTAACAATTTTTGTTTTTCGATTTTTGTTATATTTTTAAACCACTTTTCTTCTTTTTGATTCATTTGTTCCTTTTTATAAAAATTATCCACCTTACTATCTCATTTAAGACATGTTGCTTAATTTTTACTGTAGTCATAAATACTTCCTTTTAAATAAACATTAATACTCATTTGCTATTAAGTAGCCAATCACAAGCCGTAAAAGAGTGGTGCACAGTCCTTGGAAATGTTATCTAATCATTACTCTATCAGGATATGGCTACCGTATTGCAGTGCACAATGCTCTACTATAGTACATATTGTGGGCGAGACAAGCTAGGTTTTGCCCAAACATTCAAACAGCGTAAAGTAGTCACACAAGAGGCTAGACAAAAGAAAGCCTGTAGCAAATAACAGTTCTCGAAACGAAAGAGGCCAAAGACAAACAGATCAGCACAGCAAAGCTAAGAATAACAGGTAGTTTAGTTAAGAGGCCATTGCTGGAAGGTTGAAGCCACTGGAGACAGCAAATTCCAACATGACGACAGCTAAACAGAACAGCCTAGCCTGGCAGTGCAAACATTCCCAGCACAACAGAGGAACCAGCAGCACCAGCAACACCAGCAGCACCAGACCCAGAGGTTTGTGTGGACCAACGAGCACAGCTTCCAGAGGAGAACAGAAACTACTTAAATTGGGCAAAAACCTAGCCCTTTGCAGCAGTTTCCTGTTTTCGAAGTCGCTTTGCCCAAAGCAGCTGTGTGGATTGTGGGAGAAAAGAGCATGTTTCTTCGGCCCACTCGACGCTGAGTGCTTTGGTGTGTTTTGTCGCCATGCAACTGCTCCCTGATCTGGCACACCAACAGTCTGCTTCCGAACTCTGGAGACCCAGCGCCTGGACTACAGTGCAAGGCTATTTGTTTTGATCTCAACCATAACACCAGCTACTCCATGCCAAAACGGGTCTTTCTTTTTCTCTTTCTGCTCATTGCTCAAACGAGAAAAATACACGACTGGATTATGTAATGGGTCTATGCAAATCATCGACGGGGAGACTGCAAATACCACTTGAGCATTTCAGCGAACGTTGAGAACCAACCACATTTGTTGTGGTTTCACAGTGGATTTGCTTATTTGGACAACGGTTTTCCCAGCAGAAGCTGTTCGAGTTAGAAAAAAAAATATCTATCATACCAACCCTACTTTTGGCTGGTGTTTTGCAGGCTTAAGAATGTGTCAGTGATTTATACCACTGGACACGTTAATTGCTCTGTTGCATTTCAATCTGATTGATACTGCCCATATACACAAACCAAATGGTTTACGCAAAAATTATCTATCACAAAAAACTCTGGCTAATATAGGTTCGATTCGATTTGTGAGTCGTGATCGAATCCGATTCCCGTTTAGGACAGAAGGTTTTGTGACCCAAATCATCTGAAAAAAATTTCGAGTGAAAAATTCTTAAAAACAACATGTGATTTTTGAAACACGGATCAAATTTTGGTTAAGGTTGAAAACTGCCAAGTCTTTTTTTAATTCAATTTTTCAGCGCACAACGCAGCAGGTTTTTTGTGTTATTTAGTACTCACGGAAAAACCCTGTGTGATAAAACATTTTGTTCCTCCAAGTAAGGGTAACACTGTTCATCGATATTACTTAGCTCCTTTCTTTAACTATTATTTAAAGAAATAATTTAATTCAAAATATATCCCAGTAAAAGATTTATATTCACATTGTAATATATTGACTACCCTAACGTGTTTTAGTGAGTTTATCCAAACAATAATACCAAGTAGAACACCATTTGATATGCTTAAAACCGAGAAAGCAGCATCAAAATTTTATTTGCTTAATAATAATAATAAATATTTTAACTGTTTTAATTCAAGAAATCATTTTAGTCACAATTTTATTTTTTATTTCAGCTGAAATATTGGTTTCCGATGACGCTGTTTATCTTGCGCAATATAACCAGTCCAGGCTGTTCAGACCGCAACTTTTAATGTCTAAACGGAGCTTGAAATCTCTGCATTACCAAATGCTTATGTAATAAGTCTAAAGCTCGAACCCCCGAAAACTCGTTTTTTTAGCTTTTGTCACCGAGAATTTCCAAAACAAGACACAATTTCTTTTCCATTTTCGACCTAAAATCGACCGATTGCAACTATATCTATGATATTAATTGATAATAATTAATAATAATAATAATTAATATTATTTATCACCACTCACAAACCTATTAAATTACCCATTTTATACCAGTATTGACCATCAATTCTTGTTCTACTCTTTCAAAAATTAACACTCACCGGACAGAATTTTGTGGTGTGCTTTAATTCCGAACCCACATTCTTCCCACAACAATTAACTAATCATGTCTTAAATCTCATCAACAGCTCGCAACTTATTGGTGGTTCACAATATAAAAGTAAAAATTTTCTATGTAACAAATGGTCATCATCCTCAAATGTCTCAAAACAAAATATTTTAACTTCAAACTTATGGTTGTCTGGTTAAACATACACTGAAAATGTGAAAACTAAAAACCACCAAAGGCCATCGACCTATCACCATCGTTATCTTTTCGATTTCTCTTATGGTCTTCCACTAACAATATCTGAATTTAATGGCCCAAAGATGGTAAACTTTGCTCTGTAAATATCCAGCTAAAATGATTCACAAATACCTTTGTTACAACTACCTTAATTATTTTCTATTGTCTCTTGGCATCTAAAATTTTTTATCTGCTTCATTTCCTTATTTTACAAAGTTTTTCTCTTTTTTCAGCAATTTATTTGCTGGAACCATTTTATTTTCACCATATAAAAATATTAGATTCTAATTTTATTACTCCCTAAAATTTGTTATTAATTGATAGTTTTATTTTATTTTATTTTATTCTATTCTATTTCATTTCATTTCATTTCAATTTTGTTCTTCTAGTATTATTATTATTATAATAATTATTATCGATTACCTTGGTTCTCTCAACAAAACAAAAGGCATTGCTCAAACTGAGTCTAAAACAAATAAAAAAAATCCACCCAGTGGGCATTGAGTGTTAGAGTTAAGATTTATTCTAAGATTTAAAATGTCCAATACAATTGACCAAAAACTAATAGTTATTGGGGATGAATATTCTGGTAAAACCTGCTGTTTAAAATTCCTCACTGAAAATCATTTTCTATCGACTTATGATCCTACTGTATTCAATCAAATCTCTAAAGAGATCCTCATTAAAAATGAAGATGGTACTGGAAATGACTTGACAGTAAATCTAAATATATGGGATACTGCTGGCCAAAACAATTTTGATAACTTAAGACAGTTGGCTTATAAAGATTCCAATATAGTTCTACTATTTTTTTCAATCGATAATCCAAGCTCTTTTAAAAATATCTCAAAACGTTGGATTCCTGAATTAGTTTCGAATTTAGAATCAAATTTGATCTCAAATATCCCAATCCTAATCGTTGGTTGCAAAAAAGATTTAAGAGATTCAATTTCACGCAATGGTTACGATGATAATTCACCTGAGTATTTCGATCTCTTTTTTAAAAAATTAGCAAAAGATAACTCAAATTTAAATATCATAAGCTATACCGAATGTTCAAGTTTAACTGGTGAAAATATCGATAAATTATTTTACCAGGCTACTATACAATCGTTAAATTCAAATAAAGACTCCAACTCTTTGAGAAACATTCAAGATACTGATAAAAGTAGTGATAACGAAAAGGTAAATGACAACAAAAATTCCATTTTATTTAATCAATTGAAAACATTATTGAATGAGTTTATCTTATATTATAAAAAATTAAGCTTATTTTTACATACAGGATTAAATTTGTTAGAAGATAGAGATAATTATTTCTTTGATGTTGATTTATTTTATAATGAATGTTTTCCTTGTATTAAAGAATTACTAAATTTTTATGAGACATCATTATTAAAACCATTAAAGAGTTCATTAAAGAAAAATGATTTCAAAAAATGCTTTGGTATTCTTGGAAATTGGATAAATGAACTTATTACATTTAGAATCTTTTCAAGTTTTTTTGAAAAAATTATCAGATATCCAATTTTAATAAAATTAATTCAAACCGATTCGATTAAATTGGAAAATTGGAAAAGAAATTTAGAGAAAAGAAAAATACTTTCATACGATGATTTTAATTTAGTTTTTGAGACCCCAGATTATCCCGTTATAATTTTGATTAATTTTTTTCAAGATATTTTGAATGTGAATGGTAATGATAATGGTAATGATAATGATAATGTTAGTGGTAACGACGATAAATATAATTTATTTATTGTCAAAAAATATGAAGCAGTGAAGAATTTTTATGGAAAATTAAATACAATTAAAAATTCAATAAGGACTGAATATGTTTTAGAAGTTTTAAGAAAAAGTTCAGATTTTAATAATAAATTATTCAATGATTTAAAATTAGATTCGAATAGTACAAGGTTTTTATCATTTTTTAGAGGTAAAAATAAAATTGTCAACCCCATAGTAGACCAAAAAATTCACATTAGTCAAAATAATTCGTTTTATTTTATATTTTCGAATTTTTTAATCATTACAGAGTATCAGAGAGATAATGGGTTGTTGAAGTATGATATTATTCATGAATTAATACCCATGAATCAGATACCAGGTATAAATAAATTGGTAAATGAGACTTGGGATAAATATATTGAATATGATATAAATGAAGAGATGATGATTGAAAAATTAAGAAATGTTTATATTATCAGTTTAAATTCATTGAGGGTATATTTTATTATTAATATGAATAAATTGATTAAAAACAATCCATTATGGAATCAAAATTGCTCGAATGTTGAAGATTATTTGACCAATTGCGAGGAATTATTGTGGCCATTGCGAATTTTTTTCAATTCTAATAATAGTGATGAGAGTGAGAATGAATGTGAAAGTGAAAGTAAAGATGATGAAAATGAAAGTAAAGATGATGAAAATGAAAGTGAAGATGAAGGAAATGGAATAATTCAATGTTATTTAAAGGATGATAGGTATTTGAATAATGAGACAGAAAAATGGAATAATATATTTAATATTAATGGGAATGAAGACTATAATTATGAAATCAATAAGAAATTGGAATTAAAATTGGATATTGATATTTTGAATGAGATAATTTACGAGTATATTGATATTTACGGGAATGATAAAATAGTTGAAAAGAAGCTTGAGAGGCTAGAGGAAATTGAATATCAAATTGATTCAATAGATGGTAATGGTAAGTTGAATGAAAGAGAGATGATTATAATTGAATTTAATAAATATATCAAGGGATTAAAAAGGCTAAGAAAAATTGGTGATAAATTTTTCTTGAATGAAAACAAAGATATTTGTTATCCATATAAGTTTAATACGATATATTTAAATTTGTTTGAGAATTTTGATAAGATAATAGATAATTATGAAGAAGAGTTGATAAAGCCATTGATAATGATGACAAATCAAGAAGAAGAGGGGGAAGGAAAAGGAAAAGAAGAAAGAAAAACAATTGAAAAAGATGTTGAAGATAAAAACTTGAGAAAGGTTATTGAAAATTGGATTGATAAATTGTCGGGCAAAAAACTAATTGAATTTTATTCAAAGATTAGTAAAATTTGGAATTTGATACGAGTTAATGAGTATTTTAAAAAGCGAAGTAATTTATATATATTAAAGGAGTTTGAAAAGTGGGCTAATGATTTAAATGAGAAAGAGAATGGAAATGGAGGGGAGTTTTTGATGAGAATGATATTCGGAGATTTGAATGGAGAAAAGAATAAGGATTTATTAAATATTGATAAGATGATATTAATATTGGATAATGGGAAAAACCGAAGATGTGTTGAAATGTTGAAAAGGTTTAAAGAGGACAATGAGATGATTTTCAATTATTTTATTAGCAAAGATTTAATCAAGATGGTTAAATATGAGAATAAAGAAGGTGAGAAACCAAACCAAAAGGGAAATAAATACAAATACAAATACCAGAATGATAATAAGTTTATCAGTTTGTTTCATGTGAGCAGTATTAAAGATGTTAGTAATAACGACAATTACGAGGTTTTAATTTTCTCGAATGAATTGATATTAAGCAAATTTGAGATTGATAGTGATGGGTTCAAATTCAATCGCATTTGCGAGCCAATAAGCATATCTGATTTGAAAATCAAGAAGATTAACAATGATATCAAAGATCGAAATAGCTATTACAACATTTGCTTTTACGATAAAACGCAGAGGGAATCCAGGCACTTTAAGATACTGAAAGAAGACTACGAGGAATGGGTGGTTAAGAGACTTATTTTGAACGACTTAGAAGAGGTGATCGACTGAATTGTGCCATAATATCATGATATGAAGCTATACAGATAAAACACAAATCTCCATAAATATAAATAAAAAGATATAAGCAAAAGGAGGAACTGCCTATTTCGGCGATGAATTAAGCGACACGCCTGGACCTCATGAGCACGTTCTAAAGCCCCGTGCAAACACAACAGAAGAACAGCCAAACGTGACCATAGACGCACCTCCGCAGTCAGCACTGTTTCTAGACGGTGGAGGGCCAGGCTCTGCAGGGTGTGCCGCTTCTGCGGGGCCGTGTTTGCGGACCAGACTGGGGTCTGGGATCCATCTCAGACCTTGTCTGCACGCCCGCCACACAAGCTTGCGCTGCAGCAGCATAGCGAATCACAGAAGACAATGCAACCGTTGGGTTTCCAGATCTGGGAGCTCTGGAGCGCGCGTCAGCGGCAGCGTAGCAGCGTAGCGCGGGAGGACTGGGAAGTCCCAGTGGTGCGGGGGCGGCAGCTTGACGGAAAACGATCAACGGCGGCAGCAGCCAATCAGCGACGGGCGTGAAAGACGCAAGGAACGAAGCAAGGAAAAAGAAACCAAAAAGAAGAAAAGAAGCAACGCTCTACAGAAAAAGAAGAAAAAAAGTGTCAAAGCTTTCCAGATCTTGAGTTTTGCTTCCATTTTCCACTTTCTATTTTCTGGCTGTTTCCTCATTGATATCCTATCTTATATTCCTCGCAATCTCCCTTCTTCTCCAACTTCTCTTCTCCAGCTGCTATCTCCCATTCCTGCTATATATACTCCAGCTATCGTCTTCACTCTTATTTTTGACTCTCCTGCAAAGTTCGGTTTTTCTACTGCTTTGCTCACTTTCTCGCTCGAGTTTCCACTATCTCTACTTGTTTGACCACTCTCCCATTGTTGACTGGCTATTAATTAATATTTCTCTGTTGCTTAATAATTAATCTACCACCTGTCTGCTGAATCACTCAACTGATCTCGTTTCAGACATTATTATTTATACCTCCTCCTCTCTCAGAATTGACAGGCACCACTCCATCAATTATCCCTTTTGCCTTTCACTCAAATCAAACAAACGATCCCTATTATCTCGTATTTCAAATCCACTATTTCTCTTTTATTTCTCATCTCATAATTATATTTATAATCACACTCATAATCATAATCGTAATCATAATTCACATTGCTGTTTACCTCCACTCATAACATCTGGTTCTTATGTCAAATAAAAGCAAACCCTTTTTATCTACCTACCAAAATACTGATTCTCCCACTTCTACTTATTTGCAGAATGGGAATAACACCAACATTATTTCAAAGACAAACAGCAAATTGAGAAAACTAAACAAGGAAAAACTCAAAAACAAGTTAAACATAACTGCGAACACAACCACGCATGCTCATAATAACCACACTCATACTCATACTCATCCCACCCATACACACACTTCTCACTCGACTCACTCTGCTTCTGAAGATACTGCAAACAACACAAGCAATTCCATTTCTACCAACAACTCCACTGTAATCTCCTCCAACAATTACTCCACTGCTACAAACACCCTCAACTCATCTACCACAACCAACAAAAAAATATTTCCAAACTCCTTCACCATCTCAAATTTAAATTCAATTGCAAATCTCAGTTCAAATAAAAACATAAACTCAAACTCAAACTCAAACTCAATCACAAACTCTTCTTCCACTCAAAATCAAAATCAAAATATCAATATAAACTTGCTTTCAAATTCCTACAACGCAATCCCAAATTCAATCACTATTCCTGACCTAAGCAACATTAATTACCTCAATAACCACAACAGCATGTCTCCTAATAACAACAACAACAACACCAACACCAATAATATTATCACCAACAATAACCTCATCTCTTCTTCCCCTATTAACAACAGCAACATCAACACCAATAATAACAACTTAAACTCAAATAATACCTCCAATAGCCCCCCTCAAACCTCCTCAACCCTTTCTAATAAACCTCCTTCTGTCTCGTATAAATACAACTTTCTAGTTTACTACTTGGATATCGATAACCATAACATTGATATCGAAAATCTACACAACGATATTAACATCAAATTAATCCAATCGGGTTTGAAAACCTCAAACATAACCTACTTGAATTGTTTCAGCTCTTTATTAGCTTTATTAATCGAAAAATCAAAAATCGAATCTGATATCTCCTTTCCAACTGTAATCATAATAAACGATAACAACAATCTTAACAATATCCAAGACTTGTTGCCAAATAAAAACATCAACTCAAAGATCTTCAACACCCTCGACGATCTAAAATCTTTCTCGGATATCTCAATTTTCTTAAATATTTTCTTCTACAACTTAAATCTATCCATAAGCACAACAAACAATTTAAATTACCCAAAACTATTATCCCAAATCCTATTAGCTAACGATTTCTTTATCAAAAATAGATTCAAAAGAATGAAATCTTTATCCGGCTTAAACATCTTTGAAAATAATACAACCTTAAATTTCAACAATTTGATCAATAAAAACTGTTGCGGTAACTCCTCCTATGTTCATTTCCATCACAACAAATCAAACCATTTGATTAAAAAAATCACCTCAACTCCCTCAGAATTAAACCAATCATACTCTTATCCCACTTTTAATATAATCCCATTTCCCGAAAATATATCTATTCGATCAATGACAAACAATTTATCTCTAATCTGCCAAACTAATTCCTTCAATTTTGTCTCTTTAAATTCCTCAATCTTAAAAAAGAGATTCCAAAATTATCTAGATTTGATTGTCCACAATATCGATTTTGAAGAATCCCTAAATATATCAAGCTCAAGAAAATTCTTTATAAAAGAATTTTGTGTTGATAGTTGGTATTTTCCATCCCATGATTTATCCTACGAAGAATTAATCTATGTAGCCTTTATAATCATCCAAAAATCTTGTAATGATGTCAAAACAGAATATAACTCCAATTCCTGTTCCAATTTATCCTCAAATTCTTTAAATGATTTAGTTCCTTCAAACAATAAAATTATATGCTTCTTATTAGCCGTTAAAAATTCTTACCATGCTGGTAATAAATTTCACAATTTTAGACATGCAATTGACGTTTTACAAGCTACCTATTTCTTTCTAATTAAACTAAATCTCCTATCAACAGATTCCCTAATTTATGCCAAATCCCAAAGTCAAAATAGAATAATTAAAAACAAAAAATTGAATATTTTAAATTCTTTGAAATCAAAATCAATTACTCAAATCGTCAATGAAGAAGTTCAAAATACTTTAGATAAAAGTGGTGAAGAATTAAATCCCATAGTTGAATACAATTATTATCTTAATAGTCCAAGAGCTTATATTCAAAATTTATTTGATCAAGAAAAATCATATAAAAAGGAAAAACAAAAACAAAGACAAAGACAAAATAATAACAAAAATAACAAAAGTAACACTGATATTGGTAATGATAATGATACCGATAGTGATAGTGATAGTGATAGTGATAGTGACTCCGATAATCTCTCGTCAGAATGTCTTGTTAATGAAGTTATGAAACCAATTGAAGTGTTAGGATTACTATTAGCTGCTCTTGGACATGATACTGGACATCCTGGATTGACCAATTTATTTTTATGCAAACATGAATCACCATTGTCCACTATATTTAATGAAACATCAGTTTTAGAAAACTATCATTATATTATGTTTGAAAAACTAATTACAAATTTTTGGACAGAAAAACATTTTATTGATCTTCCAAAGACAGTATCATGTTGCATTAGTTTGAAAAATCTAATAACAGAAAGCATACTAGCTACAGATATGGCAAAACATTCGGAATATATTACAAAAATTAAACATTTTAAAGAACTAGCCAATGAATATAATAATAATGCAAATAAAAATGATATAAATAAAGATGAAATCAAAAATAAAATAAAGAACCAAATCAAGGAAAAATTAACCAGTAAATTATTATGCTCATTAATAATCAAATGTGCAGATATTTCAAATGTTACAAGACCTTTAAGAGTTTCAACTCAATGGGGTATAGCATTGGGTAAAGAATTTGGAGAAATTGCCACATTAGAAAGTTTATTGACGATAAACAAAAGATTATTGGATTTAACGTTAAGTACTAAGATAAATACCGAAGGCCCCTTAAATATTGACGACTACATTCGGAAAAATTTCGATAAAGATGATTTAGATTTGATAGTAAAAGAAAATTTACAAGATGATGAAAATTCACATAAGGATAATGGTCTTTATGATCAAAGGGGAAACAAACTAGGATTAGTAAGTTGTTTAAAAAACAATCCGGAACTTTATAAGGGACAAATTTTTTTCATTAATACATTTGCATTAGAATTATTTAAAAGTATTCTGGAAATATTTCCAAATTTAAGATTTGCTGTTGGAATCATTGAGAAAAATGTTGCATTTTGGGAAAAGATTAAATATGATATTGAAATTAATGATGGCAAAGAATTAAATGGGTTGGATGAAATATTGCCTCTAGAAGCTATATATTAACGTGTATTAAATTGGGAACCATCAAAAAAAAAAAAAAAAAAAAATTAAATATAAATTTTATAGACGATTGACTATTATGCATTGATTTCTAAATTTTTTTCTATTGAATTATTGAATCACTTTTTATACTTTTTTTCAGATTTTATATAGTATTTGTTTTCTTCACTTTCTTTTATTTCGTATCAGTTTTCATAGTATTTCTTTTATTTGGTGTTTTTCTATTTTCTATTTTCTTTTACGTTTTGCTAGATTCTTACTTTTATTACTTTTATGCACCAAATTAGTGGTTTGTAACTTTTCACGTCAAAACTCTCAAAAACCGTTGAAGCGGCAACGGCTGTCAAATTCCGGAACTTAAACGCAAAAAACAAAAAAAATACAAAGAATACCCATGATGGGACTCGAACCCACAATTTCCTGATTCGAAGTCAGACGCGTTAACCATTACGCTACACAGGTAATATTTAACTTAAGAGCTCTTCTGCAAATTACTAAAAGCCACATTTTTGTTTCAATGCAGGGACTTACAGGAAAATTGCTTGACGGGACTTGCCGCTTTGGGAATTTTAGAACACTCAGATAAGAAGTTCCCGCTTGTTTGAGTATGGACCAATCAGAGCTCGTCTTCAGACCACCGAAAATGCTGAAACCTGCTAGTGGGAGAGAGCTGCGATAGCTGGGTGATTGTTCAGTGAAGAAGTCAATAAAGAGGACAGTATGTTCTTTAGACGATAAAGCAATTGCCTACTTGATTCGTGACACAGCGAAAATGCCATAGATGCTTTCTACGTAGAGCTGATAATAAATCAGTTACTGTAGAGCGAAAACTGAAGATAGAAAAGAGAGTCGGATCTCGCTGTGCTTATCACTAAATAAATCTCTCGAATTGCAACACCGGAAGGTGTTGCTCACTTTCAAGAGCACTTAACCCATATCTTTAGTGGACATAGAGCTCTTTGGGAGGTTTTTCTCTGTTTTTGTTTCTGATATTTAACTGATAGGATAAGAATAATAATATAGTAATAATTATTTTTTTTTATTTGGTTTATATGATATGATTTTTTGATCAAAATGTTTTTCGAGTTTTGATAAGGAAATTGTGGTTTGAAGTGTAGCTCTCAATTCTAGTTGAAAAAACAAGCAATCTTAGTTTTTATCTATTTTGTCTTTTCTCTTTATAAATATCATTATATTTCCTTTGAAAGTTATTTCTTTTTTTTATATTTACTTTAACACCATCTTTAAATCACAATCACAATCACAATTACAATTACAATTATTATTTCAATTTTACTCTTATTCTCAATTCTTTATCAAAATGACTGTCACAGATAATAATGAATCTTACTTATTTCAAGCTGCTATTGAAAAAAAACAGCCAATGATTGTGTCAGGCAGTGGAATCGCACTAGTTGTTGAAGATCCAGTTACTCTTGAAAAAAAAACAATCTACGATGGTAATACCTCAGCTTCTGTCGGTTCATTAGGACATGGTGATCCTGATATTATTAAAGCTATGAAGGATGCAGCTGAAGAATGTGCTTACTCATATCCTGTTACCCTTTGTAATTATAACGCAGAAAAATTGGCAGAATTTATTTGTAAAAATTCTCCTCCTGGTGCATTTTCTAGTGCTGTCTTTCTTGGTTCAGGTTCTGAAGCCAATGAAAATATGTTAAAGATCGCTTACCAATATCATTTAGAGAACAATCAACCTGAAAGAACTAAGTTTATTTCAAGAAACCAAAGTTATCATGGATTTTCTTTAGGTTCAATGTCAATTGCTCAAACTAAAAGACACGAAAAATTTAGACCAATTAATTTAGATCAAAAACAATTTGTCAAAGTAAGTGAATGCTATCCATATCAAAAAATGAAAGAAAATGAAACCCTTGAACAATACAAAGACAGATTAGTCAAGGAAGTCGAGGATAAATTCATCGAATTAGGTCCCAATACAGTTGCAGCTTTTATCTGTGAGACTGTTTCGGGCTCTACTTTGGGTTGTCAACCACCAGTTCCTGGTTACTTGGAAGGAATTAGAGATATTTGTGATAAATACGGTGCCTTATTTGTATTAGATGAAGTGATGTGTGGTATTGGTAGAAGTGGTACTTACCATGCTTGGGAACAATTTTTGCCATTAGATAAAGGCCCTGATTTACAAACCATTGGTAAGACTTTGGGTTCAGGTTATGTTACCATTGCAGGTATTTTAATCTCCCCCAAGGTTAAAGAGGTTTATTTAAAGGGTTCCGGTAAAGTTATTGGTGCTCATACTTATCAATCCCATTCATTCAATTGTAAAGTTGCCTTGGCAGTTCAAGAAAAGATCATCAATAACAATTTAGTTGAAAACTCTATGAAAATGGGTAATTATTTGCATAAATTAGTTGAACTTAAATTGAAGGACAGTAAGATAATTGGTGAAGTTAGAGGTGCCGGAACATTTCAAGCAGTGGAATTTGTTAAAAACAAAACAACCAAAGAACCATTTGAAAAGGAATTGGATTTGGGGCATTTAATCGCTAGTAGATGTTTTGAAAAGGGATTGCAAATCATGGGTATGGACAATTGTATTGATGGCGATAAGGGTGATCATATTTTATTCTCTCCAGCTTATATTATAACTAAAGAAGAAGTTGACAAGATTACAGATATCTTTGCTGAAGTATGTAATGAAGTTGAAAAGGAGATCCTCGGTTAATAAGTTAGCCATTTTTATATTTTTATATTTTTACATTTATTTATATTTATTTTACATTTTACACTATCTTTTTCCGGTCCATGACACCAAGACATATCTGGTTAGCAAAGGCTTATCTATGGAAAGTAGCGGAAAAAGCCGTCCTGATTGGGAAAGTTCAGTTTTCCATCACATTTTTTACCAGTTATTTACAATTTATAATGATAATATTAGCTGCAACGTAAAAAAGTAACGCTAATTAGCATTTGCACTCAATTCACAGGTTATCTCTTAAGTTTCAAAGTTCAAATCAAACCAACAACTCAAGTCATTCTGGAAGTTGGCTAAACGCCACATGCTACAGCCTTGATCATTCTGGAAACCAAACTTTCAGCCGTGGTGGAGCCCAGTAAAATCGAGAACTAATGAGGCGCATCCTCGGATTATTCCAGTTTCCAGTCCAAAGCCGGCCGGATTAGAGCCGGACACTTCTCGGTATTGAAGCTTTTTTTACAAAACTCCGATTTGCTTCTCGACCGAAACAAAACCGGTTTTCCGCTGCGTCTTTTCTCAACTGCAATCTCTGCTGGTTTTACTTCCAATTTCCAGCAAAACCATGGCGCCAGTGTATGTTTCTTGCTGTTTTGCTGTTTTTTTTGGCAATACACATACTAACGTTGCCTAGAACTGTGTTTGTTAAAATCCAGGGCAAGCTAGTGTTGCCAATCAAGATTCACATCAACAGAAAGTCCATACTCTCATCTCACCTCTCCAATAACAAGAACAGCAAAAATGTCATCTTTGAGTCGACAATATCTTCGAAAAACTTGATCAAATTGAGAAAGGCCCCCAGAATCATCATGTCCAACAACGACATGAAGTATCTTGTCAACAATGTAATCAAAAAAGAGCTACTTGCCATTCTTTTCAACGATGCTGCACAGGACAATGAGAGCCACACCACCAACTATGATAGCGACAGTATCAACCTCCTCATCACCAAAAAAAACTGGAAATTGAATCTCAACATCAAGAAGGGGCTCTTGAGTACTCTCAGAATGATCTTGAATGTTCACAGTGCTCTCGACGACCTTTGCCTTGATAGGATCGACCCCAGCGTTATCAATTCTAGCTACAACCTCCTACAAAAGACCTCTCACAGAGAGTTTGTCACCAAGATCGACATTGACTCAGACCCAGAGGCAGAGCCAGCAGAAGAAACAAAAAGTGCTGTTCATTTCAAATACAACAACCTCTTTGTCTTCAGCAAAGGCATTGATTTGTACGTGCTCCAAAAGGAACTCTAAAGTCGTTTGCTCTAAGCGCCCATACTTTTCCTGGCTGAGCCGCCACTTCCTGCTTTGCTATATTGCTATATAAACAACAGAAGGAAGATAATCGCAATCTGCATCGCAATAGCTAGAATATAGTCAATATATCTTCTTTTACCTCTCAACCTCCTCTGTTTTTTTGTTGCCAGATCCAAAATGCCTTCTCCAACTACTGCTCAAGATGCTGATGTCAAGATCACCAATGTCAATTCCAATGACACTTCCAATAACAGCCCCAATAACACTTCCAATAACAGCCCCAATAACACTTCCAACCCAAGTAACTGTAAAGTAACTCTACTTCCAGAGCAAGATCATTATCTCAAAAACCAATTAATCAAATTACAACTCCAAAATGAGTTCAACTCTTTGTACAATGATCACCTTCAATTCTTAGATAATTTTGGTCCTCCCTTTAATGATAACCTCAACGAAGCTCAAATCAATGAAAAATTTATCATAGATTATGCCTATAAATATCCATTGTTAAGGTTTTTTTTCTTTAATTTTATTAAAAATTTCCCCTTTATATTAAATATTGACAATAAATTTCAATTTAAAATTGAAGAAAATCAAAATGCCAATAACAGTAAAATTAACAACGATTATGTCAATCAAAATAACAGTATCGATTACAATGAAAATATTACTAAAAAATTAGATTTAAATCAAACCAATAATGACCTATTTTTTAAATATAAATTCAAAACATTTTACAACTATTTCCTAACTAAAAATCTTTCAAACTCAGTCGATAGATTAGAACTAACTAAGCGTAAAAAAATCTTTCTCAAATTCTTCAATTCTTTATTAATTTTATTCACTTCTTCAATTTCAACTAAAAACGAGCTAAATTACTACATGAACTACAAAAAACATGAAAACCAATTAATCGAAGATACTATCAAAAATAATTCAATCAACAACAACACTAATTATGATGATGATCAAAATATAGACATACATATGTCAAACCGTAACCTATTGAAAAAACTAAATCAGTTAAATAGTGTATATATTAATAATATAAATCTCAATATTATCGGTGTAATCATTAATGATCCTGAAGTTAATACTCCCAATAAAAATAAATCTCATAATAATCAAGATTCAAACTCTTCCTCTTATTTATCAAAATTTTCTTCTTATTTATATCCTACTTCCAAAAGCTCAAGATATTACCAATTTGTCATATCAACCAATTTTAAGTCTTATCTTGGTAATGATAGCGATCAATTTATCATTCAAAATTTCAATGTTGCTCGTAGATATTCTGATTTTAAAACCTTACACCAATCACTATCAAAGGAGTTTCCTCATATCAACTTTCCAGATTTACCTTTAAAATACAAAAAAATAAACTCTTCCTCTTTCAATTTTAATCTATTATTAAATGAAAATGATCAAAGTAATGATAATGATTTAGATGATATTGATGGCATTCAACTATTAGACCATATTTTATCTTCAAATAAAAACTTTACTAAAAAGAAAAATAAAAAAACAGACCAAAAAAATAATTCAACAATTAATTCCAATTCAAACTCGGATTCTGATTTGAGTGCTTCAAAACAACCAAAGGATAAATTAATCACTTTATCAAGACCCAATATTTTCAAGAAAAATAGTTCTTCTACTTCCGAGAAACATGTTTCTTCAAATAATGATGATATTGACGATATCGACGATTTAGATGATCTTGATGATTTAAACAATCTATCAAAGGGTTCCAAAAACAATATATCACCATTATCAACAACCAGCTCTTTTGAAGGTTCAGCAAATAAAAATGAAATTAAAAAAATTCCAAGAGAAAATTTAAGAATTTTATTAAAAGGATATTTAATCTCGTTAATAAAAATTCCCAAGATTTCCAATTCGTTAATATTAAAAGAATTTTTATCAAGAGATAGTATTCAAAAATTTAATAATATTCAAAAAAAGGATTTCTTAATCCGTAAGAAATTTGAGTTAATTAATTTAAAAAATCAGTTTATTTTACAAAAAAAAATCTTTCTTAGTAATTTAGAGTTGAAAAATGAGTTGAATAATTTTAAAGAAAATTATTTATTAAACAATGATGTTGATACTACACACATGTTGTTTATAATATTTAATGAAATTAAAGAGAAAAATTCGATTGACGAATTATCGCCTATTTTAAAGGTTTTGATTAGATGGTTTAAATTTCAAATAACATCAGTTATATACAACGTTTTTTTTGATTCCACGACAAATTCGTTAAAAAATTCCACATTGGACAATAAAAATAACATTAATATTAATGGTGCTAATACTAATACCAATAGCAATATAGATTCGGCGTCTTCATTACAAAATTATGAGTTGTATAATCAATTAAAAAAGTTCCACAGTTTATTTCCTTATAGCATAGTTTATCAAATTTTAAAATTCACCAATCCTGTTGTTATAATTAAAAAAATATTTGATTTATTTTTATATCAACCGCCTAGCTTGAATTTCCGACCTAATTTTTTGTTTTCAAATCCCAATGAAGAAAAAAGCGATAATGGCAATAATAACAATAATCGAAGCAAATCGTTTTTACAAACTTTATTTTCAATTGTTATAAACGACGATTTGTCTAAAATCAACGAAGAGATTAATAAGGTTGAATCTAAATTCATTTCAAGAGAAAAAAATTATTTAAAAATATTGATATTTTTTATTAAAATCAACTGCAATGAATTTCATGAAAGTGAAAATGGAAGTGAAAATGGAACCGGAAGTAAAAAATTAACAAGTATTAAAAAAAATATTTTAAATTCATATGAGAATAAAAAATATGGTGACATGGATTTAATATTAATTATTTTGTTGAATAAAGAATTATGGAAGTTATGTGAATTAAAGTATAATAAAGGCGATGAAAAAATAATAATGAATAGCTATCAACATTGGAAAATCCATCAAAAGAGTTTGGATGTTGAAAAGGAAAACCAATTGGATGAAGAGCAAGACGAAAATGAAGAAAATACAAAGAAGGAAAAAGCTAGCATTAAGCGAAGATTAAGTTTAAAAAAAAAGAAAAGGGGATTAAGCGTTGAATTTAAAAATAGTTCAAAGAGCAAAAGTGAGACAGAAGAATATGAACTATACTCGAACTTAAAAGAGCTATTTAAATTGTATACAAGAAAAAAGGACAAGGAGATTTACGAAGATTTGTGGTCGGAACCATATTTGATTTCGATGATTAAAGATTTTTTCATAATATTCTACGAGCCATTAATAAAAGTGATGAAAGCAGCGGATATCCATTTGGCGTTGAAGGAATTCAAGTTTTTTTTGAATGATTTGATTATAATATTGGAGTATTTGTATGAGAATTTCTATTTGATCAAGCCGGATAAGATATTTTTGATTTTGAATTTGTTGTTGAACAAGTATGAGGGATTTGCATTTGAGTTTATCCACAACATTTACAAGAATGACAATGAGGAATTGTTCAACAGCTTTATTAACTGGGTAGACCAATTTTTCAACTTTTTGAAGTTTTACAAAACAAATGAAGCTAACAGCGGGTTGCGAATTGACTTGAAGGCATTTATTGAGAAGAATGCAGAAGGCATTGATGTTGACAGATTAGTGAAAGAAATAGACATGATCATCGAAGAAAAGCAGAGGTTAAGAAAGGTTTACGATGTCAAGAAGGAAGGCGAAGCGGAAAAGCAGCAACAGAAGAAGTGCGGAAGATCGCTGGGTGAGACAGAAAGAAGCAACAGGTCCGAGACCGTTTGCAGTGCTGAAAGTGAGAGACACAATGAGGAAGGTCTTAAGCAAGAAACAATGCGAGATGGAGAGTGGTACTCGAAGCCATTCAACGAGTTGAATTTTGGAATGGAGGACTTTGGCTTCAACAAAGACGACTTCCACGAGCTCACCAACGAGCTCAACGAGCTCCAGAAGATCTCGACCAATGACTCAGAGGACGAGCAGTTGAACAAGTTCTTGAACACCAAGGACTACTACCAGATCCTGGAGTCTGGACCAGCCAGAGACAGCAGCGAAAGCAGCGAAATCAGCAAGCTCAGCAGGCAGTTCGAGAGACTCGTGCACGAAGCACTCGAGGCCTACGGACGCTAGGGCTGTTTCTGGACCCTGAAATGCGAGGTGGGATAATGAGATGATGTGGGTCGAAATGAGTTAATCGCGCGAGCTCAAGCTCATTGGGTCGCACGCACCCCACTGCACACACTTGTTGATCGCTGCACGCCACACTCCGGATGGGCAGCACGCACACAGGCCGGAGTTGCACCGGGATAGTGCTGTCTTCAGCTGATTTCCCGCCATCGCCACAGTCGCAATCTTAGCGTGGCCCTGAGTTACTTCTTTTTGACCGCTGATCTGTGCTTGATTGTGGATATTCCCAGTTTCTCTCAGAGAAAAACGCTTTCTGTGTGGTCTCCTATTGGTTTCCCACACACAAACCGACATGACGCATGCGTCTCAGCGTCCGCATGCAGCTCAAGCTAAATGAATAAGCATAAAATTAATACGCAAAAGAAATGCAAAGTGAAAAAAATTAATAAATCAAGAAACACAAAGCGTTAACGTTCCTGTTAGCTCCAATTATTCAGATGATATTCAGAGTAATTTTACAATCTTATAATCTTATATTCTTATAATCTCATATTGAGTGAATTCTATCTAGGATTTTCACTGACAATTTCCACTTCCAATTTTCACTTTCAATTTTCCAACTGCCAATTTCCACTTTCCTGTTATTTTGATCTTTCCCAGTTCCAATATAAATATCTTCATTTCCAGCTTCCTATTCTCAATTTCAAATGTCTGATTTACAGATATCTTCTAGAAGCATTTTCCTCTCCACTGCAACATGGGTTTAAAACACACTGTGAATTATTTTTTCCCTTTGATTCTTCGTGAGGTTGAAGATTACGATGATAAGCACGAATTCTTCACCAAAGAACATCCCGATATCGCCAACAACAAGATTGAATACAGAGACGAAGCTAACAGACCTTGGTGGAAGTTTTTCGATGAGTACGAATACAGATTGAACAAATTTGAAAGAGCCAGACACAATTGGTATCGTTGGTTTGACAAAGGCACCTCTTCTGCTGAAAAGAGACTTATCCTCAAGTTGGATTTCTTGGTCACCTTCTACGTCTTTATGGTCTACTGGGTCAGAACTTTGGATTCCTCCAACATCGCCAATGCTTATGTCTCCGGTATGAAAGAGGACATCAACATGCAAGGAAACGATTATATCAACACCGTCACTGTCTTCAACGTTGCCAACAATGTTTTCCAAATCCCCTTCATGTACTTTCTCCCAAGATTCCCAATTCACATCATTCTACCTGCCATGGATATCGGCTGGGGTATCTTCACTCTTGCTTCCTTCAGGGTTAACAGCACCAGAGACATTCAAATCATGAGATTCTTCGTCGGTGCCTTCGAATCAAGTTTCTACACCACTGTCCATTACTTGTTTGGTTCTTGGTACTTGCCTGCTGAATTAGGAAGAAGAGGTGCTATCCACTACTTTGGCCAGATGATTGGTACCATGTCTTCAGGTTTGCTCCAAGCTGCTATCCACAGAAGTTTAGATGGTACTGCCGGTTTGCCTGGTTGGAGATGGATGTTCATCATCAACGCCATCATCACCATCCCCGTCGGTTTGATTGGTTTCATGTTGATTCCTGGTACTCCTTATAAATGCTACTCAGTCTTCTTAAGCGACGAAGAAATCAGAATCGCTAGAGCAAGATTAAAGAAGAACAACATTGTTCCCCCACAAAAGGAAATCGGAAAGTTCTGGGACAAGAAAAGATGGACTAAAATCTTAACTAGCTGGCAATTGTGGGTTCTAACCTTCTACTACACCTGTTGCTTCAACTCTTCAAACCATCCTGGTAATGGTTATGCTTTATGGTTGAAATCCTTAAACAGATTTGACACCTCAAAACTTAATAACTTGACCACCATCAGTCCTGGTGTGGGTATTGTCTTAATCGCAATGTGTTCCTTAATCGCCGATTTAGGAAGATGTCGATATGGTGGTATTTGCTTTACTCAAATTCTTAATTTCACTGGTAATCTACTACTAACCCTCTGGAATATCCCTGAACACTCAAAATGGTTTGCTTTCTCCATTCAATATGCTGGTTGGGCTCAAGCTGCTACCATGTGTGCCTGGATTAACGATATACTAAGACACGACCCTCAAGATAGAGCCATTATCTGGTTAACTCTTTTCGCTGTCTCCCAATCGACTGTCATTTGGATTGTCAGATTAATCTGGCCTACTGTTGACGCCCCAAGATTCTTGGTTGGTTACGCTACTACAATGGCCTGGGCTGCTGTTTTGTTTCTCTTCTCCTTTGTCGTTCTTTGGTTCTATAAAAATGATGAAAAGAAATACGCCTTGGATAATGGTATCTATCTCTACAACTCCTCAAAGGGTGAAACAATTCCTGAAGATTCAAACGACTCTGAATCAAACAAAGAAAAATTAAGCGAAAAGCAAAGCATTCAGGAACTCATTCCAATTAAAAACTAATCAACTATCATATTTGGTTACCTTTAATTTCCAGTTTCCACTCAATGGATTTATTATTTTTCTCTCATTACTGTCTTTTTTCTCTCTCTTAATAATCTTTAAATTTTAATTTTAATTTTCTAATTATTTACCTAGCTTTTTCCTCTAAACTACCTTGTTTTTAATTTGGAAATAAATTTATTTTACTAATTATCACAATTTCAATCAATCTGTAGTTCAAAATCAAAAGAAAAAAGAAAAATTTCATTTATATAAAACAAAAATAATCCAATAAATTCAAAAAATTCAAAAAATCCAACAATAAAAATATAAAAATATAAAAATATAAAAATAAATGTACAAAAAATAATAATACAACTAATCATTCTAAATATCTTTCAAAACAGAATCAATTTGCGATCCAATGCCCTTTAATTTGCCGATAGTTAGCTCATCAACAACATTATCCACTTTTTTGCAACCTTTTTCAATCTTTGGAATTATTTCTCTCAATTTATTCAACAGCACCTTAATTCTATCAATATCAATTGGCAATAAATTACCTTCAATCGCCTCTCTAGTATTCCTGTTTACTTTTAAAAGTCCAACCAACAAACATAAATAGCCAACAATATATACAGATTCATTTTTTTTAATGTTACTTAATAACGACTCTTTGTAATCATAATCATAATCATTCCTTTTCTCATCTCGAACAAATCTAACATCTATACACCGAAGAACTCTCAATATCAAATCCAATTCTTCAACAAATTTTAAACTGCACTGATAGTTCTCTATCATATTAATCAAATAACCAAATGAGAATAATGTGAAATTGTTAAATAATATTTTAAACCGATTCCCATCATTATTAGAACTGTATTTTCTTTTAGATTTATAACTCAGGCTATTAATCATTATTATTTGCGTATTTAATATAATACTTAACAATTTTTTAATTAAATCTCCATCAAAAACAACAGCTTTGAACTTGTTTAATATATCACGATTATCAAAAAGTCGTTTTTCGTACTCAAAAATATTAGAGGTTATAATGATGTTTATTCGAAGTATGCTTAAACAACAATTTAATAGAAACCCCAAATTCTTTGAACTGATTTTATAATATTTTTCATTTCTAATCTTCCCTTTGCTAATCAAATCAAAATAATTGAAATCTATACCACTCAACGTGTCAATCAATTCATAGAGTTTTTGGAAAACTAGTATAAATGTATCAATTTCTTTTAATAATATCGTAAACACAATTTCACTAGAAACAATAGAATTTTCAATTAAACTCATCATTAATTGATAATTGATTAAGTTAAATTTGGAAATTTGTGATGGATCTTTAAAAGGATTAGATAATAACAAACTTTCCCCTAATAAAAATAAGTTTAAGCTAACTGCTTCATCGCCGAATAAACTTTTAACTAAGGGGAATTTCAATAAAATAGAATGATCTAGCATTAATCTATCAAGAATAACTAAACCAAAGAAAAACGCCGAAACTTCCTTATCTATAAAATCATTTAACTCACAAAACTTCTTTAAAAACTCTTCGAGTAACTCTTGGGAGGTTTTGGAAACTTTTTTAAAATTTCTAAAATCGTCACAAATCTGAAGAATATTTTTGTTATTCAAAATCAACAAGTTTTTTAGCACTGTTTTGAAACTTTCAAAATTCTGTTGATTTGAAAATACCAAATTGACAAAATAATTGTTTTCAAACTTTCCTCTTTCAGATTGGTATAAAAACCTAGAAAAAATGAACCCAAGACAAAAAAGAATAATTGGGTCAAGTTCATTCTCGGATACATCAATTATAGACTCAACAAATGGTGTCTGATTTAATGCAAAAATGAAATTATTGTCTTCAGAATTTGACTCATGAACTAACTTCAAGCATATTTCCAAAAGACTAAATCTTTTAGATGATAAACTTGAACTTAGTTTAATGCCATCGAATATGGAATCTAACTCATCTGAATAATTTGATTTTTTTCCCGATGCTCTTAATTCATTTATCCCCTGAACTGCGTTAGGTTTTATTGGTGAAAAATGCACAAAATCATTTTTCAAGCTAAAATCTTCATCCCGAGGAATAATTTCGGTTACTGATTGTTTTCTATATTGAACAGGCATCAATTCATGATTCTCGTTTTGATCAAGACTAAAATCATTTTCCATAGCATTTGTGACAGCACTAAAAACATAATCACCATCATTATTATTTGAGTCATTAGAAAATATACCATCATTGGTATTGGTACTAATAATATTAATATGGTTTGTGCCAATATCATTATCAAAATTGTTGTTAAAAACAGGAGAAGAAAGTCCATTGTCAATCTGACTGATTTCGAATTCATCATCATTAGCCAAATAACTTCGTTGAAAACCATATATTTTCTTTTGGCTGTCATTGTTGGCCAAACTAATAAGACTTTGTGAGTTTTCAGAATTTTTAAGATTTCCAGTATCTTGAGTGGTTTCAGTGATTCCATTTTCAATGCTAAGTATGGAATTATCATTTAATTTCTCATAATTGCTTGAGATACTTTGTTTTATAGAAAAAAATACAGAGTTGTGCAAATCTTCAAAATTTTCAAAACTGTCAGGTAAGGTAATCTGCAGATCCATATTCTTTGAAAGATCACCAATTATTATGTTATTACCATTGTCTGAGTTATCATTATTGTCCTTATTATCAATTTTTTGATTTTTGATTTGATAGAAATTGGAACTGTTTTGATTTTCAAATGAATTATCAGACAGGTTATTATTGTGCAAGTTAATTTGAGAATTCAGGTTAAAAATGGTTGAGTGAGAAGAATTTTTCAAAGGACTTATGATAGATTCATTGAATAAATTCCATGCGTCCGTCTCTTTTGTTTTTGTAATAGTAACATTAGTATTAGCATTTTCCCTGTTATTGTTTTTGATGGTTTTTTCTTTTTCAATCGATTCATTATTTTTTAAAATTTGAACATTTTCTTGCGTATTTCCCATTTTCTTGCTTGACAGCTTTTTGAAAATCAATTTTGGTTGCAAATTAGTGGGTGGCTCAACAAAAAACTTCATATTCAACGTATTGTTGTCTTTTTTGACTTTATTTTTAGTTTCGGATTTTGAAACATTATCTAATACCATATTCTTTGATATATTTTTTTGGTTTTCTTGATGGTTTTGGTGGTTTTGATTATTTTTATCCATACTAGAAGTCTCAATATTTATTCCCTTGGAAACTTTATAATCTGTTGAATTTTCTTTTGTTGGAGACGATAGTAATTGGTTGATAGATGATATATCTCTTTTTATTATAGCAATATGTTCGAATAAATTTTCATTTTTAAAATTTTGGTTGTTGTTGTTGTTGATAGATTTTTGTTTTTGTTTTCCATTTCTTGTTATTCTCAGAGTTATATTCGAATCCAAAAAAGAATTATCGTTAGATTCATCATAGTTAATTTTGCGAGAGGTTTTCTGTTTATGTACAAAATTAGCACTTTGTCGTAAGTTTTTATACTTTATTTTTATTGATTTGAAATCAATACTGGAAGAGTTTAAGGTATCATCGTTATAAATGTTGTCATTTATTTCAAACTTATTATCATTTTCAAGTGTTTGAAACTTTTGAGACTTAATTGCTCTTCTTTTTCTAGTCATTTTTTGCAAGTTATTTTTGATCAAGTCTGACTTCGAAGCCAAAATATCACTAGAAATCTCTAGATCATTTGGATTATTATCTTTGTGAGCATATTGTTGTTTATTTTTTGCTGGACTAGTATTGTGTTGAGTGCTATCAAAAGACGATAAAGAAAACAATGTATCTCCATACGACGAGGAGGACTGCAGTGATGATGGCGAGCTGGACACAGTTGTATCATGAACATTGGAAGACACTGAGCGATCAAAGAAAGCCCTCTTCCTCTTTCTGCCGTAGGTCTTCATTTGAGGTGTATTTACTTCTTCTGCAGAATATAATTCAAGGGAAGAAATAGTTTCTGTTGCTTTGACTGTAATACCCACAGTGGCGGAATAAATACACATCAACGCAGTTTCAAATGCATTGTTACACTAACATGCATGAAATTACATACCCTCTCTGTCAATTTTGTTTTTTCTTTTTGGTGAAAAGAGTCGAAAAAGCTGGTTTTGGTGGTTTTGGGTCTGTTGGGCGTATATTGAAGAAACAGTGTTGGTTGGCTTGGGCTAGTTGAGGTTAAATACTGGAGCAGCTGCAACATATTTCAAGATTGGTCTTAGTTTTCTTAGATTTTGCAGTCTGGTTGTTCATTAATGTCTGTCATTTTGCAGTTGAATTCAGAGCTAAATTTAAACTCCCAGAATGTTGTCGAATTCAATTACAAGTTGATTAATTTCAAAGAATTATCGATTGAATATCCATCATTGAAGTCCTTTTTTGCAGATTATGAAGAAAATATCTACAATTTCAATGATCAAAATTCATTGATTGAGCTTTCGAAAATTTTATTAAAAAAGTTTTTCAGCATTAATATTAGCTTATCTTTGAACTTTTTGATCCCAAGAATCCCAATAAGATTTCTTTACGTCAAGTATATCAATGAAATTTTGTTTAGCTATCATTTTGACAATGTGAGCTCATTGTTCTTAGCTGACAGTACTGGCACAGAGAAAACAGAAACTGTTGGGATAGATATTGGAACCGGTTCGAGCTTGATCTATCCTCTACTATTTATATCTGCTTATAATAATCATAACAATCATAACAATAACAGTGAAGATGATTACAAATTAGACTATAAAATTATTGCAACAGAAATCAACAACTATTCTTTTGAATTTGCAATGGATAATTTAAAGTCAAATAAACATTTAGGCTCGAATTTGGAAGATAAAATTAATATTGTTAAAATCAGTAAAAATGATGATCCTTTAATTGATTTTGATAAATTTAAATTGATTAAAAACATTAACAATATTGAAAATATCAAATTCTTAATGTGCAATCCACCTTTTTACTCAAATAATTATAGCATTAGTAGATTCAATAATACGAATATTGATAATAAAGAGGAGACCTTAAAGAAAACCATTGGTTTAAAATCTGAACTCTATTACAAGGAAAATGGAGAACTCGATTTTATTCAAAAATTAATCAAAGAGTCTCTTGTACACAAAAATAAAATTTGTTGGTATACCTGTCTAATTAGCAAATTTAAATTAATTTCAAATGTAATTTTAATCATAAAGGAAAATAATATTTCAAACTATTTAATTCATGAGCTAAATCCTAGTAATGATTTTTATAATCAAAACTCTCCAATTAGTAACGATAATAAAAGTTATAATCGTGGCAAAAGATTCGTACTATTATGGTCATTTAACTACATTCGATTACCAAATTATTTATCATCTAACAACAAATTAATTTTAAAGAAATATTGTTCAAATAATAATGAATTTAAGGTTGATTTAAAATCATTCATTAAAGATGACCCAATTGAAAAAAATAACATGGAGCTTATTAAAAATTGCTTAATTTCAGGTCTAGATTATTCAAATGTAAAGGATTTAAAGTTGAATAATATATTTGATTCTTTTATAATCAAGTTTGATGAAAATGTGTGGTCAAGATCTTATAAAAGAAGATTAAAATTTAATAAAATTAATGAAAATGATAATATGAAAAAGAAAAGAAAGGTTATAAATGAAGACGAAATTATAATTATTCAAATTATTTACGATCATTTGAACTCACATTTGTATTTATTTTGGAAGTATGGAAAATATTATAAAACTTTTGAAAGTTTTACAGGATACACTTTAAGACAGTTGAATAATTTAATAGAAAAATAAAATAGTTTATGTAATTTATATATTTTTTTAATCACAACTTTTGCAAATAACCCTGATTGATTAATTTTTCGACATCGGAGTATCTAACAAAAAATTGAGAGTCTTTTGTCAAGTTAAACACACCATATTCAGTTTGAATTTCTCCAACATCCTTGAGAACTCGAACATCAATAAAAACTTCGTTTGGAGGCTTTAATGAACCAGTTAGGTCAATATCAGCAAATTCGTTTTTATAATCTGTTATTAAGTCATTGTAATTCTTGAAATAAATCTGTTCATTAAAACTCAAGTTATCCAATAAATTATTTTCATTTGAAATTTGAATGTTTTCCCAGCTGATTTTGTTTAAATATAGACATCTTGTCTTTTGATAACTCAACAAAATACGTTTGTTTCTACGTAAACATAAATACAAAACAAATAACTGACACTGTTTCACTCTATTTGGCTGAGAATCATTTGACAAACCTGACTGTATTTCTTGGATTTTTTTCTCAATATGATTGATCTCCTTTATTATCGCCTGAACCGAATCATTCGAATATAATGGCAAGGAGTCCAATGCCCTTGATCTCTTCGAGTCCTGTATTAATTTGTTAGCAATGTCCCCATACATTTTTCAGACAAAGAAGGAAACATTTTTTGAAAAGAGAACTCAATTTATAGCGGAAATAGAGCCCTGTTCAGAGCCCTATTTTGGTTAAATGCAAAGAGACAAAATGAGGCAAATCAGATATAAAAAACTTTGATAAGCATACTATTTATAGTTTCGAATGTGAAATATGGCTTGAAATGCAGTGAAACTGATATTTACTACTTTAATAAAATAGGAATAAAGAGTTTGATATTTCTTTAGGTTATAATGTATTTCTTAACTGGCTTTGGTTTTCATTATCCCAGCTCCAAGAATTCTTTTGCAGATGATAATTCAGTATAATTGAAAGCAATTTTATTGATTGAAAGTCTGGCCTTTTTTAATGAAAAATACGTTAAATAAAAAATTAATGCTTGTGTCAAATAAATAATTCAGCATAACATTCTCCTCAAATTAAATATAAATTAGCTCATAAACAGAGTTGAAAGATACAAAAAATGAATATTATTACAAATAAAATTAGGCGGTGATTACACAACTTATTTCTTAAAAAAAAGATAACATTATTTTTCTATGCATCCTTAATCATGTTTGTAGTTGACTTACTTTTCCGGAACTAAATCGCAAAAACGTTGGTTTTTATGATAGAAATAAACTTTTGTAATTTGCGTAATCGATAAAATCCGCATAAATGACTGATTTCATTACTTTTTCAGCCTTATATATCACAGTGTAGCTCTAGCTCTCTGTGACTGGTGCACTGATGATATTCCAGTAAAATTTGCTCAATCTCTGGAAAGAAAGAGCTCAGTCCCTGTTCTCAAGCATTTCCTAAAGCGGAAGAGCCATGTTGGACTATCGACCCGAAACACTGGCTCGTGATATGCGCTTCCCAATCGGGCTGCAGCCGCTTCTTATCAGCTTGTGCTTAAATCTTCCTCTGTCTTCTGGTATCTTGAGCAGAGCAGGTTAACGTGCTGCTTTTGAGCCAAAACAGCAGCAGATGAAGGGTAAATTGAGAGATCTGAAGGAAAAAGTGGGTGTTTCCAGCATTGGAAAGAAGAAGAAAGTACTCTCGAGGGAATTCAATGGCTGCTGGATGTGCAGAACTCGAAAGGTCAAATGCGATTTGAATAAACCTAATTGCAAGAGATGTGAAAAAGCTGGTTTTGTTTGCTCAGGCTATCATATTAAATTAAACTGGTTGTCTCCATTGACTTCAGTTTATTTTGTTTCAAAAAATTTTATAAATTCAAATAACTTAACCAACTCTCCTGATGAGGATAACGGATTGCCTGATCATTATTCTCAAAGGTCTTATATTCAGCCCTTTAGATGGGAAACACTTGACAAAAATTTCATCAATCCAACTTTTATTGACAATCTATTGTCTAAAATTGATAAAAGATGTAAATCAAATCAATACACCAATGAGGGCCCCTTTACAGTTTTTCCAATCTTAAAAGAACTACAATGCTTAGGTTGTAACAATAGCAATGAGTCTGACCAGCTTTCAGACTTGAATCAAGAAATAATCATTGACTCCAATATTTCTAATAATAGTTTCAAAGATAATTCCAATCATGAATCCAGAAATCCCACTAATAATATTAACAAAGTGGAAACCAAGTCTTTGCTGATAACTTTTACCAAAAACCCCGATAAAAATTTGTTACTTTTGGCCAACTCATCTCTTATCACGAGTAAATATCGACATATTGATCAGAATAGTATTCATGATGATAGTAGTAGTAGTAATAATAATAATAATAATAATAATAATAATAATAATAATAATAATAATAATAATAATAATAATAATAATAATAATAATAATAGCAATAAAAGCACTAATTTTATTCCTTTAATTACATCTTTGGAAACTTCAAACAAGTATTCAGATCAAAATCCTACTCAGTTTAAATACTGGGTTCATGAGTCTCAATCAAGAAATTTTAACATATCCCTATCATTGTTAAAGGTTTCTTATAACTTGACAAAAAATTGTGATTTTTCTTCATATTTAGATATTTTTTTCAACCCCAACAGTCTTATTCTGTCAAATGATTTGTATTTTGATATAAAATGTTCAAATTTATTATTCAATTTGAATTACTCTCAAAATAAAATATCATTTACTAAATTGTTTGATCAATTGATTCTCAACTTTAAAAATAATGTAATGATTTTATTAATGAATTTTTGCTTAAGTAATTTAAATCCATGGTTAATTAATTTTTTCCCATTTATAATAAAAATTATAGAAAGTATACTACTAACAAAAAATTCAAACGATTTATTATTTACCTCGATTAATTGGGAAAATGATATTAGTTTATTTATAAAAGATCAAAATTTCTTTATTAAACAATTAATTCTTTTACAAGTATTGTGTTTATCCTCATTTCATTTATATAACACTTTAAACATTCCAAAAAATGAACTGGATAATCTATTAAAACTATCAATAGTTTTAAGAAATTTAATTACAATAAAATTGGATAATATAATTGATTACATTAATAGTTATAATAATGGCTATGATAGTAGTTATAATGAATTTATTAATGAAATTACATTAAATTTTAAAATTAATTTTTTATTTTTGTTTTATATTCAATTCTTTTTGAATAATCAATTTGATGCAAATTTCAATTTTAAAAAGTATTATGATTTATGTAATAAAATAATTTCTAATATCAAGGAAAAATTATATCAGGAAAGAGAAAAAGAAATTGACCAGATGAAAATTAAACAATTAAAAGAAATAATTGATTTTGATTTAAATAATGATTTAAGTGATTTTGAAGATGAAGATGACATTGACAGTGATGATATATTGTACTTGAAAATACTAAATCAAAATGAAAATTTCAAGAATGAGCTCAATTTTAATTATTATTATTTAATTATTTATTTAAAAATTATAAAAGGGCTTTATTATAATACGTTTATCTTTGATAGATCAAATTTTCAGATTTCAAAGAATAAAAAGTTTGATGATGTGTTGAAGAAAAATTATAATAAAGTTAAATCAGATTATGAGTATTTTAAGAAAAACCCGAGAAAATCAAATAGAGTGAAAATCAAAATAATTACCTCATTGTCTGAAAATACTCATGGGAATATTGTAGAAAAGGAACTGAACAAAATGGAATCAATTAACCAAGAACAATATAATAATGATAATAATGATAATGATAATGATGATGATAATGATATTAATGATGATATTAATTTAATTGAACAAAATATGGCATACCAAAATTTTCATCTGGGCCGGCCAACATTTCATATAAAATTTAATTATGATGATGTTAGTGAATCAAAGGGGTTTATAAATAATCAAAAGCAATTCAAACAATTGAGTGTAAATTTACCTCTTTTTGAGAGCCTTTGCAATGATAATGACACCGATATTATTTTTCCTCTAAACAATAATGGGATTAAGGATAAACTTGAGAATCTAAACCTTAATGACTTAGTATATCCAGTGCCCTTATCTTTGCTAAATTTATCGTACAAGATTGCTAAATTATGTAGTCATAATAACTTTTTCAAAGAAAAGAAAATCTGGGCAAGAAATTTTCCTAAAATACTGTCTGATTTTGAGGATAGATTATTAAATTGGAAGAATAATTGGAAACTAACATACTACGATAAAAAAAGCAGGCTGGTGAAATATATCTCGGTTTACCATGAGTTGATCTATCACAACATAATGTCCTTTTATTACAGCGTGTTGATATACTATTGTCGCTATGTTAACGTCAGTTCTTTAGTCTCGATAAACAGCTATGTTTTGAAAACAATAAGCCATTTAAAGAAAGTCTATCAGATAATTGAAACAATGTATGATAATATGGATGGTGTAGGAGAAGGGAAACCGTTTCATTTCAAACCATTTTTCTTGCCAATATTCTACGCTAGCTGCGAGGTGAGTAGTGACGCTTTACAAAAGGAATGTGAAGTAATTTGGCGCCATTACGATAGATATATTCGTCAAAGCAACCGGTCGAAGAGCAGCATTTTCAACAACAACTACTGGAAGGCCAAGCAGGTGGTGTATGAGATTTGGGAGCAGCAAAACCAGAACCACAAGAACGTGTCGTGGATCGAGTTGCTCAAGCAGTGGAACTTCAAGTTGCTTCTAGTGTAGTTTCCAGTGCTTCTGCTGGCTCTGCTGGCCCTGCTGCTTCTGCTGCTTCTGCTGCTTTTGTAGATATCCAGAGCTGTCATGTTGGGCCAGCAAGATCCGGCACTGTGGTGCTGATCTAAATATGCAGGATTATGCAGGATCCAGACTAGGAGATGCAGAATGTATACCGTTAGAAAGACACGCTAAATCGAATTATTGATAGGCACCAAGGCACTACTTCTTATGATCCAGCCTTAGCTGTCTTTTTAGTGGACTATTTGCACTGGACAACTTATCGATATGTGAATTATAACTTTAACCAGAGGTTTATCTCATCAGAGTAGTTGAAAGTGTCTGAGCGAACCAGTCCTTATCAGATAGCAAAAACTCTTATTTGTATGCTTTGTTGCAGCTGCGATAAAGTTTTATTACCTAAGGACAAAATCAGTTGCACCAAAAGTTCCAAAACTCGCCTAGAATGATTCTTTTTGATATTTTCTCCACAGAACATCTAACAAAAAAACCATACTGCGAAACTACCATCATATCTTTTTGCAAGTTTCGTCTGTATGGGTTCTTCGTAACTTTCGTCGTTAATGTCTGTTTTTTTTTCAATGAAATATATCGATCAACATTAGGGTGTTAATTGAGTATCTAGTTATTTAGAATTTTTATGTCCAAATAAATTGATAAGCAAAAGAGTTCTTATATGAATATCCTTGGGCGAATAAGACTATCTGATACTAGGGGTATTGAGTGAATTCACTATCAACTTCGTAAATACAATGGAAAATAAAACAAACTGTTGTTGAGACACTATAGAAACAATTGAAACAAAAAATCAATACCTCCCATGAAATTATATAAATGTGAACCATCGCTTCAATAATATCCTAAAGAGCAGTTCTGTTAAATAATTGTCGAATTTTTTAATTTTATTATTTTGTTTTCGACTCACACAACTCTTCACTAAAATTAAAAAATTAATTTAAACAAAAAAAAATGTCTGATTCTCCAGGAAAAGTCGATACTGATCAAGACCTCGAAAAAAATATTGCAGTTGGTAAAGCATTATCACTGCACTCAAGTCATTCAGTGCTCAGGCAAGGGTCTGTTATTTTTGATGAAGGTGATCAAAATAATGTTCATCGTGGTTTGAAATCTCGTCATATTCAACTTATTGCCATTGCAGGATGTATTGGTACAGGTCTATTTGTCGGTTCAGGTGCAGCCTTATCCACTTGTGGTCCAGCAAATTTGTTCATGTCCTATTGTATTATTTCCTTTGTGATGTGGATTATTATGAACGATTTAGGTGAAATGATTGTTTATCTTCCATTAAAAGGTATGGCAATCAGTGGTTATGTCGATAGATACGTTGACAAATCTCTCGCTTTCGCAACTGGTTGGTGTTATTGGTATACTTACTCTATTGTCGTAGCCGCAGAATCAACAGCTGGTGCCTTTATTGTTCGATACTGGACCGATGAGGTTCATATGGCTATTTGGATCACTATTTTTACTATTCTCATGGTAGGAATTAACGTTTTTGCTGTTGGATTATACGGTGAATTGGAATTTTGGTTTGGTTCAATCAAAGTTATTACAATTGTTGGTTTGATTATTTTAGGTGTGGTGTTGTTCTTCGGTGGTGGTCCAAATCAACATGGTGTTTTAGGCTTTGGATATTGGCAAGACCCTGGAGCCTTTAAAGAACACATTGTTTCTGGCCACACTGGTAAATTTCTAGCTTTCATCACTGCGCTTGTTAAATCTGCATTTTCTTTTATTCTTTCACCAGAGTTGATTGCCATTTCCGGTAGTGGTGAAGGCACTGATCCACGTCGTAATATCAAAAAAGCTACAAAGAGATTTGTTTATCGTGTTATTTTCTTCTATATTTGCGGTTCCTTTATTATTTCCGTCATTGTAGCCTATGATGATGACAGATTAATGAAAGCTGTAGATGAAGGTTCATCAGGTGCTGCTGCTTCCCCATTTGTTATTGGTATTCAAAATGCTGGAATTCCAGTCTTGAACCACATCATCAATGCAGTTATTTTAACATCTGCCATTTCTGCCGGTAACTCTTTATATTTAGCTGCTTCTCGTTCATTGTTTGCTATGGCAAAACAAGGTTATGCTCCAAAATTCTTTGGAAATTGTAACAGATTTGGTGTTCCTTACTGGGCAGTTTTGGCAACAGGTTTGGTATCTTTATTGTCATATTTGAATTGCTCCAATTCAGCTTCCGATGTCTTTACTTGGTTAACTAACATCACCACAGTTGCAGGATTTATCAACTGGTCAGTCATTACTGTCACCTACCTTAGATGGAGAAAAGCAGTTCAATATAATGGATTATGGGACAGAGTTCCATTCAAAACAAAACTTCAACCATATGCTTCTTATTTTGCTTTTTGTTTTGTTATTATTATCTCTTTGGTCAATGGATACGCTGTTTTCTTCCCAGATAGGTGGAATGCTTCAGATTTTGTTGCTGCATACATTACCATTCCAATCTTCCTTGTTTTATGGCTTGGACATAAATTTTTTATTGACAAATCTGGTAGTTTCTACAAAAAAATTGAAGAAATTGATGTCATCACTGGTTTAGAAGAAGTTGAAGCAGCTGAAAAAGAGTACCCAGAACGTATTGCAAAGAATTTCTGGCAGAAATTCTGGTTTTGGTTGGCTTAAGAATTTCCAACTCAACTTCATTTAACCGTTTTGTTTTGTTTTGTTTTGTTTTATTTTATTTTATTTTAACTTTAGCTTTAGTTTTTTATGTATTTTTCCTAATATCTATTTTTCTTTGCTACTAATTTAATTTATATTAATTTTAAAAAGTTAATGATCCAAATTTATTAGTTATAGCTTAAAAAGAGCTGGTAATATATATTAAAACAAAAATATTCTAAAAGCTTCAAATATTATTCTTGAGATTGATCAGTTTTCGGTGTGGATAATTCTTTGGCTTTAGTTCCTTTCTTTAATGCAGTTTGTTTTCTGTGAATTTTCCGCACAAAGTGAGGATTATTTAAAAATGTTAATAAATTTCGTCCAGAAATTTCGTTTTGATTTATCTTTTTACCATCCAAAATTGCGGCCAAAAAGCTATCTTTTTGTTTTTGTGTCTGTCGTAATGCGGATTCAACTGTATTATTTATAATAAGTGTATAAATATCGATAGAGTTAACATTGCCTTCCTTCTTGATTCTTTCAACTATTTTATTTTCAAAATCCCTATTCCAGTAAGGATCAATGAATATTACTCTAGAGAAAGGGACCGATTTGAATCCCAAACCATGAGAAAACCCAAACGTACATAACACAACTTTTTTCTGAATGGTACTATTAATTGCTGCAGAATATCTATCACTTCTATCATATCTTTCATATTCTATTCCATTTTTGACCAATTCCTGCTCAACCAAATCGCATAATTGAATAAACTGGAAAAATACAATAGTTGGTCGATCATGCTCTGTTTTCAACAAATTCACTAACTTTTGGATTTTAGCTGAAGGAGGATGGTTTTCTAATTCCTTTCTATCATATTTATAATTAATTGCATCGAGTATACGATATAATTCATCATCTGGAACCGAAGCAGGTTCGATTTTGTCGTTTCCCGAATCTAAAAGATAATCATTTTCACGATAGGAAAACATTTTCCAGTGGGAAACTGCTTGTCTCAATCTAAACAAAGAATAGAAAAATCCTCGTTGATTTCCATAATCTGAAACTAAACTTTCTGGTGATATGTCAAGAGCATCAATAGAGTTATCTTTTGTTGAAATTTCGGAAAAAAAAAAGTTTAAATAATTCCCTCTATCAATCTGTTCAGTTCCGTATTTTTTATTCAATGCAACTATAATTCTGTTCTCAAGATGGGAATATATTGCACGTTCAAAAGGGTAAAATTCCACTTCAATATCATGTAATTTTAGCTTGGGCTCAACAACTTTTACTGGATTAATTACACTTAAAGCCTCAGGTGTTAAACTTGATTTCGTTCTTCTTAACATGTAATGACCTATTCTGATTCTTAAGGCATCAAGAATCAAATGATATTGATCATAGAAATAGAATTTTTCTAGCTGCAGTTCACATGCAAAAACCTTTTTGTAATCAAAATTTTGTAAAGCTCTGAACGTTGACCTGATATCTCCAAGATGATTTGACATTGGATTATAAGTCATTCCCCATCTTCTATTGCCACTCAAATTAAAACAAGCTGTCGTTCTATTTGAATACGCTTCACGTAAACTCTCGCAATGATCAAATATGATTCTCCACCAAAACACCAGATAAAATGGTGAAGTTTTACCTTTTATGTTATTTTCCAGTGTGATATATTCATATGTAGTTACAACAATGTCAAACTTGGAAAGCAATTCAGGAGAAACACTTATAGTAGAGGGATGCCTATGGAGAAGAATTACAGTCAAGTTTGTATTTTCAACAATGTTTTCTTTCCAATTTAGAGCATTTCCACGTGTATTTGCCACTAATAAAGTAGATTTGATTCTTTTATTGTAAGCAATCTTGTCGATAGTTTTTTGATTAACATGTAAAATTGGCTCTGATTCAAAATTATGGGGAGCAGGATTAGCAATTATCAATGATAACATTTGAATTTGCCTACCTAACCCTCTTTCGTCACATAAGAAACCAGATTTATAAGTACTGTCAAATTCTCTTTTTAACATAAACCTAAGACCTTCAACTTGATGATCATAAAGAGAAACCCTTAACCCATCAATTACGTTTTTATTTGATGCAACTTTTTCAGTGAACTCAGTGATATCCTCAAGAGCCTTCACAAAAATTGCTCTGGGTTTATCTTTTTTCTTAACTTTAGATAATTGTATAAACAAAGTTTCTCTGGAATCACTGAAATTTCTCGTAATTATTGAGCTGAACCTGGAATGTCTAGTGATATTAAATGTCGAATAACTCGATCTAAAATATGGAGATTTAGTCAATTTTAGCGAAGAACTCAATGATGGCACTCTGACCACTAACAGTTGCTGTTTCATTGTACTTATATTTATAAGTGGGCCAACAATATCGTCAATATAATCATCAAAATCAATTCCAACTATTTGGGTTTTGATACTGCTTCAACCACTTCTCAAACATCCAATCAAAAAAGAGCAGTCTAAAAAGAGCAAGCAATCACGTGCTCTCATTAGTGATTTGAAACCAGTGGTGGGGGTCGCTAAAATTTTTTGAGAAAAAAATTAACGAAAAATCAGTGAAATTTGGATTGGTTATTTAAAGATATCAGAAGAACCAAGTGGGATTATCAGAGGATGGGTTTGAAGAGAAAGAAATTGGTCAGTTCAAAGACTGCTGACAGCTCGAAGAAGCCTAAGACGAAATCCAAATTGTTAGAAAAAAAGCTGGAATTCAGGTTTTTAACAGAAGCTGAGGTTAAGAAGTATAATAAGGAAATAATCGAATCTCCCAAAAATTATAATAAGATAGTTGTGTTATTGAATAATTTTGAAAAGTTGAAAGAAAAATTTGTTTTTTTGAATAAAATTAAAAAGGAATCCAGACTGGAAAAGAGTTTAGAACAGATATTAGCATTATCAAGATTAATTAACTTCACATTATTCAAAGTGTTTGAATTTTTTTACAAACAAAGAATATTGAAAAAATTGAATGTTAACAAATTGATCATTAAAAGCAAGAATGAGACTGATGAGTCGACCAATTCAAAGATCATTTTAATCAATTGGCTATACAAGAATTATGTGAGATATAAGACTTTGATTTTAAAACTGTTAAATGAGATTAAATTCGATAACGATTTGATTTTAGATGGATTAGAAATTTATATTAGATTAATCAAATTAGAAAGTGAAGAGGATTCCAATTCTTTTCCAGTGGAAACATATAATAAGTTGATTCATTCAATTTTTTTAGAGTCCATAAATGGAAAACTATTGAATGATGGTACAAACGATAGTATTTTAGTTCAAGAATTTAATAATAATTATTTAAATAAGTTTGACGATTTTAAATACTATTTTTTAAGTGAGATTAATTCAGTTCTATCAGATTTAAAAGATTCAAATTTCAAATCAGATGAGTATAGTGAGGCTCAAATACAGAGCATTTTTTCCAAGTATTTAACAATAATGAGAGGAGATTTTATAATTGAATTGAAAAACAATTTTGAAAGAAATACTACAAATAAGAATAAAAATCATGGAAATGATAGTGATAGCGAAAGTGATAGCGAATATGAGGAAGAAGAAGAAGAAGATGATGATATTAAAAAAGAAATATATTTTATAAAGAATCCTGTTTCAGTTGTAAAAAAACAGGCAATATATTTTAAAAAATTTGAAGAAAACTGGTTTATAATTTTATCAAATCCAAATCTATTGAAAATTCAATTAAAGACCACTTTATTAATATTGCATAAAAAGATCATACCGTATTTAAATAAACCAAGCAGTCTTATGGATTTTTTAACGGATTGTTATAATTTAAACGATGATTTAGTTATTCAGATATTATCATTGAATGGGCTATTTGAGTTAATTAAGGATTATAATTTAGATTATCCAGATTTCTATAATAAATTGTATAAATTATTTTTAAATCCATTAATATTATCTAATAATTACAAATCAAGATTGTTTCGATTAGTTGAAGTTTTTTTTAATTCCACACATCTACCAATTAACTTACTAGCATCATTTATCAAAAAAATGAGCAGATTAAGTTTAAATAACTCATCAAGTTCAGTTGTTATAATCATTCCATTTATTTATAATTTGATAAAGAAGCATCCCAATTTAATGATATTGATTCATAACATCAAGGAAAATGAGAATCCAAATTACAAAGATCCATTTAATAATAATGAGGAGAATGTTTATAAAACAAATGCAATAGATTCATCTTTATGGGAGCTTGAGACAATGATGACACATTATCATCCTAATATTGCAACACTTGCCAAAATATTTAAAGAGCCATTTAGAAAGATGAGCTATAATATGGAAGATTTCTTAGATTGGAGTTATCAAGGGTTGTTGGATAGTGAGAAAAAACGAAGATTCAAAGGAGAAATAGGATTAGAATTTGAAGAATGGGAACAAATCTTTGCTGAATATAAGGAAAAAAGTGAGGATGAAGTTTCTAGCCAATCAGTTTATTTAGAAGGATGGAGTTTGTAAGGAAAAAGAAGAAAGAAAATCGCTATTTGTTTGAATTGTCATTGAGGAAATATACGCAATACGATACACTGCGGATTTCGTATATTACTACGGATTCAAATTTATCGTAATGGAAAACCAAATCGAAACAGGTTATTCAATTTGAACTTTTGTATGTATGATAATGCGGACAATTGTGTAATAGCTATGCAACAAATATGTATGTCACGGCTTTAAACAAGCTTATTTTTCGGATAGACGACTATTCGGAAAAACATCCAAATGATTCAAATGGGATTTGATGAGTGATGAACCAATAGAAATGGATAATATAAAGATCTTCAACTCCAAGAATAAAGTAATATAGATGAATAGACATCCTTTTCTCATATGATCTTCAACCCAAACTCCATTTCAATATGTTGTTTCTGTGAGTTTTTCTGTCTCTCCAGAGTCCTTTTGCTGAATTTTATGTGAGATTCGATTGTATAAGAATTAAAAAAAAACAATGCTATTGAAGAACTGAAGCGAAATCTATAAGTGTGAATTTGATACTGAAAAGAAGAGTTATTATTAAAAATGGTTCAGCAAAAATATAAACCATGGTGGTATGTTAGATTGTTTTTCATACAAAAATCGCAGGGTTTTCGACTTGAAATGATTTATTATCTGTAACGATATCAATATTTTTTTATTAGATGGGTTATCAGAAAATAGTGTTGAGTTTATTTCACTTCAGATATCTTTCAGTAAAGTGATTGTTTGTATCAGCAAAAAATACGGTCTTTTAAAAAATAGGATCTTTTGGCGGTTGGTAATGAAATAGGGTTAAAAAATTAAGAGTGCTAGATTTCAAGAAAGAGATGATTAGATAATTTCGGCGAATTGTGAAGGATAAAAGGATTAAGATAAATATATTATACAATTTGGAATGAAAAGCAGATATTGAGGAGGTGTGCAAGAAATTACCGAAATTGGAAGTAATATAAGTGAAGTTATAGAGAAGATTAATTTGGTTAAGAAATTGAATTGATTAAAATAGGGTTATAGTTGATTAGGTAATAATTACATAATCTGAAAGGATTTGATTAGGTTTGGGTGAGTTAAGCATGTGACTTTTGTGTTATTGTGGATTTAGGATGTATAGAGGATGCAGAGATTATTGACAGATAATCAGAGAGAGAGAGAGGATAAATCATTTAAAGAAGAACTGTTGATTGAAATGAGTTTGGAATTGGTACGAAATTTGGATTTGATATATGATGAATATAATAAGATAATAGAAGATGGTAATGGCGGTGATGATGAGGATTCAATTGCGTTTTTGAACTGTTTAATAAGCGAGAGTATAAATAAAGATATTGATTATATTCGGAAGAAGAATATCAAAGCGAATAAAGAGGATTATTTGAGATTAAATAACGATGATGATAATAATAATAATAATAATATTAATATTAATAGGGGATATAATGGAAATTACAATTACAATTCCAAAGAGAATAGTAAGAGCACGTTTAATATAAGTATGCATCTCAATGATGAAGAGTTTGTAAATGATAATATAATAGGAGATGGTAAGATTGGTGGTAAGATGAACGGACTACATGATAATAGGGATAGTTATATGATGGAGATGAGAGAGATTAAAAATCGAGTGAGCAAGTTAGGATACGAAGTTGAAAGACGAAGGTTTGAGGGCAATTATGTATTGAGAGAAGTTCAAGAGAGAGAGGCAAGAGAGATTACGGAGAGAGAAGATAAAGAGAGGGAAGAAGAAAAGAAGGAGGGGATAGAAGGAGATGATGGTGAGGATAAAGTGGAGGTTATTAAAAAAGAAGGCGATAAGGAAGAGAATGAATTGAATCAATTAAGAAAGCGATTGTTATCGAGTTCCAATCGGAAAAAACTAAAGGAGATGAATTTACAGGGAGAAGGAAAGGGAGAGAAAAACATTGATAATGAAAATGAGATGCATGACAATTTACAAAACAAGTTGATTGGAGAAATGTTGAGTTTTGTTAATAATTTAAAAGAAAGCTCGATGAAATTTTCAGATAAATTAAAAGAAGACGAAGAATACTTGAAATTAAGTACCAAGTCAATTGAGAATACGCATTTGAAGTTGAATACGGTTAGTGGTAGGTTGGATAAATTTAGTAAAGATGGGAAGATAACTATTTGGTTTATTCTTTATGCGAGTGTATTTGTTATTGTGGGGCCGTTGATTGCTATTTTCATTATCAGTGTTGTTCGAAGATTTTAAAGTTTAAGTTATATGATGTTTGTTTTCGATTGTATAAATCAACCTCAAGTGTAATATAAAATTTAAAAGTAAACGAAAAAAAGATTAAAAAAAAATAAAAAAAAATAAGCAAACGACTCTTGGTTTATAAGAATATAATAACAAAGGAAAAATAATAAAATCAAAAACAAAATGGAGCCGATAGTAGCGCCATTGACTTGCTCTACCACTCAGTATACAGATTATATGGTGATGAACCAGTGGTATAATCTACCTTGAAAAGTGGAGGTGAGAAACTACAGAGAAGAGTAGGGAAAGAAATGTATTAAAGTAAACTAGACAACCAGACCAAGTAATACAAAGGATCAGAAATAGCAAACGCTTTAAGTTGTAACAAGAATTGTGCACCAAGCGTTGACTCCATTCAAAACCCAAGCCGGCGCTGAGCACCGGCAATTTCCATAGGAAAGGGAATCGGTCAGAGTTTCAGAAGTGCTAAGTTTCATCATAGTTATAAAACTTGGAAGGTCATGGGGGAGGTAAACAGGAAGAAGAGACAGCAGAAGCGGCTTTTGTGCGCGTGGCAGAAGGGTAACGTGCTAAACCCGCTAGGGCTCAGCTGAGCAGCACGTGCACAAGTCGCCGGCAGGTTGGGTGCATGTGTAATTCACGCGACTTTCCAGCGCCAGCAGTGGGGTACGTCTTCTCGGAAAAGATAACCCGATGTGGGCAACAGAGGAGCGTTCTTCTGGCTATCTTCTGGCTCATCTCCAGGCTATCTCAGGCTGTTGTGGGTTATCTCCAGGCTCTGGAAGTTGTCGACTGGTAAGTTGTCTCCAGCACTATCGAGCTGTGCTCATCAATGCCAGATCCATGAAGTGATGCTCTCTGTGTGTGCTCTGTCTCTGCTTTTCTGCTGTTTTTGCTCTGTTTTCGCTCTGTTTTCGCTCTGTTTCTGCCAAAACTCGCTTTTGTTGTTGAACATCGCTTCCCAGCATCAACCATCTCAAGTCCTTCGCTCTCTCTGCTCCTTTGCTCAATTCGTCGCTATATGTTTTGTCTTTGCTAGCTGCTTTCTCTTGTTGCTTGTCTTTTATTGGTGGCCCATCGTTTTTCCACGTCTTTTTGTCTCAAGTCTTATTCCCTCTGTTTAGCTGCTTTGAGTTTCTCTTTGGGTTTTACTGGCATATACTCGTTTTGAGTTTTCAATTACTACTACTAGTGGTACTATCTGATCTTCATTTATTGCTGTTTTGTTCTACTCATTTTCAGCTGAATAATAGCATTTACTTTACATTAAAGCTATTCCGAACTGCTGTTTCAATTTTTGCTTTGGGTTTTAGGCTTTGTTTCTCTTTCTCTTTCTTTTTCTTTCTCTCTATATCTCTATTTAATTCCCAGCCTATATAGGCTAACATCAACCTATACCATATTTACTTCATTTTTCATATCCCAAAATGAACTCAAACAATACCAACACCAACCCAAATAATAATAATATTAATAATAATAATAACAGCAGCAACAGCAACAGCAACAGCAATAGCAGCAACTCTGCTCTACAACCCCAGAGGAAAAAAAGACAATACAGCAGAAATGGCTGCAAAGAATGTAAAAGAAGGAAACTAAAATGTGACGAAGGTAAGCCTGATTGTTGGCAATGTAAACATCTAAACAAAAAATGTATCTACGAAAAATCAATCAAATTTAGTGATTCAAGAGCTTTCACTATAAATTCAAACGACCTAATTAACATTTCCTCAAAAAAATTGATTCCAAATAACACCACCAATAATAACATTAATAATAATAATAATAATAATAATAAATTAAAGAAAAATTCACTTACTGATATTAATAAAATTTTAATTAACATTAGCAATTCTAATACTATTACTACTACTACTAGTAATAAAAATAAAAATAATAAAAATAATAAAAATAATAAAAATAATATAAATATAAATAAAAATAAAAATAATATAAATAAAAATAAAGATAATAAAATCTTAAATGATTTTCAATCTTTTGGTTTAAATAACCAGAATTTAAACTTTTCTTCAAATGACTCAATAAAAAATATCAATATCAGTATCAATACAAATAATCAAAATAATATTCAAAATAACATTCAAAATAATATTCAAAATAACACTCATAATGATTCAAAAAATTATAACCATTCTCGATCTCACTCTCAATCCCAATCCCAATTAAATTCAATTCATTTGTATCAAAAAGAAAAGAACGATTCCCTTTTATCTTCCCCTTCTTCTTCAACTTCTCTAGAGAAAAACCTACTAAGCAACGCCAATACCCTAACTGATAACTTGAATGACTTGATCAGTTATGATATAAACAATTATATCTTAAACTTGAACAACTACTCAAACAATTATCCATCAATTAATCCTTCAACTAACCCTTCAACTAACCCCCCAATAGATAACTATAACAACAATAATAACATTAATAACATTCAAAACTATCATTTAAATCAAAATAACATCCTCTATAACGACTCAAATAACTACAACTACCCTTCAAATAACAACTTTCATCAAAATAATCAAAACAATATTCCAAACAACTTGAACAATAATCAATACAACTTCTATCAACCACACACTTCAAACATTCGTAATGATTCTTCTTTAAACTTAAATCAAAATAACTATAACACTTTCAACTTTAATAACAATAACAACAAAAGCAATAACAATAATGGTAACTCTAACACAAACTCTAACAACAATCCCATAAATAACCAAAATTTAGATTTCAACTACAACACAAACAACAACATCACTTCAAATACTCTTAATTTCGAAATGGACGATTTCCTAAAAGAATTACTCTCTTTACCTTTAATGTCCAACCAAGTTCAATCTAATAATCGAAACAATTCTTTCAATAATCATTCATCTAATCAAAATATCACCTCGAATAATCAGAACCATCACAAAACTACTAGTCAACGCAGCTATACCAATTCTCCATTTCCAGATTACAATAACTTAAACTTTGAATATATAATCAAGAGTGATGCAAAACATAATTTAAATGGCTCTGATCTAACTCAATTAAATCCAATCACTCTTAATGACTATCTCCCCTTCAACAAAATTAGTAACAACAACAACAACAACAACAATAATAATAATAATAATAATAATAATAATAATAATAACAGCTTTATTAATAATATAAATGGCAATGATGTTAATTGTTTAAACACTAACTATCAGTCAAATAATAACACTGATCACAGAAATAAACCTGCGACATATGATGATGCTCCAAATTCTCCAATAATAAACAATGACAAAGAAATTCTTGTTAAAACGTTTTCTTGTTTTGATATAATGTCAACTCCCAAAGTCAATTCTCTCGATTCTTTAGATAAAGTTTATATTCTTGATATTAATAATAATTTAATTGATATCTCCTTTTTAAAATCATCAAACAACCCAATAAGCTCTAAACCTATTATACTAAAATCAATTCTTCGACCAGTTCCATTATCAATTTTTAAAAACATTAAAAATCTAAATATAAATCATCTTAATTATTTGAAAAAGTTTTTCAATGATGTCAGTTTAAAATATTTTCCATTAGCTGTATCAAAAAAGTATTTAGATCCTGTTTTATATCTTGAAGGGAAATTAGATGAGTTTAATAGACTTCCAGAACTGAAAAAACGGAAACTTGATAATTTAATAGAGAACAAAAAAGATAATAATAATGATAATAATAATAATAATAATGATAATAATGATAATAATGATAATAATGATAATAATCTGGTAAATGGCCTGGAAAATGATTCTGAGAATGATTGTACAGTATGGGAACAAAATCCTATTAGAGATTTATTATTAATTCAAGCTAAGAATTGTCCATTTTTACTAAGTTCATTATTAGCTATAACGGCAAGATTGGAATTTTTGAGAACAAATGATATTAAAGATGATTTATATCGAAAAAATTATTTATCTACATGTCTTAAAACATTGAATGATAATTTCAAGTCAGATATATCATTAAATTCATCAAAAAGATCATCAGTATCAATTGAATCGAAACAAAAGGGAGAAAAAAATGGAGAAAAAGATAAGGAAAAAGATAAGGAAAAAGATAAGGAAAAAGATAAGGAAAAAGATATAAATGAAAAAGATATAAATGAAAAAGAAAATAATAAAGAAATACAGAAAGATGATATTAAAAATGATGATGAAAATGTAACAGAAAAAGATGCGGTAAAAAAGGAAAAGAAAGAAGATAATAAAAGTAAAGAGTATAAAGTGAAATTAAAAGATAATGATACTGAAGACCGAGAACAAGATAAGGCAAATAAGACATTGAATTCTATAACGTCTAAAGGAATGATTGATATTAAATCCAAGACTAAAATAGTGAAGAATATTGATGCATTGATTATTACAGCGTTAATGTTGACCATTGATTCGACTATAGTTCAATACAATGGAGCATGGAGAAATTATCTTCATAATGCTAAAGTTTTATTAATAAATTATTTGAAATATTACAGTAATAAAAGCAATAATAAAACGAGTGGTAGCAATACTGCTACTGCTACTAATAATATTAATAATAATATTAATGATAATAATAGAATTCGAAATAATAGGATTTTATCACCAATGTTAACGTTTGCTAAATTGATTTTCACATCTGTTGAATTATTGGCTTCGTTAAGTAATGAACTATCGGATGATTTATATGAAGGAAACGAGAATAGTTTGAATTCATTAACGAGTATTGAGCTTATATTGAATAATGATGATAAGTTTAAGGGTGCAGATAATGGAAAAGAAATGGAACTGGAGTATGGAGTTGAAGAGGAAAAAGTTTATAGTGAAGAAGAGTTATTGTATTTAAAAAAAATGGGGTTAGTTTCACTTGATGGGTATAATATTTTTCTTGGACATTCTAATGATGTGTTGTTGTTGTTTAAGGAGATAATCAAGATAATTAAAAAGGGAAAGAATTATAGGAAACAGAAAAATGAAGGAGAGTATTATAATCGGAATGAGATGATTTTTTATTTGATGAGGTTATTGGAGAAGGCGAAGAATTATAAGTTTGCATCCAAGGAAATAATCATCGATGAGGAGAATGAGTTTCATCCATTCTATCAGGGAGATTGCAGTGATATTGATAAAGCGAACCATATTAAAGTGAGGCTTCCCAGTTCGTGTTATGGATTTGGATTGAGGAAAAATGGAAAAACAGGTAAAGAGGAAAAGTTTCTTTACTCATGGTATGATTTGTCGCAGAGGTTTCATGTGAATGCGTCTATAATAAAAGTCTATAAATTGAGGGACTTTTTCAATGTTAGCATAAGCAATGGGTTGATTCAGGAAGTTGTTGAGAGTTCTATGGAGAACTATTATTTTCTTGAGCTTGATTTTATAAAAGGATATAGCAATGGCGATGCTAATGGTGATTGTAGTGGTGGTGGCGGCGATGGTGGTGAAGGTGATGGAGATAAATTTGAGATTCTGATTGAACATAAGGTTAGGATATTCAAGAAATTGGATAATAACTATAGATTGACTATGCTTCATTGGCCGTCTATTATCATTGGGATAAACTGTATTCGAGGGAGACATCAAAGGATAATCGAGTTCTTTTTTGAGTGTTTGATTCATTTGGGGGTTGGGAGTGCTGAATCATCGTTGAAGAAACTTAAAAGAGTCTGGAAGATTAATAAAGAGATATTAGAGAAGGAAAAGAACGAGGATAAGGTTGGGATTGATTGTGTTAATGAGGAATTTGATTTTATACCATTTTTTTAAAGGCAAGGAAAGAAAAGCGTAATATGTTTTAGATGTATAAATGTGTATGTTGGATAGTTTGAAACTAAGATGTAGCAATAGTTGGGATGATGTGTTTCAAAAGCGATGGATGAAAAGAGAAGTGAGATCGACAGATAATTATAGATACTGTTTACAAAAGATGTTAGAATTAGGATTAGAATTAGAATTGAAATTCTAATTCTAATTCTAATTCTAATTCTAATCCAATTCAATTGGGTTTGAGACTGAGGCTGGAAAACGCAGTGCTGAAATATGTATGCATGGTGGGCAAAATATGCGCACTGCACATATTTCAGATAGGGGAGCGAGAACCAGTGGTGTGGAACGTGTAGCGGGTTAATATTAGAAGTGAAAACATGCCTGGAAAAGAGAAATGGGAGAATGAGAAGGGAGCAAGAGAAAGAGAGGATGAGAATGGAATTGCAATGGATCGGGACGTGGTGGATGATTAAATGGCTGTTTGTGAGACATATTCAGCCATTTTGTCTTAAAATAGAACAGAAAAAGAGGTATGCAGTGGGAGAAGGAAGGTTTGTGAGAAGCGAAGAGGTGAAGAATTTTCAGAGAAAGTGGTGTATGAAAATTACATTACAAATGCCAAATGATGTTTTGAGCCGAATAAGTAGGGAAAATGAAACAAAAGAGTTTGGAAATTACATAAATGGTGCTGGGTTTTGTGGAACCCGCAGAATGTTTGAAGTCCAGACATGAAATTAGTGAAGCTCGTAGATTATCCTGAACAGCTCTGTGAAAAGAGGAATGCGAACAGCCACCTGGGCTGAAGAGCAATAACCATCTCATAGCTCGCATTTGAGATCTTCGTCTCAACCACATCTCAGCTTGAGCTCTAGCCCTCAAATCTTCAAGTGTCTGTTGGCGAGCATAGAAATCCACTGAGGTGGATATAAGTGTTAGCAACAGTTTATGCGTTTCCAGCATCTCCAACGTCTGTAACACATTGTCTATTTCCCCTGTCTCGCCAGTGTCCAGCATCTCCTCCATCTTGAACAATTGCATCAACGCCCGGAGCTCCAACAGCTGCGACTTCATGAACATCTTCACTTCCAGCATCTGCTCAAGAGTCAACATCTTAATCATCTACAACGCCACCAGCACTTCTTCCCTGCCCTCGGCATGCAAAGCGTGCTCTGGACCAACCTCTCCAGCATCCAGCGCATCTTTGTTGTTATCCACCATCCAGCATTTACAGCATCTGCAGCACTTGCTCCTCTTCCACTTCCACCTCCACCTCCACCTCTCTTCTCCCTCCTGTGCTGACTCCGGCGCCCACGCGGCCCCGGCTGCCCTGCACCACGCCCCTCCGTCGCCCGAACATTGGCTCACAAATAGGCCCGCGCAATACCCTCGTACACGTGGCCTGCGCGCTCTCTGCGCTGCTCTTGTGCACTTCCGCTGCTTCTGCGCTGCTTCTGCGCTGCTTCTGCGCCGGTCACTCGCGGCCGACGCGCGGTGCCGGGGCGACGAGTCCGCGCGCCCCTGCAAAAGCGCGCCGGAGCCCACTTTGCACGTGAGCGGCAGCAGGACCTGGGAGCGAAGCACAGATTGTGGTTTATATTTAACTGTTTAATACCTCTCCATTTTCTTTGGCTGTTCAGCTTTTGCTTCTTTTCCTTCATCAACAGCTTTAATTCAACAAGAAAGGCTCTTCCATTTCTCGTTCTGCTGGATATCACTGCCCTTTCTGCTGCTTTTGTATTTTAGTTATTGTATTTATAATCCTTTTTTTTTTCTTCTTTTGTATATTCTATTACTATTAGTAACCACTTATCCTCTCTCTTTTCCCCATTCAATATATTTCTATATCCCACAGTATTTTTTTACCACAACTTCATTATAAAACCATCATAAATTCACCATAAATTCCCTAGAAAGTCACTAGAAAGTCACTAGAAAATCTTCACAGCTCCAATTAATATACTCTCAAAACCACCACCTTACTCTACCACCAATACTTTAACTACTTACATCCTCCACTTCTCGTCCTTTTAGTACCTTACTACCTTAGTATCTTAATATACATCGACTTACTTTACACCTACTACTATCCCACATCCACATTCTATATCTTCCTTCTTCATTTCCATTCCAATTCAATATCCTTCTTGGTCTGTTCTTGTATCCATAAACCTCTCATTCCTAACCAAAAAAGAAGCTCTTATTCAAAAGGATACTCTCAAAAATTAAAACTATCTCATACACTCCTCCAATATCTATCTCAAAGTGCTAAACTAGCTTCAAATACAAACTCTATTCCCCTTTCCCTTTCCCTTTCCATCGTTACTTCATCCAAGTTAATTCTTTTATACCTCGTCCCATCTCATCCCGACTTGCACAAACCTCAAACAATAATAATAATAATAATAATAGTAATAACAACAACAAAAATAATAACAAAAATAATAACAAAAATAATAACAATAATAACAATAATAACAATAATAATAACAATAATAATTTAAAAATACCACACACTTTTTACAATCAGCTTGTTTTTTTCTCTTTTTTTAAAGAACTTTTTTTAAATCTTCTCTTTAGCTTCTTCATTTTCTTATTCCACCCATTCTTTTTCCTTTTTTCTCATTCATCATCATTTTTCTACTAAAAAAAGCCAATTAAAAATCAATCAATCGAAAATTAAAAAAAAAAATTAAAAAAATTTACTCAATATCCTTTCTATCATATATCATATATCATATATCATATATCATTCTATTTCATTCCATTTTTCCTAATATAAAAGAAAAAAAAAAGATACTCATTTTCTATTCTATTTTATTTTATTTTATTTTATTTTATTTTATTCTATTCTATTCTATTCTATTCTATTCTATTCTATTCTATTCTATTCTATTCTATTCTATTCTATTCTATTCTATTCTATTCTATTCTATTCTATTCCACTTTACTTCATTTTATTCCATTTTACTTCATTCCATATAATCAACACTATTAATCCAAATATGCAAGGAACTCAATCTCGTAATGTCTCTTCATCTTTTTTGAAAGATTCAACGTTTTCCTCCTATTTTGCTTCCTCGGTCTCAAATCACCCAATCAATGACCAAAATATCGACTTAAATAACACAAATACCAATATCAATATCAATAACAATATTAATACCAATAACAATATCAATAACAATATCAATAACACTAATAACAATATCAATAACAATATCAATAACACTAATAACAATATCAATAACAATAATCAATTCAACAACATTACCCAAAACACAAATGACTTCAACCTAGCTTTCGCTGCGCTAGACTTGGAAAACAGCAACGCTAACCAACTCAACCAATTCAACCACCAATTCAACAACTTTGACCAGAAACAAAGACCTGTCTCAATCCACTCAACAACAAACTCCTTATTCTCCCCAAACTTCGACCCCCAATTCAACAACCTATACTCTTCAAACAACTCCCAACACAACTTGAAAAATATCCTCCCCTTCAACAGCTCTTTGCCTCAACCCAACCAACCCAATCAAAATAACCACCAACCTCCTCTTCTACCAACAACTTCTCATGTCAGAGCTAGCACTGCAAAACTAAGTGTCTCTACCAGAAATTCCTCCAATATTGGCCCTCCAAAATCCTCTGCCTCCTTCACCCCAGGCCATTCTCATTCTTGGTCTGTAAGCGCTTTTCCTTTACCAAAATCTGCCTCCTCTTATCAATCCTCAAATCAGCCCTTTAACTCTTCTTTATCTTCAAATTTAAACATTCGTTCTTTCCAATTTAACGATAATAATAACAACAATAATAATAACAACAATAATAATAGTAATAATAACAACAACAACAACAACAACAACAACAACAACAACAACAACAACAACAACAATAATAATAATAATAATAATAACAATAATAATAATAATAATAATAATAATAATAATAATAATAATAATAATAGTAATAATAATAGCCCTAACAACAACAACAACAATAATAATAATAATAATAATAATAATAATAGCGCCAACAATAATAACACTAACGCCAACAACAACACCAACACCACCACAAACAACAGTAATTCCCCAATCCCAAATGATTCCTTTGAATACTCAAATAACATCAATCTCTCCTCTTCATCAAGATCTTCCTCAAATCCTCTAGACAACTCCCAAATTCCTGATAGCGCAACTCTAAGAACAAATTCTCAATCTCTTAGAGAAAGAAGACAAACTTTTCATTCCTACAACAGCCTTGCTTCAGGCTTTTTTCAAAATAATACAAGCAATCACACAAGCCCAGGAAATGACTCCTTTTCAAATAACATCAACTCAAATTCCCTATTAAATAACATCAACCAACCTTCAATATCCTCTTTCAATAATTCTCCAATCAATTTTAACAATAACTCCAATAACAACACCGATAATAACCACTTGGCTTCAAATAATCAACAAAATAATAATTTTTCTCAAAATCAAAACAACGATTATAACTCCCCTATTTCCCTCATTTCAAATCAAAACCAAATCAACCTCCCTATCAATTCAGCTTTAAATGAAAATAACCAAATAATTCCAACCCATACTCATACAATGAGTGCTCTCCCCTTATCAAATAACACTTCCAATTTTATGCCAAACAATCACAGTAATTTTTCTCAACAACCTAATGGCCCTACAATGTGGAACAATAAAAAAAATTACGAATCTTTTGACCACAGCCGTCGTGCTTCTTTAAATCTTCCCATTTCCTATGCTAAATTCTCTCAAAATAACGTTTCAAATAATAGAAACTCTCTACACCCTTTGAATATTAATCCTAATAATTTTTCTTTTCCAAATGTTAATAGTCCGGCTACAAACAATTTAGTAAACTCTCCCGCCATTTCAATAAACAATGTCAATTCTCAAAATAATTTAGTAAATTCTAATATGAATTTTAATATGAATTTACCCAATAATATTTCAAACAATAACTTTAAGACTCCCAGCATTAACAACAATCAAAATATCTCTTCTATTGATATTAATAATACCTATGGAAACTTTAATGGAAATTTTAATAACTATAATGGAAATTATATTCCCTCTCATTCACAACCTCCTTTTAATAATCGTAATTTTAGCAATTCATCTACTAGTAGTCCTTTTACACCCATCAATCCCAATACTCCTAATACTCCAGGCTATTTAATATCTCCAAATGTCAATTCTACAATTGCTAATATTAACAACGCTACACTCAATACTGCAATCAATAATAATGGCATTAATAACAACACTACTACTAACAATAACAACAATAACAACAGCCCATCAATTAGAAAATTCAATCACAACAATATTACTAATAGAAAAAGGGGTGAAGATGCCTCTAAATTTCTTAATGCCAAATTGGAAGATTTTAAAGGCCAAATTTACATCTTATGTAAAGACCAACATGGTTGCCGTTTTTTACAAAAACAATTGGATTTAAATGATGAAACTTTCAAGTCTGAAAGTAATAACTCGGATAATGAACTGAACAGTGAAAATAATTCTGCTACAAAAGATGAAAATGAAAATGAAAAGGAAAAGGAAAATGATTTTTCCTCTTCTTTTAAATTTGAGAATAAAGCTGCAACTATGATTTTTGAAGAAATTTGTGATAATATTGTTGAATTAATGACTGACCCATTTGGAAATTATTTGATTCAAAAGTTATTAGAAAAAATTGTCATAAAACAAAGAGTCATTTTGATTAAAAATGCAGCAAGCCAATTTACTACTATTGCATTGGATCCACATGGCACCAGAGCCCTACAAAAATTGATTGAAGTTATAACCACTCAAGAAGAAAACTCTATAATAATTAGCTCATTTGAGAAAAATATTGTTTCATTATCTAGAGACTTGAATGGAAACCACGTTGTACAAAAAATTCTTACAAAATTTAATTCTAAACCCGAAAATATCCAATTTATTTTTGACGCTGCATGTCAAAATTGCATTCAAATTTCTACTCATAGACATGGTTGTTGTGTATTGCAAAGATGCCTAGACTATGGATCTCAAGATCAATGCAAACAATTATCCTTAGTAATTGCTAACAATTGCTTAACTTTATCACTTGATCCATTTGGGAATTATGTTGTGCAATATGTTCTTAGTAAAGGGGATGATGAATCAATTAGAATTATTGTCGATTCAATTTTAGGTAGAATTCTAAGATTATCAACACACAAATTTGGATCAAATGTTATTGAAAAGACATTAAGAACGGAAAATTTGGCGCCCATCATAATTGATAAAATTTTGAGTGAATCTTACAACAGTGGTAATACTGTCAACACTTCTTCCGGAATGGTTGAAGGAAATGGATTTTTAACTAAATTATTGCATGATGCATTTGGAAACTATGTTTTACAAACGAGTTTGGATGTTGCTAAGAAACCCAAACAGTTTAATAAATTATGCGATCTTTTAAGACCATTATTACCTGGTGTCAGAAATACACCTCATGGAAGAAGAATAAGTGCACGTATTCAACCATCTATTTAAACTGAAAATCAAGTGAATCAGTTTTAATGTTTTTTATTATTATCATTTTTATTTTCATTACTATTTTTCTTTCGATGTTTTTCAAATATATTAAAATTATTGCATTAGGTGAACCTTGAAGAGAAACTTGAGCCAGCTTTGAAAAAAAAGAAGGAGAAATTACTGTGCTTATTATGCACATTTTGTTTTTTTTATTCAATTTATTAAATATATTGTATTTACTAAAAACTTTTATTGTTACAATTAGCATGTTATTTTCTATTTTTATGAAGTTATCTGTTTTTATAATTTTTATTATTTTTACATTTTATTGTTACCGTATTATTAATTGTTGATATCATTTTGATGTATATTAAGCTGGTTTTGATTTCTATTGCTTCATTATTCACCCCATAAATAATCTATCATACTTACCTATAATTTTTTTGTTATCAGTTTTTCTCATGAATTCATTTTCATATTATTTATTATTAATTTTTATTTAACTTTCTTCACTAATTGTTTGCTTATACAGTGTTTTTTTGAAAAAGTATTATAAAATGGTTGCTTTCATTTCAATTCATAATTTTGTTTTTGTGTAAATTGAAACCAAATTGTTTTACTATTTTAAGTCTTTTTTATTTGTAAAGGCAATTTCCTCACATTTTTAGTTCACTGTTGTTTCATATATTGTTAGAATAATATTTTATTTCTCATTAATAAACATTTCTGTAACTAATAATAACGATACAAGCACAAACAAGCGAGTTTGAAAGAAAGTTTAATTGAAATGGTGTTTACGGCCGCTGGAAAAATCACATCTGTGGAGTTTTTCCGTTTTTTCCATTTTTATTGTTTGCTTTATCCGGAATTACATAGGGGGTGCTCGACGGGGTATTTCTCAGTGGGCATGGAGAACCTCTGCAGTCTGAGAAAGTTGCTCTCCCATTGCTCGTCTCTGCTTAAACCATTCTTTTATTCCATGGAATTTCATGCTGAAATAGTAGCTCTGTTATCTTTTCCACCTATCAGGTGCCAATCAATCTCGTACAATCTCATAGATCTCTAGAAATATGTGAGCACCAGGGCATATAATTATTATGGCAGAAACCTAGATAAACAATTTGAACCCAGGAACAGCAATTCCAGAGCACATTTGATGCATTTACAATCCAAAACCTCAACACAGCAGGAGCTTATTTATGCTCTCTTCAACAAAGCCAGATCTAAAAAATTGTAGAAACAGCCCCAGTTAAAAATGACAGCAGCCACAGTAGCGTTACCCTGCTTGTATTTTGTTTGCTGTTCCTAGCAAAATCAGCACTGGGTAACTTCTGAAGCAATCAAAAGAAGTGTTTTACCTATCTGCTGCATCCTTTGGTGGAAATGGTGTCGAGTGCTGGGCTCCAGTTCTTGCTTGATAACAGCATGGTTGGTGCTACCCACCTTTTACGTGCTTAGCACAATGTAGTGGATGGTAGGAAACTTAATGGATTTAAGATTTGCTGATACTCTGCAGCAGTAGTTTTCCTACTCATTTCATATCCGTTTTAGGTAAAACTATTCACTGGTGTTTTCTACTTGCATTTGCGGTTTTCTCTTCCATACTTTTTCTAACTTTTACGCTTCATAACTACAACAATTAAAGCCCATCAATTAGTCCACTTATGTGGTGCTCTCATTTGTTAATTTAGGAAATGAATTAAAAGAATGTTTCATTTGTCGCTTTTCAGTTCTTCCCATTCGTTTTCCTGCTCACATTTAACTGGTTTTGTTCTTTCAGACCCAATACATGAAATTCTTGTATAACCCACGATCTAAAATATTTACCGAAAGGATGAAAGCAAGAAAATTTTCTATTCACAGCAAACTTCGCAAGATCACCAATATATTCAAAATCAAAATCTTAATTATCAACATATCATCTATTCTTTCATGACAAAAGAAGGGTGCCACTAATTCCTGTTCATTATGAGCCTTATTCCTTATTCCTTATTCCTTATTCCTTAATTATTATTAACTTTCTTAAACTTTCCCAAACCTTCAGAGTCTCTTTCAATCATATAAATATATACTATCATATTCTTTTCCTGATTAAAAAATATTATTATTTCTTGTCAATAAAAAGAATACACGCTTTTTTTTTCTATTATATTGATTTTTGACAACAAAACAAAAAAAAATTGATAAAATAGAACAATAGAACAAGAATATTCAAATTTTTTTTTGGTTTTCTTTTGGTTTAAAAAAAAGAGGAGAAACAATAAGTAAACCTCTTAAAATCGTTATCTTATCAAAATGAATCAACTGCCACTGCCACTGCAGTACATTAATACTTTGCTACCAAATAATAGCAGTCCAAGAAGAGTATCCATGAGCTCAAGTTTTAGTTTATCCAATAACAACAACAACAACAACAACAACAACAATATTAGTAATATTATTAATTTTGATCCTAGTTCACATTTATCATTCATAGTTCAGAATCATCAACTTATAATTTTACACAGTAATAATGCATCAAATGGAAAAAAGAAATCTTTGAAAAATTTATTAAAATCTTTAAGTAATTTGAATTATTTTAATTATCTATCTTCTTTGAACTTAATCAATCTTAATACGAATTTATTGTTTGATCATTTAGAAATATCTTCTAATAACATTGTCAAATTGTTTAATTATCAGTGTTGTAGCATAATGGTTAATCAAATCTCTTCATTCACTTCAAATAATAATTTTATAAATGATAATATAATCCAAGTAACTAATCTTAATTTTCCTTTTATTTACCAAGCTCTTATTAACAATAAAACAATAGAAAATATTAATATGATAGCTGGTCTTCAATTGAAAATTAATATTGATAATTGTTTTGTTTATATTCCTCAGCAAAATTCTCAATATCTTTATCAAACTAATTTTCCAGCTTATAATTATGTTATAAATCATGGAAATTGTCCCTATCATTATATATGTTTGATAAGATTAAATAATTTAACGGATTCATTTTCCGATCAAGAGCTGGTTCAAAAGGGATTTGGAATAATTTTGAAAGGGAAAATGATTCAATTGTTTACTTCATTTAATTTAAACAATCAGATAAATTCAAACAAAAACATTTTCTTGGTGATATCATTGAACCCCAGTGATATAATGAATTATGAGGCCAATCTTTTTATGAATAGACAACTTGCACAGACTAATTTAAAACCCAATGAGGCATTATCGAGTGTTAATAATAATGGTAATGGTAATGGTAATGGTAATAATATAAGTAGTCCAAATAATTTTGCTCATCCCAATATTAATTCCGGTGAATTAAAAAACTATCTTGCTTTAAATCCAATGAACTTAAACCCAAATTCTTTTTGTGAAAATAAAAGCAAACATTTATCCACTACATCAGACCCGAAATTTGATATATATGTTGATTATTTGAAGGATTATTATCAGAAAGTTGGACCGAAAGTAACAGATGAACATTCTACTATCCCTCACCCCCCTAAAAACCTCAAGAAAGCATCTAATAACAATCATTTAGGCATTTTTGAAATAACTCATTAAAATTTTAATAAAAATTTAATAAAAGTTTATAGCATTTTTTTTTTTCTTTTACTCCTTTTTTGTCATTCTTAAAAAATAAGTCTATATATATATCTGAATAAAAAAAAAATAAAATAAAAAAAGGTAAAAAACAAACAACCAAACAATAAACAATCATTATCATTTTAATATCATTTTAATATCATTTTAATATCATTTTAAGATTTCTTCTATTGAAATATCAGACGATATTTTAGAAGCTTCCTTCCAAAATTTGCTTAAATGACGATTACCTGAATCACAGGCAATGACAACAATTTTTTTACCCTTTTGGGATTGTTTTTGTGCTAATTTAATAGCAGCTACACAACTCACTGCAGAAGAGGAACCCCAAAACAAACCGTCGTTAACTAATAGGAACTTTGCCATTTTCAAAGCTTGATCATCAGTGACTCTAATGGCACCATCAATTAAGTCTTCTCCAGCCAAAAAGTTTTTTGTGATTCTATTAAGACCTATTCCCTCGATGATAGTATCGATTTGGTGTCTTCTTCTGTGTCCTTCTCTTTCGACGTTGTTGTACATGACACCATGATTGATTCTATTAAAGAAACCACTTCCCTGGGGATCAGCTAGATAAGTTTTGACAGTAGAGGATTTTGATTTCAAGTATTTTGAGACGCCAGTTATTGTGCCACCGGTACCACAACCATGAACAAAGTAGTCGATTTGAGCATTTAATTGACTGTAAATCTCTGGGCCAGTTGTGTCAAAATGAGTTTTCCAGTTTTGTTCATTTTCAAACTGATTCGCAAAAAAGCCTACACTGTTGGTTGATTTATCATTAGTTAGTTGGTCAGCTAGTTTTTTTGCTATGTTGACGTTATGGTTTGGGTCGACGATTGAAGCAGGACTGACTTTGTCTATTTCGGCGCCTAAAGTCTTTAGTAGTAATAATTTTTCATCAGATGTGTCACTAGGAACAGAGATGTGGCATTTGTAGCCTAAGGGACTAGCTATAGTAGCAAACGAGATACCAGTTGAGCCTGAGGTGCCTTCGAAGATGACATCGTTGTTGTTTGGTTTGATTAGACCATCCTTTTCAGCTTTTTTGATGATGGATAGGGCGACTCTATCTTTTGCAGAACCAGCTAGGTTATTTAGTTCCAATTTGGCATAGATTTCGCAATTGAAGTAGTTTGATAGGGAGTTAATGAGAATAAGTGGAGTGTTGCCGATTAGCGATTCGATTCCATTTGTTTTAACTGGGGGCAAGTGGTTGTTGTTGTGATGATTTGAGTGAAATAGAAACATTATCACATTGAAGTAGTATTCTTATTAAGTGAAATGAAATGGAAGAACGAACCGGAAAAATGCCAAAGAAAAAGCCGGAAAAAAAGATGTAGAGCCCTAATCGAAACAAAACGGTTACGTAGGGCTTACGTAACTTCGAACTATCACGGTTTCGGTTTCGGTTTCGGGTTCGAGCTCCGAACACGGTGTGGAATTGATTTGCAATTTATGGATAAACGTTTAAAACGTTTTATTGTTGAAAATTATTTAGATTTGAAGAAGGATTGAATGTGATAAGTAGTGGTAGATTATGTAATTATGTATTTTGTGGGATTGATTTGATCAGTGTAGATAAGTTTAAATGAATTTTGGAAGAGAAATAAAAGGAAAAACAAGACAAAACAAACAAATAACAAAAGATTGAGTAATGTGAAAAGTAATTAATTGAATATAACAAAAAAAAACAAAAACAAAAACAAAAAGAACCAACAAAACAAGTAATCAAACGAGTTATGAAAAAAATGGAATTTTACTTAAAAAAAACAAAAATAACAAATAAAAACGATAATTGTTTGTATATTATATTACCGTTGTTTATAATATTTTATAATATTTTATAATATTCAGTAATATTCTGAATACTAGATATCAGCAAGGTAGATTTTGCAAGTGGTTAATATCTGTTTGGATCGAAATCTTTGGGTCTTTTGAAGAGCAAGATATGAGGTTCAGGAGCATGAGTTTCGTAGTGGACCCAGCCCAAAGATTGTGTTATCCCAAGTCCTCTCCATTCCTCTTCCAATAGAATTCTCAAAGTGTTGCTATCAGGATTGAAATAGTCGTCGGGAATAACCTTCAACATGTTTCGTGGTAGTATGACATGGCGATACTCGAAATTGTCGTCAGAGTATCTTAGGAGGAGTTAGTAAAGTGGCCAAATGGGCAGAAGAAACTCAGAAGAACAGAAAAGTGGGCCATACCTTGCTGAATAGTGAATCTTTTCTTGGAATTCAAGGACCTTAGCTCTCTCAGAGCTGGTGAGGTATCTTGGTTGCAATTGTAAACCCATTGTAGAGCAAGAGATGAGAGGCAGAAGTGGAGCGAGAAGCAGGCAAAGAACAACACACAAGAAGCAGCAGAGAAAGCAAAGCTGAAGAAGAAGAAGAAGAAGAAGAAGAAGACAACTGGAAGAGAACTGAGCTGGTTGAACAAGTCGAAACGACCCAAGGCGACTGAAGCTGAACTGTGCAAACCTCGATTACACGACCAACGACCCGAGTAAAAGTGGCCAGACGAGCTTCATCTTCTTCATCTTCTTCATCTTCTGCTGCTTCTGCTACCTCCTCTCTTCTCTTCTTCGTGTTCTCGTTCTCTACATCGCCTCCCTCGCTTTGCCTCTGAGCCTCTTTCCACAACCACGTCCTCGTCTATATAAACAGCCCTTCCTCTGCTGCTTTTGCTCTAGCTGTTCTTGCCTCCAATTCCAACTCACTCTCAATGGCTATCTGTGAAGAAGGAAACTACTATCCTCCTGGGTGTCTCTCGGTTGCTCGTTTGGTGGGCATCATTCTCTCCTGCATTGCTGCTGTTCTCTTGACCATCTCCCTTGTCCTCTATCTCACGCGAAGAAAGAAAACCATGGGCACTGCTACTGTCGTTGAAATTCCCATGAACAACGTTGGTTACCAACAAGCCTATGCTCCTCCTCCAGGACAACCTCCCTATTTTCAACCAGGCTACAACCAAGGCTACGTTCCACCCTACAACCAAAGCTACGACCCTGGCTATAGCACCCAAAACTACTATCCTGCTCCTCCTGCTCCTCCTCCAAATTCCTCTAATCCTTTTGAAAACAACCAGGGTCTTACTCCTCCTTCTGGCCCTCCTCCAACTTACAAAAATTGATTCCACTGTTCTTTCATTTCTCCAGCTTCATTTCTTTTTTTCTACTCTTTAATTTTAATATGGCTTGTTCTTCATTTTTCCAGTACATTAGCGTTTTCTTGTTTTCCTACAATTTACTTATCTTTTTTCCCTATTAACTAATTAATCTGTGAATTTACTGATTTGCTAACTTGTTTACGATTTTATTTATTTATTGATTTATTTGCTGTTTTAATTGTGTTTAATTTAGAAATAATCCTTTTTTTCTTGTTTTGTTATCTTTTTTTTTTCCTATATCTCTCGTTGTGGTCGTAGATAAAAATTTTCTATTTTAGTGTATAGTTTTTCATTTTCTTTAGATTTAATATTGTTTTAATCTATTAATTTACTATTAACTCATTGAATAGTTATAACCAAAATTGAATTAAAATCGAATTAAAATTAAGTTAAAATTAAGTTAATCGAATTAAAATTGAACTAAAATTGAATAAATATAAAAAAAATAAATTTATAAAATAGTTTAAAAAATAACTTAAATAATTAAAATAATTAAAAAAAACAAATACAAGTTCATTGAATATAAAAAGATAAAACAATAAAATAAAATAAAATAAAAAGTAAAAAGTAAACACAAAACATAAAACTAAAACAAATTATCTTGAAATCAAACAGAAAAAAAAAAAATGAAAAATTGATCTTATCTTGAAATGAAATCTTTTTATCATCAATGAACACTTTGCGCTTGAATTTAAAATAATAAAATGAATTAATAAACAAAATGTCAAAAAATCAAACTTAAAAAAATCAAACAAATCAAAAAAAATAAACAAACAAAAAAAAGAGACATCAATTTTATCAAAATCTTGAATCTCTCTCAATTACCAATCTCTAATTTCTTCATCTCTTTATTCAACTTTTCATCTTCTTCAAATCCAATAATATCTTTATTCTTATATGCAGCTTTAACAATATCAAACGCTTTTAACAATTTTCTTCTTGCACCCATAGCTACAACTCCTGCTTTCATTAAATCTTCATCGTTATAGTAAATCAACGTCTTCCATGGAATATCTGATAAAATATCAGTATACTTGTGTAATCTTATGTTCCTGAGCCAAATTGGTAGATTATTAAGATTTTTCAATTGAATTAACTCAATAGAATTTAGTCCTGGAGATTTAGGCGAACTTGTCCCATTAAGTAATCCATTTAGATCCTTAGATGATGATAATGGTGTTTTTAATGCTAATGCATTAGTATGTGAAGAATTTGGAGTTAGAATCTCATTTTTAGCAGAATTCTTTAATGAATTATTGTTATTCGTGTTACTGGCATTACAAGTAGTATTAATAGTGGTAGTAGTATTAGTAGTGATGCCATTATTATTATTATTATTATTATTATTATTATTATTAGTAGTAGTAGTATTAGTATTACTATCATTAGTATTGTTTGAATTATTTGCATTATTTTTATTATTTTTATTATTGGCTTTTTCTTGATTTTTCTCATTGAATGAACCGGTTTTATCTTCCTTCAGAAAAGACTTTAAATTATCATCATTAAATGTTTTTGTCTTGGAATATTTCTCAAAGGATTTACCAGATTTGCTTGGTGATTTATCAGTTAGATTATCTTTATTTTTGTTATCTTTTAAATCTTTAGAATATGAATTTGAGTATGAATTTTTATTAGAATTTCCAAATTTTTTATTTCTATTCAATGCAGAAGAAACATTGCTATCAAAATTATTGTTTCTATTTGGTAAATTGTTATTACCATTGATATTATAATTATTCAAATTATTAGAATTGTTAAATTTTTTGGGATTAGCAGGAACTGAAGCAGTTCTTTGATGGTAGCTTTTGTTATTATTATTATTATTATTATTATTATTATTATTATTATTATTATTATTGTTATTGTTGTTGTTGAAAACCTTTTGCATAAATGCTTGATTAATTCTACCTCTCTCTTCATTATTCGAGTTATGATGATTATGGTTATGATTAGAGTTAATATGGTTAATGTTGTTAGCACTACTACTCTCTTGCATAACTTGAGATTGAATTTGAGATTGAGACTGATTTTTCTTTAAAGAATCCAATTTTGTCCTTGAATTAATTGTAGTCAATGCTTTTAACTTCATGGCAGTATGAGGATCTAAACTAAAGACGTCGTCACCACCAAATAGTACTGGAGAAGTTGGAGACTTAATTGAAGTGTTTTGTGAGTGAGAAAAAGAAAGTTGCAGGTTATGTAATGATTGCTGATTTTGCAGTTGAGATAATAATAGATGAGAAGCAGCAGTTAGATCTTCAGCATTACTGTTGATATTATTAATATTTGGTGAGGTAATGAGACTGTTGCTGTTATTATTATTGTTATTATTACTATTACTATTACTATTATTATTATTATTATTATTATTATTATTATTATTATTATTATTGTTATTATTGTTATTATTATTGTTATTATTGTTACTAGCTTGATCATTATTTGAAACTTTTTGTTTAGAAGTGAATTTTTTAGCTTGTTTCCTTAAAAAGTCAGATTCGGCTAATAAAGGGGAAAATAAAAGATTATTATTGCTACTGTTATTACTTGTAATAGTTGAGTTAGAATTGGAATTAGAATTGGAATTAGAATTGGAATTAGAAATAGAGTTTGAAATAGAGTTGGAAACAGAATTGGATGTAGAATTGGAGGCAGAAGTAGAAGAAGTAAAATTAACTGAGTTGCTATTGTTATTGGTAGTAGTAATAGTAGTGTTAGTATTTGTGGTTGTAGTGGTGTTAGCAGAAGTATTGTTATTATTGAAATTTGGAGATAAAGGGTTGATTAAAGTGGAGTTCGAGTTAGTAATTGAGTTCAAGTTTGAAGTTGATGTCGAGTTTGAATTTGAATTTGAATTTGAATTTGAATTTGAATTTGAATTTGAATTAGAGATTGAATTGATTGAAATGGAAGAATCAGTATTAATTGATAAATTTTTTTTATTGAGATTGTTTAAATTGTTAATGTTATTTAAATTCCAAGAGTCGTGTTTATTAATGTTATTGTTACCGTTATCGGAATTGTTTAAAATAGAATCCAAAGTAAAATGCTCTTGATTACTTAGATGCAAAAAGTTTAAACTTTGAGATTGACTTTGATGATGAAAAGTTGGTGATAGAACCTGAGAAATAGGTCTACTATTTCTATTTGAATTAAAAGAGCTATTGAAAGAGTTGTTATAGTTGGCATAATTGGCATAGTTATTATTGTTATTGTTATTGTTGTTGTTGTTGTTGTTGTTGTTGTTGTTGTTGTTATTATTATTATTATTATTATTATTATTATTATTATTATTATTATTATTTGCGACGATGTTATTGGGATTATTATTTGTAATATTATTGATAATATCTAAAGATAAATAAGCATTATCTAGAGTGATTTTTGTTAGTAAATATTTCAAAATTTCGTCATGATCATTATTTGAGTTAATGTCATTAAAATTTAGAAAATGATCGTAAAAGAGATCGACAAAATGGATTTTTTGGGGAAAGGAGGAATCCGAAGCAAATTTGATCAATAAAGATTTAAACAAGAGCAAGTCATTGTTAATGTTAATATTAATGTTATTGTTATTGTTGTTGTTATTTTTATTGTTAATATTAATATTGTTATTGGAATTATTATTAGCGTGAATATTGTTCAATAGATTGGATGGTGTTAAGATATCGCTATTGAAATTGTTGAAGTTACTAAAATTGTTAAAATTACTAAATTGGTTAAGATTTTGTTGATTAAAATTGTTATTGAAATTAGAATTGAAATTGTTAATGCTATTGATGCTATTACTGTTATTGTTATTGTTGTTATTAATAATATTAGTGTTGTTTAAATTTGAGTCGATATCAAAATGATACCTTGAGGACGTGGGGGATAATAAGGACATGGAAGTATGGGAATGAGAAGGGGAGACCAAGACTGAGTTATTGAAGTTGTTGTTGGGATTCGGATTCGGATTAGAATTAGAATTAGAATTAGAATTAGAATTGGAATTAGCGATGGTGCTAAAGGGGCTGTTGTTGTTGTTATTGTTATTATTATTATTATTATTATTATTATTATTATTTGATAATTGAATCGGTGGAGGAGATAGGATTGAGGATCTTGAAATGTTTAAATCTGGAGAGGTTAGATAGTTTAAAGATTGAGATCTGTCATAAGTGGTGGTTTTGGTGATGTTGTTAAGAGCATTGTTGCTATTGCTATTGTTAATATTGTTAATATTGTTAATATTGTTATTGCTATTAAGTCTATTTAGTAGAATAGAGGATCTGCTGTTATCTGGATTAAATAAATTTTGGGGTTGAGATTGTGTTTGATAAAAAACATTATTATTGTTGATATTGTTGTTGATGTTGGTGTTGTTTAGGTTGGAAGAAAGAGATTCATAAGCAGATTGGATGGGGGACCTAAAGTTTGACATTTCTTTAAATAAAGAGAATGAGAGTTCAATAGGACTGGGTAAGGGTTAGAAATAAACAGAAATGAACAGAAATAATAATGATGATGATGATGATAATAATAGTAATAATATTAATTCAAGATGGAAACCAAAATTCATGAATGTGCCCTGAGATGAGTGAATGGATGTATCTCTCTTTTTGGGGATTCTTTTTCTTTTACTTTGATGGTATTGTTATTAGCAAGATTGTTGGGGGATTATAAAGAAGATAAACCGAACAGGATGGCTAACAGATTTGTAGCAGATTTAGGTGACCAACTATAGGAAGAAGCAAAAAAAAATTTCTCTCTTGGTTGATTTTTTTTCTCTAAAATTTTTCTTATAGAAAGCAAAACCCAAAATACCCAAAAGAGAAGCTGAAACGAAATTCAAGTGGGAGATGAAAGTGAAGGAGAGAATGCTGACGATGGAGATGGAAAAGGAGAAGAAGAGCAGAGCAGCTAGGCAGCAGGAGCGATGGCTCGAGAGACGAGGGTGGATTGCAATATATCAGCAGTGTATCTGGAGTAGAATCACAGCACAGCTCAAACACAGTTCCATTTCATCTTTTGCCATTGGAAAGAAGTTTTTTTCTGAAAACGCAGCGGACGAAAAGACCACGGCGGTGGGTTGGCACGTGCACCGTCTAGTCTGCGTGGAGATGCGGTAGAGTGCGTGCAGTGAAGGAGCCACAGCAATGGTGTCCTGGTTGGTAAGCGCTTTATCAGCCGCAGCACGTGAGCTGTGATAATTGTGCGGATTGCTTGTCCTATCCGCACATAATCCGCGTTCCGCCGCGAAAACGGGGATAATTGTTGGTGGTTGTCGGCACTGAGCTGTGGAAGGTGAAGAGTTTGGTGAACAGCTGGAGAAGGAACGAGAGGAACAACAAAAGAAGTAGCACGATGAACAACAGAATGAACAGCTGCAATGTCTTCGTGGTGCTCGACCTCCCACGACTCAATGCCTGGAACAGCCTCAGTGCTCTCCCACAACTCGCAGAGAATTCAACCGTATGATTTGCACGCCTCGCGCTCCACCAATTCTTTCTCCAACTCCTCGTTCTCAGTCCTTTTTAACTTCTTTCAAATTCTCTTTAAACTCTTTTCAACTCTTTCCAACTCTTTCTTAAGTCCTTCGATATATCCATTGGCATCACTCTTCTCTGTTAATTGCTGCTTCCAGTGCTCTTTGTTTCCTCTGCCTGAACAATGGAAAACGACGAAATTAGAGTTGCCAAAATTGCAGATGTTTTGCTATCCAAAATTCGAGGCAGCATTGACAAGCTCATTCAACTCGATAACTTCACCATAAATAACATTGACAATTCCACTCTGAACAGTGCTGTGGAAACCAACGAGGAAATCAAGTTGAAGACCTTATCCAGTTTAATCAAAGACATTCATCAGTTCCAGCCTTGTCCTCAGCTATTAGACAAGCCTTTGCCGGTTTTTATATCAAAGCTATCAAACCACTATCTATTCATAATCAAAAACGATGCTATCACCAACTTGAGCAAAACAACCAAAAGTAATAAAAACAACCCTCAATTCAATTACGACTGGATATCGGAAATCATCTACAACTTTACCAAAATTAGAGGCATAAAATCAATCTCCATCTCCTTCTCCTCAGATATCTACATCATAGATCTTCTATTAAACAAAATTGAATTCTTATCCTTTTCTTCTCCCTCATCGTCCAACAGCAATTGGCATGAGTTGTCCTTTCTCTTGCTCTGGTTATCCGTCCTAATCCTAGCTCCATTCCCTCTATCCTCAATCAACCCTCAAATCCCTAAAAGAATCTTCAAAATATCCAACTACTACCTAACTGAAAAGTCAATTGGCAAAGAAAATGAAGTCTCCATCTTACTATTTTCAAAGTTTTTATCACGAAACGATGTCTCTTCTTTCAATTACCTCACCTCCTATTACTTGAACTATTTATTCAAATTTGATCCACTTAAAAACTCATTTACAAACCGTTTCCTCAACATGAACGATAATGAAAAACTATCAAATCTAAAATTGCTATCAAATCTACTAAAATTCATCAAAAAGGATACAATATCCCCCTTTTTACCTCTCCATTATTCTCTAATTAATAACCACTTTATTACTCAATTCAGTGCCCAATCATCTCTATCCGAAAATTCAATCATATCAAAATTCATCATCAAAAATTTAGGTAAACTAGGCACATCTCTACTCTCAATTGATCCAGATCAACTACAACCCCCAACCGCCTCAATCGATTCCAACAATCAGCCATCTTTTAACCACTTGATTCATTTATTCAAAAATTTCGATCCTTTCGAGAAAATCGAACAAATAATATCAAACCTACTAATGCAAATCGGCCATAAAGACACAATCATCCGTTACTGTGTATCAAGACAAATCTCAAAGATAGCCAATCTTTTGCCAACTGACTTTCAACTAGACATTATCAACAACTTAATCTCAGAATTAGATATTCAAAGTTTCAACTTTAATCCAAATCTCTATTCTCCCTCATCTCCTTCATCTTCTTCACCCCCACCCTCTTTAAATTTAATACACTTTAATTCAGACCAAATCAATTTCGACCTCATCTCTTCAGATCGTTACCATGGTATTCTCCTAACCCTCTCAGAACTAACAAACAAAAGACTAATCCCCATCAACTACTTCTACTTACTAACCTCAATCCTACATAAATCTCTTTTCTTCAAACAACAACACATAACTTTCATCTCAGGCTCAAATGTTCGTGACTCCTCTCTTTACCTAGCTTGGTCCTTTATTCGAAGCTACACCTCTTTAAGAGACAAAATTCCTGTACAAATCTTACTACAATTATTCAATGACTTGATCATAACCGTATCCTTCGATAAGGATATCATGATAAGAAGAGCTTCAAGTGCTGTCATTCAAGAACTACTAGGAAGATATGGTAAAATCCTTTGGAACGTCATTGTCAAAAATTCAGATTACTACGATGACTTCCAAAATTACAGCCCCAAAAATTTATCAGAACTAAGTTTAAAACTAATAGAAATACTAGATTACACTAAATTAGGTAATTTAAAACTATCTTATCTAGAAATCTCCTTTGATATCTTTACAAAACTAAATCTTTTTCAAAAAAGTTTTTTAAGTTACCTAATCAACTACAATTTAAATACCAGTAATACCTCGGAAATCATTCAAAACTATCAAAGCAATGAAGGAATAAACTCCTATGATCCTGAAGTTAGAAAGTTAAGTGCAATTATATTGAAAAAATTGTTACAATACAAACAAAATCAATATAAATCAATTAAAAATAAATCAATAAATCTACTTTACAATTTCCAAATTCCTCAAAAAGATGGTATTGATAATGACATCCAGATGCAAGAATCTAATGAAATTCAATCAAATAATAATGACTCAATTAATAAAGAATTAATTAATAAAGAATCAAATACCATTGAATCAAGCAATGACAAAACTTCCGAAACGGAACAAACTGAAGAAAAAAAAGAAAGTGAAGAAACTAAACAAACTAACGAAACTAATGAAACTAAAGATAAATCTAATGTTGAGTTAACTGAAAATGATAAAACCGCTGAATCCCAAAAGATTGATAAAATCCTAAATAATGCTGAAATCAAATCTGAAGTTGGAATTAATGATCACTCAATCAATGATAAGAAAAGTTCTGAAACTGAAAAAGATGAACTCCAAAAAGGTGCGGTTCAAATTATTTCAGAAGATAAATCAAATGAAATTTTAAGTGAAAATTTAAATGAAAATTTAATAACGGAAACCCCTCTTGAAAATGACATCGAAGACTTCAATTCAGTAGTTCTTATCTTAATCGGTGTGTTGATAAGAAGATGCAAATTAAAAAATATCGAAGGTAATTTTTATGCACTTGCAGAGATTTTGCCATTAGTTTTTCCAGAAATTCCGTATAATCTTGATGAATTTTATCTTAATAACACTTTAAAAGATTTATTGCATAAAACGAATATTCTTCAAAGTGATATTGTGACATTATTGAACTCAATAGTGGAAATATTACATGAACAAAAATTTGATTACCATAAAGATCCTCCTCACAAAGGCGAGGAATTTATTTATTTATTGGGCACAATTCTTCCTTATGTAAATTATCTATTCATTTATAATAACCCCAGGCAGTTTGACGGTTCAACAAAATTGAAAAATAATGATCCATTAGGTTTAGATTTTTACAACTCGGTCTTTAATATCATTAGGCAAACATCTAATGATATTTCAGAAAAATTCAAATTTTTTATTGAAAAGCTCTCTTTAATTAACTTGAAATCAAAGACATTTACCGATTCAATTTTCATCAAAAAATGGTTATATTATATCAAGAATGGAAATCTAATTAGCTCTGAAAATTTTGGATATCTTAATTTAGATTTTATTTTCCCTTACTTAGAAAGTAAAATACTTCCAATTTTAACTGATAAAAGGGTTGATTATCAAATAAGAAAAAACATAATGACATCTATTTCAATTATTTTGAGTAGACCTGTTGAACCAAAGAATGAGCGTTTCAAATTATCTGGGGATTTTATGATTGAATTAATCAATCAGCTTGATGATTATACATTAACCAATCAAGGAGACGTTGGAAATAAAGTCAGATTTGAAGTGACTCAATTAATTTTTAATAATAGAAAATCGTTTTTGGAAAGTGTGAAATACATCCAATTGATTGAAAAGAAATTGATAAGAATTTCAGGTGAAGTCATTGATAGATTAAAATTTAAAGCTTTTGAATTGCTACTAATAATTAAAAATGAAACGAAAGATTTGAAGAAATTTTCATCAGATTATAATTATATTGAATATTCAGATGAAAAATATAAACAAAAACATGGAAAATCATATTTAGATTTAGTTCCGGAAAATTGGAGTTTTGATACAATGTTTGATTATTATAAGTTTTTATTAAATTTCTATTATGATAACTATTTGATAGACATGTGGGAATTTATTTTAAAGAAAAATCGAAGTAAAGAAGAAAATGAGAAATTGAGTTTCTTAAAGGATGTTTCAAAAGAATTCTGGAAAGGATTTGTGTTTTCAGCAGGAGCAATTCAGGCATCAGATACTACTATTATTCATTCATTAAATTCATTAATTTGGTTTTTAAATAAAAAGTTATCGAGCGATAAATTTATAATTATTGAGCTAATGAAACACTATAATTATCATTATGAAGTCGAGAATGAATCTATCAATAAAATTATTTTAAAAAATGAGGAGTTGAAAACTCTTGTTTTTACAGATATTTTAACAATTTTGAAGAATGATCCAATGGTTTCAAAGAATGCATCAACGTTTAATTCAAGAATTCGAGTTTCTAGGGGAGGAAGAGACGTTTCGAATAGAAACATGGTAAATAAGTCATTAGTTAACAATCGAGTAGTGAAAAATCAATTATGTTGCTTGAATTTATTCTCTAAACTATTTGATGCTAATATCAAATTGCCAAATGCAGACCAATCCATTGAATCGAAAGAAATCAAGAGCGTTGATGCTGAGTTGGTTAAACCAGTTATGAAAACCCCAACACTTAAGAGAAAGGTTTCGGCTAATTTTATGCCACCAATAAAGAATACTATCAGTCCATTGGATATTAAAAAAAGAAATAGTCCATCACCACCTTCATCTCAAATATCAAGATCGCCATCATCATTGAAAAAACCTGTTCCTAAAACAACTAACGAGTCATCAGTTACTATACAATCGCATAGCAATTTGGTCAAGGCATTGTATATTAGAACATATAATTTGCATTTGAACACAGCAAATTTTGTAAAGATATCTCTATGTCTTAAAATTTTCCAATATTTAATTTTAGTTGAGGACTTCAAAGAAAGTTTAAAGAGATTGTGCTGGTTGTGTTGTAATCATCAATTGAAGAAAATAAAATTACTAAGTTGTGAATATTTGTATCAGATTTATTTTGATAAATTGAGCAAGCTAGTTGACGATAGTGATAATAATATTGATGAGGATGGAATTGAAATGGACGATGATGATATGGAAAAGGGCAATGAAGAAGTAATTCAAAATCTGAAAATATCGACTAATGAAAAAAATGGAAATAGTATAGTTGAAGAGAAGGATGATAAGTTGATGATTCAACGGATTATTAATAGCAAAGACAATTTTGAAATAAATGAGAAAGTTGAAAGATCAATCGATGGCCAAGTGAAGAAAAATAGTAGTGATGATAAAGTTAAGAGCAAAAACGATAATAAAGATTCTGTTAAAAGTAATTTAGAAAAGGCGTTGAAAATCTTATCAGATATCGATTGGAATGGTGAAGACGATGATAGGCTCAAGGCATATTCCAATAGTTTATATGTTGAATGGTAAATAGAAGATTTTTATGTTTTTAAATAAAAGGTTAGAACCTGTATTATCGAATATATGTGCGATATCTACAGATAAACACATGCAATAAATGTAAAAAAAATATATCATAGTTTAGCTACAGAATATAATTGTTCAAATCAAATCAATTAAATTAATGAAGAATATGGAAAAAGATTCTATTGAGTGTTTAAGATAACAAAGCCAGCTTAACTGACTGGCAGATAAGTGAAGTGCCAAAGAGGGAACTAAAAAAAGGAAAGTGTAAAAAAAGTTATATTAAAAGTTATATTATAAGATGAGATACTTTAATATCTTTAGTCATTATTGTTAGTCCAGTGGAAAAAGGTCCATGGAAGAGCAGGCCAAAACAAACAGGCAGAAATACCAACAGACCAACCAAGAACTAAAGGAACTTGTCTTTTGAACTCAGTCGACCAGAATGAAGGACCGATTTTCTTTGAGAAGCCCTTGGTTGCAGCTTCTTTGGCAGCTTGTCTAGCAATCATAGATGGAATCATTTTGAAGTTGTAGGTCTATAGTTCCCAGGATATGGTTGTTAGAGAGTGTTGTTAGAGATTGTTGTTAATGGGTGTTGTTACAGGTGGAAGAAGAATGGAGAGAAAGATGGAAAGAGAAAGTGGAATATATTCAATGAACAGCCAATCACAGCGCTCGAATTCCACAGAAGTTCCGCGGGGTCCGTGTATCGTTGCGGGGTACGAGGTCTGTGAAAAGGCCCCGAGGGTCTGAAGGAAAAACGGTACTTTGGGGCAGCTGGGGTTTGATATTAGATGTTTATTGAATAGATATTTATAACATAAGAATCGTTAAAAAGTTTAGTATCGAGAAAAAAATTAGCAGGAACAGAAACTGGAGAAAATAGCACAGTAGTGGAAATAGGTTTAATTTGGAGTTATGAGTTCTAAGCATTATTGGGTTTGTTTAATTTGTATGGAATAGCAGGCCAGAATAACATAACAGTTATACCAACACCCCAGCCAATAAAATTGTTTCCAACTCTTTTGAATTCAGATTTTATCCAGTATGGATTAAAACCACTTTTATGAAGTTTGGCGGCATTCGTTGCTTGTCTTAAAATGATTGACGATTTCATTGTTACTGGTTAATATAATATTAATATTGCGAACGTGAGTGTTGAAGTGGTTCTGATTAGCTAGAAATTATTATGACTTGCTGGAATATGTGCTGGTGTAAGAGACTTGGAGAGCTATATTTGAAAAATGTATCTATATGATATTATAAGACTATGTTTTTAAGGGGATTTTTGCAGTTTATATAACAATTTTCAAATTTGAAATACTAAATGAGTGTTGGTCTAATGGTGTTCAAAAATTGAATAAAATTTTAACCTATCCATCAATTTTACAGGTTATTGGTACCATTGGTGAAATTGCTAATTCCTTTTGGTTTAGTGTTGGTTGTAAAGCGAGTGTGTTTACACTTATGTTCTGATTTTTCTCCATGGCTCCATAAACGAATAAGTTTATTTTCGAAGATCACTCTTTAACGACACTACAGCTGTAATTACAGTCTTACTCAGTAAATGCTATCTGCTATATTAGTGCAATAATTAAATGATTTTAATTGAATTCGATTGAATTTAATTCATTTTTTATCATAATTTTATCATAATTTTACAAGAAAAACATTGAAATAAAATTAATATAATAATTTTCTTGTGGTTTTTCTTTTTGACAAGAACAGCTCCTTGTGTTGTTAAAGTTTAAGTGCTCTTTTCTGTTTTGACCATAGCTTTACTTTCTGTTCCTTGGACCAATAAACAATCTTGTTTAACAAGAACTTGCTGTTTGCAAATTGTTTATCTGAAATATAATTCAAACTCAACTGATAATTATTCATTTTAAAGAATCACACATAATCTGATTTTGGCATGGTTTTACTTATCAGATTGAACAAATGGGAAACTTTATTTGGACACTTGCTTATCCAGTATTGTTTGGACTTTCCAAAAATCCGGGCTTGCAAATGTTCCGTTTTCTTTTGATGCAGCAATACCCTAACCAATTACATCTCAGTTGCATGTAAACAATACAGTCTATTTTGCTGAGCAAGTTTCAGGAAATTGATTTATTTGCAATCAATTCAAACGATTTAGCAATTAGATTCAAAAGAAATCCCTCTTGAAATCCAATTGCAATGGTCTTCTATCACAAATGAGTTTGATCTGCTTACAAAGCTGTTGACTCAATAAATCAAATTAAAGCTGAAATTTCTAGTAGTGTTAGCACCTCACATTATTTTCAAACAACACCAAATATTGTCATATCACCAAAAGATTTGACCCATTAGTAAGGGCATATTGAGCTGCTTGCTCATTAAAAACCAATCACGACCACGTTAATCTTCCCCATATTCACAGTGCAAAATAATATTTGAACCTTCTGAGAAAACGCCCTTCCCATTTTCACAGGTAAACAAACGCACAAACAGGTAGAAAATGCACACACCACAGCATATAACATTAAAAGAATCTGATGACTCATGACATAATCTAAACCTTTGGGAATTTGCTTTGGTAGCTCAGTCGGAAGAGCGTTAGTCTCATATAAACTCAGTTTAATGGGTTATCTGAAGGTCGAGAGTTCGAACCTCCCCCAGAGCAAGTTTTTTTTTATCTGTATTTATCTGAATAGCTACATTACTAAGCTATTGCATAATACTACTCACGTGTTGTTTTCGGAACCGAAAAGAAAAGTGGCAAACTTCTTAACCAGAGCTTGGCCTGGTTTTGAATTCATGAATAACAACTCCATCAGTGTCGAGAAGAGAGTGTTTTTGGTTATTTCAAGTGGTTAGACAGTGATTTCTCATTATTTGCAACAATGGCTGACGTTGATATGAAAGAGGTCTCTGTGGCTTCCCCAACAATTGATTCAATTGACACAAAGGATTCTGAAAGTTTTACTGACAAAGAAAACAATGATGAGTACAATTTTAACGAGATTCTAAAGACCCTCAAGTTATTGCAGAAAGCTTCGATTGAGTTTGATTCTCGTTATATTCTAAAAATTTTTAGAGATTTAAACCCATTGAGAAAAAAATTGAATTCAACAAATTTGAACAAATTATTAGATTTGATTTACAATTCAACTGATAAACCAAATTTTCAAAAAGTATATCTCTTGGAATATTTGGGTCAGCTTCCAGTTATTGCCGATGAAAAGTCTGATATTATTTATGATGTAGAAATGGATGTTGTTACCAAAACTACTGATAAAGAAGATGAAAATACAACTCAAAATATCACTACAGCGAATGACATATCTGAAAAACCAAAAGACCAATTCAAATTGATTCCTGAAATTGACTTATACATTCACTTTTTATTTCAGCTATTTTTACATGACAATAACCATTTAGAGATTTTAAACAATTTAAACTCAAAAATAATTCAATTGATGAACTCTTATAATAAAAGAACTCTAGATTATATTCAAGCTAAAATCTGGTTTTACATCTCAAGAACTTGCGAATTGCTAGACATCAATCACAATAATAACAATCAAGTAAATGAATCCTTTGATAATCTTATCAACTTGAGATCTCCTCTATTATTAGCTTTAAAAAGTTCATCTCTAAAACATGACACTGAAACACATGCCTCAATCATCACTTTATTGCTAAGAAATTACTTAATCACTAATGATATTCAACAGTCCATAAATTTTATCGAAAAGATTCAATTTCCAACTAATGCTGGTAACAACTTAATCTCCAGATACTATTATTATTTAGCCAGGATTCACACAATTCAATTGAATTATTCAACTGCCCTAAATGAGATTATAACCTCAATCAGAAAAGCTCCCCAATCAACTAAAGTCTTAGGCTTTTTGATTTCCGCCAAAAAATTAAACGTTTTAATTGAATTATTAATGGGTGATATACCCGATTTAAAAATCTTTAAAAAGCAAAAATTTTCAAAGTCTTTAAAACCTTATATGGATATAACTAAATCTGTTAAATTGGGTGATTTGAAATTTTTTAATGAAACTTTAGAAACTTATTCATCTGTTTACAAAAAAGACAACAATTACAATTTGATTTTAAGATTAAGAAAAAACGTTATTAAAACTGGTTTAAGAATAATTTCATTATCCTATAAGAAAATCTCCTTGAAAGATATTTGTCTTAAATTGCAGTTAGACTCCGAATCCAATGCCGAGTATATTATATCCAAATTAATTAAAGATAACGTGCTTGAAGCAACAATTAACCATGAAAAGGGTTTCATGTCAAGTAAAGAAATTCTAAATGTTTATAATACTGATATTCCTCAAGTTGAGTTTAACAACAGAATCAAATTTATCAATGACTTCCATGATGAATTTGTCAAGAGTATGAGATATCCTGAAAATAAAAACAGACTTAACGATAGCGCTTTAAATCAAATGAAAGATGAAGAATTAGAATTGGTTGAACTATTACAAGATAGTAATGAAAGTGATTTCTTTTAGCATATTTATAAAATAAAAAGATTTATTATAAATTTTTTTATATAAATTTTCTATCACTACTTTATTTTAGTTTTAAATTTTATTTTATGTAATAAAAACTTTTTTGTTTTCTTCAAAAAAAGGGCTTACCAATAATAAAAGAGAAAAAAATATAGAAGAAAAACCATTAAAAAGACTATCAAAATTAGTTAACTCGACATAAAAAGTAAAAAGTAAAATGTAAAAAGTAGAAAGTAAATAAATGAATAAAAATTAAAATAACACATCAGAAAAAATAAATTCCTTTTAAAAAAGAGAAAAATAAATAAATAAAAACAGGTTAAAGACAAAATTAATAAATAGAAAAAATAAATAAAAGTAATAAAAAATGAAAATTAAAAAATAATCTATTAATTAACTTAAAAGAAAAGAAAGAAATAAAAAAAAATGAAGAAAATGGTACAACTTGATTTTGGATTTCTACAAAATTAAGTGAAACCACATAATTTACACAAATATCTCAATTAAAACATTGAAAGTAGTGGCTGTAGCCCAGATGCTTATCATTGTAATCCCAATAAATCGGTTCATTTTCCAGTCATTTGATGGAACTGCAACTAGTAGAAAAATCAAATTCACCAACAAAGCGAGGTTACTCACTATTAATGTTGAGCTTAACTCAACCTTATAGTCCATCCCATTTTCAATGATATTTGGAAGCTGTCTCTGGTATTCTTTGTTTGGAATTATGATTAATCCGCTGCCTCCAATTCCAATTAATATATTCAACAAGGGCCCACCAACACAAGCAGCTAATGCCATACGTGGAAAGCCCATTTTAGCAATGGTAAAATTGGAAATAAAATCACCTAATGAGTTTCCAATGGCAAAAACTGTTATTCCAAGTATTGCATCCGATAAATGCCAGATGATTGCATAAAATTTAAGAATGGCAATCACTTCAGTTGCAATAACTGAAATCCACGATATGCTAACCAAAAAGCCAACAAACGATAAAATGAAGTTTGCAATGTTTTTGAATTTAAGATTATTTATAATAAAAGAGTCCTTTGAAAGTTCGTTAATTAAATTTCTTGATGTTCTATTTTGATATGACTTTGGCTTAGCCTGAAATTGAAATTCACATTCTGAGTCTTTGTCAAAAAGTTTATGTTTTATTATTTCATAAAGAGATATCTTTTTGGGATGAAAAGTATAGGTAACCATTGATAACATTAAGATTGAAATTATCATCCCAATTAAATAAAGATATAAGGGAACACCATCCTCATCGGATTCATCGTTGGTGGAAAACATAAAATAGATTAATATAAAAGGTGATAGAACCGATTGAGCAGCTAATAGCACTAATTGATTAACGTAGTTAGAAATTGGTATTGAAGCAGTACTTGATTCATTGAACTCGCCATCAAACCCTGCAAAACTAATGGAATCCTCAACAGCTTGAAGAGATGGTGACAAGTAATTTGAGGTAGAAGGATTCAATTCTGGACTGGTAACATTATTGTTCATGTGCACATTTGTATCATTAAGATGTTTTAATTTAATTAGTTTGTATACTGTTTTGACATCGGATTTAATATCTTTATGATAATCTCTAACTGGAATACTCAATCGTAATAACAAAACAATTGGCGATACTAAAATTAACAAGGATTGATCAATCAATGATTTTTCGGAAAAATTTAAAAAACTTGGAAACAAAATATGGATGATATTTGTTAAAATCCGATCTTTCAATGGCTTAGAAGAACTGATATGCAAATTTGATCTTCTTCTCCTTCTTCTTCTTGTTGTTATAATAGAGGCTTGATTGGATTGGGAATGATTGCCATTTGAAATATTTGAAAGTCTCTTACCAATTATTAATTTCTTAATCTTATTAAACAAGGAATTTGAAGTTTCTTCACCATCCAAATCAAGGGAATAAATCGTTATATTTGAAGATGACCTGGATCTCCCAACATTAAATGGACTTCCATTTGCATTGTTTATATGAGATGGTGATAATAACTGGTTATTGCTTTCATTTGTATTGGTGCTCTTAAGTAATCCGTCAGGATGTGAATCGTTATGAATATGGCTAATACTTGATTCGTATTGTTCAACAGAAATTGGACTAACTTGAGTTGATCCATTAAATGATTTAAATACATCTGGATTAAGATTAGAATCGGTTTTACGGACTTTATTATCATCTGAATCTATAGTATTATGAATACTATTATAATCTGCTGAAATATTAGAAACAGCAGGCAATAATTTTGAACTGCTTGTTGAATTATCAATTGAGTTGTCATCTTTATCTTGATTTAACGAAAAATCTAGAGGCATTTTAAAATCATTTGCAATTTCTAAATCCATATCATTAAAGGTGTTACCTGGATTATCTTTATAGAGTGGTTGACTGTTTAATACTATTAATTTTTTATAATTCCTTCTTCTGCTGAAGTTTTTATCATTATAAAAAGGCTCGGTTGTGGGCCTAATTGTAGATTTATCAAATGAGACGATATGATTATGCAGGTCAATTAAATGCAAAGAATTTTCATGAGTTTCCTTCGGAGGCATGGTTGATGAAGATGAAGAGCATGCAGAATCGGAAGGAGAAGAAGGAGAAGATAGAATTAAGGAGACTGGAGAAGGTGTTTTAGGCAATGATATTGTTTGTAATTTTTGTTTTGGTTCTGTATTTAATGCTAAAGGTGATAATGTCATGTCATCGACATTTGAATCAAAATCTATGTTTGATACATGACTTTTTCTTGAATGGTAAGAACGACGAGCTGATTTTTTATTTGCAGTGGAGGGTAAAGATAAAGAACGTGAATTATTATTATTGTCATTAATATTATCAGTGCAGTTGTTATTATTATGATTATTATTATGAAATTCTATATCATTGTCATTGTCGTTGTTATCAAAAACGTTTAATTGAAAATGAGGCTGTGGTTGGGTTTTAATAGAAATATCAGATGCATTGTTATTGGTGAAATTTAAGTTGTTTATGATGTTATCATTGTTAATATTGTTATTGATATAACCAAAAAAAGGCAAATTATTATTTTTCTTTAAATTTTCAACAGTTTGTTTGAATTCCAATGCATTGAGTAATGAAGGACGTAATAAAATAGTTGAAGAGCCTATTAGTTCATCTTCTTCGTTATAGTCATCATCAGCAATGCTATTATTTTCAAGATCAATTAAATTATTAAATAAGTTAAAACTGTTTATGGAGAGAGATGAGGTATCTGCATTTAAGGATGAGTTTTTAATGATATTTTGATGAATATTAGTGGAGTCATTATTGATAGCAAACGTTGGTATAGTGGTGCTATTATTAGTGGTGGTGGCGGTGATGATGGTGGTATTATTGTTATTGTTATTGTTATTAAAATTGAGGTTGTTGTTGTTGTTGTTTTTGATTGAGTTTGGATAAGAACAAGAGGATGAAGATGAGATGAAGGGGTTTAAATTTAAATTGATAGTTGATTCTCTAGTTACTGTTTTAGGCTGTTGACTTGGGTCTGGAATCAATTCATCGATATCTGGAATTCTTTCATCATCATCATCATCGTTATCATCATTATCATCATTATTATTGTCAGGATTGATTTCAGAAGTATTTTTAATATTATCGACAACATAATTGGAGTTGATTGAATTGTTAATATCATTAGAATAAAAAGATCTTGATTTTAACTCCATTTTCTTTTTTTTAAGGATTTTCATTGAGATAAAATTCCAGATTAAAATCAAAAAGACATAAACTAAGTATAACATGATTAGGTTGAAGCAAAACCAAAGTGATAAGTTTCTTTTGATTAGTAATTGGTAATCTAGGATTAAAATTGAAAATGTGAAAAAAATGACATCTCTTAGAAAAGTCTTTTTGTATATTTTAAAGGGTTTTAAGATGGCCAAAGAACCAATAACAACAGAAACAATGAAGAAAGCAGCACCAATTAGTTCACCAATTGCCAAAGAACCAGAGCCTATTTTCATTGCAGTGAAGGTGGAAAAGATATCTGGAGAGCCATTTCCAAGTGCAAGTAGAGTTAAGCCAGTTATGTTCTCATTAAGTTGTAGGAATTTTGATATTGAGTTTAGATTGGGACATAGATAATCAGAAGCTGTTAAACCTAGAGTAGTAAACAATATTATTAAGAAGAGAATGGTTATTAGGATTAGGATTATGGAACTTTTTGACAAGAGTAAATGAAAAAACGAATTTTTCTGTGATTTGCAATAATAAAGACTTAAATAGTTTAAAAAACCAATTTTTTGGCTTGCACAGTTTGATTTGACAAAATCGCATTTATCGATATCGGGAATTTTGTGGATGTCTTCACAAGTGAAGTTTTTGTAATTATCGTAGGTCGATAGGTCCAAAGAGTTTGATAAAGTGAATTGAAAAAACAAGAGTAAAATAATGCAATAGGGAGATAGTGATTTATATTTAATTTTCATTTTCATTTTCGGATTTGTATATATTTTTAATTTCAGTCTAATCTATCTCAATGTCTATGTTTGTTGTAGGGTCGATTATAATGGTTGGGCAGGAGGGTTATCTTGTTGAATAATTGTGTTGGAAATATGTGATTAGACATTTAGCAATTCATTTCAATCTCAAATTGAATAGTAGTGGTGTCGAGGATTGTTATTATCTCACTGTCTGACTGGGCTCACAAATATCAAATCACCAAAAATGAATTTCTTCAGACTGAAACAAAACAGAGGATTATCAGCACAAGTGGTTGGCGAATTGAGACGTCTTTGGGAGAGAATAGCACACTCAGACCTGAAGAAGAAACAGCTTTAAGATATAACCAATTGCAAATATAATCAATTACAGATATGGGAGCTTATTTGAGGTGAAAAAACTGGTTCTGCTTCAAACCCATTTTGGAGGTGGAAACAGCCAGCAGAAGCCGGCAACCGCCCGCTCCGCCCGCCGGAGAAAGACGCCAGGCCGCCGGCGACGAAGAAACAGCGCTCTTCGGACATATCGGAGCAGGTTCGTCGCAACGAGCAGGACGAACAGCAAAAGCAGGCCTCCGCAGGTCCTCCGCAGACCTTAACACGGCCGCAGTGTTGCTTGTTCAATTGCTTGTTTTGCGCTTTTGTGTTTTTTTGTTTGGCTGACCAGTACGATAGGGTTGCTGCCGTGAGGATGACATCCCAGACCTACCATAACAATGGGTCTACCTGCATGCGGCTATCGGTGTTACAAAGCAGCTCGAAAGCAGTCAGAAAAGAGGCTGTGGCGGTGCGGCCGAATCCAGTGCAGTTGCTCTGTGTCAAAGTGTGGAGGCAAACTAGGGAAAGAACTGTGAGGGTTACGTGTATTGCGGCCGAAGCCGTGGCTGCTTCCGAAGGCTCAGCTTCTTCCGAGAAGCGCGACGGGTTTTTTGTAGTACACCAACTCGATGAGAAAGTTGAATCTCTTATCCACAATGAGAATCAAAACCACCATTAACAAATTGAACACACTGAGAATCAAGAAACTGGACCCAATCCAATGATCTGAGAGGTAGCCTCCTAGCTTGCTTATAATCAAGATCCCTATGCCTCCACAAAACGTATAGACCCCCGAGATTGCTCCACTAAAGGTTCTTTGTTTGTCTGTGCATAAAGACATCGATCCAATAATGTTACCAATGTGAGAAATACCAATAAAGGATACTAAGACCATTAGAAAAACCAAATTTTTCTCGACTTTTCTAATAAACGAAATTGAAAAGTTTCCCAAAAAGCCAAATAAACTTGACACTAACATCACATTCTTTCTGCCAAATTTATCGCATAGTATTCCAAATAATGGAGCAACAATTAATGAAATCAATTGAGAAATTCCAATTAGCATCGACGAATAAACATACGCCTTTCTACAATAATCATTATCATCGCCATTTCCACCGGCAATGCTAATGGTGCTTGCACTTATCGATGAACAGTTTCTGTCATATTCTCTTTGAAAGTAATCGTTAACATACAAGGGTAAGAAACTTCCAATTATAATACTCGACGATCTTGAAATAAATGAACCAAAATATCCCAATGCAATTTTCCTTTCTTTAGCAGCTTTGAATCCCATTTTTAATAATTCAAAATAATTCAAATTTCTTTCGATATTTCTATTATTAATCAAATTGCTATTACTATTACTATTACTATTATTAGTTGATTCTCCATTTATTCCATCAATTTCATTGATAACACTATTTACCAACTCATCTTCGTCATAATGATAACTGTATTCAATATCCAAAATATCGTCAAATTCACTTCTGAACCCAAGAACTTGTAGTATTTTTTTATTAACCCCTACTTTTTTATTATCTTTATACAACAAAAAACTTAGAAAAATCCCCACGAATATCGCAATCAGTCCCACTGTGAGATATGAGTATTTCAATGCTAACCCAGTTGGATAATGTTTTCCAAATTTAACTGGTAATGTTAAAAAGAAAACAACAGAAAAAATTGCTCCAAATCCAGTGGCAATTCCAACATACGATGTCAATTTTCCATTTCTTTTATTACTATCTTTATCATTGTTTCCGGTAATATTTGAAGAACTTGTATTAATTGAGTAATTATCATTTTCATTAATAATAATATCTTCCTCTTCATCCTCATCATCCTCTTCTTGATTATGAGTATTATTATTATTATTGTTATTATTATTGTTATTATTATTGTTATTATTATTATTGGGAATATCAGGAGTTGTAGCATGATTATCTTCATTCACGTTATCATTATTTAGTCTCAATTGATCTTCTGGCAATTTAAAAAATCGATTGTTTTTTTTGAAATCAATTTTCTTGATCTTTTTCTTAATATTGTGAAAGAAATCTTTTATTGAAAACTGGAAATTCGAGCAAGTTAGCTCAGTCAACATTGCAGTTATCATGGATCCACAGGCTGTTGCCCCTAAAGCAAAAAATAATCTTAAAAATAACATGTCAGGATAAACATTTTTGGCTAATGTATATGTTAAAAAACTAGCACCAATTATAATTAACCCAAACACAGTTATAGGCCTTGTTCCAATTTTATCACTTAATGCGCCAAAAAGAGGACTGGTTATTATAGATAATATTTCATCTGCAAATGTCAACGTTCCAATATAATTTCCAATTTTATTTGAAATACCTAGTATATCTGTCAAAAAAAATGGTTGAGTTGACGTTAAAAATACAATAAACGAGATCGAAAAAAAACATGATAAAAAATACCCAACAGCATTAGTTAGTGTATATTCATTTTGCCCCCTCATGATAATATTATGATAACGTTATATTCTATTATAGTATATTCTATTATCTGATATGATCAAGGGAAATAATTGAAAATCAAATTTATTAGTAACAATTTGAAATAATTAAAGAGCTGGACCAACTAATTAATTAGAAGCGATCCCTATGTTATAAAACCAATTTTATATATATCAAACAATCTGATGAGAGCAATCCAGAACCAAAAACCTAGACAGAATTAAAAGGAGCTTTTTTTGAAACCAGCAGAAGAAAACTAAAAAGACCTCTAACGAAATGAAAGGAAAATTTGTTTCCAAGATCAATTCATTTTCTACCCCATCTCTTATCAATCTCATCTCTTTATTACCGATATCTTCCTTGATCGAGAAAAACGGCAGCACTACCGAAGTTGTTCGTAGTACGACTATTATCGTATTTCCATTTTGAATATATTATACGGTACCACACGGATCAGTATTCCGAAAAAAATAAATAATAGGTTACCCTGCATCGAGACAAAACGGAAATTAGACACTCATTCCAGGACACTCATTCCAGGACTGGGTTGTAATGAATTATAATAAAAAATCTGAGGCTTGAAATTAATTTAAAAGTAATTTCAATTTATATTGGCAATGTAATGGTTCTCGTCACTATCAATATAACTATCGATATCACTATCATTGGAGATGTCTTCTACAAGATACTGCAACACAAAACAAAGGATTGCTTATTCTAAAACTCTGCACCCTAAAACGTTGCTAATATAAATATGAATATAAATAGCTCTCCAACACCTCTCGAGAAAATAAAATAAACTTAAAACCAATAAATCGCCACTAAAATTTGCAATAGAGAACCCAAAATATAAAAACACTGTCCCAACTCCTCCCAAGCATACAGTTGGAGATAATAATCGAAATATTAAAAAATTTGAAAATGAGAGTGATTTATCAATATCATCAAAGGGAACACCTATTGGATGTGGATGCGGTACATCAAATACAAGTTCACAAACATCCTATTGCAATTGATCAAATTGTAATGAGAAATTCAATAACGAAGATAAAGTTACTGATTTTTCTATTCAACATTGCAAGCAGGGCTCTAACAGGCAGGGCTCTAACAGGCAGGGCTCTAACAGGCAGAACAACACCGTTCTTTCCCAGCCAAGTAACATTACCAGCATCAGACAGAAAGCGACAACGGTAAAAACACACAGCAAAGCCCTGGAAGAGCAGGTCGCTAATACATCTCATTGACAATCAGAAACTCGAAAGTTACCCTTCTTATTGCTTTTCATCTCTTAAGAGTCTACCCTCTCTAAGATGGGTAACGTGACGTCTGGAAAGCTCGTTTCCCCTTGGAAATAAGCCATACTTGCTACTCTATGGTCTTACGGTCTTTTCCTTTAATGTTACTCCTTATTGCCTTCTTGTTCTTATCCCTAGGAAATAAGGATACTTACAACTAAGTAATCTATAGCTGAATTTTTAATCACGTGTGCCAAATCTCAACATCATCCCATCTCTGAATGAGGTAGTTTCCGCTGATGATAGATGATTTTTCCGACAAATCTTTACGTATGGGGAGAGATGATTATCTTGATGTCTTTGAAATCGTTTCCTATTCAATTGAATTCCTTCCATATTTTATATATCTTTAGAGCTCAGAGGATTTATTTTTGGTGGTCTGGCTGAAATTAACTAAATGGACCACAGTTTTCCTTTTACAGGTAACAGACCTTTTAAAGTAATCGAACCAAAGGGCAAACGAAGCCATCCACCTTTGAACTTAAAAAGAAAGAAGAATATTGTATCAAGAGAATTCAATGGCTGCTGGATGTGCAGAACACGAAAGGTCAAATGTGATTTAACTAAACCTACTTGCACTAGATGCGATAAGGCAGGCTTTGTTTGCACTGGCTATCAAATTAAGTTGAACTGGTTCAAGCCGTTGACCAAAAATTCTTTTAAAAGAAATAAAAATAACCATATTCTGGAAAATATTGGTCTGGACAACAGATTAGATCTCAATAGAACCGGTGGAAATTTGGACTTTAAACTAAATGACTCAAATCTTCAAAACCAATATTGCCAAAGATCTTTCATAAAACCATTTAAATGGTCTGAAATTGATATAAAATATAACAATTTGTTATATATCGATAATTTATTGCAAAATCTTGAAAATGAAACTATATTAGATTGTAATAACATGTCAATTAACGGACCATTCAGCAAATTTTCTTTTTCTAGAGTTGATCACAGTATTGGTAAAAGTAATACAAATGATATTGCTATTAAAAATAAAAGTACGAAAGAAATCAATAATGTCACTAATGATTATTCTAGAAATAATAACGACAATAGAATTATTACTGAAAATAATCATGATCCTAAAGAGAATGTATTTTCGATAAATTTTACATCTAATCCCGAAAATAATCTACTTCTTTTATCAAATCCTTCGTTCAAGATAATCACGTCAGATTCAACAATAAGTAAAGCCGATTTTAATGAACATTTCAATAGGGTTGATAATTTCAGATATTGGGTTCATCCTAGTTTGAAATTGAATGTTGATATATCATTTTCTCTATTAAAGATAGGTAATAATAATAATAATAATAATTACAATTTTAATAAGTATGATTTCTTAGAGATTTTGTTTGATCAGAAATACTCTCATCAGTTAAATGATTTAATTATTGATTTGAATTGTTTGGATTTATTGTTTGATGTAAATTTCAAAGCCAATAGAATTTGTTTTAAAGATTTATTTACAAAATTAATGGATTATTTTAAGGATAATGTTATGCATTTATTAATGAATTTTTCTTTAATTAATATAAATGCTTGGTTAATTAATTTCTATCCGTTTGTTTTGAAGGTGATTGAAAGCTTTTCTCACGTTGATAATTTAAATAAGTTGATTTTTATAACCAATAACATTCAAAATGATATTCATTTGTTCAATAATGATCGAAATTTTCTCATAAAGCAGGTCATTTTATTTCAGTTGATATCATTATCAAGTTTTCATTTATTTTCAAATGGTTATAAGGCATCTGGTTACACCGGTCATCAGGAGTTATTAAAACTCTCTATAAGTGTAAAGAATTTAGTAACGGTAAAACTCAATAATATAAGTGATTATATTGCACTTAATGATGATGGTAGTAAAATAAAAAACACGGTTATCGAGGAGATATCATTGAATGATAAGATTATTTTTCTCTTTTGTTTTTTGATACAGTTCAATTTGGACAATCAGTTTGATTCCAATTCAAATTTTGAAAAGTATTTTAGTATATGCGAGAGAATAATAGTTAGCATTAGAGAAGATACGATTGGTGAAAAAAAGTATGGTGATGCTAGTAGTAGTGATAAATTTGAGAATATTGAGAAGATAATTGAGTATTATTTGATTAACGATTTGAGTGATTTTAATGATAACGATGATTTTAATGCGTTTGATGTAATAAACTTGCGGATTTTGAGTGAGGATGAAAAGTATAATAACGAGTTGAATTTCAATTATTATTATTTGATAATCTATTTGAAAATTTTCAAGAATATATATGGATCTACGTATATTGTTGATAGAAGTAGTTTCCAAGTATCGAAAATTGGGAAGTTTGAAGACATATTGAATAAGAATTACAATAAGGTTAAACTGGATTATGAGTATTTCAATCGTAATCCCAGTTTACAAAAGCAAAGGAAGATTAAGATATTTACTTCCATCAAGGTTATTAAAGATGATGGTGAAGAAATGGAAGAGGTAGAAGAAATGGAAAAGATGGAGAAAGTGGAAGAGGTGGAAGCAGTAGAAAAAAGTGATAATTCGGATTATCATTATGATGAATTTTCTCAACCTTCTTTTCAAATTCGATTCAATTGTGAAAGTGGTAATATTAATGATAATGATAGTGATAATGATAATAAAGTGGATAGGGAAGGTGATGGGAAAGAAGTTATTAGGGTTAGTAAATTTAACGATAAAGAAGATAAAGAAGATAAAGACGATAAAGAAGATAAGAATAAAAGGGAAAAAATTAAGGGTAATAATATTGAACAAGATTATGATGAGTTGTTTTTTGTAAGAAAAGGATTTAAAACGTTTGTGATCAATTTACCGCTGATTGAGAAATATATTAATGATGATGATAGTATAAATGTTATGATGTCTGATTATGGGGAAGAGAATAAGGATAAGGAAAGCAAGGTGGAAAGAAGAAAGAAAGATAATTTTATTGATAAGATTGAGAAGTTGAATTTGAATGATTTGGTGTTTCCCATTCCATTATCGTTAATCAACTTGATTAATAAAATTTCTAAATTGTGCAGTCACAATAATTTTTTCAACGAAAAAAAGATATATTCTCGAAACTTTCCAAAGATCAAGTCTGATTTTGAAGACCGATTGATTAATTGGAAGAACGATTGGAAATTGAGTTATTATGATGAGAAAGATAATAAGCTGAAGTTTTATTCTGTGTACCACGAGTTGATATACCATAATGTGATGTCGTTTTATTTCAGTATATTGATATACTATTATAAGATGATTAAGGAGTATTCGTCGGTAATGTTGAAAGGGTACGTGGTGGAGTCGATCAACCATATGAAGCAGATGTACAAGAACATGGAAAGGATCGAGAAGGACAATGGAAGCCAAAGAGTGATTTATTTCAAGCCATTTTTCATACAACTATTTTACACTAGTTGTGAAGCATGGTCGATTGAAATGCAAGACGAATGCGAAAGACTCTGGGATAAACATAGCAAGTACGATGGAGGGATGTTCAACAACAATTACTGGAGGGCTAAGCAGATAATCTACGAGGTTTGGAAGATCAGAAACTGCAGTAATCAAGACACGACGTGGGTGGAGATTCTCAAGAAATGGAACTTCAAATTGTTGTTGATATAAAGCAGGAAAAGAGCATATATTGAGAGTTTCTGGATTAGGCAGAAGGAACAGACCTCTCATACGTCAGAAACCCCTTTCCTTACGTAACAGACCCCATTAATAAATCCGGAGGCTGTGCTCTAACTCCGAAACACAAACGCGCCCATGCATGCAAATGTTGCATGTGCAAATAAAACAGACAATGCAGCTATGTGCGCATATATGCGTGCGGCAAAAACATGCGATGCACAGCTTCAGACAGCAGGTGGTGACCATGCGCAATTTTGCTGCATGTAACACGGGGCAGCCATAGGGGGTCTGTCCGCACGGCGAAAGTGGCCGCGGTTGGTGGAGCGGAAAAGAAGATATGTCCGCCAAAACAAGGGCGAGTGGTGCCGGAAAATTGCATTTTGAAGTAAAACGGACGACGGAGACGGAAAACAAATGTGGATGAACAGGGCCTGTGGTGTCTGAGGTGAAGTGCATTTTCTGCTGGTGGTGCGTCTGCTTCTTCTGCTTCCAAATCTGCGTTGTGTGGTGCTTCTTCTTCTCCAGCTCTGTCGGCGCTTGTTTGCAGTGTTTTCACTGGGGCATTTCTATTTATAAACCAATGGTTCCTTACAGACATTTTTGCCGTGAAAATAAGGACTTTATAAGGCCAACAAAACTCTGTTCTTTTCCAGCTCTTTCAATTTCTTTTTATTTCTTTCCAACTTCTTTCTAATTCCTTCTCAACTCGTTCAACTTCTTTTCAATTTGTTTATATTTAAATTCCTCTTTCTATCCAATTCATTCACAAATCGCCAGACAATCTACACTCATTCCTCTTAAATATAACCTGATTTCCTCTTCGTTTATCTGTTTCTTATTTCTCTCTTTTGGCTTGAAATTTATTCACTTAAAGTTCCTCTCACAACTTTATCAACAATTTCAGCAGAATCTCCCAAACGTCTCACTTAAATTCTATCTAATTTCAATTCTGTCCTCCAATTAATCCATTCTGATTGAATTTAAGCAATTCTGTTCAAAAGATCTGAAATATCCAAGCTGTTTCCAGCTTTTCTCTTCCTCTTTTCCTAATTTTGGCTTAGTTTTGGTGCAAATCTTACTTTATCAGCTTTTAAAATTAAGCGCCCAACTTCGTTTTCCTGCTTTTTAGTTCCATATTTCAGACTTTCAGTTAATCGTATTATTTTGTTCCTGCTAAATAATATTTATTATTGTATTAGCTATAGTATAATAATAGTATTTGCAATATTTAAAATATTTATTAGATTTGGTATTATAATCTCACAACACCAATAACACTCGCTCTATTAAAGTAATATTAAAGTGTTAAAATATTAAAATATTATTTCCAATACTAACACTTTATCATCTCACTTCACCTTCAATCTTACTCTTATTTAGTCCTCTTCCACATTCTTATTCTTCTGTTTATCACTCAAACTCCTACGAAAAACATCCTCACTGATTTATCTCACTATTTTTTAAACAGCTAAAATCTCAGTAAATAAGATTCGCTCTAAAGATTCTCAACTTACCAAACCTAACTTATATCTCTTAAACCTCTCTCTTTTCCTTTTCATTTTCATTTTCTTTTCGCTTTCATTTTATTTTCATTTATCATCATTCTCGCTGGTCTCTTACTTACTACTTTTCACTTTTCATCTCGCTCTTTCTCATAACCACCTTTTCTTTTGTTCTCTTTCCACAATTTTTTTTTTCATTTCCTTCAACACTAATCTCAAATATCTAATACTTAATTCCTAATATCCTATTCTCAATATCTTATCCTATCTCATCCTATCTCTTCCACTTCATTCACAATGATTGATGAAAACGATGAAGGTTCTACTCTCATCATCAACAACTTATCTAAATTGCAATTCGATGACTTGATTGATATAATCCTCTTGAAACAAAAAAATAACTACAACGTACTTCTAAAAAACCTAAAAGAACTAGAAAATCTAATCAACCAACTAAGAGTCTGGGGCAGAATAGAAAGATTGATTCTCAACTTTTTTGATTACAACACAACCGTCAAACTATTCCTAATCCTAGATAACTTGACCAAATCTCTAACCTATCTAATATCTAAAATTGATACTTCCTTCAACTTCAATGCCACCATCACCATTACCACCGCCATCACCACTAATAATAATAACAATAATAATAATAACAATAATAATAACAAAAACCAATTACTCTTTTATAAAAATAAAGCTTCAACCATCGAAAGGCTCATCCTGGCAATATATGCAACTCTCTCAAACTGCTTTCTAATAAATAAAAACCTACTAAAAGATTTCAGACTATATCAAAATAACGACCTATCCTTTAACATCAAAACAAAAAATAAATACCTAAACAACCTAAATCTCAAAATAGATGGCAACATCATTCTCATTAACCTCCTCCTAATCCTAACAAGATGTTCCATCACCGAAGATCTTTACCAAAAATTCATTTCCCTAAATTTCTCCTCCTCAAACTCAATCTCCTCACTACAAAATCACAATCTCAACCAAAATTTCAATTCAAAGAATAACTCAAAATCATCAATTGTTGAAAAAATAAACTTGAACTTCCAAAATATGATCCCCCCAACTAGATTATTCTTCCTACTAATGTACAACGGTTATCGATATGACTCAATAATTACTCAAAGAAATAACTTTATCAAGCTAATCAATAAAATAATATCAATTATGCTCGTTTCTCTAAAAAATATAAACAAAATAGCTATAGCCATCCTATCCGATAATATCTTCCCTCCTTCTTCTTTTTCCTCAAATCAAATCCCATCTTCTCAAAATTCTCACCCACTCTCAAATTCAAACCAAAACCAAAACCAAAACCAAAGTCAAAACTTCAACCCACTTCATAATCAAAATTCAAAAAGAAATTTGTCTCTAACCTCAAACTTGTTTTCTTGCAAATATAACTTTAAAAATAAAGAATCCTTTAATAAAAATATAAACTTCATAATAGTAGAATTGTTAAAAGCTATATATGCCTTTTTTCATAATTATAAATATTTGCTTCCCTTTTTATCTTCCAATACCTCCACCACTAATAACAACTTTCAATTTTCAAATTCAAATGATTCTTCTCTATTTAATAACCTCTCCCATAACCCTCAAACAAGTAATATGACTGCCTCAACAAATTCCACTAAAGACTCTACTAAAAACTCATTTCCTCAAATTGATCCTAATAACGAAAATTCCTCAAATCTGATAAGAAAAAATAGTATGTCTGCCTCATCTCTAATTTCAACTGACTCTGGTCCACATACAAACTCATTACCTTACACTTCTCAACAAAACTTTCATAAAAAACCTCAACTTTCAATATCAACTTCAAATCTTAAAAAAAACAATAACTTATCAAATTTAAATTTTCAATCTCAAATACAATCACAACAAAATCCTCAAAACCAAAATCAAAATCAGCAAAATAATTTTATGTTCAATCCTAAAAGAGCTTCAAACTTTAAAAGAATTGTCACAAATAATACTGCAATTAAAATCAATACCTCCGATTTCAATAACAATTCAAACAAACTAAGCTTAGAAATTGATAACAAAGTTAACGAAGTTTCTCTTTTAAAAAACTTGGAGTTATTCATCGATTTTCTTGGAATTGATAGAATGTATCTAATTAACATGACATCCACTGTGGTTTTTAAATCAAATATCACCTATTCTTACAATTTTACCAGCTTGAATTTTTTGTTGTTTAAAAATATCGGAAATCTATTTATATCAATTCCATACAATTTAATCGATCAGGTATTGTTTAACACTTTTGACAATAATTTGATTTCCAATAACAATTACTATGATAATAACACTGATTTTGATTTTCTCGATGATGATCAGCAATCCGATAGTGATACCGATATGGAGGTTGATTCCGAAAATGCTAAAAATGATACCAAACCAATAAGCTTTTCAAATACTCAAAATAAAGATAATAAATCCACTACTGAAGAAATTGATAAAGAAATTCAAAAATCAACCAAAACTAGAGCAAAAGGTAAATCAACCTTTTTAACCGGTTTGAATTTTCATAATAATAACATTATTGCTGTTGGTGGAGAAGATGAAACAAATATTTATAATGAATCTGATTTAGATGAAGATTCTACAAACTTGTTCAATTCGGACTCAGAAGATGATGACCATATCGATTCACTAAGTTTTAAAAGTCCAAGAAGTAAACTAAAACACTTGCATAGAATTAAAGATACACACAAAATCTCAAATTACTCCGAAGCAAATATTCTATCTGATAAAGATAACAAAGAAATTTCGGCAAATAATTTCTTTTACAAGAAAAATCAGTTATTATACAATTTTAAAAAATTTGTTTTCAATTTTTTGAGTTTAATGAGATATGAACTTTTGAATCAGAAATCTTTAGTGGTTCCTTATGGTATTTCCCCAGATAATATTAATAGCAACACTAACAACAACAAGGATCAAATGCCATCCCAAAATAGCTTTCCAAATTCTCCAATAACTCCAAATTCCAAAAACAAAGATAAACTCAAAAGTAAATTCATTGAAGAAGATATTTTAACAATCTTGTTATTAGTGAATTACATTGCAGGGTTTAAAAACTTCTTAATTAATCAAATTGAAGATTTTAAAAATGAAATGTTACTATGTAGTTCTGATGCTACATTATCAAAAAAGAAATATAAACTTAGATATAAAAGACAACTCAAATTAATTAGAAAAAAGGAGTATTTTTTAAATGACATGGAAAATTTACTAAAAGAACATTTGCTTCCGGTTTCAAAATCTTTAGAGGAGCAGATTGAAAAAGAACAAGAACTTATGAAAAAAATGTATAGTGGTTTTTTGAATAAGAATTCGGAAAAAAATTCCAATAATTACTTTCAAAAATCGTTTCCTCAAAGTAATAATGATGCAGGTAAAAGATATTCTTATGCAATTAAAAGTAATTATAAGTTTCATCACAATAACCATATTGGCGCTATATCATCTACTCAAATAAACTCCGCTAATCAAAATATTAATCCAGATGATATACCTGTTTTTTCCAATTTGAGATTATATTCACTTTTAATCAAGTGCTGTAAGGATCCATTCAAGTCACAGAAAATCAAACTTTTGATTATTGAGATGTATTTTAATTTAATTGTTGGAAATGAGGGCAAATTATCAAATCCAGCAGCGTCTAACTTATTGTTTTTTAGTTTCAACCAGCCCAATATTTTTTCGGGAAAAAGCAAAACCACTGTTAGACACTCGATATCTAAGAACAACAATAACGCTAATAATGATGCTGATGATTTATCTACTTATTCTGACTATATTAATTTTGATAATATCAGTGACAAATCTTTTATTTTAGAGACTCCTGTTGATACTCAAACAAGTAAGAATTTTAATAATATATTTGATCAAGTAAATAGATATGATAATGTCATCCCCTCTCCTCCGATTTCAAATGAAAACAACATTGAACTTGAACTTGAAAAAAATGAACAGAGAAACAAAGAAATATTGTCAAAATTTAAAAGATTTCTTAAAATATTCATTGAGAATGATTTACACTTTCTAACATTTACATTTTTGCAGAATAAAAAAATTATCACCAATGAATCTGATTTGAAAACAATAAATGATTTTTTTGAAAGCACCACACCCGATATAGTATCTTCCTGTTCAGTATCTGTGCATTCGCATTCCAATAAAAACATAAGTGAAGATCAAGAATCTGATTATTTTGTTTCCCCACCTGCTGATTTTACAAGACATTCGATTTCATCCAATAAATCGTCTCAATCCAACTCAGACTCATTGATGAACTATTCCAAATATATCAACAAGCTCTCAGATTCATTAAAAAGAAAGTATTCTCTTGCAAAGTCTACTTCCACGTTGGTATTGCAAAAACATCCTTCCAGACAAATGTCTGTTGGAGACATGTTATCGAAATACGAATTCAATCCAGACAATACTTCAATTGCATCTTCAACCAATGTAAATAGCATAAATTATAATGCAAATCCAAATATGAGAAATTATGGGGGGAAAAGTTCAAACGCTTCAATCTATTCAGTAACTTCTAATGTTAGTTCATATACGAATAAAAGTGCAGCTCAAAGTAGGAGTGAACAAGATTGGACTGAAGAGGAAAAATTGAGAGAAGCTGAAAAATTATTTTCTTTAATCGAAAGATTAGAGAAAAATGAGGTATTTGAAGCTAGTTCGATAAATAAAAGTTATTAAGCTCCCAGTTTTGGACAATAGATTATCATTTTATCTTTGTTTTGTTTTCGTTTTTGTTTTATTGACCTGGTTATTTTTTTTTGTTTATCACAAGTTTTATGTTGTTTTTAAGAAATGCTTCCGTCATTTTTTTTGATTGTGTTTTGTTTTTCATTTGAATGCATCAGTTTCTTGTTCAAATTTGTTTTTTGTTTCAAGCTGTTTTCTTAATTGTTTTTATTTTCTTTACATTATTTTTCTTTTTTTTTACTGTTTATTTTACTTTTTGTTGTATTTTGTGATGTTTATTTTGGCGTTTTTTTGTTTTCTAGTTCTTTCTTTAATACTTGATAGTAACTTATTGAGTAATCACAGGTAGTATTTGTTTTGTTTTGTTTTTTTGAGAAAAATGTCTCTGGAAGATATTTAATTAATTTATAACTATATCCATCTAATAAAAAATAAATATGCACTTTCCTGTTTGAGCAAAAAGTTGTAGCAACTTCAAAAATACAATAAACAGATAAAAAAGAAGGATCTATGGCCAATCATCATCAGAAAAGTTATCGTTTGAAGAGACGTCTTCTTTTCCAGCACCATTTTCAGAACCGTCTTCTTCATCACTATCAAGACTGTAAATCACTTTCTTCTTGTTTCGAGAGGCCCTTTGTGGTAGGGTTCTCTTTGGGAGTTCGGTGATTTCTATATTACTTCCATCACCATCATCATTCTCATCATCATCATCACTACCCTTATTCTTTTGGGTATCTTTAGATCTGTTTGAGAATGAGTCCAGATCAAATAAATCTAAAGTCGTTTGGCTTTTGGTTATTTTCTTTGTGACTGTTTTCGATTTGATTGCTGGTAGCTTTTTAATTATTTTTTTCTTTGCGAGTTTGTTTGAGTTATTTTTCCTCAGGGTGTCAGCAATTTTAGGTGAAAGGCTGGTCTTTGATGAAGAATTGGAGGATATGGTATTGGAAGATTGGCCAGAAGAATCTTTTTTTTGCAAATCATTGTCACCCAAAATTTCTGAAAATCGAGAGTTGAATCTAGAGCCAGAATTAAAAATGGCTTCACTCATTTCAATATCATCATCATCATCATCCACAATGCTATTTTTTGATGAATTTCCAAAAAGACCAGATGATTTACCACTAAACATAGATGTATACTTCATTCCACCCTGTTTGTCCTTTTCTTCTTCATCCTCGTCCTCGTCTTCGAAGATCTCTTTTCTTTTAATACTTTTTGTTGCACTTTTTGTTGCACTTTTTGGTTTGCTGGAGCTATCATCACTATCACTAAAATCAGGTAATTCATCTGCCTCTCCGTCTTCATCTGAGCTCTCAATCTTTACTTTTTTTCTACCAGTTTTAGAACTTTGTGGAGCTGCTCTTTTTACACCTAAAGAAGTCTTTTCTCGTTTAACCTTTATTTTGGGAGCACTAAATGGCGTTGGCTCAAGGTACTCGTATTTGTGATCATCAATTTCATCAATTTTTATTTTCTTTGTACTTTTTCTGGCTTTTTTGATTTTATCTTTTTTATTACCTTTAGTACGTGGTAAGTGATCATTAGAAATTCTTTCGTTATAATCATGCAACAAAAACTTTTCATACTCAACTTCAAAGACATCAAGGTCGTTCAGCCACAAGTCTTTTGCTGTTTTACCTAAAAGAATGTTTAACTCTTGTTCTTTTTCGTGTTTTTGCTTGAGTAATTTTTCATATTTTTCTTTTGTTAGGGAATAAATAGCCATGTTCAAAAGATAGTCATATCGCTTAAGAGGATTTTCCGGTCTATGTACTGAAAGATCATTAGGTTCTGCTTCAACCTGTAGCTCTTCGGCTTCCTCTTCCTCAGGAATCTCACTGAGTAAAATATCTTCTTCAATAATTCTACCACTTTGGCTACTGAATTTTGGAAAGCGCAACAGGTCCAACTCGCCTATCAACTCTATTCTTTTCCTATTGTTAACAATAAGCTCTTTCTCTATAATAAGTTTAATGAATCTAGCTTGTGCTGATAATTTAATTAGTTCTTCTTTCAAAATTTTTGCCAAATAATCCTTTCTTTTTTGATAATATTCTAGTCTGACATAGTAAAACTCTAAAATGATTTGCAAAACATTATCGTACTTTTTAATTCTTCCTTTAGGATCAAATGCAATCATATTAGTCAACGATAAAGGTTGAATTAATTTAAACCTTTCGTAGAAACCAATCTTGGCTGTTTTCAGCATCTCTGAATTAGATAACTTGACAAAGAATTGATGTCCATCATGAGTGTCTTGTTCCCACATATCATCGATCCAAGGGATGCTGCCTTTTTCTTTTGATAATCCCAGATTCAACAATGCCTTGATGGTATCTGTCCATGTTTTAGCAGGAAGCTCTGAAATGCAAATAGTATTCGAATCAACTTTTTCAATTCTTCCAAGCATTCGATATTTATCAAGACCAATTTTTTCCATTGTCCCTTTCCATCCTCTGTACCAAGGATGAATATCAACCATTTCCTCTCCTTTGAGCAAAAGTCTGATGTTTTTTACAAGATCTTTTGGATTAAACTGCGGGATATATGTTGACCACCCAGTTCCGATTCCCTCAGCTCCATTTACCAAAATCATAGGGATTATTGGAGCATACCATTCCGGCTCTATAGTTTTATCATCATCGGGTAGATAATTAAACAATGGGTCATCTAAAGGATGAAAAATCGACCTGGTAACTTTTGATAACTTGGTATAAAGATATCTTGCGGCAGCAGAATCTTTTCCTCCAGCAGCCCTTGTACCAAACTGACCAATGGGATCAAGAAGATATATATTATTAGAACCAACAAAACTTTGCGCCATACCAATTATTGTTTGTGTCAAAGATTGATCACCATGATGATAGGCTGAGAGACTCGATACAACACCTTGAAAATCTGAAACTTTTTTTTCTATTATAAAATTTTTTTTAAGAGAGGTGTATAAAATTTTTCTCTGTACTGGTTTGAATCCATCCATCATACATGGGATAGATCTGATATTGTCTGCCATTGAAAACAAAATTAATTCCTTGTTTATAAAATCTGAAATTGGAATTGCATCAACATTATGGTTAAGATGAGTTCCTGGAACAAAATTTCCTATCCATTCTTTACGATCATCTGCTCTTTTTTTATTGAAAGCTAAATCAATACATTGTTTATCGGTATCTTGCAAAGTACGGAAATTTTTTTTATGGAGGTCCAAATCAGAAAAATAACTTTTTATATCTTTCTCAGTTGAAGAACCAATACCTTTAAGATATTTGGCTTTGAAATTTAATGAGACTCCTTTAGTATCTCTCCATTTTTCATACTCTGGTATTGAATAAAAATTTATAATTTGTTCTTGATTTCTTTTAGTTACTGTTACCTTAACAATGGGAGTTATGAATTCCAATAGAAAACCTGGAATTTCTAACAAACCGGGAAACGAAATCTCAAAAAAATTAATTAACAAACCTTTAATATGACTTCCATCATAATCCTGATCTGCCATTATCATTATTTTACCATATCTCAAGCTTTTAGTATTTTGGTATTTTGTTTTATGTTTCAAACCAATAATTTCTTTGATAGCTATAATCTCTGCGTTTTTTGTGATTTGATCACTTGAAGCATCACGAACATTCAAAATTTTACCTTTTAAGGGAAAGATACCATAGTAGTCTCTTCCAACAATTTTCAAGCCACTGGCTGCTTGACCTCTAGCAGAGTCCCCTTCAGTTAGAATTAAAGTACATTTATATCCATCAGATTTACCAGCTTTATTTGCATCTTCCAATTTAATGTATTTTGTGATTCTTGATTTTCGGCCAGAACCATCTGTTTTCTGTAAATCTTTATCTACATTTTTAAGAATTATGTCATCAAGAGTTGAATTCAAATCTGTTTTCATAATATCTTTGATAAACTCGTCTGGAACATTAAAGTTTGTTTTATAATTACCAAAAGAAGAGGGTCTTGTAGTTAGTTGTTCCTTTGTTTGAGAGGTAAAAGCAGGATTTTCAATAAGACAGTTAATAAATAGAAACATATAATTTTTCAATTGAAAAGGTTTTAGTTTTGTTTTTTTGTCTTGCTTCTTTTTTTTTTCTATAATTTTACTGACTATTTGATCTGTAACGTAGTTAACATGAGTGCCGCCAGATGTTGTTGCAATTGAATTTACAAAGGATACCTGGTTGAATGTGCCATCTGAAACCGCAAACGCAACCTCAAAGTAATCGCTAACTTTTCTATAGGCAACATAGGGCTCTTTTTCAGTTTCAGTTTCATTTTCATCTTTGTATGGTGCTTCTAATTTTTTTTTTTCAGTTAAAGCCTTGACATAAAGATTAACATAAGATTTAAAATCTTTAACCTTTAGTTTTGAAGAATTAAGAAAAACGTTAACGTTTTTCACAGAAGCAGATATATCGTAAACTCTTCTTTTCATCACACCTAAAATATCCTTGTCTAATTCGTTCATTCCAAATCTCGTTAAATCTGGCTGAAAAGATATTTTAGTAAATGAAGATTTCAAATTCCGATCTTTTTTAATCAAAGTTGGCGTGATTTTAGTTATGATAGGTTTATTGCATTTGGACATATTTTCTTGCCATGTTTGTTTATAGTTTCTTTTTGAGGTTGGATCATTGGTTTCGACGGTGAACTTGTTAGAAAATATATTACAGAGTTTAGCACCATACCCGTTTCTACCACCAGTTACTTTTTTTTCGTTGTCGTCATAATTTGAAGAAGTTAATAAGGTCCCAAAGATCAATTCTGGAATATATATCTTTTCTTTTTCGTGGATTTCAATGGGTATACTTTTACCATCATTTAAAATCGAAATTTCATTTATTTCAGGATCAATTGTAACCTCAATTTTCGACATTTTGGGATCTCTGATTTTGTTATCAGCAGCATTAACTAAGATTTCGTCAAAAATTTTAAATAACCCTGGAACTATATTGACTTTTTTTCTATCCATTAAGTCTTTTTCATCGTCATATATCCAAAGGTCCTGTTCGAAATGTTCAGTTGAACCAATATATGTATCTGGTCTTTTTAGAATATGCTCCAATTGAGTCAACTTGACGTATTTCTCAGAGCTTGTCTTGCCTTTGGGGAGGGTATCATTGGAGTTTGCAGTGATGAAATCAATAGATTTATTAAGATCGCCATCAAGTTTGTCATTGGCTTTGCCATTGGCTTTGCCATTGGCTTTGCCATTAGTTTTACCATTGGTTTTACTATTAGTTTTGCCATTGGTTTTTGTTTGAACTTTGGAAGCTGATTTTCCATTGGTCTTGCCTTTGGCTCTGGCAGTGACCATCGAAACATCATCATCGCTCTCCAAATAGCCGCTGTAATCTTCGTCTGAGAAATCAATCATTTTCAGCGACAATGACTTCTTTTTGGAAGACATATCCAAAAACAAACCAGCCAAAGAGGTATTGTTTGTTCAATAGGTGATGAGGAAAGTGAATGCTTAGGGTTGAAAAGTGAGTTGTTTACAATTTTCAGAAAACATCACCCACACTGCTGGCGACAACGTTTAGCACATGCTGAGCTAAGCAAACGTCTTTCTTATATAATCACTATTGCTTACATAAACAGCTTTAATTTACGTAATCAATTGTGCTTATATAACATTTGCACATGCCTCTATTCCGTTTTTAGAATACATTCACGTGCCAGATCTGTCTCCGATGGGAAAAGCAGCGATCGTTTTTGTCTTTGCTGAAAGCCAGTAATTTGATAACAGTTTGCTCACTGCTGGCTATCGATTATCATTTCAGAGACATGTCATTTCCAGCTGGCTTGAACAGGAGAAGAGAACAGAGGGATCCAGTCATAATAAAGACACCAACAGCCTCCCAGCAACAGGCAATTTCCAAAATCACCAATTTGAATGACTTTTTGGTAGTTTTACCATTTCTCAATAACTATGCATTGAACAGGAACTTATCGATTAGCGTCAAAAGAGCCTGTTTTTTCAGCTTATTAAAAAACAAAACCAGCAACCATTTGGCTGTGTTTTTTTCAAGTCCCCCAAAGAACTCGTTTTTTCCTACTCGATGGGATCAAATCATGACCTTTTTAAACTACGACGAAGGAAAATATCACTATGATGACCACGAAATCGAAGATACTGAATACTTGCCATACTTGAAGAAATATCTGTATTATTTGCACAAACATAGCTTATTTTTAACTAAAACTAATGAGTCCGATGGCGATGATGATGACGACGACGACGACGAAGAAGAAGAAGAAGAAGAAGAAGAAGGTGATGATGATGATAATGATAATGACAACGACGAAGATGACGAAGATGACAACAATGACGGTGATGATGATAATCAAAATTATCTGGATTTTGAAGAAGGAGAAGAAATTTTGTACGATGCAATTCTCAATAACGTAAACAATTTAGACCACAACGATGCTAGGAACCTAGAGAATAACACATATCGAATTGCATCTCCAGATGATTTTCGAAATTTCAGTCGAAATTTCAATCAAGCTATGCAAAGAAACTTTCCTAGATATATTCTTCAAAATCCTAATAATGAAACCACTAATGATATCAATGCCACTAATAATGCTGATAATACTGATAATACTGATAACACTACTAACACTACCAACAATCACAATCACAATGATAACAATAACAATGATAACAATAACAATGATAACAATAACAATAACAATAACAATAACAATAATAACAACAACAATAATAACAACAACAATAATAACAACAACAATAATAACAACACTGATAATCTTGGTAGGCCTCCTCTTGACACTTTGGAATTTGATCTACAAATACCTCAAATCAATTTCTCAGATTCTGTTATAAGATTCATTGAAAATTCTACCAATAATATAATTGATGATAATATGTCCCTTGATTCTGATTCTGCTGTTGATCCTGATGTTCTTGTTGATCCGGCTAACCTAGTAGCAAACAGATTACAAGATCTTTTTTTTGCAAGTAGAAATATTCACCCATCTCCAGATATTACCAGAAATATCGAAATCACTTCCAGATTTAACAAAAGAGTTTCTTCCAACAACTCGAGCAAGGTAAATGATTTGAAAAAGAAAAAGAAAAAAAAAATAGAAAATCCTGTTCATAGAAATAGACCATGTGGTAGAATATTAAAAAAAGATGAACCAATTTATAGATGCAAAGAATGTGGAGTAGATGAAACCTGTGTTCTCTGTGTCTATTGTTTCAATAAAAATGATCATAAAAATCACTCTGTTAGGGTCAGCAAAGCTCAATCTTCCTCTGGAACCTGCGATTGTGGTGATTTGGAAGCTTGGAACAACATTCTACATTGCAGATGCGAATTAAATGATCACAACCTCCACAAAACTGTGCACAATAATGACGGTCAACAAACTTATCCCAATCAAGATACCCCCAAATATGAAAGTTTAAAACCTCTTTTTGGTAACTGTGAAGACAAAAAAGCATTTAAACATGTCTTGAGCATCGTGCTTAACTATATTATTGATACCTATATGGACTCCATTCAAACAATTCCCTTTATAAACAAGATCTTACTCAACAAACGTTGGAATTTTACAAATCCTTTTGACTATGTCAGTTTTATCAAAAAGTTAACTGTTCAACAAAGTTTCTCCAAAAAAAGCTATCCTCTTGCCGAGCAATACGATCGACCAGCGGATTATTACAATGTTATATTGTGGAATGATGATTTTCATACATTTGATATTGCTGTAGACACTGTTAAAAAAGCAATTAACGCTGATCATAGCTCAGCTTGGGTTCAAACAAAAAGAATAGACAAAATTGGCTATGCTGCATTGCATAAAACAAACGATTTAAAATCTGCTTACAAGTTATTTCAAAAAGCATCTTCTAATGGTCTTCAGGCAACAATAGTGAATGAAAGAGATTTTATTAAGGAAAACATATGCTATGAATTAATCAACTGGTTATCAGATTGTTTTAATTTCAAGTACGATTATCCTGAACTGTATTTTGAAAATCTTGGCTTGAAAAATAACTTTGCTGAACTATTTAGAGAGTCTTTGTTGGAATGTTTATTTGAGAGGTATGATGATGCAGGGAAAATCAATGAAAACTTAATTCCGATGAATGATTTTTTAAAATTGATACGTTTAGAGAAAACTATTAAAACAGAAAGAGACTTTGAGTTTTTTTGCTTCAACAACTCTTTATTTTATGAAAACAAAATTCCAAACTGTTCGAAAACAAAGTTTGTTGAAAATATAGATAAATTTAACCCCTCAGATCTATTCAATACCTCTTCAATTCTAACTTATACTAATGATGAGAGCAACCCATTGTTGAATTCAAGATTTCAATTTATTTTGCTTAATCTATTTAAATTGTTCAAGAACTCAAGGGTTCAACTTAAAGGGCTAATTATAGAGTTATTGACTTCAATCAATATTAACTTAAAAAATACGTTTTTCAATGGTCATTATATTCCAATCTTTCCAAATCTAATCAAAAATTTCATTGACAACGATAGAGAATATCAGTTTAATATTATGAGCGAGATATCAGTTCAGTTCCTAACTTCTTCGTTCATGGTCTCTTCTTTAATTAATTTTGATAAGTTGGTTTATTACTTTTCTCCCTTGATACAATTTTTTGAGAATTTTGAATTCAGAAAAGATGGAAATTTTGAATTTACACCCGACTCAAAGAAAGACATAACGTGGGTAAATTCAATCCCTTCTTCCTTTATACGGGATGAAGCTTGTGCATTTTATTCAAAGTATAAAGTCGGCTTATCATTTTTGAAACTTGATTTTAGCTATATTATTGAGAAATCAGCTCTTACATTTGGCTCATTGATATATCATAAAAACATAATCAAGGATGAAGCGGTTGATCTTGATAAAAATCCAAAATTAAAATTCTTTGAAAAACAAAATTTTTGGTTAATGTTATGTTTTTTCAAACTTTTTCAAAGTTCATGGATGATAAAGAGAGAGAAAAATGAACATACAGAGTTTGAGCCAACAGAGTTTTTTTTACATTTCGAAATGTGTGCAACATTCTACTTACTTGCCCAGTCATTTTTCTATGATTCTAGACTTGTGAAGGATATAGATAATAAGCAGTTACTTCAAAATTGCAGAGAATTAATTTCGTTCCTTATTGAATATAATATCAGAAAGGGCATCGGTTATCATAAAGAACTTTTAGTTTATGAATCACAAGAACAAGAGTCAATATATCCTAGAAAGATTCGAACAATAGGATTTTCAGTAAGCGAAGGTAGAGTTGGGTTTTTAAATCCATTGAACTCTTTGTTATCTCTAAATTTTGATATCTTCCAAGCTTCTTTTGACTCAATTGCCAATGTTTTTGATACACAAACAATACGGGATAATTTTGGCTTGATCTGCGATGTTTCACTAAGAAGTATTGTTTTATGTGCTCAGGTTTCTTCTGGGTTTTGGGTGAGAAATGGAGAGATGACAGCAAGACAGAATAATTTATACTCAAATGCAATCCGCTCTAACACTTGTATTCCAATGGAAGGATATTTAAGAGATTTACACATTGTTCAATTGAATTTTTTAATCAACAATATGGGTGATGATAGCTACAGCCAAGATATCAAACTAATGGTAAACATATTAGAAAGATTTGAGTTACTTGAATTATTGCCAAACCCTAATGTTACTAATGAAGACTTTGATTCTTTTGTAACAATTTATGAAGAAAAAGGGTCGTTGATGGTTTATTTTTATTTACTATTTTATTACAGAATATTGACAGAAAGAACTTATTTAAACTGTCAGTTAAATGAAGAAGAAAAACTTAAAAAGATGATAACAAACTGTATTGCGTACTCCTTAGCAATCAACAATAATTATTTGAGTTATCATCAATTTTCTGGGTTTTTATCGAATTCGATAAGAGAAAATAAACACTTTGATTCTATTTTAAAAGATATTACACAATATCGACCTCCAGCAGGAATATCAGACAAAGGTACCTATTCTTTGAAAGATGAAAATCTATCAACCTTGGATCCGTTTGGCCCATATTGTGATATTTCTGATCAAGTTTCTGATTTAATAAAATTATCTATTCTTCGAAATAAGCAAAAAACTTCTTCCTTACCAACAGATAAAACAAAGATTGAGCTTGAGTCTACTATAATTTCTCCAAATTTGGAACATTTACCGGATGGTATGAATAGTTATACCAATTTTATTAGAAACCCATTTTTCATTTCTGTGTTTTATGGTATTCTTAAAGTTTGTATTGCAAAAGAAGAGTTTTCAACTGTTATACCTCTTGCACTTCAGCTATTACATGCAATGATTCTAGATAATGAAAACAATCACAAAGATCAAACGAATGAGGGCGAATCTAAAGAAATGTTGCATGATTATTTAATTGAGAAGGGAATACCAAAATTACTTTTTAGATTAGCCAAGTCTAACCGTCCTCTTTATGTGACAAAGAAAGCGTCCTGTTTACTTGATAAAATGGTGCTGGCAAGAACAGATACCATAATGGAGCAACTAAGACATTCATTCCCTAAAGAAGATGTGGATGATTTCCATGCTCAAAATAACAAAACAAAAGAAACTCTTGAAGAACGAAAAAAAAGAAAAGCCAGAAAGCGCCGAGAAAGAATTTTAGCTAAATTCAAGAACCAACAAAAAGAATTTCAAAAGCACAATAATGATTTTGATCAAGACGAAAGCATTAAAGAAAATTCTAAAATTAATGAAAACACTCGCTACTGCATAATCTGCCAAAAAGCTGAAAATAATGATGAATTATTTGGCAGCATTGGGTTTATGAACTCACACAACATCTTTTGGCAACTTCCGTTTGGCCATGAAAAATCATTGAAGAGCAGTTTTGACAACTGGGACAATAAATTTGAGAAAGGGTCCTTCTCAGAATACAACTATGAAAAGTGTTTTCCTATAAAATGCAATTACTCCAAGTACCAGCCAGATGGCTATCCCTTTCTTAAAGAGCAATTTCAATCGAGAAATTTTATTAAAAAAAATGTTATCTCATCGTGTAATCATGCAATGCATTTTAGTTGTTTTGGAAATTCGTTAGCAAGACGTCATCGTTTTGGGTCTGTTTTTCGATGTCCTTTATGTGATTCTTTAAATAACTGCTTTATTCCAAGCTTTCCTTGCAGAGAAGAAAAATTCTCAACTTTAAAGGATATTTTCGATAACACGGATAATGCTTCGATAGATTCTACAGACATCTCAATTAACAATCTATTTGGAAATTATGAAAACACCAACTGCAAAATGTTAGCTACTCAGATGTTTTCAGAAGAGTTTCTTGAATTGATTCTATCAAAAACCTCTAAAGACTTAGCTGAAGCCGAGAGGAAAGCTCAAATAATTGATCAGTTTCATGCTATAATTCTTAACTTATCAGGTCTTCTCAAGTCAGAATCGTATAGCACGTTTTCACAAGATTTATCTCTTTTGATAAGTAACACTATATCCAGTCTTGAAATATGGACTAGAGTTGATGGATTTGAATCATATTCTAAGTTTATTGACAAAATTCCTGACAGGTGCATTGATCTATTAAAGAGTCTCATTCAGACTCGAGTTTTAGTTGGATTGTTGAAAGACCATTTCAATGAAATGAAAGATACAGGTCTTAAGGCTGACCAAGCCATTAAATTTAATATAATTTCGAAGGGGAATTACTATTTACACAATTTCTTTTCTCAGTTTTTGATTGTTTATTTTCAATCGAAGTTTTCATTCAAGCAGTTGATGATTTTTTTTTACGAAGTGCAGATTTTATTGAATTCATTTTCTATCCTTAAAAGGTGCCAGTTAGACAAATCACAGTTGAATGGTTTTTGTTCAATTAAAAACATGAGCGATAGCAGCAATCATATTTTTAATGGTTTTCTTAGGTTTTTGATGATAACATCCGAAGAACCAGGAGTGTTTTCCGACTTGGAATTCAATAATCTTTCTTGTTCTTTTGGTGCGGTTATTGAAAAATTTGTTTTACCTTATTTAAGAAACATAATGATTTTAGTTAAAGCGTTTTCTTTCAACAGAAACAGTTCTAGTCCTTTACATAATGAAATTGAAGTTTATCGTAACAATTTCCAGCACAGCTTAATGGCTTTTAAAAACCCAAGTAATATTTCGCCTTTGTTAAGGTTTTTAAATTTTCCTTCGTTGGAAGAAATAGTGAGGCATTTGGAATCTGATAATATGCGAAGCGTTGTTAATGAATTTATTCTTGAAAAAATATCTGAATTAAATGGGTTATTATTGATTGATTACCCAGGTATGATTAGGCTAATTGAATTGCCAAACCAGCTATCGGAATTTTTAACTGATAATGAGTCGATTTTATTAAACAGTAGCATGTTTGGAAACAATTATGAAGAAGATACAGATAATACAGATAGTATGCATTTTTTTCGTCGCCCTTTAGATAGTGATGCATTAATTTTTAGCAAACTCAAAACCGATTACTTGATATGTTTACAATGTGGTAAAAAAATATTCAATTCCAAAATTGCTAGAAGACATATTGAAAGAGAGTGTTGTTTTGTTGGTGTATTTCTTTCTCCCCAGACAAATGAGATAATTGTTGTTTGTGAAATTTTAGAGAGTTTTCGAAGTACCGTTTTAAATGCTCCATATTTAAATAAACATGGAGAAAGTGGAAGCATGTCTTTAAGTGATTGTGGCAAACTTACATTAGCATTGGACAGGTACTATCATCTTAATGAAATTTGGTTGTTGAATGGATTTCCAGATGTTTTTTCACGAAACTCAATCTCATCTCTTCAGAATTGAAACTTTTTAAGTAAATTCGCTGATCATTTACATAATTTTATAGTTATAATTTTGTATTTTATAACAAGTGAAAAATTGCATAAAGAACAAAATTATTTTGAATTAAACAAGAAACTTTTATATTTTGGGATTTAACAATATAACATTTTGTTTAAAATTTCAAACGACACAACACAATTTTAGACAATAAAAGAGAAAAAAAAATCAAGTAAGAATTGAAACACTATCCATCGAAAAGAAAAAGGACAAAAAGAAAAAGCACAATTAAATTTAAATAAGAATTTCAAATCAAAAATCTAATAGTTAGAAAAATTAATAGGATATAATACAAAAAATTTAGATCGCAAAAAATTTTTTATGAAAAAAAATGAAAAATAGAAGAATAAAAAAAACAAACCAATTAACAACCATGAACCAAAGAATTTTTGGGAAAAGTATAACCAGCATCAGCCCAAGATGTAAGGTTTGCATTTGAATAAGCATTTGAATGATCTTGAATATAATTATAAGTTGGATATTCATCTGGATCACAACCAACATTTATTTGATCCTTTGGTTGATAAACTCTAACATAGTCAATTTTCATTGTTGAGGGAAACCTGATACTTGGCCAATCAATGTAAGCCCAACTATCACTTATTCCTAGATTTAGAATCATTGACATTGGTTCCTTTGAAATTGTTCGCCAATCAATATTTCCAGTTGGGTGTAGAGCGTTTGGGTATAAAGTCATTGTTGGGTCATCGCCAACAAACCATTTAATGTAGCCATTAGTGTCATCATTTAGATACTCAAAGGAAAATTTTTGGAACCTTGGTTCATCTAAACCGGATTCAAATTCGTACCAGGTATTATTTAAAGTTGTGATAGCAGAGACAGCTTCTTGAAAGGGCCCACCACACCAAGTATTCATTGAAGTAACTGAGGAGTTGTGTAACTCAATGAAATCGTAGTCCGGAACATACCAAATATCATAGGGAGCAATTTGAAGAGACTGAGAGACCACACCTGAACCTATTCTTTCAACTCTTGTGTCCACAGAGGCTTCTACAGCATCTATTTCAGGAGCACCTCTTCCGATGCCTCTATTAGGGTGGTCTTCACCTTTACAAGTGCAGGAATTTAGTTTCTGGCCAGGCAAGAAGTTGATTCCATCAAAACTGGATTGATTTGGGGTTATACCGGCATCACAGGAGTCGTAGGCGTAGGGCCAAACACCATCAGTTGTAGATAGATAACCAGGTCTGCCTAGGTTGCCCATTGTCCAAATACCAGGCCATAGACCTGAGATGTTGGCAGAGTTTGGTAGTTGAGCACTTACTTCGTATTTTCCCTGAGTGAAACACATTTTGTTCCAAGACTGTAGCATACCAGATCTGTAAAACAAACCGTGGTTTTGAAAAGCGTCTACTCTTATATTCAAGACACCATTTGAGGTTATAATTGCATCAGGGTCGAACCATTCTAGGTCTTTAGTTCCAGCGTAATGAAGATCAGCCGCTTGCCAAAACTGGTCATCGCCTTCATAAAAAGTTCTGCCTTCTTTATTGAATTCGTCGCTAAAGACTAGGGACCATTCCAGACTATCTTTTGAGGTAGTGGTTAGGTATTGTTCGGGAGTATCTGGGTCGATTAAAGAGGAGCGAATAGCAGATAGGATTGGGTAAGAGTATGGGGATAGAATGGTGTAATTGTCAGAATGCTTGTGATGGTTAATTGTGTTGGTGAAGGTGAGTATGGGCAATAGAATAAATAAACCAATCGCTAAAAAGAACAAAAAAAGAAAACTTAGTAGGCCAATAAAGGACTTTTTGTCCATTGATTTGAGGTCGTAGTACAAGTGATTTTTTTCGTAGTTTGCATCTTGAATGGGATCAGGGTTGTGAATGTAATCGTCATTTTCCTTCTCGTCCATAAGCAAAGGAAATGAAGCGAAAGGATAGCCACCAAAGGGAGAAGCCGATGTGATTTGGAGGTTTCTTTTTGATGGGTTTGAGAGTGAATTGTTTGAGATTGAGTTTGAGATTGAATTTGGAATGGAAATGGAGCTTTTGTGAGATTTTTGAACCATGGGATATCTGTCATATTGAGAAGCAGGATTGACTGAGTCATATATTGATATGGTTGCGGTTGAAGAAGGGTTTACGTATTGGACTTTATTCCCCAAGATATCCAAGTTGGAGAAATCATGATGTATATCAGAGTTGTTGTTTTGGGGAGTGTTGTAGTTAGTTTCTCTATCTTTGTAGGTGATGGGTGAGCGATTGATTAGCAATGGAATGTATTGGTGGTAATGAGAGTGATTGTTGTGGTTATTTTCTTGAGTCATATTGATATTGTTGATATTATTATTGGAATCATTTGATGTGGAGGAGACAGTTGAAGCTGAGATAAGAGGAATGTTTTTTTCGTTATCATCTATCTGGTTATTGTTATTGTTATTGTTATTGTTACTGTTGGTGTTATTTTTATTATTTATCTGATTGTTATCGCTGAATATGTCATTATTGCTGTTAAGACTGTTAAAATCGGCATTATTGATGATGTTTTTGTTTGTATATATCGAGGAGGATTTGCTTAACCTGTTATCGTTGTTGTTATTGAGTTCGCTAGCATGATCATTGTCAAAAAAGTTAAAAGTATCCATGGTGCTATGTTTAAATTGGCTTGCGTCCTTTGGAGCAGCAGTGTGCTCATTAGTTAGCTTTCTCATTTTAGGACAAGAAGCAGACAAGGGGGGTGGATTGCTTGTGTTGCTTGTGTTGCTTGGAGGTATGGTAGTGCTGTAGAAGAAAGCTGGTTGTTTATCTAGCAAGAAGAGGGTTTTTGAGTGACTGGAGGAAGTGAAGAAAAGAGATTGGAATTCAGGGCAGAATAAATGAAATTTAAGAGATTAACAAACAGCCATATCAAAGCAAAATGCTCGCAGCCGAACCAGACCAAAAGACAAGAACAGGCACTATCTGGAGCAGAAAGAACAGCAGCATCCAACTCAATGGAAAAGCAGCCACTGACACAGATTATCTCGCACAGCAAAGACACAGCAGATATGCTCTCTACAAATAAAAGCAGATATAATCAGCTCCAGCTCAACAAAGCACAATCCTCAAACAGCTCCCAAAAAGAAAAAAGAACGTCGCAAAAACTGCAAAATGCCGATGCATAGAAACGCTTCTTGACGCGATGCAGCGCGATGTATTTTTAGCAGTGCATGACGCGCTCTGCAGGAGATCTGAGACATTGAAAGCCATTTTTGGAAACGCCGACGCTTCGGGCGCGCGCGACCAATCCGTGGTCCTAAAGGTCACCTGGCTACAGCGCGGATAATCCGCTTCAGGGAAACCACCGGACCACTGCTTCTAGACCACACTTTTCGCCCGCTTCCGGTTGCACTGCACAAGTCGGCGCCTGGCTGCCGCAGCACCGAAGCCAAATAAACGCAGGTTTGTGCAGATACGGCTTCTCTTGTGCGGCAGCCTGCGTTGCGGCCCATAGCCAGGGAATTGGAAAGGCCTGGCGTCGTTTTGCTCTGGAGATCTGAGCTCTTTTGTCGAGAGGTTTGTTTTCTGTTGTTTTTTGTTGTTTTCTGTTTGCTTTTGCTCCAGCTCTTCGCTTGATGGTGGATTATCTGCTGTGTTGCTTGTCTTTATCTTTGCTGTTTCTACTGCTCTCTGCTTTCTTCTCTCCAGCTGTGCCTGGTCTTGGTTTTCGACTCTTTCCTTTTCCAACATGTCTGAGCTCGATATCAATCTGATTCTCACCAGCATTTCTACCACCAAAGACTCCTTTACAAAGCCTCTAAACAAACTTTCATGCTCCATTCACTACGTTACCTTGTCCATCCCAATTGTCCACTGCTTGAGAAACTACCACTACAGGCTATCTCTCAAAGTCCCTACCTTCTTGAAAGGCCTAATAGATTTCATAATCTACCACAGGCTGAAATTAGTTCACTTGAATTTGAATGCTGCTTTCAACGTCAACAACAGACCTTCTTTTGCTAGCGACTCACTCGACAAAGTCCAGGGGAACACAAGCCCCAATTTAAACAACAGAAAGGTAATCAAGAAAATCAAAAAAAGAAAAAGCTTCCAATTCAATGCCATCACCCTCACTACTCTAAACATAAACACTGTTGGCAACAATAACAATGTCCTTGACAATATGAATATAGACTTGCACGATTTATCAATATCACAAGCTTTAAATCTATTACTTCTCTTTTTAAACTCTCTACCTGATTCTATCATACCACCAAAGTTTGCTTCAAAATTGATTAACGAGCTATCCAATAATACCAATTCAAATTCAAGTCCGAATGCAAACACAAGTCCAAATACTTACTCCAATAACAATAAGAACAACACTAGCCCAACTAATATCATAACCAATAAAAGCTCTGACACTTCTTCATCAAATTTCTATTCAAACTTACTATCTTATTACCAATCTTCAGATTACTCATGTTACACCAACTTAATTATAAACTCAGTTGGCGATCCCAAAATCAACTTGCAGATTCAAAACTTCTTAATTTTTTCCATTTGTTTACTCTTGAATGACTTGCCGATCCAGAACTTGAACTTATTCATCTTCATTATAAAATTTATATCTTATCTAATTAGCATTAACCAAAAACAATCTCAAGACGACCCTCTCAACCACTCCACCACTCATACCAAAGATAATATAATCAACTCTTACATTTTATCCAAACATTTCAATACCTGTTTTTTCAAAAATCCTTCCAATATAAATCTATCAATCTTAATCTTGAAAATATATATTGACAACATTGATTTTTTAATCAACTGGCTAATATTAATCGACCAAAATTTTATCAAATCAAATAAACTTTACCTCATTGAATCAAAATCTTTAACCAACGTTCTCAATCCAAGATTAAACTACCTAATTCAACCAAAAATCCCCATAATCAACTTCTTAAACTATAATAAAAATAGCTCCTTTTTATTAAACTTTTTCATTCCCAATATCGTTGGTGATTCAATCAGTTTTCTTTATAACAATAACAATTTTTTAAACTTAAATGACCAAGCTTTATTAAATATTTCTGTCAATTTTTCTAAAATTATATCTGATTCAAATTACGAACTCGAATCAATTGAAACTCACTCCTCAAATCTAAATTTCTTGAAAAATCTCTTTTATCAAAACCAGCATCAATCCATTAATTTAAACAATTTCAATTTTTTCTTCAATATAGACTTCAACTCCTTGAATAAAAAAAATAACTTAAATCTGTTTAAATTATCCAGCTTAAAAAGTCACAAAAACTTGAAATCTTCAAAGAGAAATTCAAATAAAAACCTCAACTATTTGCAATGCAACTCCTTAATTAATTGCGTGGACATCATTCAACTTTTAATCTACTACTTGAATTCTCTACCAAATGAGTCTCTAATAACTCAATACATTTTCAATATCTTTTCAAAAGAACTCCTAAAAAAAAGATATCTATACCTAAAAAATTTCGTATCTCAACCTTCCAATGAAAACGTCCTTCTAAGTATCAGCAATAAAAACCATCTTATAAATTTAGATTTAAAAGTCATAATTGAAATCTTTTTAAGTTTTGCAATTTTAATCTTTACAAAATATTTGCCTCAAAAGAATCTAAATCTCTTGATCTACTTGATTGACTTTTTATCTAACTACTGTGATATATCAAATTTCGATAAACTATTCTTAAAAACAAAGATCAACACCTTGTCACTATCAAAATTATTTTCCCCCTTTTTCTTTAAATTTTCAAATAAATCCCAATCAAATGAAAAAATTCTAATTTTAAGAATATTAATCGACAACATTTCTTATGTCATTAATTGCTTGAATTTAATGAAACAACAATTCGATAATCACAATCTCAACGAAACCTTTGATAATGTTGTCACTATCGATGTTTTTGATACAAACGAACAACAACTGCACAAAAATTCATTGAATAACAACAAAAATACAACTGATACCATTAGCAAGTTAGCTTATTCAAAAGTTCCTCTAAAAATAATTGAATTTGAAAAGAACCGATTCATTGGTATGAAAATCTTGCTCCCACAATTGATTGAACAATGCATAAATTTTTTAAATGAAAATAAATTCACTAAATGCGAAAAATATTTCTTGGAGTGCCAATTACACCTTCATGATGATGACGATAATGAAGACGATGAAATTTACCATGACAGCAATGGTAATCATATTGATGATGCTTCAAATGATGATAGTGATGATTTCAGCTTGGGGGGTAATTTGATGAATATTTATTCTAGAGAAAATAAAAAATTAATATATTTTAATAATAATATTGTAAACATATTATTTAATATTTTCCTAAGTGGCGATCAATCTAGTTATATTAACAACGATTTATTGAAAGATTTTAACATTTGTTTTGAAATTATGAATATTATTAATGCCATTGAAGAAAACCATCAAACAAAGACAAATGAGCAAGAATACAAAGAACTAAGTTTAGCATTATCAAATTCCAAACTAATTGAAAATGAAAATAAGCCTAAAACTAAGAAAAATACAAATTCTTTTAAATTAATTAAAAACTTTGATGTTTGTAAATTAATTTTGAAATATTTGAATTTGAGTGATAAACCATTAATTAATAATGACATTAAAGATGAGTTAATAAAGGAGATATTTAATGGAGATTATTCTAATTTGATTGAATATATAGATGAAATTGGGTACAAAAACTTGAATTTAAATGTTAAAAGCAAGAATAACGATATTGATATAAAACTCAAAATTGAAATTAAGAGAATTCTAAACCGAATTGTTTGTCTTTTAATTGATTTTGATGAGAGTAACAAGTATATTTTTAACGATGATGATGAGAATGATGATGTTCCTGCAAATAACCATAACAATATCAAATCCAACTCAAATGTCAATCCCAATTTAAATTTAAATTTAAATATTATAATTAAAATTATTGAAACTTTAACCAAATTAAAAGAAAGCAGTTCTTATAATTTAAGTGAAATTTTTTTAAAATTTTTCTTTGAAAATGAAGTGGATAAATTTAATTTAATAACGGTGAATAAATTGGAAAATGAGGACAAGAGTTATAAAGTTGAGATATTGAAAATAATAATAAAGATTTTAATTGATAATTTTGAATTTTTTCTAATGGCGATTTATTTACTTAAAAATAAGAAAAGTGAATTTAATGACAGTAAACAGGATAGTTTTGATAAATATCCTCGGATAAAATTTGAAAGGATAAAATGGAATAGAAGTAATTATATTGAAGAGGAATTATTTGGGGACAATAACGATAATAATAATAATAGTACTACTACTAATAATAATAATAGCACTACTACTACTAATAATAATAATGGTGGTTATTATAAGAATAAAAGCATTAGTAATAAGGAAGTTTCATATAAATATTATTGTAAATTTTGGTTCAAGCCTAATATTAGTAATTATGAGAATACCAAGGGTAAAAAAGATAATAATGAATATAAAAAGTTTGAGATATTGATTAATGTTCCAGTTATAATACATAAAAGCATTGAATTTTTAGTGATGAACGGAATTGAAGAAGAAAATGAAGATATATTTAATGATAGTAATGAGTGTGATGGATATGAAGAAAGTGGGAATAACAAGATTGAGTTATTGAAAGGAATATTTAATCATCGTGAAGAGAAGGAGATCAATGAGATTGAAGATATTAATATTAGTTATGAGATTTTTAATTATCGGGATTACTATTTTAATGATATTAATAATAACTTAATCAGTAATAAGGAAGTTTTAAAGGTTCTATTTATATTTTTTGAGAGAAATAGGAATAACAGGATAATTGATAAGAAATTTGAGAATAGGATAATAAACGAGCTTGAAAAGAGAGAATATTATGAAATGGTTGAGTATTATAAGGATTTTTATGAAGACGAATATAATGGTGTTTATAAGGATGTTTATAAGGATATTAATAAAGATATGAATATAAGTTTAAATTGTAATTATGAGTTGAATGTGAAGTATAAGATAGTAATTAGGATATATTTGAATTGTTTGACAGATTTAATTATTGATTTTTTGAGCCATAAGAGATTGAATTTATTGATTTACGTTATTGATTTTATGAAGAAGTTTGGAGAAGAAGTTAGTAGAGATGTTGTTATTGATAAGTTTTACAAGGTTATATTCAATGATAATTACCGGGGGGTGTTTAGTGAAGAGTTTGATGAGGTGAATGAGATGAATGAGATTGATGAGCTTAGTGAAATCAATGAGTCCAATGAGATGAGTGAGATTGGGGAGATTAGTGAAATGAATGAATTTGATTATAGTGAATATAATAAGTTTGAGGACAATGAAAGAAGGAGTCTAGAAAACGAGAGGTTTCTTAAAAAGTTGGTTATAAGGATATTGATTGATAATTTTAATTATTTTATAGGAAATTTATATTTGAGGGATATTGAGATTAATGGGAATAATGAGGAGAGTTATAATAATAACCCTAATGCTAACAATAATAATGCTAATGCTAATGCTAATGCTAACAATAATAATCCTAATAATCTTAATAATCTTAATAATCTTAATATTACTAATAATAGTAATAGTGAAAATAAGATCATTAGCAGGGGATTTTCTAGGGAAGAATTTTCATTTTTGGATGAGTTTATAATAAATTCAGAGTTGCCAAGCTATGAGGAAGTTATCAATAATAACAACAATAACAATAATGATAATAACAGCACCGGATCAATACATAATTAATACCAAAAAAAGTAATAAGTAAAAAAGATGTGTAGAACGGAATGTCGGAAGATCGGCCAATAGCGTACGGATTGAGAGGAACCGAAGAAATGCCGAATAGATGACGGAGCAGATGATTTTCACGGAAGTTTGATGGAACACAAAGGGAAATGAGGAAAAAAAAACGAAATCACGGGACGTTGTTGATTAGAGTTTCTTAGGATAGTTTTGTTGATAAGAGCGATAGCACTGGCGGTATTGGAAGTGTTGGAGTCAAAGATATTTGGTTGATTGGAGGTTTAGTTATTGAGATTGTGTGTCATTCAGAAGCATTAGATTAGAGGGTATATTGGAAAATGAAGATCTTTCACTTTAATAGCAGCGAACATGGGAATAGCAATTTGGGCGGGTTGGACAGCTCTGGCGGCCTGGAGAACTTGGATGGGTTGGATGTGGAAAACCAGTTCAACTCGGTGGAGATGGAGTTGATAGAACAGAGAATCAGCAACAACCGAAAGAACCAGCATGGGAACAAAAGAACATCGAAGAAGGCATTGAGCTACGACATATTCATACCCAGGTTTATCAACAGCAACAACAAGATGTTCTACTACATCTTCTTCTTGATGGTGGTTGGGCTCGTGGGCATTTTCTTGAACTTTGGGCTAGGAATCAGGCTCTCTGAGTACGACGAGGAGACAGAAGGCGAAGATTCCAGCGAGAACTACATCGACAACAGCAGCTAAGCGCTGGAGCAGCTGGAACACCTCCAGCAGCTGGGCCACCTGCTTGGGAAGCAGCGCCCGCACGCGAGAATCCGCACATAATGCACGTGCGCAAGTTGTAGCTCGTATCGCCACGTGATCGTCCGCGTCTCCGGCTGCGACGCAGCAGAGCCGCACTTTAGTGCGTCACGGCGATTTTCACGGGCAGCACAAGCAGCAAAACCAGCACAGCGAAACCAGCGACGCTCATTTGCTCCCTCTCGTGCTGCTTCTGGTGCTGGTTTTGCTCTGTCTGCTGTCACGCCTTTGCTTCTGTGTCTCGTGCTCTGTGTCCTGAAGGCTCTTGCTTATTATGTTCTAGAGGAACGATCCCACAGCTGCTACTTTACCACCAACAAATGAGTTCCAACAGCAATACCACCAATTCTGCTAGCGATTCCAACTCTGCAAATACCAAGCTCGCAAAGAATTCCAATCCCAACTCCAATTCTTTCAAAGAGTTGGCTGCTAATGATCCTTCGCTATTGGAAGATGCTTCTACTCTTTTGATGTTCTCAAATGCTGCCATTATCAACTTGAATCACCTAAATCAATCTTCTCCACCAAACAACACTGTCAATATCAACCCATCCTCCCAAAACAACCCAAACAACCCAAACAATCAAACAATTAACAACAACAACAACATCTTAAACCAATCTCCATCTCCATCTCAATCCCAATCTCAATCCCAGCCTCAACCCCAACCTCAACCCCAGATTAAAACTCATTATCCCAATATTCTATCAAAACCTCCCTCCCCAATTTACTCTCCCAGAAATATCAATGTTAACACTGCCAGCTCTGCCAGCTCTGTTAATACCAATTCCAGCAATAAAAACAATGTCCTGAATAATCCCCTGAGTTCTATCACCAAAATTTCCCATTCAAAGTCTCACTCTCTCAAAAACCCAATCCACCACTACAATATACACCAGTCTCACTCAAATTCAATTCCTGGGCCTGCTTTGGCTGTATTATCAACCTCAAACCAATTCAATCAAAATACTAATATCAACAACCTCCTAAATAGAAACAACATCAATAACATCAACAATCTAAATAACATCAATAACCAAATCAATCTAAATAATATCAACAACCAAATTAATCTAAACAATCGACACAATATCAATAATATCAATAATATCAATAATATCAATAATATTCACAATTTTTCTCACAATATTCCTCACAATCTTAATAATCCAAATAATATCAACAACATCAACAACATCAACAATAACATCAACCCACATAATGTAAACCACCTAAATTATAACTACAACTACTCCTCCTATAACAACAACAGCAGCAACAACAACCTCTTGAATAATAACCAAAATAACAATTTAAACAATAGCCCCACTGCCAAAAATAACCAAAACATAAGCTTAAACACTCACAACAATAACTTATCCATCAACAATATCATTAACAATGTTCCAACCAATTACTCAAATATCAACAATCTTAATCAAAATATCCAAAACATTCAAAACATCCAAAACATTCAAAATATCCAGAATATCCAGAATATCCAAAATAATCAACACAATAGCATCATCAACAACAATGAAAGCAACGTAAAAGCAATGGTAGCCGCCGCTGCTTTAGCTGCTGCTGCTGCTCAACCTCTTCCTTTACACCACCATCATAATCTCAATAATAACAATAACACTATCGAAAACAATAACAATAATAATAATAATAACAATAATAATAACAATAACAATAATAGTAACAATAACAATAATAATAACAATAACAATAATAGTAACAATAACAATAATAATAACGACAACTTGCTCCCAATTAAACCAAAACCAAAATCAAAACCAAAAAGAAACGATCTCAGCAACTTCTTAAACCCAACAACTTCCTCAAACACTATTAATCCTTCTCAACCTCACTCCCAGTCTCAGTCCCCTTCTTCAAATATAAATAGAGTCAAAATTCAAAGTTTCTTAAACACTGATACCTCCAAAAACTCAAAGAAAATTACCTCCAAAAACTCCTTCAAAAATTCTCTCAAAAATTCTCTCAAAAATGCTCCCAAAAATACAATCAAAAACACAATCAAATCCAACATCAACCTCACTAAAAATATCATCAACAAAAACACTCCCCTAAACATAAACTCCATAATCAACCAACCTTCCATTTCTCAACCAAAAACTACTTCAAGTCCCCAATTTAAGAAAAACTCAATTGCCTCTTTATTGTCAAATGACACCGATAACAATATAAATAAATTTAGAAAAAACGACTCTCTACAAATCTCAAACATAATCTCTCATTCCACTTCAAACCAACAAATTCTTCAAAACGCTAATACAAACATCAACCAATTCCAATCAAACTTGCCTCAACTCATTAAAAATGATCATCAAAAATCTTCTTTACCCTTACCAGTTCTTCACTCAAGAATAAAAAATTCCATTAATGAATTGATCAACAATGATATCTCTTCTTCAAATAATACAATAACCACCGCCACCACTACAACAACAACTAATCCTAATAATAACAATATTTATGATAATAACAATAGTAACAATAACAAATCCATTTCTATTTCCACTAATACTCCTAATTTTTCTACAAATTATCCTCAATCTAAGAAAACCCATTCAATTCAACATAATATAGATAATAACAACGGCACTATCTCAAACAATTACGGGTCAAAATCACCATCTCCAACTCCTTCGGAAATCATAAATACTGGTCAGACACCTTCCTATGCTGTTGGCTCTAATTCTGGTATAATTGACTGTATTTGTGAAGTAAACGAAGATGACGGCTTTACTATTCAATGTGATAAATGCTTTCGTTGGCAGCATGCATCCTGCTTTAATATCAGCGATAATGCTGTTCCTGATATCTATCTTTGTGAAAAATGCAACCCAAGAAAATTCAAAAAAATGAAAATCGACTTGAAAGCAATTAAACAAACTCAAAAAGTTAGAATACAAAATTTTCAGCTCCAGAACAAATTGTTTTTGGCTTCAAATAATTCAAAGATCAATTATCTCGTAAATGATACCAATTCTACTGATTTGCCTAAATATTCAAAAAACAACAACAACAAAAATTCAAATAACGACTCAAGCAAATTTGACATTGATATAGATAATGATAGTAGTGTTCTTAGCATTAATGACAATAGCCAAACTCAAGCCAATAAAAAACCCAACAACAAAAATACTATTGCTCAAAATATGAGTATTGAAAATTTCACAAATCCTCAAAATATTCTATCCTCAAATTTGTCCCCAAGTAATTCCTCTTCTTCTTTGGGTGTCGACAATCTGCATTCAAATACCGGAATTTTAAGATCCTATATTGATGAATCCAACATCATATTTAACCATCCCTCTTCCCGAAGGAAAAGAAAAAGTACTGCTGATTTGGAGAATGCTGCTGAATCAACGGTTATTACTACAAGCAGAAAGACATCGAAAAATGAAACTGAAATCAAAAAGGGGAAAAGTAATCCTGCGTCAACTGCTGACACTTCCAATACAACATCAACAAAAGGCACAAACTCCAATAATGGCTCAAAAAATAAAAAAAGGAAAAAAGAGGTCACCGAAGAAGAAGAAGCCAATTCTCAATTAATTACAAAATTTGAATTAACTGGTGATGACTTTTATAAGGTTGCCTATTATAATCTCAATCATTTAGAATATAAGAATGATAATTTAAAATATTTATTTACTAAAAAGTTGCCCGTTATTTTCAATGAAGTGTTGAGAAATCTTGAGTTGAAAAATAATTGTAATGTCATGACAATCTCTAAAGGAGATTACGAAGATCAATTTTTTCCAAGTTTGGTTGTTAGATCAATATATAATCCTGATGTTTCAAATGGGAAACCATCATCCAAGTTTACTGGCGTGTCAAATATGGGATTGTACACCGAAAATATTATCGAAAAAAATTGTATAATTAAGGAATTTTTTGGCGAATTGGATTCACAAGAAAGTTACATTACAAACACAATAAATCAATACAGACTGTGGGGAGTTCCTAAGAATTATAATTTTTTCATCAATTATTTTAAAAGCGAATTGAATGATGAAAGTTTGATTAAAAATTTTCAACCATTTTTATTACCATTATATTTAAATTGCAAAGTTTCAGGAAACTGCACAAGGTTTATAAGAAAAAGCTGTTATCCAAACTGTGAAGTTAAATTTGTACTAGTAAATGAAAATGATGAAAATAATGAAAATAATGAAAATGATGAAAATAATAATAATAATAATAATAATAATAATAATAATAATAATAATAATAATGATAATGATAATGATAATGATGATAATAATGATAATGAAACTGATAATACTTCTAAGATTGAAAATAATTCTGACGATGATTTTAACATGGATAACGACAAAAATAATAGCTCTAATATTAAAAGTAATAGTGAGAAAACTGATAACAAAGATATCAATGAGAAGAAGAATGTTGAAATAAAGGGAAAGATTAAAATATGCTTGGTTTCATTAGAAAAAATTAAGGCCAACACTGAGTTAACTATTAATTGGGAGTGGAACAAATTCCACATTTTTCATCGTGTATTTACTAAAGATACAATTGGGACAATTAATGAAAACAATGAGAAAATCAAATCAAATTTCGGTAACCTTTCTGATGAAGATAAAAAGAAATTAATTTCATCAATTGAAACAATACTAAATCAATGTAAATGTGGATGTTATAAAGTTGGGACCAACGCTAATAATTCCGACTGTAAATTAATAAAAATTAAAAAATTGGGGAGTTATTACCATAGATCCAATAAGAAAGGGACGAAGATAAGTTGCAATAGCAGTACTAGCACTGCTGCTAATAATAACAATGCTGGTAGTGAAGTCTTAGGTTCCAATAACGATCAAATATATCCTGATTTGTTGGGAAGTTTATGTTCGAATCTACCAGGTAAAGGTTTTGAAGCTGGAGATTTAAATGGGAAATCAAGCGTCAGAGGCCGATTGGATTTTAGAGCTAAAATTATCAAGGAAAAGTTGACAAAACAAGAAAGTTTAACAGAAAAATTAGCCATTGAGAAAGAAGAAAAGGAAAAGAAAGAAGAAGTAGAAAAAGAAGAAGAAAAAGAAGAAAAAGAAAAAGGGGAAAAAGAAAAAGAACAGATTAAAAACGAAAAAATAGATGATGAAACTGTTTCCAAATCTGTTGATGGAGATAATAACAAAACCCGAGTTGAAAAAGACAAAGGCAAGGAGATCTTATCAAAACAACCACCCATCAAGAGCATTGCTCTGTTAGATGGAGTCTCGTTTTCTTTCCAGAACGAAAAAAAACGAAAAAAAAATCAGCTTAAGTCCGAGTTTCTCCCTTACAAATATAAGCATCTTCCCCGAAGTGTGTCTGCACCAATCTCTAGCACTTACTCTTCTGGTGGATCCAGCCATTCCAGCTCCAACAAGTCAAAGGACGATTACTTGCCCATTCCTATTAAGTTGAAAAATACCTTGCAGTTGAATATTGCTTCTGACATTACAAGTATAGAGAAGGTGGCGCTTTCGCCTGGTTTGAATATCATTGATGTTCAGAAGGTGTCTACGAGAGTTGTCTCGCCAATTGGAGGAGCACTATCAGCAAACAACATCAATGGCATTGCCAACAACGACAATTCAGACGTCTCACTGCTAAACGAAGAACCCAAGATTGCAGCATCCACAGCACAGCGACCAAAGAAAGTCAAGAAGTTGACATTTGCAGATTATTTGAACAAGAAAAAACAAAAAACATGATTTATTTATATAGTTTAGTTCGTTTTTACTTATTTTTATCTTTTTATCTTTTTATTTTTTATCTTTTTATTTTTTATCTTTTTATTTTTTTATTTTTTTCCACCTCCATTCATTATGCCACATTTTTTGTATATGTTTTTATCCCCAATTGCCTTTGTTTCCATATGCCTTCCATCATATTTTGCCTCGTCCTCTATACCACCCAACGCTGTAACCGTCGGCTCTACTGCTTCTGCTGCTTCTGCTTCTGCTGTTTCGGAACCACGTGACTGCTCTGCTGAAATTTTTCTGTAAACAACTTCTGGAGAGAAACACTTCACCAGCAGCTGTGTTGCCATTGTCCAGATAGTCTGCTCTTGTTGCAAATTCGCATACCAAGATGACCAACATATCTCTATCTGCTGCCAACAATGGCTCGAGGCTTCTTCAGGAGCTACTTGAGTCCTCCAAGAACTTGCCCACCCAGTCCTCTGAGTTTGATTCGATCCAGTTAGGAGTTAATGAAATCAAGAAGAGAGCACACAACTTGAGAAGAAACAAAGACAAAAATCCCAACTACACCAAGGCTCACTATTTGTTAGCTGGAAGTGGAGCCTCTATCGATTACATTGAGTCTGAGCTAAAATCAATCGAAAGCCAACTACCTCAATACCTCGATTCTTCAAACCTTCCTGTTATCTCCAATGACTTTGATGCTTATTTAGACTCTAAGAAGGACGAGTGCATTTTGGCCGCTATTGAACGTTCATTGGCCTTGGCTGCCAAAGATTACGATAACTATGTTAACCAGAATATTTCAATTGACTGGAAATCCAAAAGAGACGATGTCATCAAATCCTTTGGAATTTCATTACCAAATAATAATAATACTAATAGTAATAGTAATACTACCGGTACCAACATCCTTAATGAGGTTGATGAAAATGCAAACGCTAATACAAACGACGATGCCAATGATACCAATTCACTTCAGTATAAGAAATTGAAAAAAGGTGATTCTTCATCTCTATGGAAAAAGAAATCCAATCATTTGAACAATGTTTTGTCAACAGCCGACTTTCAAGACTTGACTCCATTGAACCCAAAACTAATCAACGTTAACGATTTTTCATCGCGAGATAAATTTGAAAAAAATGCATTGTATATTTATCAGTTTAACAATTTCAGACAGTCAAACAAAAACTACCCATTGGCCAACTGTTTTATGGATATTACAAGCGCTGCAACAGATGCAAAATCAAAACAAATTAATGAGGTTTGGAAGATTTTGAATAATTTCATTAAAGTAAATAATATCACTGACAACATCAACCTTTCTAACGACAACAATTACATCAACAATACAATATCGTTTAGAAAAAAACTTTTGCTCTCAAGTAAAAAATACCTAGAATCTCAATTTTTTGATCATGTCAATAACATTTTCAACAAAAACCTTCAAATAAATAGCAACGAAAACGGTTTACCAACAAATATAAACAAAATTAAATCATTTTTAAATTCTCAGCATATCAAGAAAAACCTCAAGAATATTAACATAACCTTGATAAATGACGTTCCAATTTGGCCACTAATCTTTTATCTTCTAAGAGCAGGCTGCTACACAGACGCTTTAGAAGTCTTGGAATCAAATAAATCTGTTTTTAAAAAAATCGATCAAAACTTCTTGACATACTTTAGAAAATTTGTTTCGCTAAACAATGAAAATAAGAAATTATCAAAAGATTTGGAGAATAAAATTCAAATTGAGTTTAACCAATTTATTAGAAACTCAATTGATGTTGATCCTTATAAATATGCCGTTTACAAAATAATCGGCAGATGTGATCTCACAAAGAAAAATATTCCAAGAATCACTATTGGAATCGAGGACTGGTTGTGGCTCCATCTCACCTATATTAATGAAGATAATAATGATTTAGTCAATGATCCAGTTTATCAGAGATACACCTTGGCAGATTTGCAAAAAACTATCATTCAATCAGGTGCTGGTCACTTTAACACTGTCAATAATCCATTGTATTTGCAGACATTAGTTTTAACGGGTTTATATGAGCTTGCTGTTCAACAAGCTTATACCATAAATGAAATTGACGCTGTGCACTTGGCCATTGGATTTGCCTACTATGCATTGTTGAGATTCTCTTCTAATCAGGGAAGTAGCAATCTATTGATAACCAAAAATTCTCAAAAACAAACAGAAATAAACTTTTCTAGATTGTTGGGTTACTATACTAGATCATTTCGATTTTCGGAGACAAGGGCTAGTGTTGAGTATCTTTTATTAATTTGTCTACGTAAGGACAAACATCAAATCGAAATTGCTCATGAAGCTTTGCGCGAGCTAGTTCTAGAAACTCGTGAATTTAGTATGCTCTTGGGTGATATCAATTCCGATGGAACAGCATTACCAGGAAGAATCGAAGAAAGAAAAGAATTGTTGTACCTTCAAAACGAAAAGGAATATCTTGATAAAATTGCAGAGAAAGCGGCTATTAAAGCTGATGAGGAAGGAAGAATCTATGACAGTTTGTTACTATATCAGTTGTCCGAAAAGCACGATACTGTAATAAGCATTGTCAATAAATTATTGGCAGATTTGCTAAGTAACATCGATATCTACACTTCATTAAATGATCAAGCACTAAAAGAAAATGGCGAGGCACAGCCAATTGATATTGCTAGGAACTTGAGCGAAATTTATAAATTAAGTCCTGAGAAGATAAGCACCAAAAACAGAAATATTCTAGATATGTTACTAGGCATTTTAGACATTCGTCAAAACTTTATTGAAAACAAATGGAAATTATGTTTGAAATTAATTGAGGACTTGAATATTTTCCCATTAAATTGTTCAAATAACAATGATTTAAACTATGCTAGAAAGAAGGCTCAAGAATTCAATGAATTAGATGAAAACATAGCCAAAAATATTTCAAACTTGTTATTGATTACTATGACATGTGTTTCAGAATTCATTTATCAATTATCCAATAGTTCATATATTGATCCTGCAAAGGAAGCCAAGTTGTTTGAATTAAATGAAATGTCAAAGAATTGTATGATCTATGCTGGTATGGTTCAATATAAAATGCCTAGGGAAACTTATAGCAAACTTATCAGCTTGGAGTCAATAAATATGTGATTTCGGATGGATAGACTTTGTATCGATAGACTTTGTATCGATTGTTGGTTCAGTTGGCTGTGTCATATTATTCCAAAGCGTTGGCGTACGGGAAAATTATGAAGAAATATATAAATAATTGAATAGTTTAGCAATCTGATTTGTTTGAAATGTAGAAGATTGGAAGTAAAATTGTATTTTTCCATCGGAAAAAAAGCGTAGCAATGGAAATATACCGAAACCATTTGGTTTAAGCTAGAGTTTGGTCAAGCTTCCATATAGAAATATTTTCAAACACAGATTAAACCTTCAAAAATTCGATACTTTATTTCCGTTATCTTAATCAGGTTTTTAACTTTATGCTAAGCTTTTTAGCTTATGGCCAAGTCTATTGTTGAACTTTAAATTATCTTGCGCGAAAGATGGGCAAAAACATTTTCCCTAAAATGTTGTACATTTTTATTTTGCTTCTCAAAGACAATTTTGATTTGAATTCTTTCTAATTTATTGGAAAGAGAAGATAAAATGCAAGAAAACGTTTATTTTTTTTTTATCTGGAATCCAAGTCTGGCTTTTATCATAAACCAAAGGCCGGCTTTTATTATTTTCAGTGCCGTAATGTTACAGATCTTTCTTTTGATCCTCATTTGTGGTTCCAATTCGTTATCTGGTTTCCAATTGGTTGAATAGCTATTGTTTCCAGCAAAGGTTTGACTTTTATTTCTGTGGGGTTCTTTGGCTTCATTCTGTCCAATTACACAAATGCTAGTATAGTTGTGCATCGAGTAACTGGTAGGCACAACTTCCTGGCACAACTTATTAACCTCCCCACAGTCTCCTTAACGTCGATCACAAACCTGAACTTATCTTAGGGCAGAACATTATTATGGATCAAAGATACCCACAACTATGCTCCCATCAACTGCTCATATAAAGGGGATAGTCCCTCAAACTCAGCAAACAAATAGAACTTTCAGCTGTTTTCTGAATCAATAATCAGATCAAATATGCCACTAGCCAATCTTATTCATCACTCCAGCTATTATTCTGGCCATTTTTCCAGACCACTCTATGGAAATAAACTTCGAGGCAGAAATATTCTTTATCAAATCTCTCTGTTCAGTTCTTTTCCTTATCTTGCTTCTCAGGTTCTTCAGTATCTTCCCTTGGACATAATATGGCTATTATCCCTATCATCTGATACCTTGGGTGAACAGTCCAATAAAGTATTGTATAATTGTATTCAAATTAATTTGCAAAGTGAATTTGTATTTGGAAAACTAAAAACCAAATTCTCCAATTTTGACATGTCTAGAGTCTTAGTGGTGAATTCTAATTGGTTTCACTTGTTTTCAAACAAATTCATGAAGTACACCAAAAATTTAATCGTACTCTCAGATGTCCCTGGTCCCAAATTTCTTCGTCTTTCAAATCTATTAAACCCATTATTAAATCAATTAGACTCGTTTTATTGCAACATTGATGTTCTTGATCTATTTCATGACTATTATGTGGTTATTAACTGCTCAAAATATCACAAAAGAAATCAATTAAAAATCAATTATAAGGGTACGCTAATTAACCTGTGTCTTAAAGATTATACACAGTTGTTGTCATATTTTAGTGAAATTCCAATGATTTTAAAAGAATTCAATAAAGAAGTCTGTTGGCTTTTTGATGACTACAATAAAAGACTAGATTCGTTGACATTGTTGTCACTCAACAACATTCATTATATTGTCAATCCATATCAATACTACAGTTTCGAGAAGTTGGTATATTTGAAAAACTTGAGTTTGTCAAATAACGATCTACCCTCAATTCCTAATTTAAGCACATTAATCAACTTGAAAGCCCTCAATTTAACCAAAAATAGAATTCAGAAACTTGATAACTTATCCAACTTGATCAACTTGAGAAAACTATATTTAAATGAAAATCAAATTGAAAAAATAGAAAACATATCACGTCTTGCAAGATTGGAACTACTTTCATTAAATAAAAACAAAATCGACAAACTACAGGGTCTTGATAAGCAAACTAGTTTGGAAAAGTTATACTTGAGTGAGAACAATATAAACAGCTTAGAAGGATTATCTAGTTTGGTGAATTTAAAAATCTTAAGCTTGGAAAATAACAAAATTCCAAATATAGGAACTAGTTTAGCCAGGCTAGTCAAATTAGAAAATTTGTATTTGTCCAATAATTGCATAAATAAATTAGAAGGATTATCCAATCTAGTAAATTTGAAACTCTTGACATTGGCTCATAACAATATAAAAATGATTGAAGGTTTAAATACACTTGTTAATTTGAGTGAGCTCTATTTGAGTGAAAACAAAATTTCTAAATTAGAAGGCTTAACCAAATCTTTCAATTTAAAGATATTGAGGCTACAAAATAATCAAATAGAGACAATAAATCATGTTTCAAGCTTACTGAATTTAACTGAATTAGACTTGGGACTGAACAATATCAAAAAAATAGAGAATTTACAAAGTTTGGTCAAGTTAGAATTTTTATTATTGGACAACAATAGTATAGTAAAATTAGAAAATTTATTAAGCACAAGAAATTTAAAATGGCTAAACCTTTCTAACAATCAAATCCAAAAGATAGAAGGCTTGGAAACGTTGACAAAACTAGAAAAGTTGTATTTAGGAGAAAACAAAATTTCCAAATTTGAAATTTCATCAAACCTAGAAAATTTGAAAACACTAAGTTTACTTAATAACCAGATCAAATTAGTGGAAAATTGGTCAGATCTAACCAACCTCACTTATATATCTTTACATAATAATGAGATTGAAGTATTGCCAAACATAGAGCTAAAGAATTTGGAAACTTTGCTTTTGGGTTATAACAAAATTACCAAGCTAAATTGGCTATCACATTTTGAAAACTTAAAAATATTAAGCTTGAATAATAATCAAATCAAAAAATTGTCAGGACTTATGGTGTTGAGAAATTTAAAAAATTTATATTTAGAAAGTAACAAAATTATCAGATTGGAGGGGTTGATAACTTTAACTAATTTAGAAACATTGTTTCTAGGCAAAAATGATATTAACAAAATAGAAGGAATTTCAAATCTTACAAAATTAAAAATATTGGATTTATCATACAACAAAATTGAGGTAATAGAAAACATATCAAATTTGACCAATTTAACCGAACTCAATTTGCAAAATAATAGTATCATGAAATTGCAGAATCTATATGGTCTTGTCAAATTAGAGAGTTTGTTCTTGGATTATAATGCAATCACAAAAATTGAGAAGTTATCAGCTATAAAAAATTTGAAATCATTGAGTTTGTATCTGAATAATATAATAAAAATAGAAGGCTTGACAGCTTTAGGCAAACTAGAACGTTTATATTTAGGTAAAAACAGTATATCTAAGTTAGAAGGATTAGAAAGTCTTGTGAATCTTAAAAATCTAAGTCTTCAAGCTAATAAAATTGAGAAACTAGAAAATCTATCTAATTTATGCAGCTTAATAACTCTAGATTTAAGTCTAAATTGTATTCTCAAGCTAGAAAATTTAGAAAAACTAGAAAACTTGCAGATATTATATCTACCTAATAATTTGATTTCAAAACTAAAAAACATCTTGTATTTAAAAAATTTAAATAGTTTGAAGTTGAGTGACAACCAAATAGAGAAAATAGAGGGATTGGACAATTTAATACAGTTGGAGAATTTGGAATTAGAAAGAAATAAAATTAAAAAAATTGAAGGTCTAACTACACTAACAAGATTGAAAACGTTATCTTTGACTAGGAATAAAATACTGAAATTAGAAGGACTATCAACTCTTATAAATTTACAGCTATTTGGTGCTGTGTATAATCTGATTTCAAAAATAGAAGGATTATCGTATTTAACTCTGTTGAAACTGTTATACTTGGGCGGAAATGAAATCATGAAATTAGAAGGATTGTCCAATCTTGTTAATTTAGAATCTTTATTATTGGAACAGAATCAAATCAAAAAGTTGGAAAACATTCTGAATTTGGCTCGACTTCAGCTATTGTATATCAGTGGCAATGAAATCAAAAAATTGGAAAACTTGGATCAGTTGAGCAAACTTAGAGATTTCAATATTCTGTATAATTTGATTGAGAATGTTGAGAATATTCTGATGCTTTTGAATTTACAAGAATTAGACATTTCACACAACAAGATAATCCAAATGGATGATATGTCGAGCTTGATCAACTTGAAAAAATTGAAAATTGATGGCAATCCACTCACACATTCCAAAATACCACTAAATTTGATCAATCTTAAAGAGTTGATAGCTGATAAACCTGTGATGGATAGCATAAAAAATGTAACAGGAGCTGAACCGATATCTGAGATTCAAAAGTCAAATAGAAAACAGGGACTCTTGAACATACTTGCTGGCAGTGAGATGTACAAGTCAGACAAACTACAAAAGGTGTTTGAAGTGGGATGGCTTCAGTTCTGGAGACTAGATACCAATGCCATTGAGGCAACTGATGAATACACCTCAATGATACAAAAAATGATATTTGAGTTGATCCAGTTGCAGACACAGTTTGTTCAATGGTGTATATCGATGTGTGGGGCTGGTATTGATTTCCTTGCTCAAGATTCAGATATAATTAAGCCATATACAAAACTGTTGTTTTGCACACACTATTTCAAGTCGTTTGATTATATTGCTACGGTACATGAGCTGCATCTAGTAGTTCCATTGACCAAGTTGTTGATTAAACAGGGCAATGTGATTGATGGGCAGTGGATCGTGGTATTCGACAAATGGGTGGATGTGGCCAAAGAAAAATGGTTCAGGTTTTTATTTGATTTTATCAAAGCTGATTTGTTTCTCAGATTTATGACAAGAATTGAAAAAAATGGTCAGCAAGTTTGCTTGAAATACAACAACTGGAAGCTGACATTGGAGTCGAGTGGAATTATCAAAAAACACACATTCAACTATATGACATCGCAGCATTATTACTTTATTACCAAAACTATAGAAAAAATCAAACAAATAATGCTGAAACTAAAGAAAAACGATATAGATCATAAACTAGTTGAGAATTGCGAAGTAACCATTGAGAAGATGCATCAGCTCTGTTTGGAATTAGATAAAGTGTATGTGATATATGAAACCAAACATATATTGGATAAGCTAAGGGATCCTTTGTCAGTGAGTTTGTCGAAAGAAATACCACAGTTTAATTTCTTGGAGATGTTTTTGGTTGCAAGTTCCAAAACATTAATAAACAGAAATTTGTCTCTATTTTTGTTGGTATTTGAGAGTTTTTTGGCTGTGGTTTCATTTAAGGTTGAAATGTATAGTCTTTCATTTGAATTACCAAGTATTAACATTACTGATTTGAAATATGAGTTTATTAGAGAGATTGATTCTGACCAAAGTGAAATTAAACTTATAAATATGTCAAACAATCGGGAATACGTATTGATCATTTATAACTATTATCAATTCAGCAAAATAATTGAAAAGGCATATAATCAATACTATAGTTATTGGACAAATCCTTATAACGTGATTGTTAATAAACAAATTGAATAATATGAGGCAGTTTAACTGAATTTGGAGACTCTTTTTTGGAATATTTAACAATTTAATAAGTTCACGATTTGCTGGGTTCATGATAGAAGAGTTACTTCTTGATCTAGGACCATAGTTTATTATTGTGAATGACTTTCAGAACTAAATTACTCTCAATCAACTGCGAAAACAAAAATAAAAAAATTAGAATAAGCAGTTGTTTTATTTTAGAATAATAATAATGAGGTTTCTAAATACAGAGAAAGCAGCTAGAACTTTTGATACTTTATACTTTCATTTTTGCTATACTGTAATTTAATTATTAGCGGGAATAAAAATTAAATAGTTTGACCAATGTGTTATCAAACATGATAAAAACTAGTAAAAAAATTTGAGTAAAAAGAAATGATAGATTACTACATGATTTATTAAATATGTAGATATTTATGAAACACAATATAGAGTTGCTTTTAGTAAAACAGTTGATAATTGTTAAGGGATTTCAGTATTCAACCAGTTGAATGATTTTTTTTTTGAATTACATCATCTAAATGTATTTCGATTGGTATTTAATCCAGAGGTTTGATAATCACTTAAAGTCAGAAATTAAATCCTGTTGATAATACTTTGATGGTAATTTAGGAAAAATATTATTGCACATCAAATAACACAATTTGCGTGAATTTTCCATTAGATAATAGTTAACTTAATAAACAAATTTTGACTCGATAGATATTATTTATCAAAAACGGAATGCACTAGCGTTGATTTTGCAACTTTCTCAAATGTTCCAACGTTTTTAGCTTTGGTTAAGTTAATTTTCACAATGATACGTTAAAAAAAACAAGAAATACTGGTATAGATTTATTTGATTCTTTAAGTTTCTAATATGTAATGCCGAAAAGTTCTCTTCACACAGTGGAAGATGAGCCAATGGCTGGGAATCGAGAAAAAGACAGAATTGTGTGTTTATTATATGCTTGTTTAATAGTACTTACGTTTATTCTATTAAGCAGGTATTGGTGTGTTTTGCAAAGCAGATATTGGAACAGGAATCTTTGAGCATTTTCATTTTACTTCATTTCACAAAACAATAAGGCTCCTAAACCACATTTGATATTGTTCCACGCTTTTTGTTATTGAGATAAATTCACAATCTCAAACTGCAT